AAACCCTAAACCCTAAACCCTAAACCCTAAACCCTAAACCCTAAACCCTAAACCCTAAACCCTAAACCCTAAACCCTAAACCCTAAACCCTAAACCCTAAACCCTAAACCCTAAACCCTAAACCCTAAACCCTAAACCCTAAACCCTAAACCCTAAACCCTAAACCCTAAACCCTAAACCCTAAACCCTAAACCCTAAACCCTAAACCCTAAACCCTAAACCCTAAACCCTAAACCCTAAACCCTAGGCCTAAACCCTAAGCCCTAAACCCTAAACCTAAACCTAAACCCTGAACCCTAAACCCTAAACCCTGAACCCTGAACCCTAAACCCCAAACCCCAAACCCTAAACCCTAAACCCTAAACCCTAACCCTAAACCCTAAACCCTAAACCCTAAAACCTAAACCCTAAACCCTAAATATAAAATATAAAATTCACAGTCCCATGCAGAAGGCCATGTTATGGGTTGCCATGGGTGTCCCAGAATTTTTGGAGATGGGTGTGAATTTAAATAAGGGTTGCAGTGGCTTGCAATGTCTAGCAATGTCTAGCATGGGCCTTGTGCTGACCCATGGTGTGCCATGTGCAGTGGGAACAATTGGTAGGAGGGAGCAAGTTGTGCACAGGGTGTGTCAAGGCCATGGAAGCTCCAGAATGCCCTCCTGTGGGTCCCTTGAGCCTTTGTCATGAGAGCGACTTGCTGCAGCATGCCTAGGCTGTGTGTTGCCAAGAGTTGCCAAGTGTTGCCAACAAAATTGCCAACATGGGAAAGTGAAACATGGGGATATGAGCCATTGGGAACCAAGCCCTTGTTGCCACCACCTCACATCCCCTCAAGGGGCATACATACAACTTAGCTAGAGGGTGCATGACATTGCACACCTTGTTTGCCTTGGCATGGTGCCCTTTGAAACATGGCAAACCCCAACCTCCCTAAAAGGTATCGTGCAGACACGTGACAAAACAGGCTCAATCTGTACCCATGCACGGGTGTGCAAGCAATACTTTGAGAAGTGGTTTCAAGGACTGCACCTCATGGATTTCATCCATCCTTGGGGCTATGGAAAGTTTGATAGTATATGAAACCGATGGTGCATAGCAGTGCATGCAGGTCGAGACAGGCATTATGCAGACACGTGACAAAACAGGATCAATCTGTAGCCATGAAAGATATGGATTCCATAAAAGGAGGGCTAACTCAAAATTGGCTTGTAAACTTTTGGTGGGACATGCATCAAATGAAAGCCCCACATGTGTGGGCCCCATTGCATGCCTCTCCACCATACCATAGGCCCCATCCCAAGGAGCTAGAGTCTCAAAAGGTGAGACAGGGGAAATATGGATTCCATAAAAGGAGTGCTAACTCAAAATTGGCTTGTAAACTTTTGGTGGGACATGCATCAAATGAAAGCCCCACATGTGTGGGCCCCATTGCATGCCTCTCCACCATACCATAGGCCCCATCCCAAGAAGCTAGAGCCAACCCTATGCAAACCCTAGCCTGAAACCATGTTTGAGGCCTTATAGAGAGCCAAGGAGGTCGAATTTTCAAGTAAGGACTTCATAGGCGTGACCAGCACATCGAAATTGCCCAAGATCACCCCTAAAACCGGGGTCCATTTTTGGACACCCCAACCCCAAAACACTAGGTGTAAATATATAAAAACCCGCAGCAACACAAGACTGTTTGGGCGGAAGTGAATGCCGCCGTGAAGGCCTAGGCCACCAAGGAAGCCGGCAGCATGGTTGTCAAGTGAGTTCTCGAAGCAATCAGATGATGTCAGATGATGCACATGTCTGTACAACCTTTGCAAATGCAAGCTTGCATGGCCATGGCAAAATCAGTACTCAATTCTATGAGCGCATGCAGGTGTATCAACGGCCGCTTTCCAGAGACAGAATTGATACTGCTGGAGGCAGCTGGCCCATTTGATCCTGTCTTCTGGAGAGGATGCAAAGGGAATGCTTGGGCCAATGGGCGGTTGGATGTTGCGCGCGCCCACATCCAGGTGAGGCCTGTTCTACTCTTAGCTGGCAAGTATTTCAATGCAGACCGGCTCGCATGCTTTCTGGCAGATGAGCTTGTGCTCAAAGTGCTTTACTCTTTTCCAATGGTGCGTCCTGCAGGTGTTGCTGAATCACTATGGCAAGCAGCAGACGGTGATTTCTCCGAGCTGGGCCACAAAAAACTGGTTTCTGTCGATTACAAGCCTCTTATCGACGGATATGCTGCCAAGCAAGAGATCGACACGTTTTTACCTTCAGTGTCATATACTTCTGTGATGAATCTGATGGGCCTTGCAATCTCGACCGCTTGGAAGGGCGTAGTGTTCCTTTTTTACTCATAAAAAATGTACACAATGAAGGCCTCTACCCTGGAGGAGGTCATTGGGCAAATTTTCCTAATATGATGTTGTTAGGTGTCATCATGCTTGTGCAGCCTTTAACAGCAGTGAAGTGCGAGAGGGGTTTTCAGGCTTGAGCAGGGTGAAAAGCAAACTGCGCAACTGTTTGAAAAATGCCCATGTGCGCCAGCTGCTGCGGATCCAGTTCAGGAAGGCCTGCGTGAAGTCTTTTGACTTCAAAGCAGCTTATAACATCTGGTCAGCCACGCCAAGGCTGTGGAAGGCATAGTGAGAGATCTGGTGCCCAGACCAGTGCCACCCCTTACATGGATGTTGTGTTGTTGAGAACTCAGTTGATTGGGTTGAATGGCAATCTATTTACAGTATGCTTCAAACTATGAATGTAACAGTCACGTTGTAATTAAATTCTTCCAGTCACTTTGTCTTGTACATCAAGCACCTTGAAGGCTCCCAGCATGTCAATACATGAATATCAAGCACCATCTTCCTAGGGTTACAGCTGGAAGGGGCGCGACTGCGCCGCATTGCGGCTGCGCGGCAAAGAATGCGCCTTCGGTGCATCCGGCCTGCGGCCGGCCGAAGCTGCGCCGCGGCAGTCAGCCCTTCGGGCAGTCAAGTGGCGGCAGTCAACCCTATACATCGGTCTGCGAGCAAATTCAGCCGGTACTACATACCAGCTCTGCCCAAATCGGCCAGTACTAAGCTCTACCAGCCGGTACTAGGTGCATGTACTTGCCACTCATCCGAAGCACTGGGCCAAGCATGAACTCATCCGAAGCACTGGGCCAAGCATGAACCCTGCCAAGATTTATGCTGGTCAGATGATAGTCTGTGAAGGTTCAGGGTTTAGGGCCAAGTCATGAAGATAGTCAAAGCCAAGCATGCACCGTGAGATGAGGATTTTTGATGGTCAGATGATAATCAGTGATGGTTTAGGCTTTAAAGATGATTGCAAGATGATAGTCAGTGATGATTAGGGTTTAGGGCCATGTCACAGATGATAGTCGAGCCAAGCATGCACCTTGTGATGAAGATTTATGATGGTCACATGATAGTCTGTGAAGATTTAGGGCTATGGGCTAAGGCTGGATGATAGTCAAAGCCAAGCATGAACTGTGAGATGAAGATTTATGATGGTCAGATGATAGTCTTAAGATGATTGCAAAATGATAATTAGAGATAGCCAGAGCCTGTTTATTAAGGTTCTTCGGTTTAATGCTCAGTGCAAGATGATAGTCGGTGATAGCCAGAGCATGTTTGACTGAAAAGGTGTGACATGAAAGCATGTTGCTCGCTTAAACGTGTACAAGGTTTCAAGACTTCATCTTCAATCGTTCCCTTGCCTGTTGAAGGTCTGCTTGAATACGGTAGTAAAGGGACACAGTTGACGGCAAAGTGCACATGCTCTTGGAGACAAAGCTAGCGCTTTGTGCGAGACTTTGCTTTGTGCAATGGGTCAGATTTATATGACTGGCATGGATGCCTTGACTTATTCACAGTCATGAGCTTGCGGAATTACGGTACCGGTAGTTGGAAACAATATCAAGAAAGTGTGTGACTGGTTTTTTCCACATAGTATGTTTGCCAGTGACGGCAAGACAATGAATCAGATCTGAGTCAGGCTGCATTAGCCCTGATTACTGGTGTAAAATCTCCATCTACAGTTGGTTTCTATCAAAATTGTCTTTCAAAAATCGAGGATATATGCTTATTGAGTAAAGCCATGTTAGCTAGCAGGGATCACCCATAGGCTTATTTCCTAACAGCTTGTCAGTATACAAATATTGGTACACGAGATCACTTGCAATTGGCAGGGTTATAAGGTGAATAAATTGCACTATGCTGCAACATGTTCACCAGAATGGACACCATCCAATATAGGACTGGCACAGGTTCTCGTGGCTGTACGCCTGCACAATGAGCCGCTGCACTTGGCTTTGAATGCTGTCGCTCTCCGTGCTGCCCGGCAGCCCCTCCTGCAGCAGCGTCTTAACGTCAAAATCCAGCACATACAAGACCAAAGCCTTGCAAGCATCATATGCAGAGCCACGCTATGAAAGCAAGGTGCGCATTTGACACTAATGATTTCAGCCAGCATGGCACACAACAAGGCCAGGCTCGGATCTGCACCTGGACAAAGTCCCGCCCCGTTAGTTTGTCGGACATGCGTTTCATGACTGCCACTGCGCGCTCGTTGATGACCTCCACGGCGTCGCCCAGCTGCCCATACGCCGTCAGCATCTCGCGCTCCCGGGTCTCCCGACGAGGTGGGCTCGGCATCTCCGCTGACCCCACATCCTCCAACTTCCCTGCGCATTCCATACATCTTCCTTCACACTTCCCCTTCAGATTTTTACATACAGCCACTGTGAGAGGGTGGGACAGTGATTGCAGGAATGTGTAGCCCAGGATGTGCCTTTGCTGTACCTGTGAAGGTCACGTTGGATGGCAGCATCTCAGAGTTCATGGCTGCCAGCGCGTTGTCGGTCTCGCCCTCGCCCGTCTTGACCAGGCGCCAGTTGATGAGTGGGTCGTACACAAAGGCCTCCAGCATGGCCATCACGCTGTCCTTGTTGCTGCGCAGCACGCGCATCACGCTCTCGCACGTCGACCTGCACAAACCCAGTATTCTCAGAGCTCGGATGCAGGCATTGAAAGGTAACTTGTTATTGAGTGTGGTCTTGACGACTGAAAAGCAGGTGCCTCACAAGTCTGGGGACAACACTATGACAGAAAGTTCAGTAAGGAGGCTGACCTGAAGTTGCCTTCAACGCCAGAGACCTCCATGGCCTTCACCATCATCCGCGTCAATCGGAAGGGCACCTGCACATAGCACAATACAATAATTGCAAGCACCTCAAAAGGAACTTTGTCAAAAAAAGCCATTTTACTGGAGGCCCCAGCAAAGGAAGCAGAAAGGACGGCAGGTTGGCTGGAGGGTTTTCTTACCCGCTCAGGGAACTTCTCGCGGTTCATGGACGCCTCAAAGCAGTCGCCAAAGTCAATGTGCAGCAGTTTGCCGCTGTAGCGGTCCAGCATGAGGTTGCTCGGATGCCGATCACCCAGGCCCAGCAGGTAGCCCACCTGGATTTGGCAAGCCACGCCGTCACCAGAGCACCCTGTTTTTCCATGTGCCCACAAGGGGTCCAGATACATGATGAACCGCCTTTGATGGCAGCTGGACATGCACTATGGCTCACTTACCTGGGATTCAGCAAACAAACATTTGATTCTAAGGTGTTGTACAGCATGCAGCTGAGCCATCCAGGCAGACCCCATGAGAGGGCGTCAGTGCGGGAACGCACCATGGACATGACAGCGGTGGAGCGCGTGTAGTGTGTGCGCCGCTCCAGCCACACCTCGCTGCTGCGCGACTTCAGCCATAGCACCTTGTGCAGGTCCTCGCCTGCAGCCAGCACTTCAATAAAAGCGCTGCAGGGGTCACTCTCTCTCACCCTAATGGGGGAGTGTCAAGTTCCCTGATGCAAGACAGTCACCATCAGAGAGTGGCAGTATTGATCAGGAATAGCCCCGGATTGCTGTGACGAGCACAAGCGTCATTCTGGCCGCAAGGTGTCAACAGCTCTGCACCTGAAGACGGCTCACGTAAAACGAATAAGGAGCCTTCGTGGGAATAAAGAGGGTTTTACCTGAGGTGGAGTCGAGGGCGTGCTCGAAGACCTCAACCTTTTGGATGACGGTGAGGTGGTCGTAGTCGGGCGCCATGCCCAGCATGAGGCGGTGCTCCACGTTGAGGGGAATCTTGCGCGCGTCGCGGTACTCCCGGATCAGCGCATGCAGCGTGTCCGTGTTGGGCACCCACCCGATCAGCCCTACGCGGTGGCGCAAGAACACCTTTTGAAATTTACAATCCTGAAAACAATGACACGTCTCTGAAAGCATTCCTCTTGGCTCTTCACACAGAGAGGAACACTATATCTTTGCTCTGTGGCCTTCTGCCACAGCCTTTACGGAAAAGCAGCAATGTGAAGTGCGACAGCATTCCAATGGAAGGGGCCACATTCCCCATGTGTACTGTTTTGCACAGAGCGCTTTGGCTCGGTAGATATCATTGTTCCCAGGTCGCTCCCGGAGACTCACCAGAGTTGGGTGAGAGGGGGATGACGGCGTAGCGAGCGATGGATAGGTCGCGCTCGGCGGTGGTGCGGTCATGCGCCAGCATTGTGTTGACCAGGCCAAACAGTTGCATCACGCGCTCATCCTGCCGCAGGTCCTCATGCCCCTGCCAGTCAGCTTGCAGCTTAAATATACTGGCATGGCACACAAGAAGGTTCACAAGATGGCTGTGCTCAGGCAATAGACAAAGCACATGCAAGGAATGCCATCATGTAAGAAAACGTGGCGGGATGCTGTCAACTCCACCCGACAATTACTGTAACAGAAAAAGGCACGTCGCGTTATCAGAGGAGGCATCCAGTGTCCAGCCTCTGTGTGGTGCTCAGAAAGAGAGGTGCAGCAGCTGTAAAACAGGCAAGTTACCTTGAGCAGGAACATGTATTCGGCGCCGTCGCTGCCATGGATGGTGAGCTTGCGCGGGCGCTGCTTGGAGGTGATCACATGCAGCTGCGGCGCGAATGCGGCAATTGTCACCACCGGCTCTCCCGCTATGTACGTGCCCGGCACTGCCAGCTCCAGACCCTGGCACAGGCACAAAGTGACGTGTGCAATTTGGTACAGAAATACATTGAGAGCCTGACTGAATTGCGTGACATTGTGCAGACACACTGGCCAATGCCAAGCGCTTTCCAGAGTAAAACTACGCAAACAAGATAAATGCTCACCTGAGCAAGAAGTGGGTACCCTAGAAGCACCCAGACCAGAAATCACAGCAAAGTTGTCATGCGGGGGTTGGCCCGCTGGCAAAAAACATTCTTCTTACACATGAAGTACGGAGCAGCAGAAGGGCAGGAGGACACCTGTGCGCGGACGAGCGCGGGCGCGACGTACTGGAGTTCAAGGACGGTGAGGGAGGGGAGCTGCTTGTTGATGCGCTTGAAGACGTGGTAGTACAGGTCCCAGGCCTGGTGCAGCTCCGCCTCGCGCCGGCTCATGCGGTACTTCTGGCACCACTCGTACGCCTCCGCCAGCTCACGCCCATATGCCTGCAGCCCAGCACAATGAGATATTTCAAAGGTCTGATGTCACTATCTGAAATCCCTTAACAATACAGGCAGACACACAGGGAGTCTGCTACATTGAAGAAAATATCTGTGGATGTACGCTGGGAGAAGTGATGCATGCTCTGGAACACAGTGCAAAATAGAGCCACAAAGGGTGGCAGTGAGGGTGGGGCACCTGGACAAAGGCGATCTCTTTGAGTGTGGTGGGCCCCTGCTGGGCCATCATCTCGTGCAGCGGCATGAGTGTGGCCAGCATGGCCTCCACGTTGCTCTCCCCAAAGTACTGCCGCGACGCCTCCTCTAGCGCCTCGTGCCACATCTCGTGCCACAGGATGGCCATGCGGATCAGCTCCGTGCTCACCTGGCCCACGCCAAACCCAACAACACATGAGCATGCACCTTGCAGATGTAGGTTGTGTGGAGCAGTCACCATGACTTGCCAAGCTATCCGCTGCATACTTGATGCCTGACTCACTGCTGTGGCGAGCACTGGCCTTCCATCCAGCACACAGAGCTGCATTCAAGCAGAATCAGCATTGCAGCGCAGAATCCTCGCGTCAGAATGGACATCAAGCAGACAAACTTCCCATGCAGAGAGGGAGACAGCGCGCACCAGCTGGGCCTGCTCGACGAGGGTGGCTGAGTGTTGGCGCACGTTGTCGATGATGCTCGTGGCGGCCGAGCGCCGGTTGCCCGACTGGCTCTTGCTGGCAACGAGGAGCGGGTACATGAGGGCCTGCGGGTGGTGGCGCCCGATGCAGATGAGCAGGCTGCAGATCAGTCGCCGCACCACCACCTGCTGGTCGTGGATGCGCGCTATCACCTGCAAACACGCAGCTCTCTTCAGCAAGTCAGCATGCAGCTCTGTTCAGCACTTCAATAATGCTCACGTCATCATGAAAAGCTTGAGATGTCAGGGGGGACAAGGCACATCACAAGGATTATGTCTTCTCGCAAACTGCAAACTGCAGGGAGTAGTAGTGCAAAATTCATGAACGGATGTCCTCTTTGGCATGATGTACATGATTCATCCTGCAGAATTCTGACACAAGTCAAGCATTTTAAGGACCACCGCAAGGAGGCTATCTACTGCAGCAGGCAACATGGCTGCAGCTGCACGCACCTGCGGAATGACCACAAGCCAGGTGTCGATGGACACATGCCCAAAGCCCTCCTCCAGCGCCTTCTCAACATCCGGCGCCGCGCCGTGCGTGAACCACAGCGTGAGCAGCCGCAGGATGTCCTGCAGATTGGACCCCCGCGACCCCTCGCCTGCACCACAATCCATCACATCTAGTCAACACCAGGACAACCCACACCTCGAGACCACATCACATGAAAATGCACCAGCTTTGCCCTGCTTGGCTTTTGACTACCTGACATGCCCACCACAGCCCAACAAGTTTGCTAAAATACGTCAGATTCTGCTCCTCTTCTAGTTATTGCTCATACACAATCTACCTTCTGGTTGGCAGCAGCAGCTAGAAAGGGACCAGGAGAAGGGTTGCAAGGGGACAGAACTAGAATCGCACCACCTGAGGCCTGGCTGAGCGACACAGACTTGAAAAAGGCGGCGACGGCGGGCGCCACATGCCGGTTGGCCGTGGCGACATCGGAGCGCGAGTAGTGGTCCATGGCATTGACGTTGAAGAGACCCCAATTGTGCCACGCCTTGGCCCAGTCTGGAGCGGCCTGGATCGCTATGTGCAGGTTGCTCTTAACCGCCTCTATCACATCCTCTGTCACCTCCTGTGGCACATGACAGGACAGGCTGTCAGCATCACAAATGACAAGAGATGCAGCTGCTCTCCATCAGTGCTAGGGTCCCTCTAACTTTGCAAGAGGCACTATGAAGGCATGCAAGCAGAATGGCAAAGGTTGCTGTCTGAAATTTAGTACGAAAGGGAATCTTTGGGATTAGAGGGGGGCAGCAGGTGCACGCCTTGGAGGCCTCGGAGATGCTCCATCGCCACATGCCAAGGCGCAAATGCACGCGCGCCACAAGGGAGGCGCGATAGCCGCCGGCCATGCGGCCTGCGGGCGTGGCAAACAGGATGGCCATGGCCGGCCCCGTGCGCCCTCCCACCACAATGCTCTGCGCCGCCACGGCCGCCTCTTCGGCTGTCGGCAGCGGCGACACCGTCACCTCGTGCTCCAGGTCCTCCATCCTGCAGTGATGTGCGAGGCTTAAATAACGCGCTGATCTTTTGAACAAATCCCTGGAGACTCACAGTGACACAGCTTCCCTGTGCAGTGGAGAAGCTTGAAACTGACTTCGCAAGTAAATTGTGTGAATGCAGCAGCAATGAGATGGGCATTGCTACCGTGTATGGAGGTATCCTTGGAACTGCTATAGAGTCTGCGAGGATTAGGGACACAATAAAGAGAATTAAGCAATTGGCTGACTGGGAGGAGCACCTGTGGAGGGCGTCATGGCGGCTGTGTGTGGCCCAGAGGTGCTTGAGGAAGCCAAACATGAGGTCGGGCGCGCCGCTGCCAGCACCATACCCAGACTGCCCCGCAGGAATTGCTGTGGGGTCATAGCCCAGCAGCGAGCGCAGAGTACGATACGCCTGCCTGCACACCAAGGCCAGAGCATCATGCAAGCTCACAACCTTATCCTATCGCTGTGTCAGGCTTTAAGGGTCAAATTAAGAAGGTTCCCACTTTGACTAGAATACAAAAAGCATGAAGCACATATATATTGAATTAGATGCGGCTGACATGGAAGGAGACTCACTTTGGGCGTCCGGACTTTCTGCACAGGGACGCAAACTTGAGCCAGGTGTGGGTGTCCTCGTGCATGGGCAGCACCAAGCTGCGCACCGACAACAGCGACTGCGCACAGGCACAGTATTGCTTAGAAACGGCCAAACAAGCAAAACATGCAGAAGGTCAGGAATATCTGGAGACAGCCACCGCAGCAACTGCCCGTGGGCTCTTTATTGCATGGCAGTGGCTATGTAAAGAGGGGTATAGAAAGCACCTGCCAGACTTCATGGTTGCGCTGTACTCCATTCAAACGCTCGCGCCACATCTGCCTGGTCAACGCCCGCCTCGCCTCAGCCGCGACCTCGTCACCTGCCAGATCAGTAGTTGCATGTCAGCCAGAGGTATAAATGATTTGCACAAAAGCAACTGACAATGTTGCTGCGAAGCGATTGTCGAAGTATGCGTCTAATGACTTGTTCTGAGCCAAGCAGTGACTGGCAGATGAAATCGGGTACTCAAGCAACATCACATAGGAGGAGGTACCTTGGGCCAGGGTGAGGGCGAGGGAGTAGTCGATGGTCTCCTCCAGCTCGGTCAGCTGCTGCACGCGCACCATGTTCTGGTACGCGCGCTCATAGCTCTCGCCTACCAACGCCGCCAGCTCCTGCCCCAGCAGCTCCCGCGAGCGCTCTATGCAGCCTGCACAACAGCAAAGCACCATGAACAAATCCATCACAACCCTTTTATTGCTATCAACCTATATTTCCTCGTCCTAATCACCAAGACTACTCTTGGCAAACATCTGTCAACACACCTTGCAATTCTCGTCTTGATTTTACCTTTGTCGACACCAGACCAAGCCATGTACTACAAAACAGAGGACTGCTTCCAGCGTTTTGCCTGTAAGAAGACAGGGCTGCTCACTCTTTGCAGCGGCGTAGTTGCCGTGGCGGACGTTGAGAACGGCGGACATGAAGGAGCCGGTGGAGAGCTCAGGGCCCTCCTCGGACTCGAGCGCGGCAACGTAGGTGGACATCTCGTCCCACTGGCCCATGTGCCAGGCCGCGTTGGCGCCCAGGTAGGCCATGCGCGGGCGCAGGTGCGGCTCCAGCTGCCGCCACTCAAACCGGCACGCCTCGCTCAGCCGCTCCCACTCCGCCAGCGCGCCCAGGCACCTGCTCAGTTACAAACATTATCATAACACGACCACCCATAATGCAGTCCTAGAGCCTGCTACTTGTGCAAAAGCTACCTTGGAGTGCAAAAGATGCAGAAGCACTGTGCTGTGTGGGGCCTGCAGTATGGCTTGACTTGCCTGTCTGCTTTCAGAAACATGCCAGATTATCGCACCCTTATCGCACCCAAAATGGGTGGTGTCAGCATGACAAGAGCAGAGGACACCCATCATCTGAATAAGAAAACATCAGTAGTATGCGTGTGCCAACACTTGTAAAGACAGGATCATCTTGCCTACATCACAAGAAGGGAATGTGTCGCGCCTGAGTCTCCCAAGTGCTGCATCAACGTATGCAGGAGTTCCAGCCGTGTTCTGGTACTTGCGCTCGTAGGCCTCCAGCGCCTCCTCCCACCTGTTCAGCTTCTCATACCAGGACTCCTGCGCAGACACCGATTCGGGGTTCAATGGGAATGTCATGAGATTTACTTGAAAAATAGCAGCAGCAGCAGCAGCAGCAGCAGCTCAGCAGCAGCAAAAGTCATGTCCCCTTGCGCTGGGAAATTGGTACTATTTTTTATTCCACTGATTCAGGGGCTTTTGCTCAAAGCGGCATGCAGATACTCCAAGGGCATGTGAGAGGAAGTAATCGCATGGTGTTGGATGCAGTCACCTTGAGCTCCATGTGCAGGTCGTTCTGGGCGACAGCCAGGATGCCAATGGCGGCCTCCGGCTGGCGCAGCTGGTTGTTGATGGAAATGAGCGACTCCACCGCCGTCTCGGGCGTCTGCGCAAACTCCACCTCCTTGTAGTGCAGCGCCTTGGCAAACGCGTGGCACTTCTCTGCCAGGGCCCCCAGCGTCCTGCGTGCAGAAATGCTCTGAATATGGCATCAAATCGCACGACAGAGCCACAGCAGGACATTGCGCATGCCAGCCGCTTCACGCAGATTAACTCAAGAACTGCCGCACAAAGCATTGCCCTAATTGCAATTGATACGAGCTTGACCAACACATCGACTAGAGAACTGCGCTATGTCAACTGCACAGTGTAGAAAAGCAGCAAGACATCAGGTGGTTGGCGCATGTGTTTGCGCATGAGGACTGTTGGGTGCAAAGGAATGTGCAGACCTGGTGTCGAGGGGCAGGCTCTTCTCGTCGTGCTCCATGAACTCGGCCAGGTTGAGGAGCGTGGTGACGATGTCCTTGGGGATGGAGGGCGACGCGAGCGCTGCCTCCAGGCTGCGCACCAGGGCCTCCTGCATCCCCTCCTCCAGCTCCGCCCAGCACGACACAAAGCCCGCCGGGAACAGGTCCCGCGCCATCGCCGGCTGTACCTGCGCATTTTGCAATGTGCCTTGCCTCGATGGCGGTTTGATGCTGTGAGTGGTACCTACCCATCGTCTAGTAGTGGACATGTCATTCCAGAGCAATGGCCTATTTCTGTGCCCAGCCACCATACGCTTTGAGCCAAAGAGGATCAATCATGGACACAATTATGTTGGTTCATTCGCGCGTGCTCACTGACAAGAAACCAGACAAGGGCTTCTGCCAGAGAGGTCATCTCTGCCAAGACAACTTGGTCTCTGATATGCAGCATGATTATGGCATGACCTCCTGGCAGACACCCCCGATCCTACAATTGACGCACCTGTGCGAGAGAGTGAGTGGCACGGAGCGCGGGCGACGGCGACTCCTTCAGCAGCTCAACGGAGAAGTGGCGCATCCACTCCGCCCAGTCCTCCTTGGTGCTGCGCTGGCTGCTCTCCCAGGCGCGCCGCAGCCCCGCCTCGTTCACAGGCAGCCTAGTCGCACCGTTCACTGCGCAAACAAACATAAGATTCTCACCTCTGATGCTTATGATATGTCAGCTTAATCAGGCTGCTTGTGACATCTGTGAAGCTGAAGGGCTCCCTTTCAGATTGGCCTTTGCCATGACAGGCCAAGGGCAAAGGCACAGAGTCATCACGTGAGAATGGATGCAGACAAGAACGGTCACTTGGACTCACTTGCGGCGTCGGGTAATGCTGGCAAAGAAGAGGTGGCATCAGCCGCCGGGACCAGGTCATCAATCCAGCGGTTGTTGGACTCCCAGTCATCCGCCTCGCTCATGCACGGCGGCTCCTGCAGCGTCACCCGCTCCGCCAGTCGCGCAAACTTCTCGTGCACCATCTTGTGCCGCGCCATTGCCTGCGTGCAGACAGACATTTCCCATTAAAAAATATTCTTCCAAGGTTTTCCACGGTATCAGAAGTCCCCTGACAATTAAATATTGGTGGTGTTTATGTGTCAAATCTACGTCATAGTGGAGGCATTGGAGCTTGACACCTGAGGTGGTGGGAGCCATGATATATAAGAGATATTGCTGCCTGGATCAGGATGTGTGTCAGGCCAAGATAAGAAGCTCACCCTGCTGATGGTGGGCACAAACAGGGCGAAGTCGGGGCCAAGCGCAATGGCGACAGAGCAGATGGTGTCGGCTGCGTCCCGCCGCAGCTCCTCGACGCTGCCGTCCAGGACGCGCAGCAGAGGGTGCAGCACCGCAGCTGAGGACCCGGCCAGCGGCATGCGGGGCAGCAGCCGCCGCATGCTGTGCAGCGCTGCTCTGCGAATCTCCAACGGTGTCCCCGCCACGCCTGTACATTGAGACAATCCATGAGCATCTCCTGCAGATGATGTTGGGCCAAAATACAATGCAAGGCAATCTGTGGATGTTTGGCAATATGGCACCGCACAGCCCAAATCAGACACAAAGTGCTCTCAGAGGTAGGATACATGCTGGGTAGGCTTCTTCAGGGTCTCAAATTAGTCATGCATATACTGCAAGATGACAGGGGTCAGAAGCTTACTCGGATGGATGAGGCGGACGAGCGCTGGCAGAAGGAGCGCTAGGTGGTCTTCCAGCGCAGTGCCGAGCGCCTCCAGGCATGCAAGCGCCGGCCGCACCAGCTCGTAGCCGCCGCCGCGCTCAGCCTCGCCAAACAGCGCCACAAACTTGGGCAGCAGCCCCGGCAGGTATGCTCGAATGTCGTCCCGCAACGCCACTGAGAGTAGGGACAGTATATGTCCTGAGTTTTGCTTTGGAATTGAATTCATGGCAAATTCCCCAGACAGCCAACAGCCACATCTACTGTACCTCAGAGACTGCTGACAAGATCAGTGCGCTGGAAAGTGCCCAGCACCAAGCACCAGGCTATACTGCTAAAAACTGGGACTACAACAGAAAAACACAACACTGCTGAGCACATCCTGATGCTCAGAAAGATATCCGATGGCGCACCGGCGAGCTCTGAGAGCAGTCGGAGGAGGTGGGGCAGCAGCGGTGATGTGGGCGACCAGAAGTCGGCTATGAGCTGCAGGATGTCTGGCAGCCACTTGCGCATGTGCGCCTTCATCAGCGCAACCAGCGCAGTGACCTGCACCACAACATCATAAGCCCAAGCAGACATAATAAAGTCTTTCCTGCTTCGAATATGCAATTGTTGACATCACTGGGAACTCACACTTTGCTCCATCATCCCCTCGCAGAACAGCTTACAGATCCATGGTGAATCTGTAATCCTGTGTTGGTCCAAGGTAGAGGGGCAATGTTACCTGCTGCACCAAGAATTCGGACAGCGCCTCATCTGCGTTCCGCAGCACGCCCAGCAGCACACTCATTACCTGCACATAGAAGACCACTGTCACGCTGCAGTGTGATCACAAGTAAAAGTTGTATGACTGGCCTATTGATGCTATTGAAGAGCTGTTTGCCAAAGGCAGTGAAGGACTGCAGGCAGATGAGATGGATGGAATCGGACCTTGGGCAGGTAAGGAACGGCCTGCAGCTGCAGCGCCTGGAAGATGTAGAACAGCGACCGCACAACCTGAATGCAAATGTATGGTGTCAGGCAGATATCACTCTCAACATCTCAAGTCATTTTTTACATGCATATCCTTGCCAGGAGGCACAACGAAGAATTGACACAGTGTGGCAATCGTGATATCAAGCAAGGTGTGCCCACCTGCGGGTGGTGGCTGGACATGGCCGGGTCGCGCAGAGTGCGCATGAGCGCATTGATGGCGACAGTCGGATAATACTCCTCGCTGCTCGTTACCAGGCCGGTCGACGACAGCAGGTCCCCTGTCAGCTCATCGCCCCCCATTGCCCCTGCATGAGCAAATTCTTCCCTCATCATGAAGCCAAATGACAGACTAGAGTTTACTTGCTTTCGCTACCAGACTCTGCGCGTGCCTTGTGCAGACAAAACCAGACTCCACAATTTCAATGTCTAACTCTGCAAAGAGCTCTGTTTGCGCCAAGGTGCTAGCAGGAAAACATTTGACTTCCGTGTTCATTTCCTGCAGAATACACCTCCAAAGCAGATGCCAAGTGCATACACGCACCGAGAGTCTCCCCGGGCAGCACGCCGTCGGGTCCCAGCTGGCGCTGTGGCCGCACGCCCTCGCGCTCCAGCTTGCCCTCACCCTGCAGATCCGCCTGGTTCAGCTTGTGCGTGTGCGGGTCCAGCGCCCCTATGATGCCCAGCACCTGCAACGCCATAGAACAGTTGCTCAGTCTGCTGCTACTACTCCCGCCGGTGAGAGATGCACCCCCCATAGCCTTGCACTTTTATGTATCTGGCACTGTGGCTCTGCTTGACTTTGCGAAGCCCAAGGACTGGATCCCATGGCAGCATTGCATGGTCAAGAGAAGTGATGGTAGGCAGTACAATATGGCAAGTAGGATGTAGGGAATACAAGCGCACCTTGAGGACCTCGCGGCGCACGTGCTGGGAGCCTTCGCCCTCGTTGAGCATGCGCAGCAGCACGCCCAGCAGCTGTGGGTATTCCAGATACGGTGACATCACCAGCCCAGTGCTCTCCACCACCTGCCCAGAACCAGCTTTCTTAAATTTGATAAACCCTGCCATCAAGATTTCGCAATCAATCTTCAATATGTGTCTAGCTTGTGAGGGCTGACATGGCAAGAAATGAAAAAGCCTGCAAGAGGTCCCTTTCTTATGGCTGTCAGACTTGCGGCTACTTCTTTCACATGCGCAGAAATAGGCAAGGCGCACCTGGCCAAGCGTGGAGACAGCCACGAGGCGCTTGTTGCCGCCGGAGGTGTCCTGAATGGCCTCGATGATGAGCGGCAGCACCTCGCCTATGTGCACGCGCAAACCGGGGCCGGCCACGCGCGCCAGCTCCCCAGTCGTGGCGAGCACGCTCGCCACAACACCGCTCTCGCCGCCACCTTCACGCAAATAGTATGTACCAACGCTCACACCAGCTCAGACCTTCCGTTGGCTTCTCAAACATTAGTAGGAATGGCTCTCAAGTGATGGACCTGACTGCAGTGCTGTGCCTGTTTAACAAGCGAGATGACTTTGGCACTTTGCCAATGTCCTGATGACATGCAGAGACATTTCTTCTTGAGGCAGTGCTCTCCATCGCCAATCTTGCCAGAAAAATTTTCTCAATGAATCAAGTCCGTTACATGCGGTGTGAGGGCGCGGCAGCACCTTGCACGAGGGTGGCCTTGGTGGTGGCGCCTGAGGGCCCGGCAGCGGTGAGCTGCAGGTGGGGCGCCAGGCGCAGCTTGGCCACGAGCGCCTTGAGGATGGGCGAAACATACGGCAGCACCAGCCGCGGGCACGCGTTGATCAGCCGCCCCAGCAGATGCGCGCTCCCTGTAACATGTACACTCTTGATTAGTGTTGGCCGCCAAGGATCCACAGCGACTCAAATGCACTGCCAGAAATTTGAGCAGGCTGTCCAGGATCACATGCGCACAATAACCTCTGATCAGCATGCCAGTGCATAGGACTGCATCAGAGATGTTGCATGGATCACTGATTGCGCTGCGGCATTGTGTGGTAAGATGCTTTATGGAGCACGGATTATTCCAGTCACAGTGTATCCAGCCTTGGATGGCCCACCTTCGCGCTGCTTGGAGTCAGGGGAGAGTTCCATGTCGGAGAGCAGCTGCATGAGGTGCTTGCGCAGGGCCGGCATGATGTAGGCCGGGTTGAGCGAAGCCAGCCTCCCGGCCACACCAACCGCCAGCGCTCGCACAGCGCCGCTCTCGTCATTCAGCGCTACAAAGAGCGCGCGCAGGCTGCAGTCAAGGCACACCAGGATTCAAGTGCATTAAAAATGGCCTAGGCCAACTTGACACCCTTGCCTGAAACCAATGGAATTGATACAGGGTCCATTTCAGTTGTCAGCAGCTTCACGGTCCCGAGGCCAACAATTGTGGCATTGCTACTCGGAAAGAAGGATAGACTAGCAAAGCAATTTATAGCCACACAAAATGATGTTCTGGTCCGTTGAGCAGTATTACAACCAAGATGCCCTCTATCACTCAGGGAAGGAATGAAATGTGTCCTTCAACCTCATCCGCGCAAGATGCTCGATGCCTAACATTCAGCTCATGTGGAGGACGGGAGAAAGAGACAGGCAAAGTGATCCTGCAAAAATCAAAGGAGTAAATGGAAGCAACCTGTCCGCCTGAGCCAGGTAGGTGTCGAGGGGTGATGGGGCCTGCACGGACTGCAGAACAGTGCGCCGCACGCTCACGCTCGTGTCTGCACAAGCCGCCATCAACAGCCGGCTTACCACGGCCTCCACTGCAAGCGTGTGCGCCTGCATAGGACACACACATGTGCAACAGCTGTTAGCTCATCTCACAATTGTATCAGACAATCTCAAAACCATCACTGAAAGGTAGGCAACAATGCCGCAGATTCCAGAAGTTTGTAGCTCAACACCAGAGAAACAAATTGAACCATGTCTCTCAGGTTTCCAAGTTGAACGCGCGGAGTATTGTTGCCCAACATTTCTTCCGAATTGTCTTCAGTTCTCAGTGGGAAATTAGCCACAAACAGGGACCCACCTGTGGGTGGATGGCTGCGCGGGAGCCAGGCGCAGCGCTGGCGGTGCGGTGCAGCACGGCGGCAGCAGCGGCGGCAGCTGCACGGCGGACGCTGACATCAGCTTCGTCCAGGTAGGGCGTCACATCGTCGCGCACAAAATCGAGCAGCCGCGCCGAGCCGAAGTCAAAGCTGACCAGCGTCTGCAGCGCCAGCCGCGTCAGCGCCGCTCCCTGCAACTCGCCTGCAAGCGCACCAAGCAGTCAGCCAAATGCTTCGTTTAAGATGAGCCAGTGGAGGACATCCTGTGTCCTCCCACTCCAGGATGCCATTGGCTGGACATCCTATCAGTCAATGTGCAAGGGGTAACACAGGAATCATGCTAGAGGGGGACATATGCCAAGTACACACCAGCCAACGAACCCAAAAGGTAAGCCTCGCAACGCCAGCTCCATGCAGTATTGACAGTACAGAATCCTCGTCGAAATTTCAAGGGTAGAGGGTGGGTAAGAAAGGTGCTGACCATGGGCGACGGCCTGGTGCAGGGCATTGAGGTGAAGCTGGGGGAGGCCCTCGCGGTAGAGGCGCCTGGCCAGCACCAGTGACAGCAGGTCCAGCAGCTGCCCCTGAATGTGGCCCAGCAGCTCCGGCAGCGCCGCCACTAACTCCTGCGCGCATGTGCCCACATCCGCGCTCGGCATGCACCATAAGTGATGAATGCAGCAAGAAGTAGAACGCCATCTGAACGCCCTTGATGATGCTGCCAAGCTAAACCATGTCGCACGGAAATCATGCTGGGATCCTGCAGGATTCCTTGTGCAAGAATGCCATTGACAGGGCACGGCACATCTGCTCCAGCAGAACAATAAGAGCAAGCTGACAGGCGTGCACACTCACATATAAGATCTTCTATAATTCCTCAGCAGATCCTGCCAGCAATGGCAGAGATGCCTGGGATCTCATAACGAACTCCGATTGACCCAATGTGAGCATGCATGGTCAAATTGGAAAGAGCATGGCACCTGCAGCGCTAGGACGAGGGTAGGGGACAGGCCCATGAGGATCATGGGCTCTATGAGCGCGGTTGCATACGGCTTCCATGCTCCTCGTAGGGCCTCCGCCAGCACTCCAACACACTGCAACAGCCATTTTTCCATGTTATAATGTACAGAAATTCCTGCAAGCTCCACTTGTTCCAACAAAAGACTACTGGGACCCGTGCAGAGCAACAATCACAGTGACAAGAGGACACATGACTGCAGCTGGTGCAGGAGCTGATAACGCATTGCAAAACCAAAACGGCATGCCACCCCAAGGCGCGCGCTCGTGCCCATGAGAGAGACAACTTGGCATCAAACCGCACCTGCAGTGCCTCGGGGCAGTTGACCCCCCTGCGGCTGCGCGGGGCGGCGATGGCTTCGCGAAGCTGCTCAGCCAGGCGCGGCAGCACGGGCTCCATGCGCGCGGCGCAGCCGGCCGACGCCAGCGCGAGCGCCATGTCCCCGATCGCCACAAACCCCGGGCCACGCTTGTTTGGCGTCCTGCACCAAGAGCTCCAGTGTTTCAAACCCTTGCAATGACAATTAATTCGACCACTCAAAAGAATTCAATGGCACATGGAACCTCGGTATGTTGGCAGAAGCAAATCCTGGACACAGAAAGTGTTTGCATCTCCACGGAGACAATAAACTCAGGGAGAGAACCTGGCTTGGCAGTACAGACAAGCTGCAAGAGACCTTGCTATTGCAGCAATTTTTTAAGTGGCAAGTGTTACGGATAAAGGCTAGATCCAGCGGTGCGCACTTGACTACATTGATGAGGTAGTCAGTGCAGGTGGAGAGGTAGGTGGCGGCAAAGCGCTCGGGTGCAAAGGCGGCCAGGCGGGGGATGAGCGAGATGACAGCGCGGCGGATCAGCTTCTCTTTCGACTCGCGGAAGTGCAGCACAATCTCCACAACCTCCCGGTAGCGCGCTAGCATGAACTCGCCTGCAATGCACCCAAATGAATTTTCGATAAAGGGACAATGCATACCACGGATAGGGGGTGAGAGACAATAGCCCCTCTTGCCCAGATTCTCATGTCCTGTGTAAAATGGGGCACTGAAAGGAATGTTAAAAGCAGCCTTTGTCGTCACCGAGTCACACTGCAGTGCATGGGTGTTCAGAAACACATAGTCCTGAGCAAGCGCAGTAATGCGTATGATGCTGTGCCGAACAGCACTGTTTTGTGGGTCCACACCAGTGTGGCGCAGTAGCTCCCCCAGGGCGAGGAGGGAGCCATGAATGTGATCAACGGAGTTGGGGTAGCGTGTGAGGCCGCGCTGCGTCTCCTCAAACAGCCGGTAGTACCACTGCACGCGATAGCGCGTCTCACGCTTCTCCACAAGCACCAGGCACGCCTGCACCAGGCAATCTCGTTACATGCTTTCCCTTGCAAAGAGGCAAGGAGCGTCCTGCAGACGAGCAGCTAAAGGTTGCCAGAATTGTCTTCATACTGGCACAACAGACAATCCTGAAGTAGACACTCCTTACAGCATCATAGCAACCATGCAGCTTCAATAAAGGGCATGCAAACTTACATCCTTTCTCTGTGAAGCACACATGGTAAGATTATCGGCAGATAAATGGCGTCATAAGTAGGGCAGTTGAACAGCTGAATTGGGCAAATAGCTATAATCAAATATCTATGCATAGCAGGAAAGTTACCAACAATAATCTGGACAAAGCGATTCTCACCCTCAAGGCGGCGACAGAAGCCTCGCGCACGAGCAGCTTGGCGTCGCGCAGGCCGGACCAAATGGCGTCGATAAAGGCACGCACATGCACATTGAATACCGCTGGCGCATTCTCTGCCAGCTCGCGGAGGATCAGCGCTGCGGCGTACCTCCGCGCCTCCCCACGATCGCCCAACCACTCGATCGATCTCCGCACCTGGGCGTGATGCATGCTTTGTTGCAATGCTGAGCTGTCATACACTTCAAGCATCTTGCACTGAAGAGTGACCTGTCCCCTTCTTGAGGGTGCTGCAAAAGTGCATGCCAACCTGGAATTTGTACACAGTCCGGTTCCACAGCGAGGCAGCAGCCAGCAATTCAAGAGGGACATGGGCGCTCGCAGCACCACATGATATACACAATAGGTGGGTAGAGCACTGCAGGTTTGGAAAGCAGTGTACTCTAGAGCTGCCATCATGCGGTGATGCCACGACTTAACACGAGGGGCTTGCCTCGAACTCGACAATGTCGGCGGTGAGGGCGCCGCCGCTCTTGACGAGGTGGCCCAGAGTAGAGGCGGCCACCTCCATGGTCATGGGGTCCGTGCTCGGCTGGAACACCTCTCGCAGGTAAGACGCAAAATAGGACGTCTTTGCTGCATCCTCGCCCAGCAGCTGCACGACAAGGGCAGGGTACTTGGATGTGACATTTTTTAGGTCTCTGGTGAGTCAGCTCAGACGGCAGCAAGTGGGAAATGATGCAGGTCAGCCGGGACAAGTTGGAACAAACTCAAATCAGGCACCAATCTTGAAGCCTCCACCTCGTAGGCTCATCTCCTAGAATCTTGCAATATCTCTTGAGGCCCAGGACAAGAGGACATCACTGCAGCAATCATTCGGTACCCACCTTGACATCAATAAGTTCATCGATGGCGAGGACACCACCCAAGCGCTCGTTCTGATCCCCACTGCAATTGCACACGAGCACTTAGTAGAACGAAATGCTTGCCCGTTTCTGGGAGGTGCGCTACACTGAAACTTTGGTCAGTGAACGCAGTGCCCTTTCATATCGCTATTGTTCACCCTAGAATACAGCACTGTGCTGCTCATGGGCCATTGCTCAGTGCCAAATGATGCATGCTGACAGTGGATATGACAAGGCTCGCACACCTGGAGATGAGGGCGTAGATGCGCTTGTAGATCTGGTTCATGAAGCGCGTGAAGGGCTCGCCCGACAGGTCGCGCGCCTCCGCCTCCACATAGTCCTGCAGGTGGTGCTCTGCCTCGCGGCGCCGCTCCAGCATGCCTGCAACAACACCAGTGCTCCCCATCGGTCCTTTGCAGCGACTCCCAGGGCAACTCATTGTATGACTGCCAAAGTTGACGGGTACCCTTCCTCTGGCATCTGTTGCTGTGCACTTCCCAGGAGGTGTTACCGTAGGGCCCACTTGCAAACTCCTTGCTCATTTGTTTCTTTCTAGGATAAAGGGAGCTGTTAACAAAGGGCAAGGGTGCACATCCAAATGTTACGAAGAGATGGGCGGTTGAATGTGTGCGTTGTAAACATGCCTGGTCGGCAGAGATCTGCAAGAATCCGAGCGAGCTGGTGGTGGTCCTGCTTGGCTCCCTTTATGAGGGGCCCAGACATGGCGGGCATTGAGACTGCCATGCCGCTCAATATCAGCTGATGAGCAGCAGCTCGCCTTTATGGTCTGCAATGACAGGAAAAGGATATAAAGAACTGCAAGATCCCATTGCATCAAGCAGAGTCCAGCAGAAGAGATTGGGTTCCTAAGGGTGTGCAACACTTCTCAAATCTTTGTCTCCAAGACACAGAGCCGAGAAACCACCTGTACGGTACTGCAACCCCAGACCAACCCTCGCCTCAAAGAGCGAGGCTTCCCGTCGCGCAAGCATTGCTTATCCTCCATAGCTACAGCATAGCAATTCATAATAATTAAGTAGGCCAAAATATCTTTTAAAACAGCCCACCTTGATCACACTCACTGGCATATAAGATAATGGATAAGAAATATCTTTGTACAGGAGGCGGCGACTGGAATCACCACCCCTGTTTATTTTAGGAGTCTTGAGCTTTCAGAACTTACGGTGCTAGATGTGCTCCGCCATACTCTTTCTGGAGGAGGCTTGGTATCCATTGCGTACTTAAACAACGGAAGATGCTTCAAAACTTCCGATAGATTGCACGCAGTGTAGCACATCGTGCTACCCTTCATGCTGTATTGTCCTACCACACCAATGTTCCGTTGATTGTTTGAAGCGCAGCAATGCCGAAAGGCGTGACATCATTGCATGCCAGCATGGCAATGTTGACCTATCCAAGGACGCAGACGTTCCCTTTCCTGGTGTTTACATGTCCAAAGTCCTGATCATGATGTCGATTGAGCAATCTCTTATAAAAAAATGCGAGGTAGAAATTGCACACAATGTCAACAATGGTCATTGCGGACCCAGGTGTCTTTTGCAAGGTTGGGATCACCACCCAGGATTCTGATGTTGGCATCAGAACAGATTTTATAGCGCGCAATTGATATTGCAACCAACTTCAAGGACATTGGGACGTCTGATATCACGTCTAGGTGTCGTAAGCTTCATGGAATGTTGTTGAACATCCAGCAGAATGTATCTGATCATCATGGCATAACTGTGAGCTATGGTGGGGTGTTGTGCAAGATTACGTGCATGCAAGGATCCTAACGTGTGCCGCAGGAGATACTGGCACTCTCAATGCATTGGCCTTCCTATGACGAAAATCTGTTCGAGTGCATGAGGGCAGCCGGCTCAAGACGTCCTCATGATCATGCTTAACTCACGTTACTCAAGGTGAAAATTGTGTCCTTTTTGCCTTAGTTTGTACATCAACCAATCAAATTCTGTGCCAATGTGTACGTATGGTGTATACATGCAAATGTAAGGCAATTGATGATTTGAAGACCCGCACAGTGTGCCTGGCAGGTGCCAAATGTCTCGCTAGTTTGAGTCCAACTTTGTGCCCCAAATCCAGCGCAAAAATTATCAATGCGTCATTCATGCATGTGCAAATCAAATGCTGCAAATATATAGACCATGCGGCAAGTCAACCTCTATAACATTATCTCTCAAGACTATGATCCAGTCAAGCCTGAGATGGATCTCATGCACAGCAGCGGCACTGCGATCATCAATGTGCCTTCAAGAATATCATGTCAAGACATCCCAAACATCGTGATGAACTATAATCACCAAATACCAGCTAGTAGCTGATCTGGGCTTGCCATGCGCATGCATATGCATTGGCAGTCGCCCGGCGCTGCACAGCATTCTACAAGCAGTATAGGTACTGCGGCTTCATAATCATGCCTATCATCGTAATCAGATCATGGCCTAGCCGCGGCGGCGCTGCCATAGACGGTGACGGTCACGGTACCGGTGCGCCACTGGCCCGGCCGGGGGCACTTCCACTCTGAGCTCTTATATAATCTGTCTGAAGATATATCTGTCTGAATTCGAATCAGGAATGCATGCATAATATGAGCTCTTACAACGGGCCGCGCCTCCAAAGCGCAACAGCACTTTGTGCCAAAAGTCTCCCACATGTGTGCACCTTCTATGGGGGCAGTTTGTGGACCCTTGTGATATTTGTTGCATTTTTTCTTGGGACTCATGCCAAGATATTTCTGTGCTCCACTCTGGTTACGTCACAGCATTGCACCGGAGTGGCGCTCATTTTGATTCCAAAGGGGATACTGCCTGGGGGCGGTGCTGTATGGATTGCGGATGAACTTTCATTGAGCAGGCCCGAGGACCTTCACCTGAGAGCCAGTGGATTTCCCCCTGCCGGGCATCTCTTTGACCTTTTCACCCGAAAACCCTGAAAGTTCGGGAGACACTTCCGGGATAATCAGGGTAATCTGGATTCCACGGGCTTTCGAGGTCAGTAAACTTCAGCAGAGCGCGCTGTTGAAGCGAGCGGTTTTGGGGGCAAATATCTCGTCACACTCCATTCCATGTCCCAAAAAATCAAGATTGGTATCCAAGTCCTCCCATCGATCCCTCCCTCCATCCTCTGCCGACCCGGGCTGGCATCAATCAACCAGCAAACCCCTGCTGCACTGCATCGGAGAGAGCGGGCGTCCCCACAATATTGATATCTTATGAGAACCGGTCGGCAGACTGATCAGGTACGATTCGTTCCCGTACCTGACATTGCCTGCTGTCTCGTAGGGCGGAGCACCTATACCGGCCCTTGTGCTCTTTTTTTATTTCGAGTCACTCTGCTCCATCGGACTGCGGGGGTATGGGCGTCGAGCTGCACCGTAGCTCGGGTTGGCAGCATCTTCAAGACAGTGGATTTGTGCATGACCAGCCCATGTTGGAACCGTTGAGATCGCAGAGTTGGGGCCCTGTTCACCTCGTGAAGATCCTCGTGGGCCCGCTAAACTTGCACGCTGCCCTCGCAGGTTCACCCCATCGCCCTGTCACCAATCGCATAATACACCGTAGAACCGATGACGCTGTGACTGGAATCGTCGCCAGCCTCGCCCGCCTTCCAGACGCCCCGCCCACCGCCACCATCAAAAACAGTCGTCATCGCCATGCAGCAGCACGAGGACACTGGCCTCCTATTGTGCGAGGAGGTGCGTGGATGTTCAGTGATGCCCATTGAGTCAAAAGCGCATCGGAAAGCTCGATATGATCCATTGCAGAGGCCAGCAGACACGCTACAGCGGAGGGCTTCCCTAGGTTGATGGTGATGGTGCTGTGTGCAGGGTTTGGAATGCGACTGCGAAGACATCCGCATGGATTCAGTGGAATTTGGGCCGAAGTGCAGCTCCCCTCAATCGTGGGACGATAAGGACTGCGATGCTTGCTGCCACTCTGCAAGCACCTCAAACAGCCAGCAGAGCGAGGGTAAGGCAGTCCCTGCACATGATCATAATCCCTGGCATCTTGCTGCCCATGTGCTTGTTGCCTTCTCTTCCACATGGCCCTTGCCCAGCAGTCAGGAATGCAATCAGGATTATGGCAGGGTTGCTGATGAATTGAATGTACGGATACAGGCTCCAGCTTCATGCTGCCCAAGCGAGTGTTCCGCCATGACTTTGACGCAAGCAGCTCGCCGGAGGACTGCGCCATCGTGGATCCTTGCGCCATGTCAAACACACCTTCACCCTCAGGTAAGTCTTTGGTGCTTGATGCCTGCCCTGCCTCACCCATACCAGCATCTCACCTGGGGCCCATGCGGTATATTGCATTCATCTCAGCAGATGCCAAGGCCTTCGCAGTCGTACCAAAAACCCAGTGCTCTTCTTCAGACCTGGAACAAGTCAAGCATATCTGTTTTTTGTGCAAGTGGTCTTTCCGTTTATGAGCTTTATTTTGGCAGATAGATTATCTGCCAATTGAAGCCTGTGCACAATGCAAGCAAGAGCACGCTGAGCCTGTGATCCCCTATCTTGAATTTGAGCACTCCCGCTGCAGGCAACTTCATCTATCGCCATGTGCCGGAGGAGTCCCTGATCGGCTGCATGGCCACCATGTACGGCTTCTCCCCCTTCACCATCTCGGTCGGCACCGCCTACTTTGAGCGCGTGGCCGCGCGCGACCCGACCCTGCTGGCCGCCGCTCGCGCGACCCCCGAGTTTGCAGCATTTGTGGCGGCAACCCCGGTTGAGCCGACCGCGCATGCTACCCGCCCCATCGGATCCGCCCACGTCCACCTCGGCCCCAAACACTGGTGCGCCTCCTCTCCCGCTATTGAGCTTCTTTACTATCCCCCAGAGATTTCTGACACTGGCAACTCTCTTTCCCTTGTTACCCTCTCCCAGATTCTGGGAATCCTGCTGTCTACACCAATTCAATTCACATTGCTGAGCCTGAACTCCCTCCAGAAATCAGAGAAGGGTTGACTGACCTATTATGAAGCTGATGCTCCAGCAATCCTCTGGACAATGTCTTCTTTCTGAAGGAAAGGACATCAGAGCACAGCTCGCTAGCGATTGATGGCATGCATGCTGACATGTGCCTTGCCTGCTGCAGGCTGACCGCCATCCACCTGGCCTGCATATACATTGCCGCCAAGAACGTGGAGTTTGTGCCCTACAAGAAGCTGTTGTCAACCATGCTGTCGCATGTACACAACCGCGAGGTTCACACTACCGCCGCGGCCGAGCTGGAGCTCGAGGTGCTACAGGCGCTTCAGTGGCGCCTCGGCCCCTTCTTCCGGCCTGCGCAGTCGCTCTGAGCTCTGCCGTAGCCAGGATATCACCCTTGGGGGCGGCTTTGCAAACCCCCAATATTATTTGTAGCTAGAGTACTTGTGACCTTACCGGGGCGAGCCGCTCAATGCAGTTGCCCGCGCGCCATGAGTCACCGCTGCTGGTGACGGGCTGCGCTGACATCACTGGCGGCACTACTCTCTCGTTGTACAATCAGATTTTGCCTTATCTTCCTCTTGTCTGCGGTGCGAATCTAGACGCAACAGGTCTCCTGACTACAGAATTTAATTACGGTGCCTCAGAGTATACATTTGTTTGACCGATGGGCGACCCCTGGTGGGAAAACCTAGAGCTGTACCCTTGAATGACTAGCTAGGCTGACTCCAAAGTTGTCTTGTCCGTGCTGACTGTTATTCTGCGTCCTTGTGTGAGGAAAGAGCTGTTCTGGGAACTGTTCCGTGACTGAAGCAGCGGAACAATGCGCTGGGTTTGTAGGCACACAGCTGTGTAAGCCGTCCGGGCTGTCTGGACAGTGTGTGTCTGAGTGGTGACAGCTAACTGGAAGCGGCCGCCTGCAGAAAGGCTTTTTTGTGGGAGACCTGATCTGTGATGAGGCACTGATACGGATCCATGTCAGGCGTGCGCTGTCGCGCGACGGATCCGTAAGGGAGTTGTTTAAAAAGCTGGACTGGCCGTTTACAAACTTTAGCTCCCGGGAGTGCTGTGCATTTACTGTGGGAACTTGAACCACTGCACCTTTTCTTCTTGCAGATGGAATGTGTCAGGCCGCGGCCGGGTGTGCATAAATGTCCAGCCCAGCTCAAAGAGGAGAACTCCCAGGTCCCAGTCCAAATTTAATTCAAGACCCGAATTGAGACTCTTAATGTAGCGGTCTGAAAACTGTGAGCGAGTTGTGGATCGCTGGATGTTGTTTGTTGTCAGTTTGTAGATGAGGAGTTTTGTGTTGCACTCTGGAGATCTAAATTTTGCCTCAAGCTTGAGGGGCTATTTCAAGCCTCGAATAGTTGCAGTGGTTGGTGATCTGCAGGGTTTTGCGCAAGCCTGGGTTTTGCTTCCAAGGAGTATTGGTTGTGCTTGCTTTGGCGGCTCAGGGCAAGTAGGTCAAAACTCATGAGGCAATTGCAAAGATGATCGATAGAACAATCGTAATGGAAATCTGGAATTTGAATGGTTGGCAAGAAGCAAAATGGACACCCATTTGAATGATAGCGCTCGACATCATGAAAACTTACACCTTGAAGCAAGCATGAGTATACGCTCAATACATATTGCAGGAGCAACAAAACACACTGGCATATGCACAACAGACTCAGAATCAACTAGGGAATGAAATGTTGTCATAATGAAATGTTTGGAATCAAATGTACGCGCACTCTACGTCCCTATCTGCTTGTCACACAAAACACATATCCGTCACCAAGCTCAGCAGCATGGCAATGCTATCTTGATGCAGCCAGCACCTACAACTTGTCAGACACAGATTGATCGAGGTGGCTTCTCTGACAGTATAGCCCGTGCAACCCCAATTCCCAGCCAGGATGCAACGCCATCTTGTGCCCGATACCAAACTCATCCCATCCATCTCCCTCATCAGTCCCACCAACATTGTCACTGAGTTCCCCCCATCAGCACCTGACAGCCTCCACACAGGAGAGGCTTTGAGCCCGCAGTTGCAGCGGGCTGCTCCATAGAAGCTGCCAGGGTTATTCCATCTTGTCTTTGATCCTCCACTGCGATTGCAGCAGCTGTTTCTTTGCAAGGTGCCACATCAGGCGGCGCTGTTGAAGGCCTGGTTGAAGGTGGACATGTTCTCGGGCTGCGCCTTGCTGGCCGCAACTTTGCGCGCTGCAAACACGGCAGCCGCTGCGATGCCGGCCACGCCGACCAGTGTGCCGATGGTAATGCCGGCAATCGCGCCGCTGCTCAGGTGCCGGCTGCCGCTGCTGCCGCCGCCGGCCGCCGCGTTGCTGCCCGAGCCCGCTCCCTCGCCTGCGCCTCAACACCTTGCTTTCAGCTTTCACTCTCTTGTATGCTTGATCAGTGGGGGCAACCCAATTATGCAACCAAATATGCTCCCATCCCAACAGGAGCACCGCGTGCATGCTATTTTGTGTGCCTCATTCTGGGAAGGAACAACATAGGATATTGCACAAGTCTGTTTCTGTTTCATGGCCTCCACGATCAGAGCATTGGACGCCTCATTGTGCCCTCAGAACGGGGATACTGGCTGAGAAAGGGGAGACTGCAAGAATCAACAGCAAAATGAGCACTCACCTGTCTGCTGGCCGGAGGTGAGGGGGTTGGCGCCGGAGACGGCGCCGCTGACGGGGATGGTGAAGCGGTCGTTCACATCCACCGCCTGGCCGCGGTGCTGCGCTGCCTGTGCCTCCGTGACCACCCACGAGGGAATGTCCGAGTTGGGGACCGCGCTCGTGCCGTTCACCTCCTCAAAGCCCTGGCCACAACGCACGATAAGGGCTCAGTAGCCACTCCAAAAACTGCAGCTCGGTCCACTCTGCACAGCTTCAAGCCAGTATATTTACAGGTTGATGCATGAAAGGGCCTGTGCACCTCCTCCTGAAGACAGACTTTGCTCCACAACACAGCCCTTTGTCATGAGGCAAAGTAGCGGGACTCTGCTGTGTGGCACATGCTTACAGCCAATGAGCAGAGGGGTACAGTCCAGATAGCCACTCAAAATTACCATGCCGCTGTTCATTGTAGGGTCTGCTGCAAAGGCAGACTAGCGTGACAAGAAGGCCGCAGCAAGAGGGAGTCACCTGCAGGTACCAGGGGCGCAGGCCGAGGCCGAAGGGCCACTGGGTGGTGCCGCCGGTGAGCGCGGCAATCTTGTTCCACAGGATGCTCACTAAGTCGTCCCCGACCAGGCCACCCGTGATGGCTGTCTCTGCGTTCCACGCCCTGCATGCACCCATGGACTTATAGATACATGCATGCCTCAATATCTTGTTACACCAGCAAAGGACATTTTCCACCTTTGCCTTGCATCTGAATGAGGAGCATTGCTGTGTTTTCTACCATGATGCACCTCAACACTTCACAGCACAACATAGCAGCCGCCAAAATTGGGTACTGACAAAGCAGGCAGGCCACTCCAGCGCTGCATGAAAACCGCCAAGAAGTACACACGCATCCCTTCCTTCCTTTCCAATCAGATCTTGGATGGCACCTTAGTCCAGTGATAATAGCTGCACTGGGTGGTGCTTGTCTGCCAATCAGTCTCAAACAACACTCGGACTAATGGGCGCACCAGTAGAACCAGGACTGGATGGGGGAGTGGCGGCCGTCGTTGGCGAGGCCCGTGGAGGTCATGTAGTTGGTCAGGCTGGTGAAGCAGTCCAGCTCAGTGCGCTCGTTCAGCGCGCTCCCAAACTCCGACAGCACGATCGGGAAGCGCTGCAGAGCACGGAGACAAGGGGTCACTTTGTGTTGTCAGATTATGAGTGGACAGGCATAATGGAGCCTTGGCGGCATGCTAATGCATCCACTGTTGACACTGTCACATGGCAAAGAACGCAAGCACGGATAGTGACACACCATCAAAGTGCAACAGGCAGGAAACAAGCCATGCGGCTGCGTCCGCTGTGGTAGGCACCATGCTTACAGCACGCGGCAAGACATGCTCAGCGACACACGGGTTGCAGGCAAAAAGTTGTAGGTGTGGAGAGGGCATGAGTAAGGGGCGCACGTGGCAATTGTTGTTGTAGCAGTAGCCCTCGGAGTTGAGGTATCCAACCATGGTGGTCAGCGCGTTCCACATCGTGGGGCCGTCGGAAAACAGGCGCGGCCGGCCGGCCGCTGCAGAGCACACAATCTGGCTCATATCAAGATTCCTTTCATTGTGTCACACGATATTCAACATAGACCCTTTGTCCTTGTGATATATATTGTGCAATCAGAGCATATTCGGTGGCTTCTCAAGTATCCCCAAGTGAAGAAGCAGCCGCTCTAGTGTCTCCAGCAGTGCCCAGCAACTGCATGAGGAAGGCATCAGCAAGGCGGGCAAAGCTTATTACAATGATGTCAGCTGAGCAAGTGAGGGCCGCACCGACGGGGCAGTAGAGGTGGGGAGCCAGGGCGACCTGGTCCACCCAGGGCTTCTGCACGAGCGCCTGGAAGAAGCCATTGGGGTCAGAGATGCCCACTGTCTGGATCACATTGCTGTCAGTGGCAAAGCCGGTGCCCCTGCAAGCCCAGGATGCAGCAATCAGGATTTCATGCTGGGCTTAGCAAGGATTGCTTGTGCAGCTGCCTCAATACAGGCGGCTGTGACCTGGAACTGCATCTCTGCGCGTTTGCCTTAAAGTCAGTCATCTGCACTTTCAGGCATGCCTCTCATGGGGGTCTTGTGACCCAATACTGTCCCCGCTGTTGTCACCTTGTTGGTGTTGGCCTTGACATTTCACAGCAAGGGAGTGGAAACCCAATCTTAGAATGATGGCCCAGGTGATGTGTGATGAGCAGCGCACCAGTCGACGCCCAGGAACTTGGACTGGCCGGTGCCCTCCAGCAGGAAGATGCAGCTGGGGCAGACTGCGTTCAGCTTGTCGCCCAGGTCCAGGTAGTAGCTGCCCAGCGACGGCTTGTCAGCCTGCGCCTCCCATGTCATCCCAAAACTGCGCATGCAGCACACACGGTCACCCTATCATTCCACAGAGAATAAACAAGGACCAAAGGAGAAGTTCTGGGCATAAATAATGATATTTGCTTACACCGCAACTGCAGACACTCGACACAAGGGTGAGACGTCGACCAACTCAACAAGTGAGACTGGTGAAGCCGCTCGCAAATATACATCTGAGCCTTCCAATCACTTGCTCTTCTGCTGACTCATGTGTTTGCAGTGGCTCCTGTGTCAAGTAAAGCTTGGTCCAGGCACACTGCCGGGCATGTGCATTGCTTCAGGTGAGGAGCGCGCACCCGTCGGGCTCGTTGATGAGGTCGAGCAGGAGGCGGCCATTGGTCTCGGGCGCGTACTGCACCAGCTGGGACACCAGGTCCACCCACTGCGCCATCCAGGCCTCCTTGTCAAAGATGTTGTCCTCGGGGCCGCCCTTCATGCTCTGGTAGTCCACCACCACGTAGAAGCCCTGGCTCGCAAAGTACCTGCATTTTGGCCAACACTCACATCATTGTGAGACCATGCAACTTGCTGGTGCAGCCCCCCATGCACAAGGACACAGATTGCAAGTGGGCTATGCATGCGCTACATACTACAAGGCAGGACTGATCTGATGGTCCAGTCAGCGCACCCACACATCCAGTATTGGGAGAACATTCATCTAACACACTTGAGTGGCATTTCGAGATGGCCTTGATCAAGCCACAGCCCGACAATCTGCCAGCACTGCACCCCAAGAAGTGCGAGTGAAGAGAAACAGGAGAGACTTTAGGTATGCAACAGGAGGACAGCACTAATTCAAGACAGCCTTAAGGACATCGGACGCCCTTTCACTAGGGGCCAGGCAAAATGGGCCAGACAAGACATGGCAAGGATGGCGGTGCAGGGCCGCGCACCGGATGACCCAGAGGTAGCGGTGGAAGGTGGAGTCGTTGGGCAGGTAGGCGTTGCAGGTGTCCTCCGGCAGCGCGGGCGGCGCCTGGGGCAGGTCTGTAAGCCCGGAGGCCTTGAGGCCGGAGGGAACGGTGGGCGGCACCAGCGTGGCCTCAACCTCCGCCGCGCTCACCGGCTTGCACTTTCCCGTGTAGTCCACCGGCTCCTGCAGATTTTTGAACCAACTCTCTTGAGGAGGACCAACTCGCAACTAATAAGATACAAAAAGGACATTACACACCATAACATCAATCTATAACCGCACTTTAATCTGGTCACATTGTTGTATTATTGTTGACATTGTTAGCTGCATGCAAGACATACTCTGGTCTTGCCTTCAGCCAACTTGAGACTCCCGGCAAGCTATTCCAGGGCAGGGCATGTAACCAAGACAAGTGGTGTATTCACCAGACTTGTCGTCCTTGCCAATCAGCCTTGCGTTTTGCCAGGAACAGAAGATGGAGTGACCAACACTGCCACTGCATGAAAGGTGTCCAATTTTGGAAAATACAGCCTTCAGATTGCCCAAATAGCCACAAGGGCGGGAGCAATGTATGGGATTCAGGCAGTTCAGGCGCGCACCTTGGCCAGGGCTGCGAAGGTGAAGGGGAGGCGGATGGCGTTGAAGCCGAGCATCTTCATGCGGTACATGACGTGGCCAAGGTCGCGGCTAATCGCGTCCGAGCCGCCTGTCAGATTACCGATCATTGTCCACCTGTTCCACATAACATTGAACTTCTGAACACTCTCCAAGGGGATTTACCCCCCTTATCAATATCATTACACGGTATTCCTGCCGGGAAGCGAGGCGAGCCTACGGACACGCTGCAGGTAAGACATATACTGCCCCTTATTTGTCTCGCCGAATATAGGCAAGTTCTATCGGCCTTGGGCATTAGACTTCTGAGGAAGACAAATATGCATGGTGCAATGCACAGCGGCGCACTACGTAGCCAGGAAGGACATGGGCACACAGGGCCTTACACAGAGTTGAAGCCAAAGACGGAGAGGCCCTTGAGGATGATCTCGTTGCCCTGCTCATCAATGAGGGTGGGCCCCTTGGGGCCTGGCCCAGTGGACAGCGCCAGAGACTTCCTCCCAGCTGCCGCCTGAGCTTCGATCGGTGCCTGCAGTGTTGCAGCAGTGGCGCCTCATAAGGCTCCCAACAAAAACAGCACAGATCGCAGTCAACCCGCTAAACAAGTGGCCATTGAATCCGATTATCAGTCTTGTTTTACGTTTCTCAAGGCGGTAAGTGCCCTTGCTAAGGCATCTCTTTTGCACAGAAGCTGTAACGCTGGAATGTGTTTGACAGGCACTTTGCATGCAATTGAAGACACAAGGCAATAGAGCCCAGAAAGCCTTGTTACAGCACCAGTGGCATGTAATGCACAAACATAAGCACTGCGAAAGTACTTGCAAACCCACCAGATATAGTAAGTTGTAGGGAGAAATGCCCACCTGTGCCTCAATTGTAGCCACTGGTGGCGAGGCTTCTAGGACAGCAGGTGCATCTGCTTGGAGTGCTGGGAAGGGTGCCTCAACGCTCGGTGCTGGTGCTTCCAACTGTGCAAGACAGCCTGGATGCAGGCACACGTCTGTGAAGGATCTTACTACACAGTCACCACATCATGGTCCCAGAGCAGTTGAAGGGAATGTCACTTACAAGATACAAGGAGTGCAGCTGCAAGAGCAAACGCTCCCGTCCGAATCCTCATGTTGCGCTCCACAGGAAGCAGGCCTCGTAAGGCGGGTGTGGGTGCTGTGTATTCCTGAATGGCTCGAGCGCCCTATCTGCCTCTCTTGGACTCCTGCACGGTGACAAACCTTCGGCGCAGGCTCTGAAGACGTTTTGTAAGCCTGAATGCTGACAAGAGGTAAGAGACTGCATTGTTTGTGCGCATGTTTCTGGCGGAGGTGGGGCAGCTGCCAAGGTTCCCCCTTCCGGAATATTGAACAAGATGTCTGACCTCGAGTCCGCTTCCAGTACGAAACTTCCGCAGCACGTCAACTATGCAAAGACATTCCCAGTATGACTGTAGGCTGTATAAACAAGTTGGCTGAGCCAATACTTGCCTTTAGGGGTGTGACTAGTGTGAACCACGCATGCACGGAACCCTCTTTCGTAAATGGACACGTACCACTTTCGCACCAACGAGATTCCCTATGCCCCTAGCTCTGCTTTCTTTCCTCTCTTTCAGGGACAGCAGGTCGTCCAGTGAGCAAAGTTTGGCCAGCAAATTCTGTCCAACGACTGCCGTGGCTGTTCCATACGGAACACGGGTAGATACGTCATTTTACGGGTCCTCTTCCGACACTTCTGGAGCTGCGAGACTCGCTGTGCGAGTTAGAGAGAGAGAACAAGCGCTAAACGCCGACCTCGCAGGAAAAATTTGTATTTAGACTTGTAGGACTGCAGCAATTGAGTCTTGCCTGCCAATCGCTTGCTCTCTGACCTACGCAATCAACAACACCAGTGATCTCAAGATAGTTCGATAAACAAGGAGGGCGTCTTTAAAATTGGCCCTGTGTGTGTGGTACAATTGCAAATTCCTGTGCCTTTAAATGCTGTTTATCGTCCGAGATGATTTGGTGCACAGTTACCGAGTGCTAGGGTTTCACAATGTCAGTCAATCCGAGTGCAATCAATGCGAAGGCAAGTCCAATTTTGTCCAGGTCTACACATGACATGTCCAGACAGTTATGACAAATAGATTGGCCAAGAAGGCTCTTTACAGAAATAAATTAATCATTGCATGATGACATGTATGTATCAACTCTTGACCGGCAAAGTCCACCAGACCAGTGAGACTCGTGTAAGCCTGTTCACGAGTAGAGATTCCTTCCTAGAGCATCCATGCGGTCAAGCAAGGCGTCCAAGTCTTTCTCTGCGAGGCTCCAAGCGCTCGCAAAGACAATTCTGAAGAAGTTCGGCCAAGGTCCTAATGGCTGAAACCCAATCATGGCATCCCCATTCTTCTGCATGTGGTGCTTCAACTTAGGAGCCACCTGCCAACATGAGAGAAATTTCATCAATTCAGTAGAGGCCACTCACAGTAAACACTACACAGCTACTTCTAAAGCACCAGTAAAAACGGTGAGTGATGTCAGTCGACTGGACGTCCTGCGTACCTTGCCCAATTCATCTAGTTCTGACTTGCTGGCGGTCTTCAAATTGAGCGGACGCAAGCTCGGCGGTATCCAGTAGAAGCAGACATTTGTAAAGCTGCGAGGGTGCACAAGCACGAAAGCATCTACATCTCCCAGTATCTTGCCTTCCAAGTATTGCGCCATCTGCATTGCATGATCGAGGCGGGCCTCATAGCCGCTGTCCCCATATGCCTGCATGCGGAGATATAGCTCAACGTTGCCAATTGTTTAACTCAGAAGACTAGCCATGTGATGTACAGACTCCTCCTAAAGTGTGCAGTGGCTCAAAACAGAGGCTACTGTTCGTGAGGAGTGCATCAGCAAATTGCCTTCCAAGCGAGCCACAGCTTGAAGGCATCAGGGCGCCGGCCGCACTGGATTGTCTTGTCGCCAAGATCATACTCAGCATGCAGCTTGTCAGGCTGGAACAGGTAGCTTGCTCCACTGGCATTCGTTTGCTTCAGCAGCCCGGCATGCCGCGTCAAAAACACACTGCATTGCAATGGCAGGCCCTGCAACACAGGCAATTGCAATAAAACCTGCAGTGCGCCTATCAAACTTGTGTAAGATGTCACATGCACGGTCCCTTTAAATTAACCCAGTGCAAAGTAAAGACCCAATTTTTAACAGCAAATGCACAAAACGATGAGAAATATTAAGATAGATTCTGAAAACAGCGCACCATCATTTTGTGGGGGTTCCAGGAAAGTGAGTCTGAGCGCTCACAGCCGGCCATGAGGTGCCGATGTGTACGGCTTAGAAGCGCCGCTGCACCCCATGTGCCATCGACATGGTGCCACAATTCATGCCGCTGACAGATCTGTTGCAGCAGCAACACTTTTGTAATGCTTTTCATCTCAATCCTCAAATTACTCCTGTTCTGCCAAATCCTGACACAGTGTCAGAGTTGACAGATGGAATGAGTCACTTCACAGGAGCAGATGGGAAGGCACCTCAGCAATTGCAGGCAGGGGGTCAAATGCGCCCAGGACTGTTGTGCCAGCAGTGGTCCCCACAAAGAATGGAACGCCGCCTTTGGCCTTTGCTGCCACTATGGCAGCTTCCAACTCTGTGATACAGGGACCTTTTTAATAACCTTTAATAAGCTTTTGCCAGGTAAAGTAGAGACATGCTGCAAGGGTGATCAGGCACACCTGATGAAATCATTCCCCCATTTTCATCACAGGGCACCACAATGAGGTTGTCACTGCCAAGACCAGTCATACTCGCTGCTTTGAGGTAGGAGTAGTGAGCGTGCTTAGATGTGAAGGCCACCAAGCGAGGGCCGCCCACAGCGCCTCTGCTTTTAAAGCCGGGGTCTGCCCTGTTGCGCGCTAAATGCATTCCTGCATTTGCTCGACAGCAAAATTCAGATGCAGCGACTTGGGAGAAATAGGAATGCAGGTGCAGAGGCAAGACAGGATGGAAAGGTGTCTGTGAGCTTGGAGCGTACCATACAGATTGGCAATGGATCCTCCTGGCACAAAGAGGCCGTCATTTGCCTCTGCATATGCACCTCCGACCACCCGAGCCATCTTGGCAAGCACTTCAGTCTCAGCCAAGGTGAAGACCGGTGCAACTTCAAAGGTGTGCGCATTGGTATTGGTGGCCACTGCCAACCATTCACCTGCAGAAGATGTACACATCTTTGGTCAGGAATTGCTTCAGAGATTTGACTCAAAAAAGAGCAGAGTGCAGAGGTGCACCTGCAATGCCCACAGGCTCTGGTCCCCCGTATAGCTGGTTGAAAAAGAGAGGGTGGCTCGTGCGTGTGGAGTACTTCAATGCCACCTGCATGGCAGCCAGGAGCTGCTCTGCTGTTGCAGGCTTGTCTTCATCGCCCAATCTAAGGGATGCATCCACCTGCAAGCCAAGTACGCTGTGCACATTCTACGTGCGCAAGCACTAGAAAATTTCCAGGAAACCACATGAATCAAATTATAATGCTAAGCAAGCCCCAAATTTTGAGGGCTAGCCTACCCCACCTGATCAAACTGGCTATAAAGCTCGTCTGGCGAGGCCAAGCGTGTGACAGGAGCTGCCCGATCATCTCGAGAAACAACGTAGTTTGTCAACGCTTGTGCAGCCTGCACCAACATTGTGGCACACAGCCTTTTATTTGGCAGCAACTGGACAAGATCGGCTGTGGCAGCAGCGCGAGATCAAAAACCAATAGAGACAGTAAAAATACGCGCATAAGTGCAGTTGGCGTGTGTATTATTACCCTTAACAGAAAATCATCAGCTTCTGCGTCAGCTATGCCCGTATCCGGTGCTGCAGGTGTGGTCGTCGGCATGAGTCACTGATAGTGGTCGTAGGTGACCTTCTAAAATCAACGGGAGCAAGAAGGCAGAGAGCTTGACATACCACCGTTTTCAAGACTTTACCACTGCTCGTGCTGTTGGGAAAGGCGTGTTCATTGAACACTGTTCAATATTACGTTGATGACTTTGTCGCGTGATGTGAGCACGCCATTGCACGTGCAGGATTTGATCTGTTTCTGTATGTCAGCCCCAAGCGAACTCCTCCAAGTCTCAAGGTGTTTGCCCTCTTTGATCTCTTGCTGGGCATGTAAAGATGTCGTCCACTTACAGCTGCATGCGATTATTTCACTCAAGACCCCCAGCTAGGCGTGCTCAGCACTGGTGACAACAGTTTGCCACCCGGTGTCAGCCTGGCTGAGCCACCGGCCTCGAGGAGTGCCTGCAGGTTTCTACCATATCTGTGTTGGTCATTGCATGCAGAGTTCCACTACTTTCTTGATGCATCTCGTTCATTACCAGTTCTGGGTCATTCACTGTCTGGGTTGCGCTTGGTCTAGGATCGTTGTACTCCTAAACAAGAGCCAAGCTTACTGCCCAGGGCTTCAGGCTGCATGGCTGCACCTTGGCAGCTTGCATGCATCCGCACAAATGCAGGCTACTTGATGGATTTTATGTATTCGCGCATGGCATCGTGCCCAGCCTCCTGCACGGCTAGGCGGCCCATGCCGGCCTTGGGATCCTCCCAGAGCCACACCCCCAGAGTGCGCGCCTTCTGCGCGGACAGCTGAAAGACCTGCGCTGATGGGAAGTCATCATAGAGCACGGCCCGGTTGTGCCGCACGCGCATTGTGTCTGCCTGCCACAGCCGCACCTGGTCCGCCACCACCTGCATGCAGACCAAGTCCCTGATTTGATGAAGGCACATATTTGGGGATCTGCCCCGGCTGGCAGGGGGGCACTATAGATACTGAGCACGGTGCCCATCGTTGATTGGTTCTTTCTTGAATTGGCGAGTCCAACGTTGGATAGGATTGTGGCAGCCTTAAACTGCAGCTTGTCTGCGGGACGCACCTTGCCTTTTGGCAGTAAAAGCGCAAAATAAGAATGATGATAATACTTAGTGATTGGCACAACCTTGCAGAACACAGTAGAAAGGACGATTCCCCTCCCATGAGCTTTCCTGTATACAGTGATTAAGTACTTGCAGCTCATACTTTGCCTGGCCTCGGCCATATGCTAGTATGACAGCATGCACACAGCAAAGGAGAATTCTTTCAAGGCTGCAGCTTTCGTAGCCAAAAAGCTTCTTGCAACCCACTCTCAGCGTGCAGTTATAGCTTTTATGCGGTCTGCCACACTGCATATTCTTCAAGTTGGGCAAGTGGTGCAGATTTTGCTGGGGTCGTGTCGAAGAAACAGGGAGGAACTGCTGGTGACAACGGGGACACTTGGATTTAATTACCTCGGGAACAACAGGGGTGCGCGATGCGACATGGGGGTGCGCATGCTGGCGCAGGTAGAGCACGATCTGGTCTGCAGAGAGGCCGCAGGCCAGGGCGCCAGTCACGCTCTCGCGCGTCAGCACCCCCACAAACAGGTTTGGCAGGATGCACTCGCATCGCGTGAACAGCCGCAGGAGGGCCGTCTGCAGCAGGGAGGATGTGTACGCGTACACCTGCGCAGCACTCCTTTCAGTGCATGTACAAGCATTCTTACAAAGAGTTTGGCTCTCCCCCCTAATGCCGCAGTGAACATGCATGGCACAGAGATGCACGCATTGTTGCATTGGAACCCAACAAGGGATGTTGCTGATGGGTTGGTATATGGAAAAGATGAGGTCTCCAAGAGGGGTTTCAGTGGTGTGGTATTCAAGCGCACTCGGTAGTTGGTCTCAACGACAACAAAGCCGTCAGTCACGTCGTGCTGAGCCTGACCCGAGCTCCCGCCAGCCAGTGCCAGGGCAAGCCTGGTGGGCGCCAGCCACACACTGCCATCCTTCGCTCTGCACACAGGACCCACACAAAGCTTTCAGTCAGCCGCAGAGAATGCTTGCAACAAACATAATGAGCTGACTGAAAGCTTTCAATGCTGCTGATCAGCCTACGGCCACACTGTCCTCTGACAAAAGCCACGGCAACAGCTATAGAATGTGATAAGAGCGCATGCAGACTCTTCAACGAGCACAACAAGTGGTTGTTGCAATTGCCAAGCAACTCTCAAGCTGCTGCTCTGGCTACTACAACACTGTCCTCTACCACAAGACACTGCAACAACAATTGCGGGGGTGCTCACGTGAAGGGCATGAGCAGGCCGAGCTGTGCCATGTCAGCAGCGATGTGGCGCTGTGAGTCATCCAGGCCCGACAGTGCAAAGGGGCTGCCCACCTCCCTGAAGCCAAGCTGCAGCAGGAAGTTCAGGATGGTCCCCAGGGGAGCGCCTGCGCATGCACAGCAGCATTGAAACCTGCATGCAGAACTGTCCGCCCCTCAGATAAAAACAGCGCATATTGGTTTCCTATCAGAAATCTAGGGGAATCCCCTATCTTACAGAGATCTCCTCTAGTAGTTAGGAAGCAGATGACCTCTGGGTTGGGTGCACTGTCACCTTATACATAGCAGGGATTCGGATAGGCAGTTCTCTTTGGTCTAAGGGGCACTACAAAGAACTAATCCAAATGCAGGAGAGTGGGTGGAAGCGCCCACCAGACCTCTCCTCCCCGCTCGCGATGTATGCTCGCAGCAGGCGCCAGAGCTGGCTGTATGTATCCGACAGCAGAAATTGGAAGCCCTGCTCCTCTATGCTCCTGCTCTCTGCACAAATCTCACAAAAACCTAACACCTTTTGAAACCGTGTAGAAGTTCAGTAATATGCAGCTCGAGTCTTGCAGGCTTGAAAACACTCTTGCGCACAGATCTCACTTTTGCTCCCGGACATGAGACGCGCTCCCACAAGGACTGTGTCCACATCTAGCTTGGGAGCCTGGATCAGCGGACTTGGTAAAGGAGCCCGCTCCACGCTCCCCACCAGGTACAGCATCAGAGTCTGCAGCGAAGCAAAGCTGGACCCTAATCCACATGTGCACTTTACTATTTTGCAGCCATTAATCAAATGGTCATAAACCAGCGCGTATGTTTTCCTCATTGTACTAGCCTTTTACTGCATTGCGCCATTCCTGCCATGAGCAGCTCTGTGCAGGCTTTATATCATGTGTCAGGTAGTTTGCTGCTGACTTCCGATTGGTGAAGGGATTTCCAGAAGTGTGCAGAAGTATTTGGCACACACATTGATTGAGAAGGGGTACAGTGATCACCTCCCACTGCTGCTGGGCATAGCTGCTAAGCATTTCTCTTGATGGTGCTTGCTGGAGAACTCCTGCTGGCACCTCATCGATACCAACCTTTCCCCTGCAGACAAGCAGCGCAATTTAACATCCGCTGTCTAGCTATATCGCAGTTGGCAAGCCACAGAGAAAGCAAACCAAGGTCCCTTACCCTGTACTGACCGCCCACCGTAGCTGTTCCCTGAACACTGGATGCAGCTGATATGCTGCTTGTTGTCCACTCCTGCAAATGTTCGGTCATCAGCTCCTGGGTGTGTCAGTTCGTGTGGTGATCAAAGTCTCCACAGATCCTTTGCCAAGCGCACATGGGCCAAACTGACTGGAACTCACTTGGATGCTACATTGGAAGGTAGCAGCAGCTGGAGACCTTTCAGCCGGTTTATCGCAGTTGCGTGCTTGGACTTGGAGCTTTGCGCAATCCAAGAATCCATCACACCTTCATACAACCAACACAGCAGTGAAGACATACGCCCAAAGCAGGGGTTGAGAGGAGACGAGCTGCAGATCGCACGTAGACCAAAGGGGGCGCACTTTTGGTAACAGGGACGTCCAGAAAGAGCATCCGAATGACATACTGCTTCGCAAGGGATGTCAGCCCACGCAGCACTGCTTGACATGCCCAATGAGAAGAGTACAGCTTTCCAACTGTGTCTGCTGGCAAGGTCTCGAGCCAGGAGATAAAATCCATGTATCAATGCCGTTCACACTCATTTAGTGGTACTCGGACTACTATTTCACTCTGTTCACCAGATCTGCCGATGATCAGGAATTTTTTTCTGCATTTGATCGAGCAACCTGACTTTCTGATGCACTTATATTCACTGCAACTGTAAAAACGAATTTTGCAGCGACAATTTTTTCTGCACTTCTCTCAAATATTATAATGCACATCGTTGCATGCTGACGTCACTGGCGCCTCACTTCAAGGATAGTTTTGCAAGAATGAAGGTGGTGCCATAATTTCTGGAATTTATCATACGTGTGGTTGTCATTAACGTCGCAAGTTCGTCTTTAACAGTAGAAGACTAGACATTTAGACCTTCTCAGATGTTTGCATCCAATGCTACACTTACACTGCGAGGGTCAGGTGCTCCTTTTCTACAGAAATTACCTGACGTTCCCACTTATAAAGAACCTATGACAAGTCTCTCTCGAAAGTGCCACGGAATCGACTTAAATCGCCGAAACTTGAAGCAGTCAGTAGCGACGGCAGGTTGGTTGGTTGCCCACCCTCTATCCTGAATTACTCCGAATGCGCACACCTACTTATCGTCATCGACATTACCTGAGCGAATGTTAATTGACAAGTCGCAGCTAAACGGCGACCAGAAGCAGACACACCTCTGTGGAAGCAGCAGCTTTCCAATGTTGTGGTGGAGGACAGCGGCAGGCCAAGGAAGAGAGCAAGACAGAGCCAGGGAGAGGAAAGTGACGATGAAGTTATAGAGGGTGAGGGTCATGCATCCGGGGGCAATGAGGTTGTGGAGGACCTCTTCACCCTCGACGGTGGCTGGTCAGTGGAGGTGCTTGGGGAGGAGGACAGCAAACTGTACGATCTGGAGGTACGCACTTCTGCTGCACCACTCACTTGTACTTGTCCGCCCTGCGCATCCTAGTTGAGGAGCATGTAGGGAATGCATCACCTCTCGGTGTAGCCAGAAGGTTTTGGATCGCTGAGCTTGCGCGCCCAAGTAGGACCCCTCCTGGATACTCAGAGGTGCCGAACTTTTGTCTGTGCAGGACCCGGATTCGGATGACGAGGAAGAGGAATTGGGCATGGCAGCGCGCAGCATTTTGCAGTCCGTGCCCAAGCACCGCTTGAAGCAGCTGGAAGTCCTGCAGGCCGACGCTGAAGACGAGAATGCTGCCACAAAGGTGCTCTTGCCCATCAGTCTGCTACTGCCACTGGATGATGTGCTATGATGTGAAGTTATTGTTATTTGAAGGATGGAAACTAAGAGGACTCAGGATCTGCCTCAGGCGAATGCCCGGAGGCGAACTGCAGCAGAGCACAAGACACACAAGCGCCTGCGACTTGTAGGTGGGGCCTTGGCCGGCAAGAGAATTACTTCTGGAAGGGGTGAAACAACGCGGCCCATGATGGAGAAGGTACGCGGGGACAACAGTGGACTTCAGTGTTATATATTGTGCTGTGCTGACAGTGACGATATGACACGGGCCTGTGAAAACGTAAATTGGCTGCACTAAAGAAATGTTACCAGGACACCTTGCTTACTGGTATTCTCTGACTTGCCTGCATTTTGTTTTGCTTCAGCAAAGCTGAGGACCTTCTTAGCTGCAGGTGCGGAAGGCAGTTTTTGACATGATGATGTCATTTGCGGGCGGCAACCCGAGCTTTTTGGAAGGCACGAGGTGGCTGGATCTTTTTGCTGGCACCGGCTCTGTGGGCCTGGAAGCGCTCTCACGCGGAGCTGCACACTGCCAGTTCATAGAGCTGGACCCCTGGGTCATCAACAATGTGCTCAGCCCTAACATTGAGAGCTGCGGCGCAAGCGACAGCACAGTCATCCACTCTGGCAAGGCGGAGGCGTTCCTGCAGCGAGCAAGGGATGCGACTCATTTCTCCAGCAAGCCTTTCGACTACATCAGGTGCTGCTGAACGTGCCGTCCTTTTGTACTCATCACAGGCATCCCACAGGCATGCCTTTGCTCCTAGGATGTGTGCTTCAGGCATGCATGCTGCTTGGTACTGACTCTGCAGACTGGCTGACAATTTTGTTTCTGTTGTGCAGCGTGTGCCCGCCATATCTTCTGGTGTCCTACGAGGAGCTCTTTGACCTGCTATCCACATCCCCGCTGCTTCACTCTGGATCTGTAGTCTTTGTTGAGTACCCGCAGAGCGCCTCCAAAATAATCCCAGACACTCTGGGGCCGCTTGCGCTGTTGCGTGACAGGAAGTACGGCAGGACGCAGGTTGCTATTTATGGGCCCTATGAAGACTGACAGCAATATAATCATCATTGACTGCCATGGCCAGTTGTTATATTGGCAACTGTTGTTGCGTTACTAATATGTGCCTTCTACTAGAGGGGTAGTATGCATGCCACCTGGGCTTGGTGAAGCAGTGCGCCTGAGCAAGGAATGGCTCTGGTTGTTTCTAATGCACTGGAACTTTTAAAACTAAGTAATCTTATGCAGGTGGCTTGGTCCAGACGCATGCATGCAAATGACCAAACTAAATGACTTATCATTTGTGACCCATAAATATCCCCTCCCATCCCATCCCATCGGGTGCATAAACCAGGGCCCGTCTTTCTCCACTTAAAAACTGGCTTGTATGCGTGAATTACTACTTTACAATATCCCCACGATCGTTGTCCTCTGAATCGAGGAATAGCCCTGCGAGTTTTGCAACAGTGAAGCCATGAATTTGCTAGATCTGGGGCATGACGAGCTCCGCCAGATCTGTGCTCTCGTGGGCCTGAAAGATATCAGTTCAGTTGCGATGAGCTGTCGAAGGCTGAGGGAAATGGCGTTCATGGTAGGGTTGCCTCAAATGTTGGAATCACTTGGTTCTCTCCTGGCATGCCTCCTTGGATCTCCCCCACGATTGCCTTGTGGTCTATATATTTCTGCTAAAAATATTTCACATACCTTGGTGATCGCTGTACAGGAGGACTACTGGGAGAGGGCATGTAATAGTCTTGTCAGGAACGCAGCATACAGTCTGCAACACGAAGATCTGCGCTCGTTCAAGCGCTGGCTGAATGCTTCTACTTTTCGAGTGATTTACAGGGTATGCTACGCCAAGAATGGAAGGAAGCTGCTTATGCATGCCTTCTATTATTAGAGTGCCTTCAGTGGGCACTGTGCTGCTTGCTGGGACTGCCGAGCATTGAGGGTGTGCAGTGCACTGCTGCAGCTGCTGGTGAAGCTGAAATGTTGGCCAGAAGGCATCTGGCAATGCCCTGTGGATCACTATTTCTCTAGTGGGAAGACTGATGGCAGCCTTACTGTGGTGGGTACCCCCAAATGACAATTTCCTTTCAACAGTTCCTTCCCATGCACGGTTGCTTGGTGCGCACATGCTGAGCCCCTGAGAATGGTTCTCAAAATACAAACATCCGCAATTTGCCTTCTCAGATTGCCCGAAAGGAGCAGGGCGTCCTGCATTTCACATCAACCAGCCGCAGGGACCAGGAGGGCTTTGCGCTCGATTTCCAGTTGCATGAACGAGGCCATGAATGGCCGCTGCTGTCTTTCCGCCCAAACTGGCCAATGGACATGTGCCTTTTTCTGGCAGCTGGTCATGGCCGCACTGGACAGGTGAAAGCATTTCCCCTTGTCAGCTGCAACTGATGAAACAGCATGTTGCCACATGCAAGTTGCCTAATGGCATGTGGCATGACAGAAATATTATTTGTTTTATAAAATTAAAGGCAGCTTTCTATGGAAATGTTGTAGGATGAGAATAAGTTTGTGCCAGCCTTGATACTCCGCTGTTTGACCCATAAGCCCACCTACGGCCTCGCCTCTTTCAGGTTTGCCTTTTTGGGAGGCCATAACTCCCTGTGTAAGGGCTAACCTGTGCTCTCCATTGCCCATTATGCACACCTATGAGTCTCTGAAAGTCTGCACACGGGGTGAGCGCGGACATGAAGCTTTTTTGCATGTGTGTGCAGGTTTCCATTGCCAATTACACACATGATGGAAAATTGCTACTCGTTCTGCTGTAATATTCCCAGGGTGCCGTGGCCACAATCCATCCCTGCATTTGACTCCGATGCTCCTGCGGCCTCACGCAACCTGCGCCGATTGGAGGTATGGCCGGAGGGACAAGTGCACTCCTGTTCCAATCGCACATGTTCGAGTAGCAGGTACAATCATTTGTCGGCTCTTTCTACACTGCTGATACAAGGGCGAAAAGGCAGTGCTTACTTTGCAGGGCATCTGGAATGCTTCTTATGGGCCACACGGCGATGAAGTTGTGTGGGTGACATTTCGGCAGGAGCCTCATGTGCCCTTGAGAGGCTTACATGCCAAATTGGAAGGCCTCAAGGTGATTAAGTTGCATTTTGGAGTCACCGTGATCAAGCAAACGAACTTCTGTTGTTCTGCAGAATGCAGGCAGCTTCAGGAATCTCTGAGCAGCTATTTTGGTAATTGCGCAGATCACAGGTGACCCCAATGTGCCAGCTGGCAAGCTGACCTTTGAAGTCTGCTCACAAATCCCTCTGGCGGGTCCATACAATGGTTTTGAGGAGGAGGAATCCCTTGACGGCCAATACTTGGAGATTAACCGCCCCATAGGTGAGTTTCAGGTGCCCTTTCTTCCATTTACTTTTCTGTTCTGTGGGGTGATTGCACGCCTTCAGCCACGTATAAAACCAGCTGCTTGTTGTCCTGCAGTGATGCACGGGGCAGGACAATCGGTCCTTGTGAACATAGAGGAACGGCCAGTGGCTGCAAGGTATTTTGGAAGGGGACAGATCAACGCAGATCCTAGGCGGTGAGTCTTGCCCTGCAACGCATGCACCCATTTAATTAGTTTTGTTTGATGGCTGCCTGCCTGCATGCTTCATGCATGTCTTCCTCCCGTCTGCTCTATTGTCACCAAGGGGCAGATGAAATCTCACCTTCAGATTCCCGGGAGGCTTCTCCCATCCCATGGTGGACCTCTGACAAATACCGTCCACTCGCAGATGGGATTCTGAGTGGGAGGAGGTGCAGTTGCTGGTGTACGAGGGGCAGCGACCGCTATTTTCTATCCTGTGGTCAGACCTTGGATATCCCTCTCGCCACATAATGGACTTCACCCCAGCAGAGCTGCCAGGCGTCAGTGCTGCTTCAGAAGCAGACAAGGATCCTATAGCCCCGTAAACGCATGCTGTGCTGTACCTACCCCAGACAACGCATGTGTTGAGTGACTCCCGTGTTGCACGTGTATCAAGTGATTCCCGTGGTGCGCGCATGCACGTGCATTGTATCATAATGATTGTACTTGGAAAGCAAGTCTGTGTGTGCAGCTGCAGCTGCTGACCATGCATGCAGGTGTCAATAAAGTGTCATTGATGACGGCACTTTGTCAATAAGCCAGACAGCACGCTGCTGACTGTTAGACTCGGTCATGACAATTAGTAGCCTTCGAAGGGCCGGCCTTCAACTTGATGTAGATCCAACAGCATGACTTTTACTTAACTTGAAGTCATTGACTTTCAGCCCGAGGTCTCGGGGCCTGGGCCAAAATTTCTTTGGAACCTCTGTTCCAAAGTAGAAAAGGAGCTTACCAGATCAGCAAATGATGCATATACAACAAAAATCTGGCCAACATATTTCCCAAGATGGTGGATTTTCTCATGCCATGCCACATGACCGTTCGGCGGCGTGCTTGCGGCTGCTGTTGAACAGGAAAAGTTGTTAGAGCTCCAGTATCACTCTTCACTATTTCGTCTATTTCAATGAAGTTATCGATGTGCTCCACAAAGATCGCTGCATTACTGACGTCAACGCTGTGATCGCATGTACTAGGCTCTGTGAAAAGCTTTAACAATAGAACTCGCTCGTATTCTTCCCACCAATGTGCCCTCCTCCATTGGATTGTAGATAAAAAAAACTGCGAAGATGGGGACAGACTATGCTCAGAGAAAGCTTGCTAAGAAGAAGTGGAAGAAGTTTTCAGCTGAGCCGTCAGGTGAAAAGAAGCAACGTGTGAAAAGGAATAAAACGAGAAGATTATGCCAGGTGCGATACAATCATCTAATTCATGAGATCTTTAATGATGGATGGCAGCATTTTGTAAGTCGCAGCTTCGCAAGACTTACAAAATGTCCTTTCACTGGGCAGGGCATGTGCTACGGTGAGCCAGAGCTGAAAGCAGAAGACAAGGGTGAAGGTTGGGAGAAGGACTCTGATGGCTACGACTCGGAGGTTGAACAACTTATCGAAGCCAATAAGGAAGTCACCACCACCGAACCAGAGGTATGCCCTTCTATCGAGCTGCAGAACTAGTAGATGTAGCCAAAGGTAGATGAACCTAGTGTTTCCTAAGAGGTATCCCTTCAAAGAAATTGTAGGTGCCATCAAATCTTCAGGAACCGTATAAACGCTTCTTATGCTGCAGGCAAAAGAGGCCCAAGATGGCTCTGGTCAGAAGCCCACAGGAGCAAAGCGACCCCGCATGTCCACAGCAGTGGACTTGCCTGCAGTGTCAACCAGCGAGCAAGATGCTGGTCATGCAAGGAAGAAGCAAAAGGCGATCAATCCTCAAGATCCACTTTCTGTTTCCCTGAGCGCATTTCCAGCTGAGATGCAACGCTACATGCAAGCCGAGGGCTATCTGGAGCCCAGTCCAATCCAAGAAAGGTAATAATGCACCTCGACTCTCCTTGAGCTGTTCCCCTATCAGGTTTATAGACGAGCGCGGATTACACAGCATAAATTGAGCCACGTAGAGCCGAAGGTGGGAGTGTGCATGCAGTTGCTGGCCAGAGTGTCTGAAAGGGAGGGACGTCAGAGCAGTTGCTGAGCCGGGCAGTGGGAAGACTCTGGGGTACCTGCTACCTTGCGTGCCGTGGCTGCTTGAAAGAGCAGAAACGAGGAGTGAGAAGGAATCTAGCAGTGGACCTGGCGTGCTCATTCTGGTGCCAACGAGGTGGATTTCTGCTGCACTTCCATGAGATTCTCTGAAATGCCCCCTTCATGTTGACAATGCCACAGAGGATTCAGCCTGATTGGATGATATCTTGCTGTGCAGAGAGCTGGCACAGCAAGTGGCCGCATGCTGTCGCAACCTTCGGCGGCTCTTCAATTTAGACACAGCGTGCATATTTGGAGGAGGAGACCGCAAAGCACAGGTGAGGGATACAATGCAATGTGCACTGGATGGCCCTACATGAAATCTGTACCTGTGGACTTGGGACTCTGCATGCTGGCCAAGATGACTGATTTGATATCGGTGCATTTGGAATTACACCTCATGTCTTCTGCTCTGTGGAACCCAGGAGGAGGCCATTCAGAAGAAGCCGCATATTATTGTGGCAACTCCGGGGCGGCTTTTGGACTTCATTGATGCGTCCATGCTGGACATAGGTAAATATGCTCTTTCTGGCTCTTTCTGGATATTCATTGATTGCATTTTGTACTTTGCAGTGCTGTGCAACCATTTATAAGTCCCAGAGCAGGGCTGAGCAGCCGATGATTATGTAACACTCAGCTTTCACAGTTTCTGAACATTCTTGTTGACAGAATGAGAATATGAGGCTGCACAGTCACTGCTCAAATGGGAGAGGGAACTGCGTGCTGTTGTAAATGCTCATTCAATTGTGTAGCACGCAATTCACTTCATGGACTTCCAGATTGCTTACTTTATATACGTGCAGGCTTGGTGGGGTACCTTGTGTTGGATGAGGCGGACAAGATGCTGTCGCTTGGCTTACGGCCGCAGTTGGATCGTATTCGCGAACTCATTCTCCCTGAGCAGCCCGCAAAGAAGTCCAAAGCCAAACTCCAGAGACCACAGGTGACCCCTCTTCTGTTCACCTGCCTGCATTGCATGTACTGAATTTTCTAGCGGAGAGCAATAGCTCCAGAAGAAATTATGTTCAACGCAGCAAAGTCCGACGGGTGGGCACTGTGCAATGCCCAAACCGCAAGAAAATCTGCTGCTACAGCACCTTGAAGCCTGTACTGACCCTGCGCTCAGGATACCTACGGCGTATGGGAAATTTTTGGCCGCTACATGTTTTCTTTGGACCGCCAACCTCCACGATACAATCATGGCAGTCTTGGAGGATTGTGAACCTAGCCTATGCTCTATATGTCCAGGTGCTGCTCTTCACGGCTACAATGCCAGTTGAGCTGGAGGAGACGGCTCAACAGTGGCAGCAGAAACCTGTGGTGCTGCATGTCAGCGTTTCAGGGGCCTCGATCAGCCGCTCAGTGGTCCAGGTCTGTGTGCCTACCATTCTTCAAATTGCATGGCGTGATATCAGTTACAATGAAGAGGAATACTTAATTTTCCGGTAGACAAAGCGATGACCAGCCCTGTGCTCTTACACCTTGACCAGCAGAAGGGGCATTTTTGGATGGCTGTAGCAAAGTGTGTTTGTGATTCTGTGCATCTGAAAGTCTAGGGACTGCTTTTGCTTGTGCAGGTGGTGCAAGTGTGTGCAGAGCACAAGAAGCCAAAGAAGCTCCTGAAGCACCTCGGGCAGATCAAGGTGAGCCACTACGCCTTGTCACCTTGTGGCTCCTCGCATTGCAATCGCCGGCGCACGCGCTGAGTTTGCATGCTTCCCTCTTTCACCATCCTGTTTCCATCCTGAAGTAGTTTTCTGAGAGCGCCAGTGCAGGGTAAGCGCTGCCTGATGATAATGCATGGAAACCTTTTGCTGCAGGAGGCCAGCAAGGGCACGCGCAACCCACCGCGCGTCCTGGTGTTTGCCAACCGGATCAAGACAGTGCGCTTTCTGCACACCACCATCTCCGCTGCCGGGATGAAGGCTGCCACGCTGCATGGAGACCGGTCACAAGCGGAGCGCGAGGTGCGCTGCATCCCTCGTTTGTCGAATTCACCATTATTCGAGCCCGGTGTATGTGCTCTGCTTTCACCTTTCTGCTCTGTCAGTTATTACAAGCCTCACCACGGCATTTCGTTGTGTGTAACGTCTCTCTTCTGCTCTGCCAAGGCATCCACCCCAAGCTTTCGATGTTGGTTGTTCTTCATTTGTTGTGTTTGGTCTTCTGTCTGATCCCGAATTTGGCATGCAGCACTTGCATGCTCAAGGAAGAGGTGACATATTGACTGTTATTTCACATCTGAGCTTTCATGATGGTGGCATGCTGCACGTGCTCACTTAGCCGCCTGTAATGCATGGGCTCGTAGTTTCACATCTGCGCTTTCATGTTGTAGGCAAGCAGCGCTCGCCTGCTGAGCCACGGGCGATGCATAGCACATTAGATCACTGCAGTTTCCTGGGTCTTGCTCCCTGATCTAGCACCATATAGCACTCCTGCTCTTGGGAGAAGGCCGATGAGCCGAGGCGCATGCTTATATAATTACGGGCTGAAAAGCAGTGTCATGCACACAGGAGGCGATGCGCGACTTCAGGAGCGGCAAGGTGCAAATTCTCGTGGCGACTGATGTGGCGGCGCGCGGTCTGCACATCCGCGGGCTACCCTACATTATAAACTACGATTTCCCCTCGCGCCTGGAACCCTACATTCACCGCGTCGGCCGCACCGGCCGCCTCGCCTCCAGCGGCCACGCCTTCAGCTTTTTCACGCGCAATCTCGCGCCCCTTGCGCGCCCCTTGCTCGCCCTCCTGCAGGTGCGCCACCCCTCGCGTGCTTAAAGTTGGGCCGTCGGTGAATTGCAGGCGGCACTTGCGTGGCAAGGCCTCATCAGCCTGTGGCTTGCACAAAATCAGCTGATTACTAATGACGCTAGTGAGACTCAGTCAGACTCAGCTGCTGTCCAGATGTTAATTTGAGGTCACAGATGTAAAGATTTGCCCAGATGCCCCCAAGTGCGTGCATGCTGGGGCCTGCAAATCTCCTGTACAAGTGTCAGAGGACAAGTGCTCACACTCTTTGAAAATCAGTGTATGCCATTTCACCCTCAAAGAAGCCCGTTCTCAATAATCGTCCCCTGTCAAACGCATTGCTGACAAACGAGCTTCAGCAAGGGAGTGATGTGTGCAGGAGCATGGGCAGGCAGTGGATCCCAATCTGATGGTCCTGGCGGATGCTTATGACACCGCCATGGCCAAGCTAGGAGGCAAAGCACCGGATGCTTGGACTGATGCACCTGCCAAGGGGGAGGGGGAGGCAGCAAGTGACAGCGGCGATGAGAAGCAGAATCACAGCCGGCAACGTGGTGATCAGCCGAGCTCCTCAGGCGCATCCTCGTCAGGTGTGAATGGACTTTGAACAGGAAATGCTGCAGTCATGGCATTGAACATGAAGGTGATCTAGTCATGTCTGTTTGGGTCCCCGAGATGTACATTTCCTAACATCCTCAGGTCATCAAACAGCCAGAAATAGAGTGTTCATGTCCTGCTGTGAGCTTGCAAAAATCGAGCAGTCTTTGATTTGATGTCTCAGAATGGTCCTGTGCAGATGAGGAGAGCGGAGACGAGGAGGCTGTCAGGGCAGGCAGCAAACGAAAGCCGGCAGTGTCAGCTTTGCAGCTTCCGGGGCTGTACAAGAAGAAGGCTGCCTTTGACCCAGACATGGAGGGCTTCAGTGAATCAGACGCAGAGCTGCAGAAACCACAGAAGCCTGGAGTGAAGCTGCCAAGCAGCAAAGCTGTGAAACCTGCGAAGGCTCAGGTGCCAGCTGGCGTGAAGGGGACAGCCCAGGCGCAGGAGCAGGCTGCCAAGCCAGATAAAGCAGATGGTGAGTTCAAGGGGAAGCGGAAAGGCGGTCAGGTCCGACGCGCGCTGCCGGGACGCCTCAGAAAGAAGCTGGCAAAACAGCGAGAGGCCTGACCTGGGAGTCGGGAGAGATGTGGCAGAGCTCATGAAGAGAGCATTGAGACTCTTGGAAGCATGTAATGGTGTGCACCTATTCGTATGTCCCTGGAGAATCAATGTGGGCTTGAGACTATTATCCCGTGTATGTAAGCCGTAAGCGGGTGAAACATTACTTGGGAATTGAGCGGATGTGGAACAGTGCCTTGCCATGCTCTGTGTAAAGCTAGAAACTATGCAAGTCTCCTGCCCTCCAAACTCACAACTCCACAATTCTGGGCCACAGGTCCATGTTTGCTGATCTGTCATCTCACATGACGATTGATCAATTGCATGAAGTCAGTCCGAGACCGTGATCTCTTTCACAATTGAAGGACCCACCTTCTTTCGTCCTGCACGTATATCCATGGTTTCACATCTGGCGTTCCTAGGAGATCACAACCAGATACCTGCCTCCTCGTGCATTCAAGAATGGGCTTCCTGACCCATGAGAAGAACCCTGACTATAGCTGAGACGTCCGCCAAGGCGAATAAAAGGAGTTCCGAATCTATTAAACTACACTGGCCGTGGTCTGGCACCCCCGTGTTGTCTGAACTGAGGTCAGCAAGGAGTCAACTCGTTGAGGAGCAAACAGACCGTGATAGAGGTGGCCAGAAGCCAGCGTCAAACCTCATTATCCGGGGAATAGATGAGCTATTTCAATGCAAGCTGGCCTCAAAGACGCAAGGGTATGAATCGTCACCTACAGCTTGGATGTTAGCATCGGACCTCTGACTTATAATATCGTGTTTGTGTTCAGCAGCATAAGTGGCATGCTGTATCGTAGCGTGTCTCAGAGTGTTCCACTGGCATGCAAGCAAAATTTGTAATGGGTTTGCTCGCTATGCCAACACCCATGGACAAGAAACCCTTTCAAGCACATCGTGTGTCAGACAACGTATGACAAATGCTGCAGGCACTGGAGATCTCGACGACCTCGAGGCCATATTAAGTGCACCGCCTCCAGCGCTTGGGGAGCCTCTCAGGCCAAAAAATACAGTGAAAGCAGATGGCCAGAGCTCCAGTTTGCCTGCGCAGCATGATAGCTCTGCAGCAGCTGGCCAGGATGCTTCAGCAACATCAAGAGCACGCAGTAGTGCAGTGACTGTACCTCATCTCGCGCTGACAGATGCTCACAGAGAGGGGCGCAGAATTAGCCCGAAGCATGAAGTGCGCTGCTCCATCACCAGAGCAGTGGTCTCCCCCAGGAGCTCTGACGTGGCTGCAGCCCTCCAGTACCGCTCGAGCCCCTCTTCTCTGGCGGAGAAAGGCAGTGCTGAGGGGAGCACAGCTGCCAGGCAGGAGAGCTCAAGCAGTCAGCCGGGGGAGCAAAGCGCACCCTCCTTTGCAGACAGGGTGAGCAGCTTCCGGGGCAAGGGGACAGCGGGGAGTGAGCGCATCACAGGATGGCTGCCAATCCACAGGAAGGCAGGTGCAGCAAGCAGCTCTGGCCAAGGCGGCGCGCAGCCGAGCGTGCCGGGAAGCGCAAATCAGACCATCTCAGTGCCCATGCTGGGTGCTTATGAGAAGATGACTGTGGCGGCTTCCCTGGTGGGCGCGTTTGCCGGAGGCGCTGCAGCCGGCCCTCTGGGCGTATCAGTGGGTGAGCACTCAGCTTGGAGCTTGCTCGACAACTATCCAGTCCACAGACTCAGTGATCTGTACGTGTGCAGTGTCTCGCTCGCGCAGCGCTGGCTACTTAGCATGCGGGCGCATGGGACAGGCATTAACCGGTGTCTCTGGTTGTGCAGGCGCCAAAAGTGGAGCGCTTTTGGTGGCAGCAGGGGCTGGCATCTGTGGTGAGATCCTCATGCATTTCTCCTGTCTGGATGCAAGGCAAGCATATCGGGTGTTGTGTCCCAAAGGCATGAGCGAAAGAAGTAGTCCTGGGAATTGACTGGTCTTTTTTGGAGCAGGTGCTGCACAGCACTGCTACGCACATGGGCTGCCTGTCGCCAGCATGGGCTCCTCACTGTCTAATATGGGCGCTGGCCTGCTGTCGAGTGTTTCCAGAAGAGACCCAAAAGCACCCGCATCAGCCCAGCAGGGCAGTATAGATCCTGCATTGCACACTGGCCAGCCGACAGGTGGCGTCCTAGCAGCTCGGGGAGATGATGCAGATGTCACATGCATGGATAGGGTTTCTGGCGCACCAGCTTCATCTTCAGCAGAGGTGGCCACAAAGGCCATGCAACCCGCTAGCATTTGGTTTCCCACTCTGTCTGGGCTCGGGTCCAGCTTGCGGCCCCGTACAGATGGGAAATCAGCTGCGGATGTGTCAAAGGAGCCACAGGCAACTAGTGGAAGCACTGACAGTCTGCCCACCAGTTCCAGTGCCTCTCAGCAGCTTACACCAAGGCGCAGCCAAGATGCTGACCACACATAATGCACGTGTGCCAGTAAACTCATATGCGGCTGCTTTGAGATTTTTAACAAGTCCTGCTCACATTGACCTACGCATGTCCTACTGTTTTGAGGTGTACAGTACTTTATGCGCACCAGGATTTCGCTTGCTGTTGTGCCTGTCAAGCTGTACATCGTGTACATCACATTTCTTGTACTTAATTGCCAGTGTATATCAGAGTTTCACATGTTTTTCTGTCGTTCTTGTCGGTCGTGCTTTCTAGATGTACAGTAATGTAAGGTATGTTTGGTCACCGGAATGATTACAGTGTCAGTAAGATTGTTGGCTGCTTGTAACATTTAAATCTCAGACCATGTAAGTCAAGCATTGTGAGTTGATTTTGGGTTACATGAGTGCTGCGTCGTCTCAGGATCAGACATGCGTGGATCAAACACCATATCTTCATGCTCCACCCTCTTGACATCCCTCACGGCCAGGCATCTTGTTTACACGGTTGTCAGTTCTGTCTGCTTCGACTTGACAATGGCGTCAATCTGCTTGACATAGTCATCTGTCATTTCCTGGATTGAGTCTTCCAGTGCCTTCTTCTCATCCTCAGAGATATCCTTTCCCCTCTTGTCAATGGTTTTGATGGCGTCCCTCCGAATGTTCCTGCTCAGCACCATGCACACAAGCGCTCATAACATGCAACAGACTTCACAAGCGCCATTGTGGAGAGCTGCGGAGCTTATCTCGTTGATGTGCTCAAAACAATAAAAATGCATTAATGGAAATTCACCGCAAGGCCACTTTCCCATCCTCTCCAAGCTTTGATACAAGCTTCGCCATTTCTTTTCGTCGGTCCTGCATGCAAGACAGTTGCAGTGAGTCACTCATACTGTCCGGTATATTATACTCCATGGTAGAGGTATCGACAGGGTACTTCAGGCCATTTGGATCTTCATCTGTTGACAAATAACACACATGAGAACTTGCATTGTGCTCTGGCTTCCTTTTAGTTGAGAATAGAGAATCGCTTACAGCAGTGAGCTGAGGCACATTGATGCGGATGAGGTTGCCATCATTGCCTGGCGTGAGGCCCAAGTCCGAGGTCATGATGGCCTTCTCAATGCTGGGAATGCTGGTCTTATCATACGGCTGAATCACCAGTTGGCTGGCTTCTGGGGCAGACAAGGTGGCCAGCTGCTTCAAGGGGGTCATTGCCCCATAGTATTCCACCTAAAAAAGCAACAGCGGCCAGGAATGTGAGCCGGTATAAGAGCATTGACAGCTCCTGGCTGTTGAACAGGTCGGAAGAAACCAGACGTAGTGAACTCAAATATCTTCCCATAATTGTTAAGGAAGCAACCTGACCTGGATTCTGTCCAACATGCCTGGTGTGGCTCTGCCTGTCCGCACTGTAGCAAAGCTTCCTTTTGTGCTCTCCAAACTCTTTTCCATCCTAGTCATCTGCAGCAGAAAAGTTCACCTAAGCCCGTAAAAAGTAGAGCACATCTGTTCCCATGTCCATACATATTTAAACACATTAGTTTATATTAAGATCTTACGGTATCCTCCTCCACGTCAATTTCCTCTTCTGCAGTGGTTGCACGTACAACTTGCGACACACACCTTCTCACCTGCCTGCACAGGGAAGCAGCCAGACATTGCAACGATTCCTGATCATACAGGCTATTTTCAAGAATTCCAAGGATTTGACACATCGGATCTCAAGGCAATAGGAACATCGTTATGAATGTAGCCCTGCTATGCAGGCATCTCAACCATAAAGTGATCTGTAGCACCTCGACTCACCTGACTGGCAGTTTTGCTGGTGTGAAAGGCTCGCATCTTCTCGATACTCTGCTTACTCTGCTGGGATACGATGCACTTGCTGATACAGTGCTTAGATGTCTGCCGCACAACATGGGACATGTCTTGGAATATGTGGTCTGCATCCTGCGTACAGTGGCCTTAACTCACTTTGACGGTTTCACAAAGCCTATTTCCAGCCTATGGGATGTCTGTAGAGATTTTTCTATACCTTATAAGCAGAGAGTGGATAGATCTGGCCCAAGCGTGGCTCAGCATATATGCCGAGGCGAATGCCTTCGAGGCTTCGCTTCACAAGAAAATGGAAAATGTATCAATGTTGGTGTGGTTAATTACAAATCATTCAGAATCATAGCAGGTTGCCGTTCAATAAATGATCGGCGCAGATCTCTAGAGGAGTGCAGACGTGTAAGAACATATTCCACCATATTCTGCGAAGTAAAGAAAGACACCGAGCTGAGAGGCCTGAAGATAACAAGAATTTCTTCTTGAAGAAAGAATTCAGCCCTAAAGATCCGTACTTTTTGTGTGGAATGGCATCAAGTCAAGACCTGTAAGGTTCCTCAGCACAGGGCAGTTTCGGGTCCGTTTGGCAGAGTTTCGTCTCTACCGAGGAGATAAGGGTGATGAGTACTCAGATCTGTGCTTAGTACTGGAATGCCTGGCCTGTCCAATCGCCATGTTTGACCACAGTGCAGACCTTCTGCAACACCTGGTCCACCTGCACTTTTGTGGACCAGTTGAGCGCATTGCCTCTGCCATACAGACAACGGTGAAGGATTTTGCCTGAGAAAGGGCAGTGGGCAGGAAAGAATACTGCTTTGGGCACTAGTGGAGAGTCCAACAGTGACGTAGAAACAATTGGCGAAACGATGGAGGCCTCAACATCTTTACACTCAGATCAGTCCACAAGCCCCAGCAGAGATCAGCAACGAAATTCACCGCGATCACAATGGAATTTGTGTCCTCTAGTACTCGCAATGTTCCTCTGCCTTTCAGCTGGGCAGGTTGTATGTCAACAGCAGGCAAGATTCCTATACACTCATGCCGCTGATTCATCTCACCTATGCTCTGTCTTAAATTGTCTTCTTGACCTGCAAGGAATAAGGGGGTGTGTTGTAGCAGGATTACTGGCAGCAGGCACGAGGACTACTGAGATCAAGGCATCTAGTAGATGAACAGAAATCTGAGCGAAAGGGAGTAGCAATCTGTGCATTGGTGGAAAACCCAGAGGAGGTAAGCCACCTGATTAGATGGCACTTGTGAAACTGGATGTCGATGCACTGAAGCCATGCACGTCACAATCACTCTTCTATGTAAAGCTTCTGGGTCAGCCCGTATTTGCATTTATTGAAGTCTCTGAGCCTCTTTGCATTAGAGTTTGATGTGGGTGCAGGGTTTGAGGGAATGGGTGGAGCACCACAGGGACCTTGGGGTCACTCGATTTTACATAATGGATTCAAATAGCAGCAGACCCTCAGGCCGCGAGGTCGCAGATTACATTTCGAGCGGCCTGGTTGATTTCTTCTACAGGTGCATTTCTGTTCACTCCACCAGACCATTTGCGCTCACAGGCTCCATCGGCTCATGCCAGTCTGCTGACCAGTATGCATCAAATCAATGCCACCTCATGAACATTATCCTAGAAACATTACAACTGGAGCAGGATCTGAATGCAGTGTTTTCCTGCTGCAGCTCTGATTTGACGCTCAAAACAAGGTTCCCGCAGCTGTATGTGTACGACATCTGCCTCACAAGGTTTGGCGATTACCATCAGTGGATGGCGTTTCTGGATCCTGATGAGTACCTGGTACTGCAGCCCCGTGCTGCTGCAGAGGGGCTGCCAGAGTTTCTTCAGGTGAATGGCTGCAAATTTTGTCGTACCATATCTCTCTCATTTCCAAATTGCAAATGCCTGCAAAATTGGCGCTGCATGCGTGAGCCTGAAGCACAGGTTCTGGTGGCAGGCTTATGACCAGCATGGAGGTCTTGCAGTCAACCTGAGGATATTTGGGTCATCTGGGTACCAGACTCGTCCAAAGGGAGGCATCCTTCGGAATTATATCAAGTGCGCCATTCCTGGCCATTGTGTGCATATCCTGGCTACATCCTACCTGCTGTTTACCTAATGTATGCAAGTCAACAGGGGAAAAATACCTTTCCGAGCAACAGGTCAAAACTTCAGCAGCATCCATCAAGGCGTGACTTGCGAAACGGTCGCTCAGTTTGATCAGCAAGTCACTGCTGCAGGTGTCTGCCAGAGCAGCATGAGGAGAACAGGAGGATCAAAACCATAGTGAACACCGCTCTGAGCCCGGCGCTTCACATGCACTCGGTCAACCACGTGAAGTTCAAGGACGGGTTCTTTGCTGTCGATGAAGCGCAGCGGCACTTGAAGACAGGGGAGTCCGCCACAGCCAGGCGAGTTTGGACCCTGCATGCATCCGCAACTGTGCAAACTACTATTTATTGCAGAACACGCCACACATTTGTATATCGGGTATACAGCAGTGCTGAGGGTAGGTACCTGAGCAGGGGTCCTTCTGGCAGGGCCATTATGCAATCTGACTGACAGCAGGTATTTTTATCATGCAGGGTGAGTACGGAGAAGGTGGCTGTGCATAAGTACCCGTTGCGGGTAGCGCCTGCTCGGGCAGCCAGCAAGGCCAAGGGTGGGGACAGCAAGGCGCGCTTTGAGGCCCTGGATCGAGAAGCCACCGAGGAGTGTCTGGGAGGAAAGCGGGTGGCCCAGCAAGACAGCAGCGATAAATACGGCATGTAGCTTGTAAATTTTGCCCTTGCCTTCCATTTTTGTGATTGCACGTGGGTCTCTCTGCTCATCATTGTACGCACAGAGTGCTCTGATTGTTTGCTTTTTGAAGTTGAGCCTCGCTGAGTCCTCAGGAGGCTCTTTATGTGCTCCGCGTCAAAGTCCACTTGCGCGGCCAAATTTTAAGGTATCTTGCCTTTTACGCATAATTTGGCTGGAAGAAAATGTAGCAGATTTACGGCATGTTTCTCTGGCGAACAATAAGATGAAATCAGAAAATTCAAGTTTGAAAGGGGGAAGCGGATGGAAGCTAGCAGTGCACTACTACGCTTCCGAGGCGGATCTCAGCCTGTTTTGAGCGCGTATTGTGAAATCAAACGGTGAGTTCGAGGCGATCTGCGTGTTAGACGAGACAAAACATTCGACCATAACATGCGGCAAAGAAAGATTGATTTTCTTGACAAAGACCATGGACCCCTCGTACAGAATACATGCTTACCTTGACTATGGCGAAAGAAAAGAACAAGTCTTTATAGCACACCTGGCTGATCAGAAAGCAAAGAAAGGTACAGAATTTCAGAAAAGCTGGCAAGTCGATAGCATGCTGTAGAGACAGGACAAAGGGCTGCTTTACTTCGGACCACGATCTGATGGAGAAGGCAAACCTTGTGCACTATGGGACAAACCTCATGCTCGATCGCGTCCTCAAGGACCTTCAGGTGCCTAAATCTGAAGCTATTTTGTGCTTTGCTCAAGGTCATGCGTACAACGTGATTAGACTTTAAAGAAGTGCCCCCAAAAAGTTTAAGAAGTAGAAATTTCGCTGGTAGGCATGGATGCTGAAACGCACGGTAATTATCATGTCACGTCTGACTTGCAGGCTGAGGACGAGAGCCTGCAAGCGCGAGCACTGCAAGCTCTGCAGTCATTCACCAAGGGCCAGCGAGGCGTGGTCAGCATGCCCATGCAGGCCATGCAGGCGGCCTTCCAGACGGGAGGAGGCCTGCCACGTCTGATCGCGCTCCTGGACAGGGCTACCACCCCCAAACCAGGGGGAGCCATTCAGCGCAAAGCCATCACCTCTGGGGCTGTGGAGGCCTTGACTTTCATGACCAAGAACCGTGCCAGCGCTAGGTGCCTTGCTTTCCCTGAGAATAACGGGAATGTTTAAATTCGTTATTCAGGTTTTCACCTGGCAATCAATGACAGCTGTAGCTGTGAGAACAGCGGTAGGAGCAGACTACTGCACTGGATTCTAATGTGTTCTTGTGCGCTGCAGAAAGGAGGCCATCGAGGCGGGTGCCGTGCCGGCCCTGTGCAGCGTGCTGGGCACAGGCGACGATGAGCCAGTTTCCATTGAAGTGCTCAAGGCGCTCTACACCATCATTGCACCAGACTCCAGCGGTACGGTCCTTTGTTCTTCCCTCTGCAAACCTTCAAGCTCACAAAAACTCTCTTGCAAGTTGGCATAAATGCCACTGCCAAACAGTGTTATGTCGTCTGCACAGCCTGCAGGACTGTGTGTTCACACTTGCAACTATTGCCAATGTTGAGGCACACAGTCAGGGCTACAGCAACAGCCTTGACGATGTTCATGTGAGCATGCCTGCCCTTCCCATCAAAGCTGACCCACGTGGTCAGGGGTCAGGGAGCAAACTTTTTGCGCATTGTTTGAGGACGTGCATGCCTGCGGCTGTGCAGGGCATACAACGACGGAGGTGTTTGCATCGGGGGGCGTGCATGCGTTGATCCGGCTGCTGGAGAACGTGCTGGAGTTTGCAGCGGAGCCGCAGCGCAGCGTGTGGGTGCGCGAGGTCCTGGCGCTTCTGTATCCGCTCGTCCGCCGCTCCCGCATGGTCGCCCGCCTCCTGGTGCGATCCTGCACAGAGTTGGCCGCAATTATCAGTAATCCTTCTGCCGTTAGTAAGCGTAGCACCTCTGCGTGGGGCACCCAATTAAAGCATACATGGCAGAGATGTGCAAGAGACAAGCCTGGCTTAAGCAGAGCCTCTGCTCAATAATGGTCGACAAACCCAGATTAGGAGTTTGTATGGAAATACATGTGTCGCGGTCTCTCAGGCCATGCATTATACAAACCATCCTTGGGGTTGGACACATAAGTAAGGCCTCAAGGGTTCCAAGCACGCTCATCAGGGCCATAGCTGTCCGGATGCTCCTGATGCTCCTGGTGCATATTAAGAATTCTTGCTTTAGATTGAAAGTGGATGAGTTTGTGTGGTGCAGGCGTCAGAGATGGCGGGGATGTGCGTGGTGCTGCAGACAGTGGCGGACCCGCTCTGCCTCTCGCTTGCACTGGACATAATGGAAGAGGTGCTCGGCAGCGGTGACAGTCGCAGATATGGCCGTCTGATGGCGCGCGAGGGTGCCCTCGCAGCCCTGGTGTGCTGCACTGCTTCTTACAACAACAAGCCCGCTATTCCTCTATTCAACGATGAAAGGCATTGCCTGATATGTCAATATTTTGCACAGAAACTGTCATGCTGCAGCACGGCAGGACTCAGCAGGTCTTTTTGCTTTCTTAGGGCAGTTCTGCCCATCTTGCCGGAGCAAGATATGGTTGAGGATGACGGATTTGCTACCCAAGTGGGCAATGTACTATCGATGATTGACCCGCCTGGGCCGCAGGTGCATGCGGCGCATGTGCGTGGGATGGGAGCCAAGGCGATGCTGGTGCTGGCTACACTCGCTGCCGAGCCCGAGCTGCTGCACGTGCTGAGGGCGCTGCTGCAGCCGCGCGACTACGCCTGCCTCGTGCACATCGCCCACAGAGCGGTGCGTTTGCACCATGCATGTACAGACTGGGCTAATCAAAGGCGCCCTGATCCCGCCTTTGGCGAAGCTAGAATACAGAGGTGCAAGGCATGGAGTTATTTCCTTGCCAGTGTGAGGGCATGATTGAAGCCGTGATTGGGCATGTGCAGCCATATTTGACATGCTACTGCCCCTAAGATACAATCGTGCCAGTTATAAACTGGTATAGGGTGTAGAAGACCACTTCTACACTAAAGTTCTCGCCCAGAAGTGCTGAACATGGGCACAGGCCCACCCTCTCGCCTTCTGCGAAATAAACTTCAGGTCATGTGAGACTGCCTGATTGGTTGAATGTATAATCTGGCCCCATAAATAGACACTCTCTGGGCCTGGATGTACAGGCGGATGCGGACGATCTAGATGGCAGGGCGTGCGCGCAGCTGCTGGCGGCGGTGCTGTCGGGGCCGGGCATCGAGGGAGTGCGCGCTCTCGCACTCGGCCGCTGCCTGGGGGCCTCCCTCTGCCTGCCGCCCATCGCTTCCGACCTACTCATACGCGCCACCAGCGATGCAGGTAACATTTCTCAGCAAAAAGATGTTTAAAGACGGTAAGGAGGGTGCCCACAGCAGCATCTCGTGCCACGCTTGCTTTAGCTTGCCCCCTTTACTCTTCATCTGCAAGGTGAGAGAAAGGCGGGGAGTCCCAGACGGTGTTGCAGGCTAAAGCAGTGAGGGAAAGCAAGACTGCAGAAACAGGGCTTGAGCAACTGAGACCAAGTAAGTGTCAGTCAGCAATATAGTGATGATTGGGATAACACGGTGTGGGATATCCAGAAGTATCCCCTGCCTTGCCTTGTTATTTCCGCACACAAAGGAGGTGTTGATGCCAACGAGACAGAAGATGTTTCGCTGCAGGAGTGATGGCGCTGCAAAATCTACCGGAAGAGGCGGTGGCGGAGGCGGCCATCGCGGCGGCGCTGCTGTTAGAGCACACGCCACTGGGGGCCGGGCTTCTGCTTCGGCCGGGCGCACTCACTGTCCTGCTCGATGCCGTCCTCGATGAGAACTCCGGACCCCTCCCAGACCACGCCTCGCGTAAGCCTGCCACCCCTTCCAGAGGCGGTTCCTGTCCTGAACTTTGATTTTGACTGTGTGCACCGGACTGAGATCTGTAAGTCTCTGCGCAGCCTCTGATCTCATTTCTAGTTGATATCCTGACGAGACCCGGCTGCTGAGGGCTTGTCCACGTTTGCGAGTCTCCAATCCTCATGTGTACAGAGACGGGCAGGCAGAGTTCTTGAGCAATTGCTGCAGGTGCTGAGGCGACCGAGGCGTTGGCTGGCGCAGTGCAGTGGCTGCCGAATTTGAGTTCGAACGCAGACGCGCCCGGTAGCCGGCGCACCACCGCGTCAGAAGCCGGCGATGCAGCCGCCGCTGCTGCCGCCGCCGAAGCCGGCGCAGACGGCGCGCCTGCCTCTGCTTCCGCTGCCGTAGCGGAGGTGCTGTCAGCAAACGAGCATGGTGACGCAGCGCCGGGGGCTTCGCCGAAATCGCAGCAGGAGGCGCCAGCGGCAGAGGCCGGCGGAGGCGCCACCCCCTCGGGCAACTTTGAGACCATGACCTTTCACGTCGGCGGTGAGTTGGCCTGCCACTAAAAGTCTGGGCAGCTGAGCATATTGACCTTTTTTAAGTCAAACCTTCCACCTTGGGCAGTCATCACTTCATGATGCTGGAATATGTGGGTTGTACTCTGCTTGAAAGGGAGAGCACTGACTGTATGCTCTAGTCATGGGTCATGTGCGTCTAGCTCTGGTCCTGTCGGTGATCGGTGATGCTGATCTTGCAAGGTGCTTGAGTGTGCGCACTGTCCCTTGCTGAAAGAGCGAGAGGACCGACTGCTGTAATCATCATGGTTCTCTTGGTGTCCTCCTTGCAATCCTGTCAGTAATGACTCGTGATGATCTTGCATGGTGCAGGGAGGGAGTTCTATGCGCTGGCGTGGGTGCTGGCGCAATCGTCAAGGGCCATCGCTCAGACGCTAGCACAGATCCCTGACACCTCCACAGCAGCAGTCGTCATCCCAGATGTCCCTGGCCTTGCTCCCACCAGGATGTATGAGGTGCTGCTCTCACCCATAGTTTTCACTTATTTACCTGCTGTTCCTGCCAGAGTCAAGGTGCGCATGCAGACAAGCTGCATTTCAAGGCTTCCAAAATTCAACCCCTTGTTGAGCTCGCCAGAGCCAAGCGCGACCCGATCAACTTTGGGCGCGGTGCTCAGTGCTTTTACATCGCCTTGTTGCTACTTTTTCTTAGAAATGCGTTTCTGCTATGGGGCTCAGAGCAAGCCTGCTGTCTTATTCGGCAGGTCTTGTCATCATGCATGCACTAATTAGCTGTTCTGCTGTGTGGATCAGGTGTTTTCCCTGGCTGCCGAGTGTGCGTACACTGGCAGTCATGACGTGGCGCTGGAGGATTGCCTGGACCTCTGGGCCCTTGCAACCAGCCTACAGGTGCGTGCAACTTTCTTTTCTTGCACTACATTGCAGAAATTTGAATGTAGTATCGAAGACAAATGTATTGTGTTTCAAGCTCTGAACAAGTCAATGCGTGCAGATGCCGGACATACAGAGGCGATGCGAGCGGCTGGCTCCTTCGGTGCTCAAAGAGGAGGGCAGCCTCGAAAGGGCTCTTAGCCTCTCCCGCGGCCACAGAGAATCAGGTACTGCAGCATCTTGATTTGCATGCATCTGTCAACAGTGGGCATGCTGGAAGGCAATCAAGCCAGCTAGCACCCACTCAGGTCCACGTGCGTAAGACCGCCTATCTTGCAAGTGCAGCAGTGTGAGAATCCGGCAACACATTGGTGCGCTGCAAGTGTTGACCCACTTTTTTAAGGACCCTACACGCGTGCAGGGAGCGGGCTACGAGACGTTGTTGCAGACCACGTCCTCTCAAACCTGCTTTCCCTACGCGAGACCGGCACTCTGGGGCGCCTGGCCGTGCATCACCGGCGCGAGCTGACAAGTGCGCTCAATGCGACGCTCCGGCGGAGGCTGCAGGCGGCGCGGCCGCTGCCGACGCTCGGCCGCAGCTCGTCGCAGTTTCTGGCGGCTTTTACCAACGGCGACTCCCCGCGCTCAGCCCGCTCCCTCGGCTCGTCCCGCTATGCCGGTGCGCGCATCTCTCGCCTTAGTCATCTTGAAATAATGATTTGTGCAGACATCAAAGCAGTGCCAGCAGCAGGGAGAAATGAGAGAGGGCCGCCTCACAAGTGAACATCACGCAGCAACAATACGATGATCACCCGCTAGTGCCTAGAGGGTCAAATGTCAACTGCAGGTGTCAACTGTTGTTTGGTGTAAAGTACAGGCCTCATCAGCCTGCACAATAGCACGTTGGTGATTTTGCGTGTTTGGGAAGGGTGGCAAGATGCTTGCTATTTGTCTCGATATCTTTTGCTTCTCCTGGATAGTGAGAGTGGGCTCAAGGGGCTCTGTAGGTAGCAAGTTATCTAGATAGAGAAGATCTTCTGCAATTAAGAAGCGATCTCTGTGCAGGAGTGATAGGCGCCAGCCGCTTCTCAGCATCCACAGATGCTTGGGCCCAGCTTGAGAGGCAGGGCAGCCAGGCAGCTGCAAGCACGGTCTCCTTGGACAGCCCAACCAGCATATTGCCTGCTAAGGGCTCCCTGGAATCCTTCTCGAAGGAAAAGGGACTTGCGCAATAGCACCAGAAGTCAACAGGACAGACAAATTATAGCATGGGCCTGCGTTGTAGTTGTGAACTTCCTTTAATCACATGTCAAGGCACCTGCGGGCTATTGGAATTACAAAAACAGATTATTAGTGTGAATTTTTTTTCAGTTGCTGCTTGACTATCTGGGCAGAACGTGTGGTTGTGTACACATGTGTCAGGCGCTGAATGGAATCTCTGCTGTAGAGCAAGCCTTTGCACTCTTACTGATCAAGCCAGCTTCCTTGAAGGAAGTCTTTTGCTGATTTTATGCCATTGTACAGACTTGTGGCTTGCGACAGCACGGTGCGATTGATTGCAGCTGCCAGCCTTGTAGAGAATCAAATTTTGCAAAAGCAACCCATGGACAGGTGTACAAGCCAGGGTCACATGTCACCCAATCCGACGAACTCTCTCAGATGGGTTACACCCCTTTCAGGCATATGTTTGGGCTGACATCCCCTTGCCACGCAATATTGCATTTTGTATTCAAAAGTCTTGGCACAGTGTCACCCCAACAAGCGTCTCCTAGCAGTCGCACAACCAAGTTTGTACACAAGTGGCAGTGCCAATCATCGCCGGCTTGGGGGACCCCGCGGTCGGCGGCTGCCACCGCCGCCGGGAGGCCCATGATAATCATCACGTTTGCGCGGGGGACCGCTGGAATAACCCGGGGGCCCGCCGCCACGGCTGTCAGGGCCTCCTCGCTGGCCTGGTGGAGGACCGCGCCCGTAATCTGCACCTGGGCAGCCCATAATCGATCTCAGTAGAAGAAGAATTTGCCCTGAGAGTTGCATACACCTCAATCCTTCCTTACGCGGTCACATGACCGCGTGAAGCTTGAGCACCAACCGCGGAGACAGCTGTTTTCCGTGTTTCAAAAGCCAGGCTTGAGAGAAAAGAGAAGCACTGTCAGAGTACCAACACCCCGTGAAAGTTGGGGCATCGCGAGTCTCTAGAGCAGCCTTTGCCAAACACATCTTGCAGCATGACACGCAAGAGCGTGGCTGGCTCGTCATGACATTATAGCTTCCCACATAATCCCCTCTCAGAGTGCTCCCCACACCAATAATGTTGTTGAGTGCAAGAGCTCGAGAATTACGGATCAAATCTCACCGTAAGCATCGCGGCGGTTGGGAGTGGCGTCTCGCGGCTGCGGCCGGCCGCGCACATCCCTCCGGGGGTCCACCGGGATCAGGTCCGGCTCCCTGTGATGCTGCACCTGCACGCAGCAAAGAAAGCAATGAGACTTGCTGCCCCTCGTTGTTGCATGCAGGCTAGTACCGTCCACATCCCATGTCAGGGGTCAATGGAATTAAAGGATGACAGGTGTGCGCTGCCAAACAAAATACAGAAGTGTACAGGCTGATGTGCTGTGTTTTGGACCGCCTTCCTCTCATCCCATGATACCATTAGAGGTCAGGCACGCATCACGCATACAAACTCTGTTCGCCTTTTCTTCGAACACTGTGCTTGCATGCTGAGGCAGACATGAGAATAGCCTCTGAGCTGAGCTGCCTTTGCAGTGCAAACATGAAAAGATTGTGAGGCAGTCCCCTCTCCCTGCTTGACACTGTCTTGTATGTTTTGCATTTTGTTGTGTGTTAAGACACCGCCATCTTTTGTGTTAGACACCGCCAAACGCCCCACCTGCCCATACGGCTCTGCAGGCCCCCGCATCATATCCCTCGATCCGCGCGGGTCCAGGGGGCTGCGCGGGTGTCGGTACGGCTGCGGCCGGTCGACGCGCACTTCTAGCGGAGTCGACGACCGCGGCTCCTCGGCGGCCGCCCGGCCCTCGCGCACTTTGGGGTTGTTGAGAGCGCGAGCGTAGGAGATCCTCAGCGTCGGACTGTCCTGGTCGTCCAGATCCACTGCGTACCCCTGCAGCAGTCATGTCTGGGTCTTGACACTTCTACTTCTGTCTCCTCTTGCTGTCAAGGTATGGATTAACTGAGAAGAATGGCTGGACAGAAAAGAGCCAATTCCTGGATGGTATCATATAAGTACATGAGAGGGGCCAGTCACACTGCAAAATTGTTGCTTCCAGAGCCTTTGCTGTCCTTCCTAAATCCACCCAGAATGCCTAGACCGACGGACCAGTGGAGGTAGAGCCAGTCACCGTGAAATGTGGCTATGGGATTGCGACAAGGACAGAGCAGGTCAAGGAATAGGACAGTGAAAGGGGTTCTGGACTAGGGGAGGCAAGGCAAGGCTGGGGCTCACTTGGAGGTCGTTCATGGCACGAGCAGCAAGTTGCTTGGATGAGAACTCGGCAAAGCACCACATGACATCCTTGTTGTTGCGGTCGACCTTCTGCACCAGCCTCAACTCCTGCACACAATTGCAGCACCCGCCAGAATCAGCATCTCGCGGCCGTGACACAACAGCATCAGCGTATGCACCCATTGCCAGAGGATCATCAATTAAATTGGCACGCACTGCAACCGTTATAAGCGCCGGCCCCTTGCGCTGCCAATTAGATTCAATTTCACCCTCGTGGAAGCCCGTTCTGACCAATCGACTCTGTCAGCACAGGGATGCTCCTCCTAAAGATCACGCTTGTGCCTCAAGGTCCGCTGAATCGAACACTTTGGGTGACAGCTGTTCAATAGCAGAAACCATGCAAGTGCTGCCAGTGAGACCGGACTGCTTATTGTGGGCAATTCCTATTCCATGGTCAGAGCAAAATACAAACCTGCCTATATGCAGATGACTGGATGCGTACCTTGAATCCCTCGCAGGGTCGCAGAATGTGAGCCACTTCGCGTTTGGTGATTTTGAGAGGCAAGCCCGACAGGAACAGTGTGGGGTTGGCTTCTGGTGGCAGCACCTCTTCCTCCTCGGCCTCAGGCTGCACTATCTCCACTATGCGATGCCTGCAGCCATCCACACATCTCAGCCGTTCTTTTGCAGGGCATACGGTCTCATTACCCATATTAGACTGAGGGAATGGCGGAAGGGCCTGGCCAGGCTTACAGTACTGAAGCATGCAAGGGAGCCACTAATAAACCAAGACAAATGTGGATATTTGCTGAGTGTAAGGGGACGCAAATTATGTGCGAGCATGGGCGCAAGCAGGTATTAAGCATGTGACGCCGCCACCACGCCACCAAAAGAGGGGTTCCTTGCTTCAGACTTGCAGGCATGCAGACAATGGGGCCGATCCTCGCAACCCGTGCAGTATGAGAAGACTTCAGCGCAGGTGCGCAGCAAGAGAGAGCGCACGTTTGGGGCTCTGCAGACGAATGGAAGACTGGGTCCTGGCGGTCGAGGGTGGCTGCACTGTAGCTGTCCTGATACATGGGCCGCTCCTGAGCAGGAGGCAGCTGCCCGCTGGGCTGGTACAGCTGCTGCCCGGGCAGCTGCCCAGAATGGGGGAGCTGCTGCTGCTGAGTGGGAAGCTGCTGGTGAAGCTGCTGTGCTTGGCCCTGCCCCAAGCTGGCCCCCAGGTGGGATCCTGACTGCATGCCGGCTGGTGGGAGCCCGCTGTTTGGCTGCCCCTGCACTCACATGGCATACACTATATTCAGTACACACGTGGCAATCTTGTTGACTGCTGTCCTATGCACCTAGACACGTAAAGTGAACACCATTTGGCTTGTTAATTAAAGAAGGTATAATTATAATTATGGCCTGACCAGTATGATATCATGATTTCGAGTGATGCCAAGCCTCATGCAGCACACAGAGGGTGAGGGGATAAGCAGAAGAGTGTGGGGCATCCTGAGAATTTCGTGGAATATGCACGAGTACCAGCAGGGCTTCTGTCGCAGCAGGAAAGAGCAATGGATGAAAGGCAATCCGCACCATTTGGTATTGGTTGTCGGGTGCAGCATAGGAAGGCGGTGCACTGGAAGGGACAGAGAGCAGGTTTGCAAATGCGCCAGGCACCAATCCTGCAACAACAATATTAGGGGTTGCTTTCATCTCCCTCAAGATCCACTTGACGTGATCACAAACCTCACATGCATCAACGAGCTGGTGATTAGCACTGATATTCAAACTTAAAAACAAATGAGGAAATGGCAGGTGGCTTCTGCTCACCTTGTGGGCCCGGCCGTTGCCCGTTCATGGCCTGCCCTTGGTAGCCGGGGCTGCCATACCCCTGGGGAAGCCCTAGGTTTGACCCCTGCTGCTGGATGATCGCAGCGCGCACAGCGCGAACCTGCTCCTGCTGCTGCTGCTGCTGCTGAGGAGTCGGCTGCTGCGGTGTCACGACAGACCCTGCCACAATGCTTGGAACAGCTCAAATCCCGTGATGCCCTTTGCTTGCTTGATCCATTATGAATTAACCGTTCCTATCAACACAACACAACACCAGGCGCAGCTCAACTTTTGCTTGCACCGGGGCTTGGCCCTTAGCGACTTCCAGCATGCCTACCCTCCTCGTCTCTATAGCATGACTTAGGCAAAAATAAAGACGTGCCAAACTCCCACTGAGGCAGGCAGGCAGGTGTAACATCAGGGCAGGTTCACCCACCGGCAACGGGGATGAAATTGGAGTTGGGGTAACTCTGCGCTGCGGCAGGGCGCGCCGGCCGCTGTGCTGTTGCGCTCTGCTGTACGGTGTCCATGCCGAATGCCAGGCTGCTGACGTTGCCTTGCGCCAGCTGCTGCGGCGGCCTCTGCTGCACCGGAGTTTGCTGCTGCGATCCATACACCATATCCTTAATTGACACTTAAGGCATCCTGAGTATATGCAACTGTGAGGCAGGCTCTAAAAAGTAGAAGGTAACAGTAGAGACAAGTGCATTGCTTGGCGCGTGACAGCTAAAATTTGCAACAGGCTGTGGGGCAAGCATGCATGCCAAGGGGAAATCTGCGCCTCAGTAAATATTCTGTGTAAGCAAGAAGAATGGGACAAGAGATGTACCTGCATAGGGAGCACGCCGGGCGAGGCGATGCCAGGCATGGGCCCGACATGGTCCACATTTGAGAGGCGGCTATACGCAAGGCTCTGCTGCGGTGCTGGCGAGCCGAAGCCTCCATTGCTCGGCGCATACCCCTGTCGAAGTGACAAGTGTCAGGGCAGTGTTGTCATGCAGCACATTTGGACAGGGAGTTACCCGCTTGCTGTATGGCGCATAATGCGACTCAGTGCCTTTCAGCGTTTCAATTTCAGTATGGAGGTCTGGGCATCAAATGAGGATATAGCCCAGTTCAAATTCAGTAATCTTCCCATTTTGCAGTCTCATGAAACTCCGCGACCAATCAGTGCAAATGGAAACAATCGTTCGGCAACAAAAGAGCCGCCTCATCAAAAAATTGCCATCAACTGTCTGGTCCATTATTACTTGCAAATTCCCACGATACTGACTTGGCCTCGCTGCTTGCTCCCAATGAGGTGCAGATGCTTCTGTTTTTTGTATTTCAGCCACTCTCAGCCAAAGGGCAATTATAGATCGAAACGATCTGGTGCAATCATGGCAGCAAGCCTTACAGAACAGGTTCTTGGCAGAATCAGCATGACAGCCATTATGGCAGCAGATGCCATGCAGAAATTTTTGGGATGAGCTGGGACGATGCAGAAACTCAGACCAGACGCCGCCAGCATTCCATCCAGCAAGATCACAGGTTTTTCCAGACACAGTATTGCCGTTGCAACGTGTCCGTCCCTTTGCGCTCCAAATCTAATCGGGCTTTTCTCCTCAATAATGGGCTCGTATACTGCAGCCTTCGCGCTGCTTGCCATGCTCAAATATTTTCAGATCACATGGCAAGCTGCCAGCAGCTTCAGGTGGATTCTGAGCACTCACCAGGTTGGTGGGCCTCGGCTGCTTCAGGCGCGGGTCTCCATACACATCTGCCCACGTCAGAAACGCCCAATGAGTCGCACAGATCACCTCGGCAGGTTATACAGTCAGCGGCGTGACAATCTCAGCAGGCTGCACTCTCCTCGATGCTATACACGATCACAGTCGAATGCGCTGTCGGCCGTTCTGTTGACCCTGCCTTCAGTATCATGATTTGACAAGACGCAGTACCATGACACATATCAGTCATGCGCAAGAAGCAGAGCAAAATTTGCAGCATGAGGATCGCCGCAGAATTGCCGGCAGATGGCGCACTGAAGTGTGCTGCTTGATCTCGAATTCCAAAAACACTTCTTTGGTACATGCACGGAATTCGGTTGCCAATTGGCCAATAGGACCCCATCTTCAAATGAAGGTAAAGGGATCTTATGAGACTCAACCTCTGTAGCTGCATAATTCTTGGATCACTGTGCTATCATTCTGTGCGAACAGGCTGTTTTCAGCGGTTTCCAAAATTCTCTCCCAGAAAGACGATTGTCCAATCCTTCCACTTTGCCAATGGCGCATGTGGAAAAGCTTCCCAATTGAAGGTAGACATGCATACGAGGTAGCAGGGCATGCATAACAGATGCCGCATGCATGCTGGAAGAACCAAGAAGCCTGAGTTCTGGGTGGTAGGTCTACCCGTGCGCAGCCAGAATTTCAGAGCTAGCTGATCATGCTTAATTCTTCAGTAGACCAGAAGACTTTTGTACGGGTGCAACAGAGAGCACAAACAAGATGAGCCGCTTGCAAATGTTATCACTAACTGGCAGAAGCACAGAGCATAGCAGTGGGAAGATGAAGAATGTAGCAGAGTTAGTCTCCTTGCTGCTCCTTAGAAATATTTGATGCGGTATCATTGGGGGCGAAAAGTTTTATTAGGATCTAGCAGGAGTCCTGTAGAGCTGCTCATACCTGGGCCTTCACGGCTGCGCTTCAGTGGTTGACCAGCTGTTGGCAGCGGCTGCATTGTCTTCATGACCAGGCCTGAAGAACTCCAGCCCCTCCACCCGTGGTAGATAGAGACGGCGTTTCCCGCAGCTGCAGCGTTGGTGAAGTCGATGTACCCTACCGGCCTGCATTGCCAAAAGAGAGTCAACCCTGCAGAAGAGAATTTGCTGTAGTCGCACTGGAATTAGTCAGACAGGATGAGGAGATAGTATCTATGTTCCTCACTCTGAATTGCCGGCGCGGACGATGCGGCAGCCCAGGAAACCTTCCAGCCTTGAGAACAATTTGCCAAACTCATCCTGACTGATCTGGGCAGGAAAATTTGTCACTTGTACGTTGACAACGGACATGACGAGCTCTCGACGTCCAAAGACAGAGATTGTAGCTTCCTGGCAACCAGCAGACACACAGTCGATACAATAGTAACGTGAATGTAAGAGTTGTGCATGGCACCGCTCAAACAGACAGGAAGCAAAGCAAGAAGGACAAGCATGTTGTGATCATTCTCTCACCGTTATCCACCCGATTTTCTGAGCTGCAGGGATCGCTGAAATACTTCTGGGTCAGATATTGGTCAAACGCCACCACAACAGTCAGAGAAAGGTTACCGATTCAGGACGTGCATAAGCGTGCTTCAAACATTTGTTTGACTTCTTGGGGATGGTAAGTTGTGATTATTGCTGCGACCTCAAATGGACAGCCAGATCCCACGCATTTGCAATTGTGAAAGCACTTCAGGCGAAATGTTTCTATCGCCAAATTCAATGCCTGGCAAAATCACCACTAAATATACTGTGACTTCTCAAAACATGGCAAAAAGCTTGCACTGCAATTGGAATAGACTGCCTATTTTGCCTCCGTACTCCACGAGCTGAAGGCAGTATGCATGCAGCTGCAGCTGCAACACGCTGCACGATTGCATGCATGCGGTGATGACAAGCGCTGATCATGATTATAATTAGCACAAATGGCAGGTGCACGCGAATCCGATCTTTGAGTCAACCAGTGACAGCAAACGTGTTTGTCTAATAAGTAAAGTCACAATGTACATGTCCAGCTTCAGCGGTGTAGTCTGAGCACAGCATAATTATTGGATGTCAGAATCAAGGCGGCCCAACCCCAATTATGAACCCAAGAGGACCGCACAACTATCACTATGAATTTCTGACTGTACACATGTGATGGGACGTCTCAAGGAGGCCACAGCTGAGCCTTGCAAGTCATGGTCACAGTCTAATCAGTACACCATACTACAACTAAACACCTGAGAACCATTACAAAAGTACAGCAGGCGCCTCAAAACATCTACACTGCAGTTTGAAGATTACATCAATTCTTTGCTTTGGAGACCATGGCATCGCGCTGCTGCCATTCCTTCCCCGGCCGCGGCAGGTCATAAGTCTCTGTGATGCGCGCGTAAGTGTTCCCTCCCAAGCGGCTGACTGGAGCATATTTGTCAAACTCCACGAAGACGTGGCCATGGCCTGTCTTGCCTGTGACTGCCTCCAGCACGTGGACCAGCACGACCTCCCCAATGATGATAGTCGCTGTCACCTCTCCTTTGCTACAAGCAGAGAAGAACGTCAACGCAACCCATCTGCCCCTGCCCCTTCAACGTGCCTCCTAACATTAATGTATGCATCAAGTTTGCATGTCGGCTGAGTGACAATGCATCATGTCACAGCAAGCATTGAATTCTTGGAAGGCTGCTGTGGAAGACTCCAGCATTAAGGGGACAAGGGCAGCCAGTTCACTAGCCTGCTCTCACCTATTCTTCACAGGATAGCTGTGTCGCAGCTTGCACTCCAGCTGTACTGCTGCTTCCTCTATCCGCGGCGGCTTCACCTGAGCATCACTAAATAATCCTCATCTGCGAATGCACCCCTCAGCCCCGTTGGCAAGTTCATGTTCAAAACTGGGCCTCAAGCGCCGCCAGAATGTGGTGGGCATCCTGCTGGCAAATGAAGCAGCAGGGCATTTACCCATGAAAATGTGCACACAACACAAGCAAACGGCAGACAAGTGCTCTAAGACTAGAGGATCGCAGCACCAGCATAGAGCCCTACCCGCACAGATGGCGTCGGCGTGAGGCCAGCCAATTCTATTTCATTGACACCCCTGTCATAGTTGCCGCAGGTGTGATTCGCAGCCTCCAGAAACCATTCGCTCATCATGTTTAGCGTGAATTCCCTGCAACCCAGCAGATAATCAGTGTCTCCTCAACATGTGCACAGTAAAGCAATCTCTGTATGCATTCATGTGCACGTGCTTAGCTATTATTGAGGCAAGCTCACCCTGTCTCCAGGATGTTTTGCTGAGAGTCCTTCATGCCATTTGGACGGCCGCCGGTGGCGCATGTGCCAATTGTGACATAGGGGGGATCGTGAGACATGACTCCAAAGTAAGAGTAGGGTGATAGATTGCCCACGCCCTGCCAGCACACACCCACTTTGTCATGGATACGAAGAAGATCTAAGTAGCATATTTTTCTCTCCACTCAGAGAATCCGCAAGGGTATATATGTATGCTTGGCCAGGCATATTATCCCTACAAAAAAGTGTTGTGTCAATGTGGCAGGACGAAGTAAACGTCTACGCGGCTTGAGAAAGTTTCGGCTTGCATATAGTGGACACCACACTTGGCGAAATGGCTGAGCACTAGAGCAGCATGCAAACCTCTTTGCTGAGCGAGGAGATGAAGGCGATTGGTCGGGGCACGACTGCACTGATGACAAATGGATACAGTCCAGCACCCAGTTGAGCTGGATCGAGCTCAATCCGCTCCCTGTTCTCGAACGGGTGCGGCAGCTTCTGGCCTGGCTGCCAATCTGGGTGGGGATTCTTTACCTGCCTGACATCCACAAGGCCCTTGGGCTTCCCTCCGAGCCTGCACACCACTGGGCCACGTTGCTAGGCCATAACACATACAACAACACAGACACGTGTTAAAAGGCTTGGTGCATCATTAAATGACAGATAAGGGCACATAAATTGGACACCTAGGGGCACTGCAGGATGGCCTTTTGATGCAACAGGTGCAGTGCCAACAGCTGGCACAGAAGTCTCTCGCACGCAAAGTAAAGCACATGTCATGCTGATGTGATCGTTGCTGATGTGATCGTCGTCGATGCAGCATTGGCAACTGCTCTTCAGATGGGACGTACCTAGGAAGTGGCAGCCATCTGGCCAAACGCGATCCTGACGAAGCTAGAAAAAATGCTGATGCACCTGCCGCACCTGCTGCTGCAGCAAGTAGTACTTGAGGATCCATCAATCAGTGTTATAATTTCTTTGAACACTATGATGCTCTCCTAGGCAACCCTGGCTGGCAATTGCTACTCCGGTACCAGGCTTTGCGGTGTGAGTACGATCTCAAAATTGCACAGCAGCAGGCGCTTCACTAATATTAGATCATCGCAATGGTTGATACTGATTGAATCTCTGAGAAGAGCAGTCCAAGAATATAATGCATCCTGAGTCATGCCTTCATGCCAAGAATTACGCGAATGCACATGGCGAACGGCGTCCCGTCGGACAGGACAGGATGGTGTGAAGCAATCGACAAATCTCTCCATAACAGATTGTTGCAATGCAATTTCAATCTTTATATGGCTGGGTTAAGTCTTAGTTTGTTTTGGCAGCTCAAAGATGAGAACTCGAGTTGCAGTCACCAGGTTCCTTCCTGAATTGGGCTGTTCAGCAGCTTTGATACTCAGGACAATCAGACTTATGGTGATCAGTAGTCAGCAATATTCAATTTTTCGTGCGTCAGACTCCTGCTTTTGTGTGATACGATGTCTCTGGGCAGTGGGCCCACTTCGAGGAACATGAAGGCTCGTTCGACGCAAACAGTGAGGCAGCTGTTTCTCCACTTTGCTGCCATATTACCGAGGCCTGGTGCCTTTTTGCATCTGATGGAGATCATGGGTTCTCCTAAATTGCTAAATGTTGCGCTGCACGCCAGAACTTTGCAAAAAATCGCAAATTCTGGATACTTGCGTGTGTCATCATGAAAGTGTCTTTACAAGGCTCATGCCATTTTTGAAATTTTCAAAATTTTACAAGCAAGGAACCTGTCATTTTCTGACTGACAGCAGAGCAAGTATATTGCACGCAGCACAAGATGCCTCTCACGCTTATACTGCAGTCCCTGACGGCGCACAAACACAATGTGGGGATGAATAAGAAACTGTATTCCATTTCTCCCATGTACTTTGCTGCCCCATGCAAGCATAGGCAGGCCTTCAGAGAAGATACTTTGTCTGCAAAAAGCATATTAATCCCAAACCAGTGCATATGTCAACTCAGCCAATTGTTTCAATGTACTTCAGACCCCTAGCGGATTACTTGTCAAGCATATGCCTGCCAAACCGGATAATGAAGATGTTTCTAATGAAATGGAAATTTTTCCTGTCGAAATGCACGATCCGAGCATAACATGCACCGAACCAGCAGAATGCCTGCCCGCCTGTCGAGCTGCTAATTTACCACTAATGTGAGACTTCTAAGATGACTTGCTGCCATTTGCTGCAACAGCCGGGACCCTTAGCAGTGCAGTGCACCGATCCTTGAGGAGCCGACTTCACAAAAGCCTATGGTCATTCATATCAGGGGGAGAAGGTCTGAGCATTAACTAGTGGATGTATTGGATCACGCCCAACATCTTCATCCCTACATACTGCAATCCTACCTTTCCAGCAACCCCGTAGAGTTGCTTTCTGTTGCCCCGAAGCCTTTACAGATCTGCGCGCTCTAACACAACCTGCTGCCATTGCAACAGCTGGGCCTCTGAGCAGGACAGTGCACCAAAGCAGGCAGCTCTGCAGAGCAGTCAAACTCAGGGAAGGAAGGCATCTGAGCGGCCTCCCGGGGCAATATCAATGAGTCGGTTCTCAATTGCGATGCCAGCCGCCTCCGCAATGACGCCCCTTGGGCCGATGTCAATCAGCTGCGGTGAAATGTTGATGAGCGTCGGCTCCACCTGCGGCAGGCAAAGGGTATCCGTCACACAGCCACCAAAAATTGTCTCTTGATTAGACTTGCTGCAGGTTTTAGCCTTGCGCAAAGCACTTCTTGCCTTCGCTGCCTATGGGGAGGATGACATAATATGTGTCCATCTGCTGATGTCATCCACAGTTCAATCTTTTGAGTGCAAGTTTATTGCATTCTCTGCCTTCGGTTGCGGTGGGCTACAAATTGCATGAATGGATTGGGTGTGCATGCAGCATTAGGGAGCCATGCCCAAAGGCCATCTGATCACCTCACGCCAGAATACATTGTACTGTTATTATTTATAATAATATAGCACGATTTTCCTGCCAAGAGGCAAGGCGCGTCCTGCAGGCAAGCTGCACTTTAAGGCCGCCAAAACTTACAATTTGAGTGTAGAAAGTCAAGCGTGAGGGAGAGAGTGAGCGCACATTGACACCGGTGGGTGCGATCTTGATCAGCTCTGGGATTATAGAGATGAGGCTGTTCTCCAGTGACACTCCTGCAATGCCATTCCGCACGAGGCACGGGGCAAAGCTGATGATTGTTGCCTCAATGCCCACACCTGCAAAAGCACACCATGCAGGGCGGCTCATCAACAAAACACCATGCGGAAGTTTTGTTGTGAGTGCTCGTGGAGGGTCGCACTGCTGCAAGCCTGGGGCTTTGTGTGAGTGCCATTTTAGCTGTGACCAGCGTCTAGGGATGCAGAAATGTTCTGGCGCCGCTGCTATGTTCCGACAATGAAGGACTGCGCGCAAACATCCGCAAAAAGCCCCTCAGCAGCCTTCTAGGGCCCCATAACCGCAATGAGGTGCCAATACTGTTTGATCCAGTATTTTTCACTAACGACGAGAATATCAGACTGAAAAAGAGTGCATCACAATCTGCAGTCTATCAGGCTATTATTTGCAAGGAAGAGCCGTCTGCCCAAATAAGCAAGGCTGCTTGCATTAGCTATTGGGCCCTTGTGCTACTGCAGCGCTCACCTTCTAAGGAGGCCTTGAACATTTCAGGGTCGAATGTTGCGAGGCTGGTTGGGTTGGCAATGTCTTCCAGCAGCTCCTGGAATGACTCGATTGAGCCGTCCTTCTGGACGACCTCCGACAGGGGTGTGGTCAGCAGCTGCGCGCACATGCCGGCACATGATTGCTGCATGTTACTAATATAGTCACACGCCTTTCAGAACCACTGTTAGCTCTGGTGCATAGCAGCGGCATGTTCGACCAAGTGTCGTGCTTCAAAAAAAACCCGCAATGCACACGCCGGCACATAAACACAGCGTTTGCAATATTTCAGTACTATGCTTTGACATCAGCACGCACCTCTGACAGTGTGGGCCTGGGCTTCTCTTCTGTGTGTTCCTCACCCTCGTGGAAGGCCTTTGAGGGCTTTGCGTACGACTGGAACACGTACTGCAGGAAAGATGCCCCTGCACAGATCAGCGATAAGTTTCACCATTGTTTCCATGCCGCACAACATGATCCAATTCACCATGCACCTTTCAGCAGAATTGCAGCGGTGCTGAGCAAAGCGTGCGCAAAGACTTGCAGAAAGGTGCATGCTTGCATCGAGCTGGTCGCCGGTTGCTATAAAAATTGGAGCCCATGCCTTGCTTTGCTATGCGGTCATGGTATGCTTTGCCCCAATCAGTGTATGCATGTGCAAGGCTGCACAAATTGTAAAACAAACCTTTAGGGACCTCCTTGCTCTCAGACTGCAGAGTCACAGCAGCTTCTGCTGCAACCTGCGCCAGTTCTGCCTGTGCAAGGCCTGGGTTGCCTGCGTGCCCGACAGCAACATTTACCTTTCAGAAAAGGAAAAGGCCGCGAGCAGCAGGAATGAGATATATGGAGACGGTATTCAGGGTCACAAGGCTAACATGGAGGCGGTTGATAGCGAGGTGAGAACTGAAGACGCTGTGCAGCTTTGATGGGGATGCTTGGGGATGTGTCAGAAGCCTAATGAAATTGCGAAACACTTGACAAATGCATTACCTCAACTGGCTATCAAGCATCATATTCTGCTGTAAACATGGGTGAAACGTCGAGAATGCACCTTTGTTGCTCGCCAGCAGGGATGCGGCGAGAACAGAGGCCCAGGCGTCTTCTGTGGTGGCGTTCGCACGCTGAAGTGCTCCGGTCACCGAAGGTCCAGGAGCCGTAATTTCAGGTGCTGCATATGAAACACAGCACCAGAGCAGGAGGCCATAACCGAGGACAAGCCGCTTCGTCATACCAGGCAACAGATCGAGGCCCTAATGATCAAGATGGGCGTGAGTGTGCGAACTCAATCCTGCTATTAAAGAGTAGAAAGCAAGGAATGATGTGCTTTCAATGCCGAGCTAATGCAAAGAAGGGATCCCTGAGTTGGAGAAACGGTTGCTGTGCTCAACGATAGTACCACCCACCAAAGGGCACACGTACCAGAATAGGACCAGACAGTCCCCTGCTACATTTGCTGCGCGACCTTCTGGCAGATTTCACGGAGTGGTGAATTCGTTGAAGATCAAGAAGGCATGATGGGTATTGAAAGGTGGGGTGTCCTTTCGAAATTGATATCGACAGCTCGTGCTGTGAAATTCACGCAAGGCCCTTCCTGACGAAGACCTCTGCGCAATCAACGTGATATGACCTTGCAAACTATAAAATTCGTAAGGATGAATTATATTGAAGTCGCCGTGTGGACCAGGTGGTGCCTTTTCGCGGCGGTACTGGGCACTGCCCTCAGTCTGGCATCTGCCGAGTTAACCGCAGGCGGCCTTGCAGCGCTGCCCTCCAGCTTTCAGGGGGACGTGACCGACAGAGCCGCTGGTCTCAAAAGCTGGGGCAAGCTCCTTGGCCAAGCTGTCATCTTCAACCAGGTCGGCACCCAACAGTCCCAAAATGGACGCATCTGGCTTCTCATGGTCAGACAGAACAACGGCCAGGAACCTGCCGCCGGTCAACGCAAGTTTTATTCGGCACGTATGCCGAGTGATATAATTTGGAACCAGCACATGCACCCTTCAGCACGAAGATTCAGCAAGGACTTGTCAGTGAAATTCCTTGCCCCAGACATCTCTTGCCAGTGTCAGACCTCAGGCTCAAAGATCCCTCATGACCCCATCATGCCTCAACAATCAACTAAGTTGTGCTGTAAGATGTGCTCAAATGACATATTGGCAATGCTTTCGCAGGCGGGAGATGCATCGCGCGGGGCATACTCTCTGGAGTCGCTCATCCAGAAGGCACAGCATCAGATCATCCTCCAGGCAGCCGGGCTCGCGAAGAACACCGAAGTTGCCTCAACCGCCGATCTCGCCGAAGAGAAGGCAGGATGCGATCAATTCCCTTCCATCACTATCAGCCACCCTGACTCAGCAGCACCTCTCATGCCTCGATTGCCTTGACACTCTGATGTAGCACCCTGCACCATTGCGCAATCTGCATGGATCCAAGATCTGACTTACCTGCAAATTCACGGGCTGCATTGCACATGCTTCATGCTTGGCACAAGAGCATTTCGGAGACTGCTGGTCATGCAGCGAGCCCGCCATGCACAAAATTCAAATTTGAAAACGACAGCTGACCTGTCTCGCTTGTCCCGCCGCGCAGCAGAAGGCGCCGCTGCAGTTTAATGAGGAGAAGGCAAATGAGAACCCACTGGAGAAGTGGACTCGCGTGTTGGTAGAGGAGGCTAATGCGCAAGCCAAGAAGGCCTTTGGGAAAGCGTACTCTACCCTCAACCGCGCCGGCAAAGCTGCCTTCTCAGCCTTCAACCCGACCGGTGCAGAGGTGAGCATGAATGATCATGCCTTGATAATCATGCCGGATGAACTGCGCACTCACAAATAAGCGCCCTGGGATGTCTATCCAACAATTGTACACGTCTGTTTGGGAGAATCAGCTATCCGAGTGCCTCTTTCGCCATTCATCCTGCAACCTGAAAATACACAGGCATCACATGAGCCCACGGAAGATCGCCGCTGTCATCATTCTGTGGGAAGATGTCAGCTGAGCACTGATACTCTTGCGCAGGCGGCAACAGAGGCATCCAACGAGGAGCAGGCGGGCGGAGAAGAGACCGAGCTGCCACCCTTCATCAAGGACGCCGAGCTGTTTGAGCTTGGAGGTGAAATTTTGCTTTAAATACAGATCCTCAGCATGAGCCACTCTCATACCTTCATGATTGTCGGATCCGGCTGCTTCTTCTGTAGATGAAAATACCCCGTTTGCTGATTATGAGTTGGGTGTTTGACCTGCAGCCCCTTCAGTGTTCTCCTATGAATGGGAACCCATCTCCACCACAGTGGCAGGCGTTGATCTGGAGGTCAACATCTTCAACATCGCACCATGCGCAGTCGTTTTGGACGCATCCGGTGTCAAGGTGCAGCTCTGATTCCACTTTTGTGTTCCACAAACGCATGCGGCAGTAATTGACATTTCTGCTGTTTGCAAGAAATTGCAAGAGTGCAAGGGAAGGTAGAGGCAAGAACGGGGTAAGCTGCTTCCTAAAACACGCAAAGGCATGCAGACATGCTGTCCCAAGAATGTACGAATTTGTGCGCCAGTGCTTTGCACCTTGACAAGCACTTGCAGTGGAATCGTTTGTGAGATCATCAAAGCATAAATTTCTAGTGGGCTGTCTGGAGCAATGTGCAGAATCGTAAAATCTGCAGGACACACAGCGCCTATGGAATCTGCCTGGCAGACATGCAAACAGTAAGCAAAGCACTGATGAAACATACTCTTTCAAACCCCTTTGGTGAGAAGAGTAGTTGTTATATGAAGTTGCATATGTCTGGTGCACAGGTGGAGAACACGCTCATCAAGGTGGAGCCGATGCTGATTCATATCAACCCCAAGGCGGTGAATGTTGAGGCTTCCCTGATCGAGGTGGCCCCAAAGCTCATCAGTGTGTCTCCCTACGGCGCAGCACTCAACATCGAGCTGCCAAGGCACATCCACGTGGAGGGCTCGGCCATCGAGGTGTGTCCCTACTGCTTTACAATTGATGATGTAATATCAAGAAAACCACTAGTGACAATAGAGTTTTACCCACCCACATATATCTCAGATGACAATTGGAGCTGTGGCCGAGCAAGGAGCCAAGAGGTTCTCTGCAAGTGCCTGCCTGAATTGCATCTCCATATAGATATTTGCCCCAGCTAGACGTTATCTGAGGGTCTTGGTATGCCTTAAGCATTCCGGAGCCGTATGGTCCAGAGTTAACCAAGGTGCCATCCTATCGTGCTGCCCCCAGCCAGCATTCATCCTACATGGGCAGCTTAGTTGGAGGCTGCTGCACATTTCTTGCATGCACAGTAGCAACTGCAGCAAGCCTCTGCCTTGCATGCTTAATCCCTCCAAACATGACCAAATGGAATGTTGAAGCCGGATAGAAATACTTCATGCTGACTCTGAATATGCGTGCCAGGTGTCTCCTGTTGGAGAAGAGACCGAATTCGGCCCAGGAGCCGATGCAGAGGGGTGATTTCATGATTTTAGGATCATAACAACTGCTTACAGCCAGCTCGTGGCAACCATTTGATTGCAGGGCATTTGAAACAGGTGCTATCTGATGCTCGAGTATGATGCAATTATTATTAGGATGCGGTTATGCAAACGGGTCATGCAAAGTACAGTGCTACACTGCAGGACCTCCAGCAAGTAGAAGTAAGTAATATAAGAAAATCACTGATGCGAGCCTACGTTGTATACAGCCTTGAAGTCAGGGGCAAAAGCCTTTGCCGAGAATGCTTTTGCTAAGTATGGCCATGCCGAAATGAAGTGGCAGCAGAGTTGAAGAAGTGATTCTGCACAAATGTATTTTTGAATTGCTTTCAAGTGTTGAAGTAGCACTGAAACTACAGCAAAATTGTTTTTAGCCTGGCAGTACCTTCCATGTAACGCTCTCAATGTCTGTCAGCCCAACTCAACAGCTCTTGCTTCAGCTTTGCTGCAACAGCATCGATATCATTATTCACTCGCATGGACGTTTTGATGATCACTGAGCTCATCGCTATCACACATGCCAACCTCAAAGGGTCAAATGTTAATGACCGTGCAACTTGCACCTCACACACAAAATTGTCTTGTGCTCACGCTCTCACTGTATACTGCTAATTCCTGTCACGTCACATCAAGCTTGCCTGCTGCTCAGGTAAACTTGATCTCAAAGCCTGTCAAGGCCATGCAGCATTGTGCATGGGCTTGACACCCCACAATTAAACCACCCACGGCTGTAGCCGGCCTTTGACAATCAATGGGTATGCATTGTATGGAACAATCTCTCTCTCTCTGCAAAGTACCTTCAGATTGAGCCGCCCGTTTGCATATCAAAACTCCACACAGTAACAAGACTGGAGGCTCTCAATCTGTAAGTTCATGCTGTCACTGCTCAATACGGTCCCAAAACGGTGTTACACCAAGGAGGGGCCCTTGCAAGAATACAAGCCGCTTTGACAGCAGGCCTTCCTCTTATCTCTGGCGCTCCCTCTGCCCTTAAGTCTGCACTCCTCTTTGTTCCAACGGCCTTCAAAATGGACACAAGGCGGTGTAAAATTGAGTGAGCGCCCATTTGAAGGGTTAGAAAACTGCCGCGGCGGGAAGTCGGGCTGCGGCAAAGCCGGCGGTCAGAGCCGCGCCGAGCGCCATATGCCACTTGAGAGCATAGCGCTTGAGAGGCCGCACCGCCTCTGGTTGCTGGTGGGTCCTTTTGGCAAAGTCCAACAGAGCCATAGCCTGCAAGCACCAGCCCTTTTTTGTTACATCACAACTCATACAACAAATCGCTATGCCTGAAATTCTTGGGGTAGTGCCCAAGCCCCTGGCTCCATGGATGGGTCAAAAGAGCCCAGCATGTGTATCCAACTGCTTTCCAACCCAATATCACCAAGACCTGGCAAGCGTCTTTGATGTAGAGGCCCTTGATTGCTTCCAACATGGCAATTAATGAAGATGTTCAATCCTGCATGCTTAAATTCTGCCCTGCCCAGAGCAGCAGCTGCAGTCACCACACTGATGAGCAGCTCCTGGACTATAGGAGGCAGTGCATGAAAGAGTTAAGGTGATAGGATGACAAGGCAAAATGAGCAGGAAGCGGGCAATATCAAGATCTTTGCATCCCTGTGTTGCACGTCATGTGAGAGCTTTCAGGTCCGTCTGGATTCAGGGGTCCATAGACATCGATACAGCTTGTAAGGGCTACAGCCTTCTGCAGAGGGAGAGGGAGGGAACGCGCACGCTGGGCACGGAGAGTATCTGCGCGAAGAGGCAGGTGAGCGGCAGCCACTTGAGCGCAGCCGCAATGTCCAGGAACACATACGTGAGCAGCACTCCAGCCCGCAGCACCTGCGCAACACCACTTTCTCTGAGATTACTGTTTGGTGATTGTGCAATTTCAGCACCCTGGACCCCAGAGCTCTCTGCTGCATAGGACACATCCTAAGCGAGTCCCGCGTTGAAGACTTCCCTTAGGGCGCCAATAGCGCTGAGATTGCACTTCAGGCAGAGAACCTCCTGCATGGGCCACTTACTGCCAAAGAAGACAGGGTTGCCTCACATTCCATGACTCTTTACCAGACTCACACCACCGTACTTTGACACAGTACCGTGCTACATGGCAGTATCCCATAACAACGTCATTCCGCAGATGCAATGTTTTGGTCTGGTAGCGACCGGCTCTTGGCCCAGGAATATTGTGGAATGCAGTACATTGAATACAGATCCTAAACAGTTCATCAAACACTCCCAGCAAACTCCGCAGAGTAAGATTTGTCCAAGACCCTGCTGCGTACCTGGTAGCCGAGGTTTGGGCCGAGGCGCACGAGCGGAGACATCTTGTTGGCTGCAGTGTCGCCCTCAATCTGATGGAAGTGCGAACAGAAGAGCACTGACGTCGTTGTTGCTCCGACGATCACAGACGCGGCCGCGGCCGCCGCCGTCACCGCCGCGTATCCGACGGCGTCCACTCCGCCCGCCTGAACAGGCAATGCACAAAATATCACTGCCGCATCTCTGACAGCGTTCTTCAGCTTGCCTAAGCATGCCCTGTAATATAACCTATCCCACGCTAAAGGACACCATTACAATCTCACACTGTCCATGACTTGCTACATTATGATCTTAGCAAAACGCACTTCAGTGCAGAGCTGCTCCCCAGGATGTACCCCGCTTTTCAATTCCAAGAATGTGCGCCCTAAGCCAGTACAGAACTTGCAGCAGACTTTAAAAGTCGAGGTTAAGATGTCCTTGAAGGCCAACATCCTATGCAGTGCAAGCTTGCTTGAGATCTCTCTGAGGCATTGCTTCATAAGAGCCCGGTAGACACAGCATACCTTGTCCTCACCATATTATAACCAGCAGCTTGCATCGACCTTCTTTCTGAAAATATATGCAGGCTCAACATGAAATGCAAATTCGAGTGGATGTGCATGAATTAAACCTGAGCAAGGAAGAATGCGCAGGTTGCCAGCGGCCCAAAGGCCAGGAAGCACAGCGGCTCCCCCAGTCCCTTGTAGCTCAGCCTGCAAGCGCGAGAACATGCCAAAACTTAGGAACCACCAGAACAAGTTTTATCTTGTCTGCAGGACGTACCTTACCTCTGGCGGGAGAAGCATGAAGTAACAGTAACAGTAACAGTAACAGTAACAGTAACAGTAACAGTAACAGTAACAGTAACAGTAACAGTAACAGTATCAGTATATAATAATGCTAATTATAATATGTATTCGTGCAAGGTGCAGGATGCCCCAGATATCAGACTTGCTCAGATATAGACGCCTTCGCTGGTTGGGACATGTGGCAAGATTGGATCCCACTAGGATTGCATTGCAGATGATGTTCAGTAGAATGTCAGGCACTGGGGCTAGAGGCAGACCATTGAAGAGCTGGAATGATTATGTGAGAGATGACCTTGATGCTATTGGGCATCCATATGAGTGGTGGAGGAAGTGCAAGAACCGAGAAGACTGGAGAGCAATAATTCAGGTGTTGCTTGACGTACCTAGTCCTTAAGGACTGGAAAACGTGTAATAATAATAATAATAATAATATGTATGAGAATAACGTTGCCTCGAATGCAAGGCAGCGACCAGGGTCTGCGCTGCAGATGCACGCTTCTCAAGCGACATGATAGTATTGCAGGAGGCTCACCTGAAGGGCGGGCCCTGGTACATATAGCCCATGCCAATTGCGAGCGCTAGCGCCATTCCCACATGCACATCCCCCTGCATATAAAGCAGAATTGGCCAAGTCAGTCCAAGTCGGTTTGCGATTGTGATCACTTGGCTTGGTGTGGGATAGGTATATTTAACGCCCCTGAGAGATGAGGTGATGAAGGAAAGCGGGGTTGATCAGCAACAATTCCATCAGGGTTGAGCCTTGCGGCTGCTGCGGGCGCCACTCGTCTGTTATATCCATCCTAATCCAAGCACCCCCGCACATGGTGATGTTGGCCTCGCATGGACATCACTTAAGCTTGAATCTTTGAGACTGCAACAGCGAGATGATTGGCACGGGATAATCCAGCCCCCAAGTCGTTTGCGCAAAGCTACATCCCTCATTGACTCCAGTTGAGCCCTGAGCGAGCGGCGTGGAAATACATCTTACACAACGAGTTCTTTCACTCTGCAAAACCCCTGAGCTTAGAAACCCTACAGGGGAGATGTATTTGCACACCGCGGCTTTGGTGCCGGTGTGCAGCAGCCATGCGCCGGCCAGCAGGCACGCGTTTGCCAGTGCTAGCACACCCTTCTTATTCCCCCCAGTCAGATTCACCACCGACTCTTCCTTCGCCTGATCCACCCCGGTATCTGCATCGTAGGCGTCATTGCTGCGGCCACAGCACACAGAAATTAATTCACTTCTCGACCCAGCGGATTCTCCTTCAGATTGCTTCTGTGATGCTTGCGGCTATTAGCAAACCACAATAGACCAAAGTTCAGCTCTTCAATCTCTTCTTCTTAACTCACCAAGCATGAAACAAAGTGGGCAAATCTGGGAGTGAAATGTTGAATATATCTGTTGCGATAGAGCATGTGATGATGCACTATGGTTCCTCTGGGCATCCAGGTGAATTTTCAATTTTAGGATTGTGAACTGGTCAGTGGCGTACAACAATCAGAGGGCAGCCACTGAGGAGGTGCTCACCTGAGGTTGAGCCAGGCAATAACAAGGGTGGCGCCAGCCACGAGCTTCCAAAAGCATGCGCTGATGAACACTCCTGTGCTGTAGTACGCCGCGCCAGCACTCACCTGCAAACACCGCATTGGCAGCCGCTTGTGAGCTGCTTTGCAGACTGGCTCACAGAGATAGGTAGGTGCTGCAGTCATGTCATTTCCTAGGCAGCCCATGTGTCCTTATCTTCTTACACTTACATCCCCCGCTTCAGCTGCTGAGTCTATTGTCCTGCCATGCATGGCCAGTCGGCCTACTTCCATGCATGCCGCCTGTCTTGCACAAGGTAAATGCACCCAAAACACAGCTACATTGAATTGTTGCCTGTGCTGATTTGCAAGGACGTGTACACTGCACAGGGATGCTCCATGCAGGCACTACAAGAGTGTCCCAAGTCTGCAGTGTACTGCAAGGCTTATGGCAGTAGGGCGCACCAGAATAGGCACGATGCCGACAGCGTACATGGGGGGCTTGACTGCAGCAAACCACAGTCTCCGCTGCCGTTCCCTGCTGCTCGAATCAGTCCCCTGCAAGGCAGTGCTGCCTTGTGCTGAGCTGGACGCGCTGGCTGACGGCAGGTGCACGGCAGCTGCCTGCCTCTGCTGCAGCTCCAGCAGACCCACCTCCCCGTATAGGTTTGGCTGGTCCTGGCCTGTGCAAAAGTGCAGAAGCAAGGCTGAAAATGCACTCTTCATTGCGTGATGCTGAACGATTGATCCTGTTACAAGGCCCGGTGCAGCTGCTCGTCAGCTGTGCTATCACCTCTGTCGGTTCTTGCTAAAATCGAAATATCCTGAGGCATGAGGCTTGGAAGATGTGAACATCCGCTTTGTGGGAATATGGCCCGCTCACCTGGTTCCGATCGAGGGATGCTGGGGCGCGTTGAGGACGAGGTGGGTGTCCCCTCGGTACCATCGAGACTGCCTGACATGGCAGCAACCTTCATGCTACTCGAGAAGCACCTCCCATCGTGCCCTCTACAGCTTTTCGGTGCAGTGTGCTGCATCTGCCGCGTGATTCCACATCTGCATATATAGTTAGGCAAATGAGACACATCGGGCAGGTCACGCAAATTTAAGAATATTCATAAGCATTTTTTCCTCAGATGATTGTCCTGCTGCAGTCGGGTGTTCTCCTGCTAATAATCAGAGATTTGGCAAGGAAGCTTTGGCAAAGTCTCAGGGATATACGTTCAACACGAAGAGGACTACAAAATTAACGGGATCAGTACCGTCCGTGTGAAATTTGCTGCATTCCAGGACGGCATCGGCCGAACTTCAGAGCACCCCGAGGATGCAACCCTATGCAGCTGATAGAATGTGTAAAGACTGCCATCATATCTTAATAAAAGATCGCCTGATTGCAAAAGAAACAAGCACACAAGCTTTGTCCACGGCAAGTCCTCTTCTTTTAATTTGCTTGATTTACGCTAGCAGTAGGAAATATTCTCTCTCGAACTAACGACTTCTGTCTTAGGTGCAGAGAGGGAGAGAACAGCGGCTTCAATTGAGTAAACGAGGCCTGATCTGTTCATATCGTCTTTCGTTCTGATATCGTTTGTGCGGTGTACTCACCCCTTAAACCCTGTGCCTCCAAGGGTGTTGGGAGGGTAGCCCAGCTGGGCCAAAGAACCCTTGGCTGCAACGTGGATGCATGTGCATCTCGAGGAGCTTTTAAAACAGCCTTTGCATGTGCATGTGGTAGGGGAATGACTACGGTCTCTGCAAGGCAGCCCTTCATTGCTCTCCTTATCAATATTGTTTGTCTCTGTCGCAACCAAAGTCTTGAGCTCATGCTTTACCATATGATGCTATCTACTATCTACAAAGTATGGTATGCTGGAGACAGTGTCTTCCTGTGTACACTCTTTCCTGGATAGACCACTGCCGTGCAGGCTCGTGTTAAAATGCAAACTTGCAGCAATTAGGTCATGTCAATCGACTGCTTTGTACGGGACAGATGCGCATTTGCAGTCACTGTCGATACGGTATCAATCAATGAGGTTGTATTGGGGCCCAACACCTAGGGTGTCTCGAAACTCTTGAGGTAAGCTGCAAACTTACAAGATCAATCCAGTACTGTGTCATGTCAGTGCAGAACCCACTGTAGCTCCAGAGCAGCTCCAAAACATTTCAATTATGTGATCAGTTCACAAGTTGTGGAATTCACAGTGAATTCCTCAGACAACACAGTGAATTCCTCAGCCAACCGACCAGCTGGCTTGTGCTCATATTCCCTGCTGGCACCAGTTCTAGCGACAAACTGCGGTGCTATGGTGTCAACGCAAAGCAAAAGACATAGGCAACAAACACCAGGCGTGCCATGGTCAAAGTCATTGGTCTTCTCAAACATGACACGCGCTAGCGAAATGCGTTGCAAACAAAGCAATGCAGTAAGGTGCAGCCGAGACGCAACCACTGTACCAGTGTACCGTGATTCAGCGCTGCTAGCAAAAGAGTGCAAAAAGCACCCAGCATGCAGATCTTTTTGCATGGACCACAAATATCGGCCAGGATTTTCATGATCCCCTGACAAGTGGCAGGAGTCTCTGATCAAACCCTGAATCCAAGAATAGTCCGCCCCATCTGCTATCACACACAATATGCCCCAAAGGCAGCAGGCCTGAATGTGACAGGCAGCAGTGCCGCCAATACAGAGGAGACAAATTGCCCAACTCCCCCATTCTCTCCTAAAACTCCCAGTCTCAAAGCAAGAATTCTTTGCAATACCCTTTCCCTTTTCCTGCAAATCCAAGCCTTTTTCCCCCTGGCACACATGCCCAAACAGCAGGGCTTGGCTCTCTTGCAGTCTGATGACTGAGCAGCACTATGCGCTTGCCTAGGAGAAGCATCAAGAAGTCAATGAGGTCAAATAAAGAGTAGGTCATCCTTCCTTTTCTACAGGGTCCAATATGTTCTTGTTCTGCCAGCCGTGGCATCCAGGGCTCACGTTGCAAGGATCAATCCCCCCACCCGCAGACGCAAGCAGTATACAGCTGGGCTGTTATTTTTTGCCTCCATGCATCTCAGAGCGTTTGGCCTAAGCCTGACTCTTAAGCCTGCGAGCAGGCTCTTGCCACAGAAGCAAATTTGAATCTGGATTTGAAGTCATTCCAGCTCCAGCAGCTTCAGGGTGCCCTGTGATTTGGTGGCCACAGAAACACGGCCTCAGTAGACTCAGATTTGAAGGTGGGTTCGAATTCAGTCCAGCTCCAGCAGCTTGAGGGTGCCCTGTGGTTTCTTGGCCACAGAAACACGGCCACAAGCAAACTCAGATTTGAAGGTGGATTCGAATTCAGTCCAGCTCCAGCAGCTTGAGGGTGCCTTGTGAGTTGGCAGCGAGCAGGGTGTGGCCCTTGCGGCTCCAGCAGACGCTGCTCACAAACTGGTGCGAGTCGGCCGCCAGATCTTCCCCCTCCTGCACACCCGCAACACACAGAGATTCAGTCAATCTCATTTCTTCCTCAAAAGCTCCCCTACGAAGAGCAGGTTTACCATTCCGCTAAGCTGTCAGCACTGCTCTTCAGAATTATACTAGTTGCAGGATTGTCTGCTTGCATGATATTCGCAAATTTGGCAAGTCAGGGTGCACATGTTGCATTGGGCATGTCAGGTGACAACACTGGCAGCACTGCAATCTCTGCCCCAGGTACGAGCGAGCAATCTTAATGGGCAGACGTATTTTCACAGAACATACCGCTAAGAAATGACACAGGTATGTCAGGACGACCCTGTAGCTTTTCATCCTCCAGTCAAGCTTTACAAGGTTTTGCTTGTCAGGTTTAGGTTAAATAAAGGGGCGCGCACCGAGTCAGCGCAGCCCTCCTTGCTGGAGAAGCAGTGGCGGGCGAGGGGCGTGGGGAGAGTGGAGGTGTATGTGTACACGCTGTTGTCTTCACTCCCGCACGCTATGTAGCCGTCTGATGTCACCGAGAGGCCCACGAAGTTGCGTTCGTTGGTGTGCCCTGCAATCAGACAGCACGTGCGCGTCAGCCGGGCACTAATACACAAAAAAAAGTAGAAGATGCCATGCACGAGCATTGCTGGAACGTCAGAATGTTGCAGAACGTGTGTTTTGGCACAGGGCAATTGAACGCCATGCAGTTGGGTAATTGACCATTGCGATGATCAGGGGAACAGATGCGCTTCTCCTCTCAGATGATATAGCTTCACCATGCGTATATCTATGCATCTGTCGCCATTACTTTCGCAGTGACAAATTGCTCAACTCGGTCACACGTGCAGCAAGCAAGCATGCCTAACATACCACGCCACAAGACATTCGCGCCCAGCCCAGCACATCAGTCAGATCCCTTGTACACAAAGAGGGATCTTGTGTGGCAGCAAAAATCAAAGAGTGATATTGCTGCGCGCACCTGTGAGCACGTTCTGGGGCCGCCACTCCTGGTGCCGGCTGTGGCGACCGGCTCCAGCCAGGTCCCACAGCTTGAGCTGGTTGTCGGTGGAGGCCGACACGAGGTGAGAGCCGTCCATCCAGCGGACATAAGACACCGCCTTGGAGTGGCACCCGATCACCGCCAGGGGCACCTGCAGTGAACAGATCAATCAATATTGCATGCAAGGAATGCAACATATGCGATGAAATATACCCAACAATGTACTGGATAGTGATTTCCAGCAATCACAGAGGCTATTGTGGATTGCTGCAGTGAGGATCGGGCTTGTAACCGTCACCATGCAGTAGCATTTTGGATCAATGCTGTGTGACTTTCCAAGGTGTTGAACACAGGCATATAGTCGTCAACGGTCAAAATGACAGCCCAAGGCACTGGTGAAACCTGATGCAGTCAACAGCCTCTCAGAACGGCAGTCAAGGGGCAGTCCTAATGACTGCCAGTGGGAGGCATGGTGACTGCAGCAGGTTCCCATTGTCGCATCTCCTCTATGCCAATTCTTCTACACAGGCTCAAGTGCTGCCCCACTTCACATGCAAACCAAAAAGAAGCGCACCCGCATCTGGCGCAGGTCGTACAGATACACTCGGTAGTTGGCAGAGCCGAAGGCCAGCAGGTGGGACGAGACGGGGCTGAATTGCACGCTGCAAACATTCGCCTTGGCATCAATCACAGCCGTGGGTGCCTCCTCCCGGATGCTCCACAGCCGCACTGTGCCGTCATCGCTGCCGGACACAAAGCGGGTCGGATCCGACTGCGCGCCACACAACAGTGCAGCCAATCAGTCACCAGCCATTGTCATCCCTTTCAATTTCCTCACACCTCTTGAAATCTAGGGTGAAAGGAGCAAGAAGCACCCCTGATCAAGGCATCGTGACATCCAGACTACAGTCCCTGAAGCCTGCCCGGATCAATGAGAACTAACAGTCACCCCACAAGTGACCTGTTTAGGAGGTGTGCGTAAACTGCATGCACAGAACTGACGCGTCACACTACTGGCATCTCATAAAAGTCTGGTGTCTTAAAACAAGCCAATGCCACGACATGGGCAACCTGGAAGCCCAGTGACCACCCCTCTGCTCGCACGCTCTCCCGAATGAAGCAACTCGTCCAAGCCATTCCACTCGAAAAAGGTGAGCGTGAGCAAATTTTTTGAACACATAGGCCTTCCAAGCTGCTCACAGCGGAGAGCATCACAGAACCTTCACCCCAAAATCCCCTGATCGGCCCCCCTTGAAAAGCGAGGAAAAGAAAGGGAGCCCCACAGGCAAAGCACCCCAAAAAAACCTTATTGACCCCGCTCGGAAACCGAGGAAAAGAAAGGGACTGCCTCTCACCTGGGAGAAATCGGCGCTCCAGACGCGCTTGGCGTGCTCCTCAAAAGTGGCAGTGCAAGTGTTGGTCTCAGCATCCCACAGCGCCAGGCAGCCGTCGTAGTCAGCGGCGAGTAAGAGGTGCTTGATGTAGGAGTTCCACACCACGCAGCTCAGCTTGGAGCGCGACGCCATCTCCAGCCGTGGGCAGTGCACCGCGCTGTTTGATTCCAGCACGTCTGACGTGGCATACACCTGTAGCAGTGACAGGCTTTAATTATCTAAACCAGGCATCTGTGAGGGTGTATTTAAAATCTAATGTTCCGAGCAGTGGGCCACGATTGTCACGTTGCATGCGATCTGAGCAATTGCAATCTGGCACAATGAAAAAGTACTGCTCTGCTGAGCTGCATTGGGACTTCATGAAACACATACACATGGCCTTCAAGAGAATCGTCACTGGAAGTACACATGTGTTGCATGGACCACCCAAGAGCACAGCAACCTGTAGCTTTGCTGAACAGCCCTTACAGACCGGCACAGAGCCGGCAGGATGCCCCCATATACAGCATAAATAAACAAATTGTGTTGGTGCACTGAAAGTGCAATGCCTGTGCCACAGAGGAGCTGCAGGAAAGCAGAGGTTGGCAAGAAGAGGGAAGAAGTACGTACCTTGATGCGCCGAGAGACTCCGGCGGTGGCGAAATACTCGTCGTCGCGATCGAAGGAGATCGAGCAGAGCATGTCTGCAGAGTGCATCATGTCGCCGTACTGCAGCGTTGCCTTCACCTACACATAAAACCAAGCCTACTCTGGCACGCACAAATCTTAATCTGACAGCATGCCCTCCGATTTCCAGTGTCCCTTCAGCAGGCATGAGCATCTTTCACATGGGATGAGGTCCAGTCTAGAAACAATCATCCCACAAAATAAGGAGGAATATGCTTACAGTCAAAGACTGTGCATATGTAAATTTTTAAGGTGACGACAAATATGTCAGACCATGTACATACTTTCAAAAAGTAGCGGGCATAGAAGATGGCCGCACCTTGAGCTTGCTGTAGCGCACAAACTTGCTGAGGTCGCTGGTGAAGGCCGACAGGTGGTCTTGCTGGCTGCTGCCGGGTAGCCCGCTCGAGGAGTGGGGCCCAATGCCCAGCTCTGACAGCTTGCGTGATGTGCTGAGCGCGGCAGGGTTTGCGTTCTGCTGCGCCAAATCTCCCGGGCTCTGCTGTGCGGCAAGGGCCTTTCGCCGCGCGAAGAAGGCGCCCTCCAGCGCATGGAAGGCTGTGGAGACGCGTCGCCAGCTTGCCTCCACCGCCTTGTTGGCGCCGCCGCCTGCATCAGTGCAATACAGCAATCAGCGCACTTCCAACTCACAATTTAGGTTAACGAAAGTTGAGCTCGACATTCTCCTCGTAAAAATGGACACACGTTTGGATGCCCATCATGCACACCACCCTGCAGAGATGCAAGGCACAGGCACGCAGACAATGGCTGGCTCTCTCTGCCAGTATCCAGACTGAAAATAGGAGCATCCAAAGTCCATGAGACAGCAGTCAAAAAGCACTTACAGAGGAAGAAACACCCATGGAAGGAGCTAAACTGCAAAGAGAAGTCCAGCCACGGCGCACCATGTTGTGACAGGGGACCAGCCTCCGGCATCGGGGCGGGACTTGGCGCTGAGGATGTCTGCATGTCGCAGGACTTGCGTTTCCTGCTGCCGTTCACTACACCGCCATTCCTGACGCCGTTGCTGCCGAGCATCGCGCGTTGGAGACCGTCCGGCAGCAGGGGAACGTTGTTGTTGGTCACCCTCGCTAAGCGCTGAGTCACCATCCTGATGTCAGCGTCCAGCGCGCCCAGCCTGTTGACACACTCCTCACCCTCTGCCTCCTGCGATGGAAGCAATGACCATAAGTTGGAAAGCTGCTGAAACACTTCAAGCTTTGTGCACATACGCAACTGATGCTACAGTGCCCGTTATGTTGCAGCACCCTGGAAGTACGGGAGGTCCACTTGAGAATTCCCTGCCTAATCAGGGACCTGATTAGGGCAGTCCTCTCGACTCATGTGCTGCCTTGGTCACGTCATTGCCCCCAGGCTCGGTGACCATAGGCAGCGGATAAACTCCTAGGAGCTTCCCTTATCAGACCTGGGAACTCCAAGTGACGTCCCATACTTCCGATCAAGAGGCTGAAGTATTCAAAGAGGCGCTGCACACCTTGGCTTGCCGCATGAGGCGCAGGAAGTCCACAAGGATGTCCTGGTCGACCTGGGCACTGCTGCGGGCAGCCGCCTTTGCCCGCTGGGCATCCCTGGCCGCCTCCGCCCGCTGCGCCTCCTCCCGGCTCTGCACCTCTGCTTCAGGCGCACCTGATGAACACACCAGACATCAAGATTTGACGGGTTAGTTAGTGGCCCATTGCCTTGGCCACAGAAGAAATTGAAATGCCCCATTGCCTTGGCCACAGAAGAAATCAAAATGCAACGAGCAAGCGACAGTCAAGAACAGTGCCTAAGCTGCCTTTAGCTAGGTGACATTCTTTGCCTCGAGGAGGCAATCGCAGTGCATTGCTAAAGATGCTTGCTGATGTCATACGTGGACTCTCGACAGCACACTAGCATTGTCTCCTCATGCAAACATCCTCCTAAGCTCTGCTTTTGGGCAGCTGTGCTCGCACCATTAATCAGAAGAGCACACAATATAATAAAAAATAGAGAATCACAGCGGCGCACCTGGGGAGTGTTTCCTCTGGCGGATGGACTTGTGCAGGGCCAGCAGCAGCTCTGAGCGCACTATGGCGTCCACAGAGGGCCGGCAGTCGGGGTCTGGGTGCAGCAGCGACAGCACAAACGCTGCCTCCTGGGGCCGCGTCTGCAGGCACAAACGAGGGATCAAATCATCATTCATCACGTAAATATCAGGCTTGTTGAAGCACGCTCACCAAAAATGGCACGTGGACTCCTTGGCTCTCCACAAAGAATGCCACAAGTATAGCTGATATATTAATAGGTCACAGACTTTTCGGGATATCCCCCAGGGAAAATGATGGTATGCCGCAGGGCATGGGAAGCTAAAGCGGCAATTCTCAACGTAAAAACAGTAGAAATTCCTTTCTGCACGTGTAACATGCATCTATCTCCACAGCAGAACACTAGTTTCACTTAAGACAGATTCCCTTGTCAGCGCCCCACCTGGAGCACATGCGGGGGCAATATGCGATGCCGCAGCGCCTGCAGAGCGCGGTCCCTTTCCACGTCATCGCTGACCGGGTTGAATAGCTCAAAGAAAAGCACTCCCAGAGAGTACACATCACTCTTGGGCGACACAGTTGTCCCAGCGGACAGCAGCTCCTCTGGCGAGGCATACATCGCTTCCTCCTGTGGGTTCGGCGTCGCACTGCTGGACACCGCCACCTGCATACCGTGATTGATTAGGCCAAGACATGCATGCCATGCAACTTCTGGGGTGGTGTTGCTGCAACTGGATGACTACAACTGACTGGTGCGGTGGGCATATGCCATATTCCCATGCCAACATGCCGTTCCAGTATGTTGTCATACAGGTCATTCAGTATCCCTGAAATGAAATGAATAAAAGTCACCGCATCAAAGATGCGGAGCACTCACATGCATCAGAAGGAGCATCCTAATGACAAGTGTAAGCGCAAAAAACAGCAAATGAATGCTCACCCCGCTGGAAGTGATGCGGAGCATGGAGGGCCGCACGCGGCGCAGGGTGACACCGCGCGAATGCAACGTTTTCAGTAGCGACAGCACGCCGCAGAAAATTCTGAACGAGTCGGCCGGCCGTATTGTCGACCCCCGGCGGCCAAAGTAGGACACGAGTGTCGGCGGCGGCCCCTGGTTTCCCCTTCTGGCGCCCACCGCCGGGATCTCACTGCTGCCGCCGCGGGGTGCGCCCCCTGCCGGCCCCGGCCGGCCCGGCGCTGGCGCAGCCGAGGGGCCGGCCTCAGCGCCTGATTGTCGGCGCTCCCTGTCATCCCCTTCCTGATCCTGGCTGGCGCTTCCCTCCCCTCCTGTAGCACCAGCATTGCCAAGAACTTCAGCATAAATACCACAGCATTGCCCAGAAATTACATCACTACTGCTGCACTAGTCACTGATGTCAAGACTGGAAGAAGGCTGCCAGCCCATCTTCTCAAAGAACCTCCTTTACAAAGAGGTGACAAGTCACACACGAGGCCAGCACAAGTGCAGCAGGGCTGATTATCCAGCTCAAATTTGAAACTGGGCTTTCACTCACCAGCAGCAGTCTGGCATCTGGCAGAAGACTCTGCTCGTTCAACGCTCTCCTCCCTGCTCAAATGCTGCTCCTCGCTGTGGGCCGCAGCATGAGCTGGCTTCTGGTCTAGGTCAGTCTCCAAGGCTTCAGCCGAGGCCTGGACAACGCTCAGCGGCGCACTCGGGACAGACGCTGTTGCGCTGTGCGCTCGCAGGAAGTCCTCTGCCTGTTCATGCACCAACTTGACAATCAATTAATGTTCTCCTAGCTTCTAGACATTGATGAGTTCAAAAAACTCTGCGCTCGTAATTGGCTGCAGCATATATTCTGAGATCCCCCAGAAGTCTCCAAAGCCTTGATCTGCAGATCTTGCTTTGCTTTGATAGGATGGTAGCCGATTGCTGACATGCCATATTCAATCCCACCGTGACATGGACCCTCAAGCATGACTCTATGGTGAAGACAAACTCGACAGAGCAAGGGACTCACTTCCTCTGGGCACAGATGTGGCACACGCAGAGCATTCTGCTGCTGCCGACGCCACACATGCTGCCACATGTGTTGGACCTCCTTCTTGGTCACTGGCTTGAGCAGGTAGTCCTCTGCTCCCCCTCTTATGCACTCGAAGACTGTCTCTGTCCGCTCATTTGCTGACATCACTGCAAAAACAAAGTCACGTTCAGGATGCCAGTCAACAGTAATTCTTCACTCCGCCCACAGCAGGAATGCAAGAATACCCTGCAATGGTACATGGAACGTGTATCATGTCACCAGCATGGCTGGGATCAAACTGCTTTCTCGCACAGAAACAAATCTGCGCAAACGGTGCCCGAGGGGCAACTTACTTATGACAGGCAGGTTGCTCCATGCCTCGTCGCCCCTGACATGCCTCAAAAGCTCGATCCCATCCACGTCCGGCATCATCACATCCTGTCACAGGCCATGAAGAATGAGTAGATTGCACCACTGAGCAGATGTTGGAAGGCATAGAGCTTCACAACTGGAGTCAAGTATCACCCTTAAGGCTTCTCACCGTGAGGATGAGGCTGAAGGTTCCTGGAGGCTGTCCTCTCAATATTTCCAGTGCTTCCATGCCGCTCCCAGCTTCGGTTACTGCACATTTGGGAACAAAAAGAGTCCTCAGAGAGTTGAAGAGACATCCCACACCATGTCAAGCGAAAAATCATCTCGACTAAACGTAGCAACAGGGACCACTCGTGCTACCAGCTGCAGCAAAAATGCTGGGCAACGTGGCTCACCTTTGTAGGAACACTTCCGCAGCAAATTGCCAACGACGACTCGCGACAGCCGCTCGTCATCCACGAGCAGAATGTGCACGTCATTCGGAGCAACCGTCTTTGAAGTCTTCACCCCGCATGTGCCCGGCTGACTGCCACAATCAGCGGGCGGGCAGGGCGTTTCCACGGTGGCCATCTAGCCTTGCTGGGGCCGCTCAGCAGCGCACCCCTTCAGCACCACAGCCTATAGTATTGAGCATTAACATTTCTGCAATCGAAGGCCTCTGATGTTGGGTGATGAAATGCTCTCTCAGTCAAAACAATTGACACCAAAGAACCTTGCATGGCCTGGACGCAAAGGTGGGCCACGTCGCCGGGCAAAAGATTTCCGCGATTTGTTACGGGCTCACTTTCTGCGCATTCGGAGGACTTTGCGGCCCGTATTTTGCATGCATGGATGAATGGGACTTTCTGCCCCTCCGTATTTTGCACATCGTGTTTCGGCCATTCCGATCGGTGTCCGGTGATTCTTTGGTAACATGCAGGCGATGGCATTGACGTAGTGCCAAAAAAAGGCACCAGAGAATGCCTCGATCATCACCAGACTGATGTCGAGGAAACGCAAGAGCTTGGACGATCCAGACTACAGCTGGGATGATCACGAAAGCTGTAAGGGGTTGTTGGATCAGCTGCAGAGCGAGCTGCAAAGCAGGTAGCTGGCCCAATCCTATGTGAGGTCTGGCGACCATGGTCGCTACATCCTTATGGCTTTTCTCACAGTTCTTGCATGTCCAGGTTGCAGAAGATAGATCAATATGTCGACGAAAGAAAGCTCCGTATAGAACAAGGCGAGGCAGCCAGTCGAGCGGAGCTTGAGGAAGCATCCAAACGCCTAGATGCCCGGTGCGAAACCCTGCACTATGCTTGCAGGTCAGCAGCGGTGATGTGTAAAAGACATATTGTAGAAATTGATTGCAAGTTGTCGCATGTAAATTTCACGCATTTGCTCTCGCAGGGAGCTACAGGTTGCGCAGAGAGAAAAAGATGTTGAACGTGAGACAGAGAAGCTGCAGGCACTACGTGCTGAGGCAACAAAGCTGTTTGAGGACCTAGTGCGACAACTTCCTGACATCCGGGCCAGGTCAGATCCTTTGAAGAAGTGCTTCAGATTTGCCTACCTGCCCGTAGATGCAGTGTGTTGCTTGTATCTGTGTTGCATGCTCAGGCTTTACACTGCACAGTATTGCCCTAACGACAGCCCACCCCCTCTCTTGCAGGGTGCAGCTCGCTGCTGGTGCATCAAATGATGCTAATCAGAGCGCTGCATGCCCATCTGCCCTTCCTCCGCTGCCTCGCAATGCACAACCCCAGCAGCAGCCGGCATCTGCACAGAGAATCCTACCGCCCAATGTGACATCAGCAGCACAGCCGCACGCGGGGCAGAGGGCTACTGGCCCTCGGCCTGAACAGGCGCGGCCCCCGGAGCATCCGCAGCAGGTACGGAGAAATATGGAAGATGTCTGGGGGCCCCTCTTCCGAGGCCCCTCCTGGCTGGGCCCTCAGACGACGCCCTTGCAGAGCCCAGTTCCGCAGCCGCCAGATGCGCCACACTGGGAGCAGCAGCGGCAGCACGCCACGACGAATGATGTGAGAAATGTACGGGCCCCGGGCACCGTTCCCACCTCTCGGCCCGGCTCGGAGTCGGCGGCCGCAAATGGCGCGCGGCCGGCACAAGAGCCCCAATGGCGGCAGCAGCTGCAGCAATTGCAGCAGCAGCAGAGCGAGAACCTCAGGAAGGGATGGTGTCCGACACCTCCAAGGCCACTGAGGGCCGAGGCGGCCAATTCGAACGGCGCGCCGGCGTCGGCGTTTGCCGGCGTTGACATCCTGCGCGGAATGCAGTTGCCTCGACAGCTGCAGGCTGGGCCGCGGCAGAACGGCGGCGGGCCGGGCAGCAGCGCCGGGCCGATCGGCAACGGCGCACCAGCCGGCCAGACTGCCGAGAGAGGCTTGCCTTCCCAGACCGGGCGAGGGCGTGGGAGGGGCGGTCCCGCAAAGACTTTTGTCCCTGCCGCCAAGGGGCGCGCCCCAATGGACGGCGGCGGCGGCCGATACGCGCGGCGGGGCCGGGGCCGGCAGACGCCCGGCCGCGGGATCGCCAGGGCTGAGACGGGTGCGATACAGGGCCATTTACACATGAAGTAAACGCTTCAGGGCAACAACAGGCAACTTTTTAGCATGGTGGTAATGACCTGATGTGGTTGTTACACTGCGCATCCTTCAGCTTCATGAGGGCATTCTATGGTCACAAGCTGTTGACAGGATATGGCAAACTTGCTTTCATGTAGCTGCTGAGTGTGAGGTCTGACTCTCTCACTGCACGCAGTATCCTTAGGCAGGATTCCTTCTTCAGCCGCAGCGGCAGCGCTTGAACGGCGATGCGTCTTGTCAGTGGCCTGATGCATGCCTCTCCCTGCTGCAGATGGGGCTGCAGATGGGGACAGTCTGGACGAGGCAGTGAAGATGCTGCGCGCACAGACGGAGCCTGGATCGGCAGCGCATGCCAGCGGAATCCATGCAAATGGCGCCAATAGAGGCGCTGGCGGCAGGCCCCAATTGCATCCCAGCGTGCCGGCACACCCTGCTCTCCAGGTAAAGGCCCTTCACACCGCGGCCACTGATCTACAGCAAGGTTGACATAATATATGGAAAAAGATAGCCATTAGAGAATGTCTGTAACAGATGTTAAATGCACTGCAGCAAGTGAAACAAGTCATGGGTGGTGATGGTCGCTGTCTCAAGGAGGCAAGCCGTCAGCATGTGCCCTTGCAGCAACATAAATTGGCATGGTAGATAAGCGCGTGAGAGATTTTCAGCAATGCAGGAGAGAAAATCTTGCTTTTGCTGATTCCAGGCGGACGCACCGGCGCTGTTGAGCCTGCTGAAGGAGCAGAACATCCTGCAGCATATGGCCTTGCTAGAGCCTGCAGCCCCTGACGATGACGGCAGCACCGATGGCGGCCCTAGCAATGCTGCCCAGCTGACCGATCTCTACGGCAAGGTGGTTCCTGCCTCTGAGAGCTCTTTCTTTTGCCAATAACAGGATGGTTGATCCAGCAGAGGGAGGCAGCAGATCCTGGTGGTGGGCAAGGACATTCTCATGTGTAGCTGCAGGCTCCTGTTACTCGCTGGGGCCTGCAGGCGCATCTCCCTGTCATGAGCCCATCATCTATGCATGCCCTCTGGCATACGTGGAGCTAGGTTGCAGGGCTGCAAGGCAGATACAACCCATAGTATATGCCGTTTGAATATTTGAAATTTAGGGTTTGAAATAAATTTGAGTTTGAACGAGTATGCTGCGCAGGTGCACTCCATCCTGGCCCGCATCCTGACGCCGCTGACAGGGAAGCGCAGCAGTGAGCGCGAAATTGACGCGGCCGACGGCGTGGCGGCCGGGGCCGAGGCGACCGGCGGCGCGGCGGCTGCGGAGCGGCGGGACCGGTACACGCTGTGCGCGCTGCAGTGCCTGATCGAGGCTGCCGGAAAATATGGAACCTCGGTCGCGCCTGTGCGCTGGGGATGGTGCCGGTGCGTCCTTTTTGGAGGGGAAATTGACTGCAGTGTTATAGGCAAGAGACTGCCCATAAGACTGATGAGCAATAGGTGGCTCCTAAATGGTCTCTACATTGAAGGCATACTTGTTGTATCTTCTTTTGAAACAACCTTGGTCCATCAATGGAGGTGAGTGCAGCCCAGGAGCGCTGGCAGATGAGTCTGGTTGTATTGAGCAGACTTCGCCATGGGAGAAAGTCAATTGTAGGATTTTATGTATACCCAAGTGAGATTAGCGTTGAATGGCGCGCGGTGCCTGATGCAGGGAGCTGCAGGCGTTTGTGTTTGTGTTTGAGGCGGCCAACCGAATTGTGGTGGAGAAGCCAGAGTATGGAAACGCCTCCTACTTCTTCGACCTGGAGCAGCCGCTGCCGGTGGCCGCCCAGGTGATTCACCCATGACCAATGGAGTCAATCAATGGAACATAATCTACGCTCAGAAGGCCGCAGCCTGAGAAACCATTGCTCTGAAATTTGCATGCAGCGACCAAATGCCAAGGACTGTCCTTTCAAAGGATGCAGACCATTGGACTTTGATAGGAATCTTCGCTGTTTCTGCATGCATGCATTTTGCCTGCGGCCAGTGTTGAAGAATGTGGTTGCCGGCGAGCTCTGCATGACATGTAGTGCTGCAGGACTGTAATAGCTCCACAGTAGACAACAAATCACCTTGCCCATGTCATTGCCAGCAATTATTCCTGACAGAGGCCATTTTCGGTACAGCACTTTGATGGGCAGAGAGTACCTCTTATGGCCAGCACATAAATATCCCAGCAGATGCGCGAGGCATGGTTCTAAGGCACGCTGATTAAGGGGTTGTATGACTCATGGCAGCCCTGAACATTGTCCTGAAACCCCTCTTTACTACCCCACAGTTCCTCTTCATTCTTTAATCCCCAAGGGTCGCCTGAAATGCAGGTGCAGCGGCTGGTGGCGGTGCTGTCGGTGCCGGCGGTGACGCGGGGGGCGCTGCTGGCCGATGGCGCACCTGATCTGGCGCAGGGCCTCCCCCCGGCCGATGCCGCCGTGCTGGCCGCCGCCGGCTGGACCCCCCAGTGCGGCCTGCGCGCGCTGCTCAACTTCTCCGGTGACTTCCCGCCGCCTTCTCACTAATATAATTTTAGAGTGCCCGCTGTAATCAAAGGGTACCTAGAATATGTGCCTTATAAAAGTTGCGCGGCCTGCACGCCCTCTGAGTGGGCTTATTAAGACTCCTGAAAATTTGCAGTTTCGTATGGCTGTTGCAAAGTGCATTCAAGTCATTGCCTTGGTGGTGGATCCCTGTGCATGGTGCATCTGCCATCATTGCTGCAGGGGCTGAAGCGTGTGTGTTTCTCCAAGGGGACCCTTCCTGTGTCTATCCATACATCTTTCAGGTTGTGATCTTTTGCGCACCCTTCAGTCTGGGCTGAAGGGAGTTTTGTGGGGGCCCAGGGGAGCGCATCATACACAGAAACACCAGGGCAACGTCCGAGGCTGAGACCTGGCAGTTGTACCGGGACAAGATCAACAAGCTGCTGTCCCAGGGCGCAGCCGCCGGGCGTACCTTCAAGCCAGTCACAGGCGCCCAAACCTAATGCATCGTGAGGAACCAGTAATAAAGCTCAAGAACAACTGTGCAGCCCAGTTCTCTTCATCGCCCACAAGCGGCTGGGTGCAGTGTGTTGTGTCCAGCAGGGTTGCTCTACTGCAGGCCTGCCTTACTGAATGCATGTTAAGCAGTGCTTGGCAGCACTGCAGCTGCAGCAGGATCATGATTCTGCTGATATCCCGACAAGAGGAGTATTGTAGATTCTCTGGGCTTCTGGACAGTGCATCAGACAGAATTATCATCCACGTGCGTTGTACATGACAAAAAAACTATTTCTGGAACCAACGGCGGCTGCGACCTTGTGGAAAACTACAACAAGCGCATGAACGCATGAAAGAAGTGCTGAAATGCCAAATATATAGATTGCGGTGCTACTTGTACCACTTCACAGAGATTTCTGGAAATACTTGTTTTTTTTGCGGATGCACCGGCAGTACATGTGCGTAAAATGATTTTGGATGGTCCCCTACTTGTAAATTGAAACCTGCTGCAAACCGGGAAAGACTCTTGAGCACCTTCCAGATTCAGACTTGTCATGCAAAGCTCCCTTGAGTTACACACAGCCAGTACAAAACCGTATGAGGTCAGGACAACAATCACCCAGTTGCAGTAACAGCAGACAGTGGACAGTCTGCAATCTACTCCAAAAAAGAGAGTGTAGCAGTGAGTCAAAAACTCTAGGTCTCCTCAAAGTGCACTTGTGCGACAAACGCTTTCCTCACATGCAAGCAGCACGAGACCCAAGTAGCAAATCCTCCGCACAGCAGAGGACAGTGCAGAACACCAAGCATGGAATGACAGCTCGTCTGGTGCCCAATGCAGCACGCAGCGGCAGCACACTCACAAGTCCCGGTGCCTAGAGGTTTCCCCAAAATAGACATCCCTTTGTCTAAGAACAGTGCCATATGTGACTGGTAGCCCTACAAAGGGCTGGCCATGCACTCTTCATTTGAGCAGCAAGAGCACGGCCCCAAATGGAGGGTCAGTCAGGTTGTGACAAGCACAAAAGAGGTCACTGAGGTGTTGACAGAAGGTCATAATGGTACACTGTCACACAGCTGCAGGCTGCACACACGCCCCTGGCAATTGCTCAAGCTGGATGCGCATGCAAAGCCAGGCTGCCAAAGCTCTGCCAACCTTCAGGATACCATCTCATTGGCAACCCAAGTATGTCTAGGGGCAGGCAGAAACCAGCAAATGAATTTTTTCCGGCATATAATATCCCAGAGTCCCTGCATGTCTTCCAGGCCTCCTCAAGAAGTTCTCCTCTTCCCCTGCCAACAGGCTCGCAAAGATACAAGACTTTGGGGTCACCCAAGAAAAGATGCATCTGTGCTAGATCAGGAGATGGACCGCTGCAGTAGTTCCATTGACGATCCATGTGGTTTCTCAACACCCCTTGAGCTAGCATCAAACTCCCCAAAGACGACCCGTGGTTTAAGCAGGCTGCCACTCGGTAATAGAAAAGTTATTACCCCAACCCCGGCTCTAATTCAGGGGTATTGAATGCGCGACTCCCAGGGAGTTGGCCCTCCCAGGCTGAGGGCTGACAGAGCCCATGGGGATACCACCAGCGGGGGGTGCGTCCCCCATCTCTGCCATCTCCAATCGATTATCTCCCACGCCATGCTCGCCGCCTCTTAAGTGCTCCGCGCCATCTGTGTCGATGTTGTACACCGGGATGAACCTGCGAGGCAGTGCATGGCGCAAATTGCATGCAGGCTATGTTGGAAAGACACTGGGATGAACTTGCGAACCAGGACCTGCTCAGACCATGTCTTTAATGAACACTCTATGTCTTACTATCTTATGACATCACAAGGACATGGCGCACTCTGCTTAGACCATGTGCAGTGTGAGCACTCTGTGTTACTGTGTCACATGATCTTTTTTAATTTCAAGAGCCTCCTTGCACGCCTCTGGTCATACACTGAAAGCCAAAAATTCGCCTAAACTCATAAGGTTGCAGTGAAGCTTATCTCTCGTGCACCTTGCATCTGACAAAGAGCAGTGACTGTGACAAAATCACCTGCAAATGGCCTGGAAGCCTCAGCAATGAGTGTGCACCCCACTTGCTCCGCCAATCTACCACACTGCACTCGAGTGTCGAGCAGTATTTGACAGTCGTGTCTTGAGCGCTGTCAAAGCAGAGGGATGAGAAGGGGAGCTCACTTCAGGCAGGCAGTGGCGCGGATGACAAAAATGAGCGCCACGCTGGCACCCAGGAAGAAGCCACCGACCACGTCAGAAGGGTGGTGCTTGTTGTCCACGATCCTTGAGCCAGCAACTGCCCACGAAAAGCCCACCTGTAATTTCACACAGCAGGACATTATATCCGAGCATCTCATTAGGACAATATACTCCCGATCAAAAAGCTTTTACCCAGAGAAGGATCCGTGTATCCAGCCAGCGTAATGCTCTGAGGCGGGATGCATGCATCTGGGATCTGAGGTCTAGCTTTAAGAACAAATGTATTGGTGTGCCACTCCCGCCATGACACCTCGGGCAAGCCTGATCTGCAAAGGTCATTGGTGGGTTCAATAACATCAGGGTCCAAGACTGAAGTAGCGGAAAAACCATCAATGAATTAGCAGATCGACTTGCACAAGCGATCAGGGCACAAGAGACCCCTCATTGAGCCATCATGCATTTTGAGCGGAAATCACACTGCAAACCTGCTGAACAGCACTTCTTCAAAAGGGAGCTCACGTTGAGAAGGATCCAGTAGAGTGCGAGTGCGTGGCCCAGATCTTTGACGAAGAAGCCGAGCCAGGAGGTGCGCTCAATAAAGCGGCCAAAGACGCTCTGCCGGTGGCGGAAGTAGATGGCCCACATGAAGTAGCCCGCAGTGTACCACACGAACACCGCCGACATGCACGCGTGGCCTGCCCGCATGACATCACAGCATGACATCAGCGCTTCGAAGTGATGGTAACTCACACATAGACCTTACGAAGACAGCACCATGCGATGGAAGCAGGCTGCTAAAAACAAACTTGCAGGTCACAAGAAGGAGGCTCAGCCCAAAGATGGTGGGCCTTGACATCACAAGGCATTGGACACATAGACGGTACAATTTACAACAAGACATGCTGCGTCAAAGATTCATGAGCTATTCACTCCCTGGACTTTGCAGTAACAAACAAGACATGCAGCATGCGACTCATGCTCCGAAGAGAGATGAACAAAAGGAGAAGTATCAATTGATCCTACTCGGAAGCTGGGTGAAGCCGCACCTGAGGGGAAGCTGCTGCGGCCGTCGTCCAGAAGCTTGATGTCGGTCTGGGTACAGACCACGCCGGTGTCCGTGCCGTACTGGGGTTTGAATTGGTAGTTGGCCCCCCCGGCCGGCTGACACCGGTCGAGGAAGTCGGGGCGCAGCCGACCCACAGCCGATTTTGTGGCCTGTCCGCGCACCCACATTGTCAGGCATGCACTTGCCGCAAGATTGGTTTTTGAATCGGTTTCCTCAAACACAGATCATTGAATCGGTTTCCTCAAACACAGATCACCAGAAGTGTCAAATTTGCAATCGTGGCGGATGGATGGCGCAAATTGTTTAAAGCAATGGTGATGTGTGGGGTGACAGACTGAGAGCCAGGGAAGAATAGGGCCCCCTCAAATGCAAGGGACAAGGGATACAAGCAGACACGTTTTGCCAGGCATGCATGTCTCCAGAGTAAGCTCAATCTGAATCCAAATATTCAAAGAGCTGAGCAAAAAGGGGCACACCACTTGCACCAGGATGGCCACTATGAAAGCTGCGAGAGCATCGATGACAAAGTGTAGCGTCGTGGTGATTGCATTGGTGATGTTGGCGTGCAGCGGCTTGTACAGCACAAACTCGCCCACGAGCACCTGTTCATTTTGGACTTGTGACTGTCAGGAGAGGCATTCAAACTTCAAAACTTCCAGGAGATCTCTGAACAAAGAGTGCGGTAGACAGCCAACATCGTCTAAATCACTTTCCCAAAATCTGCAATGCCAGAGGTGCAACGGAATAAAGAGAAAGAAAGTATTTCACTTCTGGCAGCCAACAATGGGGCAAATCTATATTTTTAAGCATCGGTCACAGATATGCACATGACGGCTTAGAGGTGAAGGCACTCTCGGGATCTTAGGCCATGTCTTCATACAAGGGATAAGTTGATGAGGTGCAGACAGAAGTCTGCATGATCTGTTAATTTGAGCAGGTGAAGAGACTATTCAGCGCACCGTCAGAATGAGAAGTATGAGGGGGATGACCCATGCCACCCAGGCAGGCACTGAGTCATCTCCCAGCGGGTAACTAATTGTCCCATCGTACAGAAAAACGTCACGCTCCCTGCGCCAGAATAACGGCCGCCTTCAATTCAATGCTTTCACCGCAGGGACTCGTTGTTAGACGCCACATCACCACCTCCCCTTGGGCGATTGGCTGCCAGACTGCCAAAATACTGCCGCACATGCGCTCATACTTGCACTTGAATGTGGATGGTTTTGTTGTAAGGCAGTATTACAAGTACGAGTATAAGGAGACTACACGCCGCTTGTTCCTCTATGATCAATACGGGTGATTGGTGAATCCTAAATATACGCAGACAATGCGCGCGCGGATTCCAGCACTGGTTGGGTCCCGAGCCAGCGAGGAAGAGGGTAGGCAGCAGGAAAAGGGAGAGAAGGAGGGTTACCGAGGGTGGCGGCCAGGGCCCCAATGCAGGATGGCGACAGGCACGCAGCAGATGAGGATGGTGAGAATGATGGTGGCCCACTGCTGGCTGGCAATCACAAACTTCAGGTTCACGTGCCAGAGGCGCCACGATGCCGTGTGCTTCTGCACCTTCGTCGCCCTGCAGAGTTGGCAGACACCATGATAATAATACACTTGCTGCCTCATGGCTGGATGGGTGACGCCATGCAGGATCTGCAGGGCTGCCTCCTGCCTCTTTGTCCCCAAAAGAGGCCAGCACTGCCACAGCAAAGGCAGCTCTGCAGGCTGTGTACGCTGGCTCCAACAGAAGCCCCCTAGAAAAGGAAAGGACCGCCACTGCAATGGTCTGCAGCTGCAGTGAAGCTGGGAGCTCAAGCCTCATGCTAAGGGCTGATGCCACTTTCGTGTATAACACAACCATCCTCCTCTTCAATCAAGGAAGCTATTATGCCACATTGCTCAAAGTTATGAGGTTTGACAAGGCAGAGCACACCACTAGACCGGTAGATTAAAATGCCATAATAACCCACATCCGTCTTGCAAGTTTCTGATGCTGGTCTGACATCGGAACTGAGGAATGAAGATATTGTCCAGGCAAAATAGCCAAGGTGTGGATCTGTGAGACATCGTTCAACGGCCGTCCCTTCTAATGCACTGTTTGGAGCGTGGCCAATCACGCACCTAGGAAAGGTAGAAAGATCCTTATTTTCATCTTTTACCCTGTTCATGACTGCGCCGGCTGGGGCTGCCTCAGAACAATCGAAGAAAGTGAGCGTCTCGAGAAAACCGCTGCACCCGGAAGTTAGGCTGCAGCTACGGACACAGCCTTCACTGCTGCAGATCTACCTACACAAGTCGACATCCATATGTACGAAAAGTTACGTACAAATCCGCACAGCAATTTCGTCCCAGGACAATATCGGACTCGAGATGTGTCATGGCTCAGGAGGGCAGCAGCGGCCGCCGAAGCCAGCTGGAGGGTGAGAGCGGGGGACCGCATCAAGCGTGGGCATGCCTCCGAATATCAAGGATGCAGAACAACAGAGATAGTCAGAAATTGATCAGCTAAATACAGTAGTCATGGACATCATCGAGAGGATGGCGTCGACAGGGCCTCAGCCTTTGGGATGGAGGCCAGAGACAGCTGCGGAATTTGGCATGCGATTGTGCAACGGTGTCTCGAGTAAGCTTGCGGAAATGGGCAATTCGTTCGAGCAGCTGAAGTCAGAGCTCAGGTGAATCTCGTGGCCATCAGCCTGAAGTCACCCATCTTTGGAGTGTACACTGGCGGAGAGAGGCTGGATCGTTGCTGTCCCACAACCGAGATCAAGGAACTGAGCTGGAATCGGGCAATGTCATCAACTGCTGCAGACGTGTAATTTTCATACGTCGAGTCTGGTATGAATGGTTAGCAGCTTCAATTCAATGAAATGATTTTAAGAGCATTTATCTGGTCACAAGCAGTACACCTGTTGGTACCTGACACACACCAGAGAAACTCCCTCATCCTCAAGCAGGACCATACATAAACTACCCTGCTGCTGCAGGAAGCCCTGTGGGCAGAGCCTGCATGTGAGGGTGCATCTGCGGAGAAAACCACAGATGGTGTTTCCTCGCGCGGCGCCCTTTGCAGCTGTCATCCCAGGCGACTCTGCCGTGGAGCAGGTCCTCACCACGGGCTTCTCCAGCTTCCTGTGCGACCCAGTCCCTTCCTGCACTTCGCTCACAACATCATTGCTGCATGCTGCACAATGCCGTTCCGATTCAACCAGGTCACCATGCTCTGGCAAAAGAATGGAGCACCTTGGCACTGACGTAGTCGTCCCATAGCAATGGAAGTGCCAGCATCCTGCGTTGCTTCTCCTGGAATTATTCCTGGTAATAAAGATCGAGTCTCGATTCTTAACACAAGGGCCAGAGGGGTTGATAGTGTGGGGCGTGGCTTCGCAGGAGCCTGTACAACACAATCATCATTGTGCGCATCCTGCTCACCTGGTTCCCCAACCCGCCACAGGTCATTGCGGGGCCTCTAAGGTGCGCCCCTTTCTTTATCTCCTACATCTCTCAGCTGTATCTACCCCCATTCCGTGACGTACCAGGGACCGCACTCTAAGCTCCTTGGAACTTTGAAATGGCTTGCATGAGCCTTGTTCCAGCACCAGTCTCAGGTGCACATTGCTTGAGCTGTCTGCAGAACCCCCGTGTAGATGTCTTGCAAAGGTATCAGAATGCGTGCATTGTTGTTGATGTGATCACTGAAATTCGGTGTGCCATGCGTGCAGCACGCTGTGCGATCCGTACCTAAATCTGTTCCGTGGGCTGATTCCCACGATTGGGGGAACCCTGGACCTCTCGCCTATCCTGGCCTTCATCGTGCTCGACGTGCGCCCCTTCTTTGTCGACTTTATATCCCTTGAAGTTACCTTCTTGCTTTTACCCTTGTATGGCGATGCCCTTCTGCTTCTGAACACCCTGTGGAGACCCTAATGCCAGTCAAAGCGCTTTGCACACTTCTAGTGCTTGCATTGATTAGCACAGCTAACATTAAATGATATCCTGACACGCCAACATGTATGAGGAAGCGTTACAGAGCAGGAGCCAATGCACAGCGTTCTTGATCTGGAAGCATGCGATAAATCCGTTATATTGAAGAGTTAGTGATATGAGCGGGAATCAGTCAATTCAGATGACATCATTTGTCGAAATAATCAAGTGATATGAGTCATGGACTTTGTGATCATGCAGCTTTTCTCCAACACGGCGGCTGCGCTGCCGGCAGAGCTGGGCCCGGACGGCAAAGCCGTAGAACGGCGATCGGCCGCGCGCAGATTCCACATGCTCAACCCGACACGCGCCGCACTCGCCTGGCACAAACGCGTCACAGCGCAGCGCGAGAGGCGACAGGTGCGAGCCCTTGGTAGCACAAGCACCACACTGTTTTGCTGGCAGAAGATGCTTGTTGAGACCGGCATACAAGTCCACCCTCACGAAAGCCCTTTCTGAGTGCCCGTTCTCTGTTTGCAGGCAACAAAGGAGCAGTGAGGTTTGACTCGAACTGTTTGAGCGGGAGAATGGAGTCGCTGCCTTCTTTCCTTTGGGAACGATCTGGGATCCTGCTTCAAATTTGGGGATTCATTGATTTCCCACTGCATGGCTACTGTGGGACATGCTGTTGAGGAACATTTTGGCCTGCCGGGGTTTTGATGGGCGCAAATGAGCTTCGATGTGAGAGAGTGTGAGTGTTTTGACCGGGTTACATTTGCCCCAGTGATTTCAGCAAATTGTAAACTGGAATTGTCTGCAGTAGGAAATTCTAAAGGCGATTTTGCAGGCGATTTTGCGCGACGCTGCTGTGCATATCTTATTCTTTAATACATGTGACCACTGGAGATGGCAGGAAAACTGTAAAGGCAGAGTTGCTGCACTTCTGTCAACTATTCCTCGAAGATGGTCTTCTGCAGCTGCTGCAGCTGGAAATAGGGTGATTGGGGCCCAAATCAATGGGTGGTCACCGTGGCGATGCTCTAAATCTTGCATGGACTCCATGATTTCCAACACCACCACAGGTTCTTGTTCTTCAGACCAAGGTAAAGTTCAGGACATACTGGTCATTGCACAAGTGGGCATTCGAGCGGCATTCTTTTGGGGCTCGATCGTCGTTCAAGGGAGATTCCGCCCCTTTACCAATCGCCGCGACACGGGTTCCAGTCACGTGAAATTCCTGCGTCAAGACGCAAGACGCACTGATGCTCTAAGCGCTTTCGATACGACTAGTTTTGCTATTTAATCTCACTAAAGCATACTATAGTCATTGACCGTTACTCCACAGTATCGTTGGGTTTCAGACGGATGTTCGGGAGAAAACAGCTCAACAGGATGTCTTCACGCGGTTGCGTAGCTGCGCTGTTTCTGGCGTTTGCCTGCATAGCGGGTGCGACTGAGCTTTTGCAGCCTAGCTCAGAGCACTTCATTGTGAGCGTCGCACAGCTACAGGTGAGGCCTGGCCCGCGTGTGGGCGCCCCCTACACTGGTATAGGCCCCCATGTTACGGAAAGGAGAGACAACCACTTTATAGCAGCCTTCAATGTTGTTTTGTATGCATTCCATGGTGTTGTGGTTCCGCGTTGTCACTGCAGTTACGCAAAATGTCAGCACGGCATCTGCAAGGTCACGTGCTTCTAAACTCCCGCTGAGCACAGCCTCAGCGCAGTGCCATCCCCTAATGTGGGAATAAACAAGCTTTACAGCGTGTAGCATCCACCAGGTGGCAAAAGGCACATGCTGCCAGTCTCTCTCTTACTTACGTGTAGCAAGATGGCAGTTTTTACCCTAGAGTGCAAGCTTCTGTAAGTCTGAAGCTTCTGGTCGATAAGTTTGGCTGAAAGATCTGCCTATAGATCATCGCAGATTCCTCCTGCGGCGCCTGATACACTGTCACACAGTGCATTTAGCACCCAGTCAAACCTGTGTCCTGTGCCATCCAGGCTGGCTCGCGCGCGCAGTTTGACGCCTGGGCAGCCCACAACAACAAGGAATACAGCAGCGCAGAGGAGGCGGAGCGCAGACTCGCAGTTTGGACTGCCAATGTGCAGCGCCAAGCATCAAAGCTGGCGGCCGCCGATGCCAATGGGGCAGCGGCGGAGGTGTCTGTGAACGGCCTGGCTGATGTCAGCCTGGAGGAGTTCAAGGCAGGCTACCTGGGACAGGTGTCCAGGAGGAATGTGGAGGCCCTCGAGTGCGCACACAGACCGCCAGTGCTTTGCCTGCTGGCTTGCTTTCCCAAATTGTGTTCTCATATAGGGATGGTGTTAATGAGGGCTAGAGGGGAGTAGAATACCACCTCCCGCTCTTTCACGGAGGGGAGGTTGACATGCACTTCTACTCATTAGGGATGGCAGGACGACAATCCTTTATGTCAGAACACCAGGAACCGACCAGTGCATGATTGAAGGTAGCACGGATCCCGGGGTATGTTTTCTCAGTGCAGCAATGGGCTATTTGCTTCTCATCCCTGGCTTTCGTCTGTCTGGGGCAACAACAGTCTTGACATGCATTTGGGCCCACAGAAGTAACAAACACATTTCCACAAATCAGAGAACTAAGTAGTCCGGTTCTCTCTGTGTTCAGGGCGGGCAAGAAGAAGGATCACCGGTACCGCTACGAGAACATAGTGCCACCAGCCGAGGTGGACTGGCGAACAAAGGACATCGTGGGCCCCATCAAGAACCAGCACGTTGGCGGATCCCCCTGCGGCTGCTGCTGGGCATTTGCGACCATCGGCGTCACTGAGTGCATCGTTGCCATGGCCACCGGCAAGCCCATCTCTCTCAGCGAGCAACAGCTCATCGACTGCGATAAGGCTGGTGCGCGCACCCTTTTTTGAATTTGAAAATGAGTGAACGGGACTGTGATGTGCTGACGTGGCCTGCTAGATATGAAGGCACACGGTAGGCCAGTCAGGGGTGCGCAGCTCTTGCAGTTGCAGAAGTGGATTTGAGAAAGTTTCAGCACACAGAATCCCACACGTGGCTGCATGGGGAGAGTGGGATTGCATTGCTCATCCTCCCAACCCTTACCTCAGGGCAGTCTAGTGACTTAGAGTCCCCTGCTTACCTGGAAGAAAAGATTGGCTGGCATGTGATCTCTGGCGACAGAAGTAATTGCTGATGCAGTGTTTCCATTCGGTGGGATTGTCAGTGCTATAGCGGCGGCTGACAACGTCTGCAGGCTCCTCCAGAGGGGAGATAAGTCATTCTCATATGTCAATCTACCAAGTATCACTGAACCCTGGAGGGGCACAGAGTGATATTTGTCCCTGTCTGGCATGTCCCCTCTTCCCTTAGAGGCTGGTGCGCGCGGTTGTGGGCAGGGCCTTACATATTTCTGATGTAGAGTAGAGACGTGGTGTCTGCGTCCCAATGGAATTGTGACTTTTGGTTCTCTGACATGGTGTGCTTTGTTTCGCGCAGCTCCCTGGTATGATTTGGGCTGCGAGGGTGGCGATTTTGAGGGCGGGGTGGATTACATTATAGACAATGGGGGCATCGACACAGAGAAAGAGTACCCCTACTTGGCCCACGACGACAAGTGCATGTGCGCATTCAATTTCCAAATTTAAATTCAAACCTAAAGTCTCCTGAAGCCTGCAGGAGTCTCAGGCCCAGTTCAAGTCATCTGATGACAAGAGAGTGAAAACAAGTGATGCTGAGCAAGGGACATCCCTGCGGCGCATGTCATCCTCTCATATTGTCGAGAATACAGATAGAAAACAACAAATCTACTGCTTGATATTGTGGTCTGAAGGCTTGGCCTCATCGTTGTTTTGACTACTAGCTTTGGTTATGGCATGCAGCTAGCAGAACTTTGCACGGTCATGCATGCAACACTGCCAAGCACAAGTTACAAGGCAGTGTGAAGGAGTCATCCCTCTTCATCAAGTGCCACGGAGATCAAATTTTTTGTGCGTGATTGCAGCCGTGACAAGGAGGGCCTGGCACCCAAGGCTTCTACTTTGGACGGCTTTGGACATGTGCCGGTGCAGAACGAGACGGCCCTTGCACAGGTGCTCCTTTGTTGTTCACCCCCTTTCTGTGCCAGTCATCCCCCTTGATGTACCCTGCACCCTGCAATCACCATTGCATTGCCAGCGACGAAAGCATAGAAGGACTCCGGACTGTCTTAAGCATCCCTGCTTTGCTTGTTATAATGGAGAGTGCCCGACCTTGAGGTCATCATAGAAGCCTTACTAAGGCCAACATCAAAACATACAGAGACCGTCTCTGTATGTGACATTGCTGAGAAAGCCCATTCTAGATTCCTGAGCAAAAGAGGGTGGCTTAGTAATGTTAATGCTGGCGCAGGCGGTGAGTCAGCACCCGGTGGCGGTTGCGGTGTGCTGCGGTGATCACATTGACAACTGGCACGCATACACTAGCGGCATCTTCAAGATCCCAGGCACCGGTGTGCAGCCCCTTTATTACCCCTGAACCCTAGCGCATCATCCTAAGCAATACCCTTGCCCTGAAGGGACTTTTGACCATAAATGCCTGAAGAGTGCCGTCAGGGCAACTCAATTCAATTCAAGCCTGCTCGGTATTGCCTGATGTAAGGAACATGATACGAAAAGGATATCCTGGCATGCTTATTCCGGAGGATGATTGGCCACCAATTTTTGTGCCGTAAACCCTTCAGGGCATCACCTCACGCTTTGACAGTGAGCGCATCAACAGCCACAGCTATTTCCACTCATTCCCATCACATGACTTGATTGGGAAGCGAGCAGAGACTGTATTTAAGAGCATCCTGGGAAAGTCTGACAGCAGCTGACAGGTTGTGATGCATTGTGCAGACATTCCAGGCGGGTGCACAGATCCTCTGGACCACGCAGTTGTGGTGGTGGGTTATGGCACTACCAAAGAGGGGGAGGACTTCTGGATCATCAAGAATAGCTGGGGGGAGACCTGGGGCGAGAAGGGCTTCTTCAGGTGGGGCCCCCTCTTGACCCCCCTGTGCTCTGCGATTGTCAGGGAGCTATCGTATGTGTTCCTCTGGACCCTAAGGCCACAGATGACCTCTATAACCTCATTTGTAGTAAACTATCGTATTGACTGAGTAGGGGCTGAGATCCGAGCACAAAGGATTTTTGGTGAGACCCTCTGTGATTGCCTTTGCTGTATATTTCCCCTTGCGAGTGCGCAACAGCATATGAAGAGGCCCTATTGCAGTGTACCCATCTCATTCGATGCATGTGTCTTTGTTACTGCATCCTCTGTCGAAATGTTGCATTTTTGGTAATTGATGACATCTCCCAAGATGCAGCTCCCCTCTATTCAACAGAACATTCACCAAACCTTCCCAAGGCTTGGGCTTGCTCCTTTGGTGACATTGTGTGCTACTTTGTCCTGAGATACACTTGTTTCCTGCGCAGGGTGCCTCGCAATGTGGGCGCTCCACTGGCGGCCTTCGGGCTGGCATCACAGCCGGGCTACCCGATCAAGAAGGGAGTCAACTCAAACGCCGACCCCATCCGCACTGACATCTGGCAGGAGGTCCCCCGCTCCCCCACCGCCGGTACCACCGCTACCTCATAGGACCCCCGCTCCGCCACCGCTGGAGCCACCGCCACTTTATAGGACCCCCCGGTTCCCAGCCACCACCACCGGAGTCCCACCGGAGTCCCACAATTCTGCCACTGTCTGCGCTCGGGGGGATCCTGACTGCCAAACAGATCCCTCACTGTAGCATTCTTTTGATGTCTAAACGCCATGAAAGGCGTTGAAGTACCGTCAAGATATTTCTTAAAGGTTCTGCAGCACAATCTGAGACTGAGCCACGCTGCAGGGCGTGCAGAAGGAGTGCAGCAATGCACACCATAAAGCGGAAACTTGCCGTGGGCGTCAAATCATGTTCTGACCTTGTGATGGGTGTTTTGAGAGAACAAGCAAGAAGGGCCAGCCCATTCAGTGGCTTGCATTTGTTGCTGTGGCAATTCTTTTGACATTAAGTTTTATTGCTCTTCATTAGTCTCTGGCTGCTGAACAATCTCAGCCTCAGTGCAATGCGCTCTGCAGCTTCTAGCAGCAAGGTACCTTCACTGAAGGCACAGCTGCGTTTCGTCTGGACCTTTTGTGAGAAGAGCGTTGAACCGTTGCGACTTAAGCAAACTCCATTTGTTTGAGTGACTATCTGCGGGTTTCTTGTTGTAGATCGATTTTGCCAAAACTGTTGCGTTGCTGCATTCAATTATTAGGGTGGCGAATGCTCTCATCTTGTTTTATATGCATATATGTGCCCTCAAGTGAGGATAACCAATATTGTACACATAAGCTGCGTACATGGGCATGTCTGAACAAGAACGAGGCGAGTAGGAACCAGACATCGAATCGTTAAACGCATAAATGTCTGAATGTGCACCTTCATTGTGGGTTTGAGTGGTTTTGCCATGGTAGCATGGTGGCTAATGTGGCAGTCAAGATAGTAAGGTGTACAAGTCAAAATCCTACTGTGATAAATTTTGGGCGTGCAACAGGGTATCTTCTAAGTGCTGCACTAGTATTGCATCAGTTCGATCCGAACCATCTCCCACTATGACACACTGACCTGCCTCTCTTTTCAACAGGCAGTGCAGGGAATTATCAGAAAAGATTGACATGCAAACAGATTACTAACTGGCATACCAGCCAAGATCAGCTTGCCACACCTGCGTCTGCATCGCACATTGAGGCAATGCATCCAGTGGTGTTCATCCGGCTTCTTCGCATGCCAGTCAACTTTTGTTCATTTCCATGACTTTGGTCCATCAATCCCCCAGCATGTTTTGACCTCTGTGGAGGGATCCTTCAAGTGCGGCCTTTGCGCCCCTTCCTCTTCTTCTGTGCGTTATTGGTCTTGCTCTTAGAGCGCTGCTTCTTGGCGGGCTCAGCCGACGCGCCAGAGCTGGCGGCTGCCAACGCTAGATCAAGTGCGGGTGACTCACTGTCCATGTCAGCGAGTGCAACTGCCAGCGCCAGATCAGGCCCAGACGACTCACTCAGGGGCTGCACAGCCACAAGATAGACGACATCAGTGATGATTGATGGCATCAGCAAATCAATTGGGAACCGCAAAGATCACAGGTCATGCAGAGAAGTGCGGCAAATGCCCAGTGTTGTGAATGATCCCTGCATTTGCTCCAGAGGCTCCGTGACACGATTGCATGCACTTGCAAAATAACTGTAACGGGCATTTTGGCACGAGGGTCTTGCTCGTTCAGGTTTTGACAGGGGGTGGCCAGAAACCCGGGTTTGCCCTGGGGTCTGGGCAAAAACCTCCGGGACAACGCCCTGGGCTTTATGGTAGCAAAGTTGTGATTTGCCGTGGTGACCCCATACAATCTATATCTTATCTCGGGGGAACCCCAAAATGAAGCCTCGCAGAGGAGAGTTTTTGGCTGTAAGCATGCCGATTGCATGGATCCACATGCACAGATTGGGTATTACACCTATCAATAATAGTGGGCAGCCAGTCATACATAATCCTGCCCGAAAGTGTCGGGGTCCTCCTGCACTTTTCCCAGGCAATCTCAGGGCTTAACCCCCTTGTCACAGGAGTGCCTGGGCCAACTTCCTCGGGATGACCCCCTCTTTAGCCTCCTCTCCCCCTCATCACTGGGCATTCCTTCCGGGAATCCTCCTGGGTTGTCAAACCCTGTGTGCCATCCTTTTGAGTGCATATGTCACCTGCTGCTCAAGGAGCTGCTCCTTGGCCGGTTCGGCCGAAGCACCATAGCCAGCGACTGCGCCATCGGCCCGGCTGCCGTCTACGGCGGCTGCGGTATCAGGCTCAAGGGGCGAGAAGCCGGCGGCCGGCATGAAGGCGGGCGCAGAGGCCCGCAGGGAGCTCTTCATGACGACGCGATCGCTGACGTCATCCTCGGCGCCGCTGACATCGAGCCCGTCATCGCCAGCGCAGCCTCCAGCTGACAGCGCAGGTGATGACTCAGCGCTGCCGTCACTACTTCCCAGCTTGCGCAGGCCGGGGCAGATCTCCAGTGGTGCCGGACGCGAGAGCTCTGCACTGCTCAGGGGCTGCACAGCCACAAGACAGACAACATCAGGTATGATGGATAGCATTAGCAAAGCAATGGGGAACTGCAAAGATCGCAGGTTACGCAGAGGACTGCAGCAAATGCCCAGTGGTTTGCATGATCCCTGCACTTGCTCCAGAGGCTTGGAGACACTTTTGCATGCACTTGCAAAATAACATTTGGCACGAGGAATGTGCGATGCCTCTGAGGGCAGATGTCACCTGCTTCTCATGAGACAGGTAGTTGCAGGTGCTGATGAGGCTGTCAACGTCTGCTGCAAGGTCGGCAGCTGATGTGGTGCGCCGTCCGGCGCCGGTCGGCGCTGAGCTGGCGGCCAGGCTAGCGCTGACATCATCAGCCGTGTCGGCTCGTGAGCTGGCCGGCCGCGTAGTTGGCTTTCTGAGAGGCCCAGGTAGGACGGTGTTGGGGCTGATGGGGTCTGTGGTGGGGGCCGCCTTTGCCCTGCGCCACAGCAGCCTCGTCAGTGTCAGCATATGCTGTGGCTGCCGCAGAGTGCTATGCCCTCGAGTGGTATCAATTGAAGCGACATGAATAGCAGTGGAATGGGCTGCTCAAGAGTGAGGGCTTGATCGCACCCGTCTGGTGCAGCGGTGCAGAGCTCATCCGCAGTTGCCGTCTTCACAGGAGACAGGGTTTTGCTGTGAGCCTCCTTGTGGGCCGCGGCTGGAGTGGTCCCGGCCTCTGAAGTTGGGCTGCCTTCCTTGGAAGCGGCGGCTGAGCAGAGCTGCAGCGACCGCTCTGGCGCTGGGCGCGAGGCCGGCCTGACCAACAGACAACAAAGACATCACCCCGTGCCAATGATTCTGCGTCTGACACAACTTGCTGAACAGGCTCACGAAGCAGAGCACGTAAGCTGTGTTGATGGAAGGTGTTTTTGCCTGATGTCATGAGCATGCAAGTGCGGGGGATGTACCTCGGGCACCGTGGAAGGCCGGGGGGCCTCTGCGGGCCGCTCACAACTTGTTGAGCGGCCGCGGCCAAGTACCACTCCGAGAACACTTGGTTGCCATGTGCCAAGGCCTCCCAGGCCAGCTGGTCGGCCTGCGCCAGGCGTGCAGCGGATGCCTGAATGGCAGCGGCACGCTGCTGCTCCGGCACTTGGGGTGCCCACTGCAGCAGCGCCCACAGCTCCTGCGCATGCAGTCAAGTCAGGCGAGTACACCGTCGCTTGCCCGTGGCGGTGCAAAGCAGTCAGGTACTGCAACTGCTGCACGAAGACAGCGGCAGGTATGACACATCACTGCTGCACATCCGTAATTCCTTCGATCAGGGACACTAGGTTCAATTCCAAAACTTGTCCAGTCAGCTGAGATGTGCCATAAGGGATTATTACCTGCCTAGCGTCTGTGTCGAGCCCAAGCTGATCAGAAGGTCTACTACCATTAGACCCATTGTCCTACTTGATCCTTTACAGCTGGGCTCCCACAGCGACTGGATGAGGTGCAAGATGGGAAAGCACTGAGGGGCTGACGAATCTGTGACTCACCTGCTCCTGATTGTGGCGGTTGGGATCGCTGGGATGCAGCATCAAGATGCAGGTGCGCAGATCGGCTTCCGCGCCGCTCACATTATTGAGGCCTGCCCGCGCCCACCCTCTCACATAATACACGTCCGGTCTCCCCTGGTATAGAGCCGCGCACGTGCTGGCATCAACTTCCTGCAGAATTCCACGCCAGGAAGGAACTTTGAGATTAAATGGATTCCAACAAGACAACATCTCCCCAGGTGCCTGTGGTGTCTGTGTGGTTTGCACTTGGGTGACAAGGGAAAGACGGTGAGAGGGAAGAGAGGCACAGGAAGAGGCCTCACCGCCGCTGCCAGATCACCCCAGGCGATGTGCAGGGCCGCTCTGAGAAGCAGCAGCTCCAGGCTGTCTTTTCGCAGCTCCAATGCCGCTGTGATGCATCCGATTGACTCGTGCGCAGATCCGTACGGCACCTGGGCTACGGCCCGCCTCCTCCACACTGAGATTGCCTGCATCGCAGCCAGGCTCATGTCAGCGAGCTATTTCCAGCACAAGCAGACAAGCAGCATGGCCTCGCAATTCTTGTGTAACAATCTTTATCCTGATGGTTCACCAAGCTGATAAGCATTATCTTCACAGCAGCACTGCCACTGGCGGCCAGCACTGCAGACAGGGGCCTCCCACCTCCTCGAGCATTGTGTGACAGGTCGATGTGACAGAGCCGTCACTTGGGGTCCGGAAGCGCGACATGACTGGAGCTTCTCTGAAGGCAGGATGGACACATCTGTTGAAGAACACGCTATTGGGGGCGTTGGTGTAAAAGGTCGTCATAGTTCTTTCGCCTCCTGGCCTGCAATACATCAGCTGATCAGGAGGCTGTCGCAGCACATTATAAGTCAACCGATAATGGAGCCTTTTGATTTGCGAGCCCATTGGTTTGCTCGTTGGGTTGTAACAAGGGGCCAATCGCACGTCACTCGATTTTAAGCCTCTGCAGGAGAACCCTGTGCGACATGCGGTGTATTGACTCTTAAAGGTGTTATTTACACGTCACACACCGCTCTGCACAAGCTGTACTCACAACACGCCCGAAAAGGTGGGGTCTTACAGATAGTGAAAAGAGCGGGCAAATGATTAGGTTGCTGTTGACATCAAGGGGTTCCCCGCATCTGTAACTCCGCAAAACACTTTCTCGTTTAAGATAAAGCGATGAGACGTCCAGGCACTCGGGTGCATGGCCAACATAACCAAGATAGGCCGATCCAACTCGGTCGTCTGCAGATGTACACAATTTGCGACCACTGCCTGCAAAAACGAGTGCTTTGCAACGCACCTTCTGTTGAGCAGCGGGTGTCTCTGCTGGATTCGTCGATATCCACTGCTCCCGAGGCCTCAGGGATGCTTTTGATTTGTGATGGCTGCTCTTCCTGCCTTTAAAAATCTGCGCTGAGGGATACGCTCGCTAGCCACGCCCAGATGTCCAGTAGTTGGCACTGGATGATTGCACGTTATATTTCCCTTGCATATCCCTATATTTAGTGTCTAGGGTTGGGACAACTTTGGGACAACTGAAAAGTACCAGTTTCTGACATCACCATTTGGTTCGATGCATTGCTACCTGGGCAGCTTGCCGCTGTAATGCAGCTCTTGGATGCCAAGGCCTCGGGTGTTTCTCCTTGAGGAAAGCTCGAGATCATCCTGATCATCGTGATGATATCTGGGACTTGCCAGTCTAGAACATGCCACACTGTGCACACAAGTTAGCGGTGGATTTTCAGGCTAGAGTCCTTCAGTCACCCAGGCTTGCCCTTACAACAGCCTGACATTCATTGCTTTTGCGCGTGTTGAATTTTGCATGAGGTGGCATGCTAGCATGGAGCTCTGTCCAGTATCTCGGGCCACCGGGCCAGGGTGCCTTAGCGTCACTGCTGACATATACTCAGCACAGATTGGCAATGAGCAAGCGCAAATATTTACAGAGCACCTTCACATGCATTGGTGCAACTGATTTTGATGAATCTGACGACAAGAATGAATGTCTGAAGCAGCTGTTCAAACAAACTATAAGTTTTGGACGCCAACAATAACAACCTTTTGGGGTTTACTAGCCGGATCCCAGTCATAATTGAAGGCTTGACTCTTTCACCCTATTTGCAGACTCTAGAAGTACCTGAAACGGCATGCATTTGTCTTGAACAGCGCTAGCTCAGCAGCAAACATACAGTGCTTGCAACAATCAATGGGCGGGCTTGTTCAATATGCTATCAAGCGGATGATACAACACCTCTGCTGCAGTATTTTCTGAAGACTCTATTCGCTTGGCGGTCTCTTGTGAAGCACAAAGATGCTACACGTCAAACAAAAGACCAGGCGTTATTGAGAAATGCAAATGAATAAATCATGTACGGCATCTAGATGGCAAGCCTAGCTGGGCAAGTCTGACAGAAGTCTTGAACAAATACACTAATGGTGCGGATTCAGCTTAGTCTGCATCTGCAGAAGTCAATTCTGTCACTAAACCCTGAAAAAGATGGCAAATGACCATGCTAGATCTCGAATACTGCACCTTCTAGCCACATAAACGCTATGACCCGCACAGCTGGCGCCTGCTTTACTGCAGATTGTGGAGTTGGCTTGCTGGCGGCTGGACAGATGCACTATGTGACACAGCATGTGCTGGTCTGATCAAATTAGACGGTCGCAGGAGATGCCTCCTGGGTTTTGCCAGAGCACTTCTACTGCTTGAGCAATCGCAGTTCACATTGGTGAGCTGCTACTGATGCAGTACAGAGGCCTCTGTAAACTTGAAGAATCCAGTGCTTGCAGACGCAGGGAGCCTAGGTGGCACTTGACTAATTCAAGACTACTACAATCCACTTAGTACGCTCGGACAATGGGTGCCTTGAGTGGCGATAGCTCGGGGGAATCGGAGAATGAGAAGCGGCGGCCCCAGTCAATTGAGCTGCGATCCGCTGAGAGGCCGGCCGACAGTAGCGCGGCGCGCAAGTCCCAGCCGTCCTGACGGCGCCACATGCTCGGCGGTACAAACACCGACTGGAACGGGCCTGCAAGCATGTGACACATTTCTGTCAGCACCCTTCTGTTGCGTCCAGCAGGAAATTGGCACTTAAGGAAGCTTGCTAAATGCACTTGTAGCGAGCTCTTTGCCGATAGCAGAGAGCATACTGAGTGGCCTCGCAGGTCATGGGCACACCTCCACAAAGACATGCAGATACTGCCTTCTTGGTCAACTCAGAATCACTGCAAAAGCTCGGATGAACAGTTGAATATGAGTGTGTTCCAGGGGTGCGCACCGTCAGCGTCTGGACGCGAGTGGCGCGGCGCAGAGACGGCCCGGTATGCAACCTGGGCGCGCGCCGGGGACGGGTGCCGAGCCGCATCGCCTGCGGCCGCGCGGCGCGGCCCCGGCTCCGGGGAGGGGACCCGACCGCGCTGGCCGGCCGGCCGGCGGGGGGCCCCCGCCGCCGTCGCCGGGGGGGGCCTTGACACCGGAGAGGGGTCCTGACGGGGGGTCCCAGGCGCCACCGCCAGGGGGCCTGCGGCTGCGCGCGGGTCCGGGGAGGGGTCCCGGGAGACCCCCCGGGAGGTCGGAGCAGACATTGTCTGGAACCCGGACAGCTCCAGCTTGGGCTTGACTGCGTAGGTGCCGTCCAGGTCGGCGAAGGCCATCCACGCGCTGCAGGGCTGAGCTGCAGCCTTGGCGGGTGCCTGCTGCTGCGCGGCCGGCCTCGGCTGCGCGGGCTTTGCTGCCTGGACCGGCTTGGCTGCTTGCACTGGCTCGAGGATCTGCACTGGCTGCGGCTGCAGTGGGGCGGGCGTCTGCGGCCTTACAGGCGAATTGGCAGGCGTCGTTGCCTGAACAGGTTGTAGAATTTGCGCAGGCTGCGGGGGAACCCTGCGCTGGGGGGACTGCACAGGGGTCTGCGGGGGGGTCTGCGAGGGGAAGCTGCTGCGCTGGGGTGGCGGCGCGACTGGACGGCTGCTGATGTCAACAATCTGCAGTGGCAAGCAGCCCACACTTGCCTCAGGTACATCTCAGGCTCGTTTCACAGCGCAAATCTCACTGCTGCTGAGCCGGTAGCACCTATGAAACAGCTGAAGTTCCTACTAAAGTTCCTACATGCTTGTGTATAGTGGCAAAGTGCCAAATAAAAAGACCATTGGAAGTACCTGTCAATCAAGTCTGAGGCGTGCACCGAGCAACTTCAAGAACTAAGTTGGGGGGAAATTCTTTTTGGAAGGGCAGGATGTCAAAGAACTTGTGGCTAGGGAGGGGCTGTGCTCCCTGTAAGCTTACAGGGAAGGGCCCAATTGCCAATGACTGATCCACTCTGGACTCACCCTCTTGGGCCAGGTGCTGGATTCGGGCTGCGGCCAGCGCCGGATGTCAGCGCCAAGCTTGAAAAAGAGCTCCAGCTGCTGGCGGAAGCCAATATTGGGACAGATCCACCACTTCTGGCGGATGTCATCCACTGCTTCTTCTGCGCTGAGGCGTTCCTTCTGCATCAGGTGAGCCGCCACCACCGTCGCGCTGCGGCTGCGGCCGGCCGCGCAGTGCACAAGCACCCCCCCTGTGAAATAAGAAGGGTTCAGGGGTCAATACCCAGGGTTCGGGGGTCGCGCAGAGGGCGCCAGCACGCCGCCTGCGCTCTTTGTTATAAGAGTGAAGTGAGGAGTTGGGCAATTCTGGCTTGATGCTGCGCGCAGCAGACTACTACTGCTGTGGACCCGTGAAAGCATAGAGATCAGCCATTGCTAGTTTGCAAATGCAAGGCTTGAGCAGTTTCACATCCAACCAAACTAGGGTCTGATGAGCACAGTAAGATGCAGGGCATTAGTGACACTTGGCGTTCATGGCACAAAGCACAAGACAAAGGATCCTGGTTGCTCAGGATACAGTCCATTCAGTCATCTGTACACTGCTGTCTGACTGGCTCGGGAGGTGGACTGGGTGCACTCACCAGCCCTCCTGCCCTGCTCCACAAATTGGAGTGCCCCGGTCTGGATCATTGCGTGGAAGACGTCGAAGTTGCGCGAGTCCGGGCACTTCACCGATGCATACACCAGGCTGCTGGCATGCCTAGGGCGAAGGCTGATTCCAACCTGCACCGTGGGAAGCAACAACTCGTTCAGCAGGCTGCCAGTACAGATGGGCCTGATCATTTACAGGATGTCACAAAGAAATATTATCGCAAGTCGCTGTTTATGGGGTCGATCATGGCACCGCATGCCGTGCTCACCTGCAGGACGTGGGTGATGCCATACTTCCTCAGGACGTGCAGGTCCCTCTCGGCAGAGATGGAGCCGATGAACAGCCCCGGCCTGATGAAGGTGGGAGGCTCCGCTTTTGTCTTCTTCTCGAATGAGTCTGCAGTCAGGGGCTCGGGCTCCTCGACCTCTGCCCAGACAGGCCCCGTCGATGCCTCGGTGTCCAACTGCCGGCTCCCCAGATCGATCCCTGTCCCCACGCCATCATCTATCTCAGCAGATGCGTATAGGTCTCTAAAGCATGTTTCTCATGGGCGGTGGCCGTTGTGAAGAGCATCAGCCAACCGGCAGCCTTCTAGAACTCGATGGCAATTCCAGAATGCGTGCTGGGTCCGAGCGAGCAGGGAACCCAGAAGATCGTGCTCCTCACCAGCACGTCGCGGTACCTCGCAGGTTCCCTCCGGTGGGGTCAGCAACTCCAAAAGGGATCGCATCTCACTCCCTGCAGCGCGCGCCTCGCTGGATTGTGCTGGGCTCACAACGGTTCCTGCGTCTGTCCGCCGCCGATGCACCAGATCTCTGCTCTACAGTGCTCCTAGGGTCGCTCCTGGATTCAAGCTACACCACAGGCGCCCCAAGATCGAAGATGCCCACTTAACATCTTCCGGCCTGCGCACCGAGAGTTCAAAGCCTGGCCGCAGGTTCGATGCATGGGGACGTGGCTTGTCCACAGTGGCGAATCTCGACGTGGCGTTCTGTCCAAGAAGGATCATGACATCAACTTCATCTACATGGCGAGTCCAGGGTTCACAAAATTAGAGGGGAGATAGTGCAGGTTATGGAGGTTGCATTGGACTCTGAAAGAGGTCCATTCTGAGCTCTTGACACTTGCACAGGCACGCTGGTACAGATCTGTGTAGAGTCAGAGGGTAGGCACAGCTGCCAGCAGAATGGCGCTGCGCGTGAACACCACTGGCAATGTGCTGCTGAGGAACGTGGGCAGGGATGGGCCGGAGGGAGTGGACACCACAGCGTCTGTGGCGGTGAAGAGGAAGTATGGAGAGACCACGTATTCACTCAGAGCCACGGAGTCCACCATCAAGAACATCCGAGCCCTGAATGGAGCCCTCGTGCAGATGTCTAAGCCCCTAGGTGAGAGGCATGGAAGGGGCATTTTCGCAGAGAGCCTGTCTCATATCTCATCCCATGATTTGCATCACTCACACCTCCGAGATCTTCATTGATAAATCCAAGGTAGTTTCAAGCTTAGGGGCAAGCCTTGGTACAAGAACAGGGCGTTTTACTGATGCCTTGCATCAGGCCTTGCTGTCATGGTCATGAAATTTCAGATATAGTGCGATCAATATCTTGTTGTCGTGTTGGATGCAGGAAACGACTTCACTGGGAACCTGAAGTGGGACTTGGGAGGCAGGGCCTTCACGCTGGGCATTATCAAGAGCATAAAGCTCGCGCAGGGCCGCCTGGTCGAGCTCGGGACAGCCTATGCCGAGAAGAGCGGCGTCTTCAACCTGGAGGCGGCAATCAAGCCCCACAAGGACCATAGGCTCACTGCCACGTACGTCACCTTTCATGAGATGATGGAACGCATGCCAAAGCATGCTCACAGGGACCCCTTTTGTGACATGGTTGCCAGGACAGCGCTTGCCTGTAAAGGCTGCCACTTTGCGGCAGGTGCTGAGTGCATCAGTTTCCCATAGCAGCATCAACGTCTGATGATTTCCTGTGCACGTCTATCTACCTGACAAGCAAGCCGTGAAGACAAGCTCTACCACAGAATCGCCAGCCATTGGAAAGAGGCAATGTTGTCACACATCATGACCCCGATATCTTCCTGCCAACTCAGAACACCCTCAAGAACGTGCAGGCCCACTGGTCTGGTTGCTTCTCTTGAATTGATTTCAAACTCAAATATAAGCATATGCGCGCAGGCTGGTGCCTCAGACGCGGACGGCGTTTGGCGCGTACTCATTCACACACAAGGGCTTCACGCTGACGCCAGCGCACAACTTTGCCAAGAAGGCCACGGTTGTCAGCCTGAGCAAGAAGCTCAGCAGCGGGCAGACCCTCAAGGGCAGTTACTCGCTCAAAGACCAGGCCGCTGTGCTCGAGCTGGGCGTCGCTCCTCTCACGGTGCTTCTTCAGCTCTTCTCTCAGTATAGCTGTGTAGCTTAAACTTTAATTCAATTCTAGAGCAGACATTGGAATGCCAAGTCTTGGCCTGTGCTCTTGGGTTCAAGAGGCAAGGCTTGCCCTCTTGCCTGACTCAGGTCTTGGGACTAGCCACACCTCACTAGTAAATCAGTATTTCCTTGTCTGGGAGCCTACCTCGTGCAATTATGCTTGCTTTTGGCCAATGGATGAAGGGGTAGGTCTTTGTGGCAGCCTTTTACCTGCATCTTCAAGCAAGTTGTCTGCAGACACCTTGCCTCTGGCAGGAAGAGCGTGCTGGAATAGATGTAACATGAGTCAGCCAGCAAGTACTGAATGCCAATCCTGACAGGCTTGTTTCACTGCTTGTCCAAACTGGGCATCTGCTCACGAGTGATTCTGCGCTGTGCAGCTGAGCCTGCGGACAAAGTTGAAGGACAACCGCCCGACGCGGCCAACCATCGGTCTCACCATCAACAGAGACGTGGAGTACCGACAGGTAAATTCAGATAGCCTTCTTCTCCTTTTGTGGTGGCTTTTTGCGCGGCACCATTTAGTCACTGAGGGGCGATATCCTGCAATGCGATTCCTTTTGTACAGCCATGCAAACATCTCGTAAAAATGCCCTGCTGACAAATGAAAGTGTGGGCATGGCTGCGCATGCATGCTGACCCACCAAAACACAGCCGCCCTTATCCTGAGCGGTCGTCAGAGTTAGGAAATTTGCGTGGACTCTGATGGGTTGCTGAGTACTATTTTTGTTGGATTCCATGGCTTGCAGATCTGCAATAATTCACTGTGTTGGTAATCATGGCCTGGCCACAAGGACAGCTTTTCTGCATATGACCCGCCAGTGCTGACTAACGCTTGCATATGCTGACTAACGCTTGTGCCTGATCTGGCCCGCAGTTGGATCCGGCAAAATCCGCGGCGAAGAACGCGGCAGGGTCATCGCAAATGGCGGTCGGTCCCACGAAGGACCTGAGCCTGGACGACAAGCTCAAGGCACTGGACATTCTGCACGATCGGCAGTTTGCAGAGAAGGGGCAGAAGAAAAACGGCGTGGAAGTCGCCACCTTCACCAGAAAATAAATGTAACTCTTGAGTGTCTTGCGGCCGTGTTAGCTGAGGTTCTGTAGGGGGGGGGGGGGTCCTAGTAGAACACCTATTTGCAAGATTAAGGTTTCTCTTGTGGGTGGATCCCAAGAAGCAAGCTGACCTGCATGTGACCACCTCAGGTCAGATGTCGATTGGGCATTCCATGCTGGATATCAGTGGCATTAAGTGAAGCCCACATCAGTGCTTCAGAAGTGAGGTTAAGTCCGCTGCAAGTCAGGAAAGACTTTGGCGTGTCGCTCATCTGGAATATGCTAGTGCATGGTGTGATAGCAGACTCAGCTCATGAAGCATTCCCCAAGCCAGGCACTGTGCGGGATTGCCTCATGCTTGTAGACATCCTGATTGTTGTGTGCCTGCTACCTGGCTAGCCGAATTAATTTTAGTTGTTTCTGCACGAATTGAGGCCTGCTTGATACAGAATACAAATAGTTGTTCACCAAGGGTGAATTGAGAATTTGGATGTCAATGCAGCTGGCCATAGAATTTAAGTAGACTGATGAGTCATCGCCAAGCCATGTCTAGGCAAGGAGCATTCCCATGCAAATATGCAGTCCGCACTGTAGGGCTGAATTCCAAAACGGGCACTGACCGCACCGATTAAGCACACATTCTCAAACATTGCCTCAGCTAGGAACCCCGGATATCATGATGAGAAAAATTCTCATCTTGCTGGGCCTGTATCTTTATAATTATCATTATAATTACATGCTTTTCCTGCCGAAGGCAAGGTGCGTCTGCAGACAAGCTGCATGTCTTCATATGCTGTCCACTAAATCATCTACTGGTGTACACACGCACGTAATCCACCTGCAATTCCACAAACAAACTCTCACTCTTCCAGCATATTTAAACAACCAAGACAACAAGGCCCCCATTTCGAGTGTGATCAGAAGTCTTGTTCTCACGAGTTTATCACTAGCATCCAGCACGAATTGCAGGACAACTTAAGCAGGAAGAACTGCATTTGAAATACCCTCTATGTGCACAAAATAAGAAGGGGCTACACCTGGTTTCAAACAGCAATTGTTGGACAGAGTCATATAAGCTGCTGCAACAGCACAATGCAGAGCACCTTCTATGCAAGGTTGTGTGAAAGCGGCACAGTTTTGACTCACCAGCATGGTCTGCGGGAACACAGTGTCTTTGGAGGGGGATCTGCCGGGCAGCAGGCCCCCCACTGCCACATTGAGCAGCAGGCGGAATGGCTGGTCAAAGGGGGGTCCGCATGCAGAGGGGGAACCCGCTGACGTGTACCAGCCGCCACCCGGGTTGACACACCTGTTCTGCGCGATCGCATACTGCCTGCCATCCACATACCTAGCAGCCCGAGAAAACATCAAAAATTCATAACCATAAGTATAACCATAATCATATTATAGGTATGCACGTTTTGCCTGCCGGTAGTAAGCTGCGTCCACAGGTAAAGGCTGCCACAAATTCTATTCCTTGGTGGAATCGCCAGATCCAAGCAAAACCCTATCACCTGTGGTTAATACTAGTTTGGATAAATAACAGATGCGGGAGAGTCTAAGAGATCCCTCACGCTGAGACTCTCTCGCATAGTACCCTCAAGCTGTCTGCAAGCTTGGCATCAGTGATTAAAGACCTATGCTATGGTACAGTACACAGCCTGCTGGGCACTGCACAGCAGCATGTTTGCCTGCATAATATTCATGGCCTTCCCAATCATTTTAGTATAATGTTGCCCTATCTTTCATGCACGTGAGGAAGCTGGCAAGAATCACACTTAAGCGGTGCAAAAGGCTCTCTACAATTGCGCATGCATGCTCTCTACAACTGCCAGGGACAGAACATACGCCAACCTGAAGTGACTGCTAAGGGGTGTAGACCAAACAGCTTTGCTAAACTCTCCTTGATGACTGCTAGACCTCAGAAAGGGCTAAAAAGTTGTAAATGATTCTGATGGGCTCACCATGTGATGGAGTCCCAGGACCAATCCATGGAATACACATGGCAGTTTCCTGCGAAGCTTCCGCTGGCCACATCAGCTTCCAGGAAGCCGCCAAGCTGGGCCTTAGATTTGCCAAAATGGGCCGTGCCCATGACTATAGATAAGTCATTCACCGCCTCCAGTATGTCCAACTCCCCGCTCGCGGGCCAGGGGCCGTACGCCAAACTGCTGTTGCTCTGTTTTGCCGGCAGCATCCAGAATGCTGGCCAGATACCGTCCCCACCTGCACAAAATTGCGCAGGCCCCACTGTGCTCGAATTTCATTTGATCCAGTTCTGACTATAAGGTCTAATCTCCATCACATGCGTATTATGCACTGGACGACCTTGATGCTATTGTGACTGGTGGAGGAAATGCAAGTATTGAGGAGACTGGAAAGCAATGATTCAGGTAAAGCTTGACGTACCTAGTCCTCAAGGACTGGAAACGGTGTGGCAATAATATCTAATCATGCATGCCCAAACTTGGGGATCAAGTCCGGAGTGATCCCTTGCCCAGGATTTGCATTAAATGGCATCTCACTTTGCAATTTAAACTAATCACCATGACCTCTAAGACCTCACACGATGTACATCAAGGTGAGGTGACTGATGATGACTGAGGATCACCTCGCGGCAGCTGGATGCGCGCCTCGACCCGCAGCGTTTCGCCGGGGCCGGGAGCAAATGCGCGGCCGGGGGCGCTCGCCAGCCGGGCGCTCACGTAAGCGCCACCAGTTGCCACATCAGCACGGATTGCCAGAACGCCGCCTGCCACCTCAACGTTCTGCGACTGATACACCTGCAGCTCCTGGTTGCCCCAGCCTGGCCCCCGATAGAGGCGTCACAATGTTAAAGGTGTCACAATCCTACAATATATCTAAACTTGCAAGGACATTGCAGAAAGCGCTGACATGCTGGGCATGGCATGTGCATCCCGGGGAGTACAACTGTAAAAGCACACTGCTCGCTCTCAGGTCGCGGCACACATCATTATGATCAGATTTTGCAACATTGCCTTCCAGCAATCCATCCAGCACAGCCTTCAAGCTTGTTATGCACGTCATGGCTTTTGTCTGTGTAGAAGCGGTATATACACAGGAAGTCTGTGTGCAGCTATTTCCGCACTGCCACCATGATGGACAATCCTGTTCTAAAAGACAGCCACCTGGGATGCCGTAGGCGCTGCCATCCCCGTTCTCAAACGTCCATGAAGCGGTGTCTACACTGGACCCCTCAAACTCGTCCGACCACAGATAACGGAAACCCGGCTCTGCGCACACATTTGAACTTATCATGTTCAAATTAGCTCCAGCTTGCGCATGTACCAAGCACTTTCATGGCTCACATTCTGGGTCAGACACCGGGCCCCAATAGGGGCTCTGAAATGTGCTTGCATCTGTAAGCAAAAAATTCCACACAAGACAAGACCTTGCAGCTTGAGCACTAGTACAGCAGCAACATGAGCTGGACTCAAGGCAATGAAAGGCAGGTATCCGATCACCTGAATAGGGCATGGCAGACTGGGGAGCTGGGATGTGTCTGACCAGCCAGAACGACCTTGTGACAATGACAAGCGTGGCAAGATTGACCGCCAAGATAGCGGCTGCGGTGAGGACAAGGCACGCGGGTAGGAGCCTGCTGCGCGGAAGTGCAGAGGGTCCTCCCTTGCCCACCGGGGTGTGCTGCCTGTGTCCTTCGTGAACCTGCAAGCATTCAGAGATACAGTAGCCCTTTGATGGCTTGCAGGACACTGCATCTTGCACTCATGTCAGCTGCTGTGGCGAGTGCAGGTCTCAATGCAGCACTTGCTGCAGCTTCCACGGTGTCCAGAACAAAATCTGGACATATTTCGCCTGCACTCTGCCTAAACTCAGCCTTTGCAGAAAGGATGTGAAAAGGAGTCACATGCAGGTGAAGGCCATGTATGAGTGTCACCTGAAGCAAGGGCTGCGGGGAAGGGCACATGAGGGAAGGGGGCGGTGACCGGAGGTGACTATGACATGAGGTGCTGGGAGCACTGGACTGCGGAGAGGAGGACAGTTCGAAGCTGGAGAACGCTGGGTGCGCCTGCTTCCACACCATCGTGCAGGATGTTTCCCGGCTAGGTGGACTGTCCTTCTAAATAGACCCAGTCCTGCCGGATACAGTAGATTTCTGGTACAGTGGAATAAAGCTGATGCAGTAGTACATCAATCTGTGGCCGGTTGAGCAAGCCTTCAGATCCTGCAGCTTTTCATGTCCATGAGGTGTCCACGCCCATCATGTGCGAACCACAGAGTTGATCAGATTGATATTGAATAACATTCTACTGCTTATCTGCGGATTTCAACCATATAATACGGTTCCTCGCGTCTATTTTGGAGTGTAACCGGCAACAGACATCGACTAGCTCAGAATTAGCAGCACTTGACGACAGGCAATCTCGTCATATTGTCAGGCATTCCAGAAAGGACGCGATCTGTTTGCAAAATACCAAGAGGCCAGATACACAGTCGCGTTGAGGTATTGGACGATTCGAGCGGCAGATCGGTGCTCGTTAGGGTACCGACAGGTGGCCGCAGCAGGGTTTCGATCAAGGTGTTTAAACCAGCAGAGACAGCTGGATGAGAAAAGTTTCTAGAAAACCAACAACAACAAAAAAAATTCGACATCAGCAAATACGGTGGTTATTTCAAATTCCTCACCTTCCCTTTGTGAACACTGCTAGTTCGCTGTTGACACGACGGGATGGGAATGTACAATCCTGATGGCTCGCTAAAAGCGTATGCACCGAAAGTGCACATGAATGCACATGGAAACTCGCAAGAAGAAAGGTAGAAAGACCTTGTGGTCTTCACATCACCTGTTGGTGTCGGTGGTTGGCTCTAAGCAGCTCTGCACTTGAGATGGTGCTTTAGTGAAGTGTTTGAAGAAATGAAATAATTTGGCGTGCTTTGCAACATGGAACTTCGTGCTCATCACCTGAATGATGTTAACATGTCTCGCTTGCCATGCAGAGTCTCAAGGAAGAGCCGCAGGGCTGAATCACTTACAGATGCCGAAGACTTCGTCATACCAGCTGGCTACGTGGCCAAGGTTGACCTCCCATCTCTGAAAGAACGTGCCATCTTGGTGGCTGCCCTTGATGCCACGTGAATGGAAGACCTTTGGCTGTTCCTTTGCAAGCACAAACAACTGTTTGGGGTAAGCACAGATGTCATGAAGTTTCCCACCTTTTCTCACAGGATACCGACGCAAAGCCGTCAATCAAGCCGTAAGTGATCCATTCCCTCCGTCACCCCCTTATTTGCTTTCAGCTGCGTCTGGCAAGGCTGTATACTTCTTCCATCCTGCTTGGGATGTTTTGCACGATTGCCTTGCAAACATGACAAAGCACCTGGACCCACTGTGAAACTCAGAAAAAGGGAACATGAGTGTTGCCGGTTGCAGAGGCACTGACGAGCGCGTCAAAGTGACACTGTGCAGCAACCTGACAGTGGGGGATGGGGATGAGGCCTTCTCGGGCCTGAGCCCAACTCCTGAAGCTGATGGCGAGGCACTGGGCGCCAGGTACCAGTCATATCCTCCTACATTCTCCAAATTGAAATAATCTGCTCTGTGACTTAAATAACGAGTACTTGGTCAGAAAATTACTTGCGTCCAGCCGCACCAGTTGCACCACTTGCCAAGCATTGCAAGCATGCTGAGTTCAACACATTGATGGCAATTGAAAGTGGATCGGTGAAATCCCATGTCGGCAATGTTGGCACAAGAATCACATGGCTGCTGCCATCATGTGATGATGCTACAGTGATGTCATCCTCAGGGGCCTGGGCAAGGCATTCAAGGCATCCCGGTAGAACACAACAAAGTAACCATTGCTGCACACAAGCTGTTCATGTCATGATTATTGCATGATGACCACATAATGATGAAATTATCAAGGCCTGAGCGAGGCTAATAAGGCATCCATGGACGACACGATCGGACATGCAAAATGCAATGAGATGATTCCATAATGTTGATGTAATGATGATGTCACCAGGGGCCTGAGCGAGGCTAAGAAGGCGTTTCTGTACGACAGCAGCGTGGAGTTGGGAGACGCTGGAGGGGACGCCAGATCAGACGCGGCCACAGAGGCCAAGCTGCTGTCCCACATGAAGCAGCTGGAGCTCAGCGGAACTGCTGGCAACATTCTGCTGCCCGTCGAGGCGGCAGAGGTGCGCTGACTATTGCCCTTAGTCATGCTGGCATTGTGACGAATCCTTCCTGCAGCGCTGGCCCCTGTTTGAATTGAGTGAGGGGCCTGAGAGCAAAAAGCCCAGGAAGGGAATCAGGAATCCCTAGCACAAACCGAGGGGGCAGAGGTTCTGACTAGTCCTCTTCAATACTTCTGTCCTGATTTACTTGTCAATGACTGGCCCCTGTCTGGGAACTTTGACCCCTGCCTTGGTCTGAAAGAGAGGCTGACCAAGAGGCCTCACTGCAGAAGGGACTGAGGAAAAGAACAAAGATCCCCTCTCACCAGTAGTGCACGCAACCCAGCATCATACTGACCTGTGAAAAGGCATTTCCAGTTTGCAGGCCTCGCGAGTCGTCTTTGCATGCGCTGGCACTTTGACATGCCTTGCGTGTTATCTGCATGGCATCCTGCTCAAGGAGGTTTCATGAGAAGTACTAGCATGATTGTACGCCACCGCATGCCACGCATGGCCCCTATTTTGGCCTAGTCCGGCCATGGCGTGTCTCGCTTGAACCATCATGTCAAAACTTGGCCTTAAGTTTCTGTGAATTCCGCTTGTGCTGACTCCTGTACACCCATGCTGTCGCAGCCGTCGCCGCCGTGCCGCGCCAGCCACCGGGGATACATGGCGGCGCAGCTGCGCAACAACTCCTGCTTCACCTTTGGTGATGACGCCGCGTTAGACGCGCCCAAGCCAGCACGGGCGCAGCCGCCAGCCGGGCGCCGCCAGCCGCCAGGTGGCACCTCCAGCTTCAGCGTGGGCTGGTGATCACTAAGCGGGCATCAAGCGTACTAGTAAGGCTTCAGCCTTCTGGCAATTGGCAGGCGGCTTCAGTGGGCTGGTTGCCACTGAGCGGGCGTCGGCGTTACTAAGAAGGCATCAGCCTTACGTAAGTCATGCGGTATCGCCCTGATCAGGCCGCATAGCACCTCATGACAGCTGGCAGACAGCTTCAGCGAGGGCTGGTGATTATCAAGAAGGCATCAGCCTTACGTATTTGCGTCAGTATTACGTAAATTACACAGTGACTCCCTGAAGACACTGCCGTGTACCTTACAGCGAGAGCATTGAAGCTGGCAAACATTTTGAAAAGATGTTGGCAGGGCGCTCTGTCTTTAATGACATCCCTTGAGTTTACCTGGCAGCATGCAGTCAGCTCCAGGATAGGGCTAGATTGTTAGGCCGCATGACAACTGACTTTAAAGGGGCCGGCGGCTTTTGCAGCTGCAAGTCTCTCGGTTCATTACTGCTTGGCAGCCAACCTTGGCTTGGTGGGGTGCTGCATGCAAGCAGCACCCCCGCAAATGGCGGATGATTTTGTCCAAAAGAATCCTATATAACCGCCCAGGAAGATCTGTGCATGATCAAGGTGTCCAAAATTTGATGTGACGGTCCCCAGACACCTCAAGAGTGTGTTCACTCAAGCTCACTTTGATGTTTACCAAGAATAACGGTCTCATCACCAAGAGTGGTGGGCAGAGAAAGATCCCGTGAGCAACATTGCACTTGCTCTTACGTGGAGACAAGCGTGAAAAGCTTTAAATTTTATGTGTACTGCAACATCCAAGCAGCCCTCATCGCATGCCACAGTAGCAATGTCAAGAGCAGCACGATAGCGTATTTCACGGGGCACTGATTTTTACAAGACCTTGGTGACTATCGATGGTCCGAATAAGATCAAGACTCTGGTATGGGACTTGTGTTTGACATGGTGCTTAGTGAGTCATCTGTTCTGACAAGGAACAGGGAAAGTGGATCTTTTCAATGTTGCACATACAGCCACTCAGAGGGTCTGCTGTCGGAGCAGCATCATTTGCAGCCGATTCACTACAAAGTTGAGCTTCATTGTGTCCTTGTATATTTGTTGTGATTTTCCATCTGCATGCCTCTCTTCTTAATTTACACTCTATAACGGATCTACAAATGTAACCATGCACGAAAAAGCCAACACTTGCATTAGCAGCTGCACTCTGTGACTGGACAATGACATGGAGCACGCAACAGTATTACTGATTGCCGCTCATTATAAAAGCCGCTAATTAGTCTTACTCAGCACCTGATTTAATACAGAACCTCTGCAAACGCCTAATCAATTTAGCACAGAAGGTCATAAATTTGAAATTTGACCAGGAGGCACAACTTAAGTTCCCTTCTGCTTGACAGCCGCCGAACACCCTTGACTCCATTGGCTAGCCAACAAGAGTGTTGCAAGGGGCAGATACCAGGCAAGTCCCGGGGAAAACAGGAGCGCCGGCCAGCCGTAAGACACCACGCACACTCTGTACACGACCAGGACATGGAACGCTGCAATGGGCGCTAGACACACAGCCTGCAGCGGCGTCAGCGGCCAGCGCCGCTGCTTCCCCGATCGCCTCCTATTTGCGCGCCCAAAATCTAATTCAGGCTGCAGTTTGCATCAGCCAGGGTACATGCATTGTTCAAAGGCAGTTCTGGACAGATTGAGAGCTGTTGAGGGCATGTGATCAGAGCACTGACTGGGTCGTGTGTGCAAGCAATCCAGGGCAGTTGAAGGAATAGTGGGCAACTTTGCAGTGCTTGAGGAATGCCCCCTTGATCAAGATAGCTGCGCCGGCTAAATCTACATTCTTAGCAAGCACAGTGCCCACTATCATCTGCATTCTGCCTCTTTCACCCCAGTCACAGCTCCTCTTGGGCTCCATCATTTCTTGTACATCCTTTCAGAGCGGAGATATTTTTTTGAAGCGCACGGGAAAATGGTTGTGTTGAGATTGACAGCCATTGCAGGAGAGGTATGAGCCTCATGTGAAAGACATGTAGTGAAAAGGGTGATCGCCACATGTGAAAGAACTGCACATGTGCATGCCTGTGTGTGGAGCTCAAGCTTCTAGAAGATGTTCAAACTGACTGAGATGTGTGAGAGCTTACCAGGAGGACACCACAGCAGCCATCCAGATAGTGAGCGGCAGGACACAAGTGGCGTAATGCACGGCGCCCACTCGCAGCGTGTCAGGGTCCCGCCGCCACCGCCAGGCCCCCCGGTGCCTAAACAGGACGCGGCCCATGAAAAAGAACCCCGGCAGTTCCCCCGACAGATAATTCGCCGCCAGCCACGGCCCTGTGAAGAGATAAACGCTGTGCAGCACCTGCAGAGAGGGCAAGCATTGGTTACTGACCAAGAGTCACACTTTTGCCCAGTTCCATGCAATTGCGGGGTTTGGATGCGTGGAAAGAGGACTGCACTGCTCATTTTAGGAACGAAAGTCACGGGAAATGCTTGGTACAGTAGCTCTTGTTGCCACCATGAAAACAGGCAGTGCGGTCATCTTCTCACTGCAAAGTCAAACCCGTTTTTGCATACATCATTATCTGAGGGAATAGATCAGACGGTTTGCAGAAAATTATTATTGTTATTGTTGTTACACAGCTTTTCCAGCCGAGATTTCAGTGCGTCTGCAGGCGGGCTGCAGTCAAGGGCAGCCAAAATCCCACCCCTTGTTGAGCGCGCCAGATCTAGGCAAGACCAAGCAAGAAGCAAAAGTATCTATTAGGTGAAAAGTATGACCTGGGGAAGCCAGATGGAAGGCACAGCCGCCATGTCAGCAAGGGCAGAGAGAGGGAACACCGCCAGACGCCCAGACGCCAGTTTTGGCAGCAGCAGCATTCCTCCCAAATGCACCGCCCACAGTCCATAAAACAACCTGCATGGCAAAATATGCAGAAAAATCAATGCAGGAATTCACTATGAGGCAGCACCATTCAGGAAACATGCAGTACCATTCAGAAAAGTCCTTGGATCCTTAGAAGAAGCCTTGAGCAGCATCACAAAGTCAGCAATCCTGGGGGCCGATACATGTTTGCACTGTCGATGCAGCCTTTATACCTTCAAGACAGCCCCTTTTCCCTCCCCTTGGCGCTCGCACTGCCTTCATATCTTGCGCTCTCTCCTCACTTGATTCATATTATAGACAAAAAAAATCGGGTTGTAGATTAGCCTCAATATAAAAAGCCAAACTCGACTCTTCAAACAGGGAACTTGCCTGACGGCTGCCTGCTGCCAGTCCAAGTGCAGCACGAGCCATTCCATGAACCCTAGCTGCAGGGGCAGGGGGCTGCGAGGGGTTGTGAACCAGGGTTTCCCATTATATCCCTTTGTCAGCGCGGCCGGCCGCTGCTCTGAGCTGGCCGGCGGCGGAGGTTCTCCCCCGTAAACCCGCTCCAGCGCATGCACCTGCAAAATCGAAATCGAATTCTAATTCATTCAAATTCAACCAAGACATCAAATGCCATTTTTCCAATCATCAACATTCGTACCCAATACACAAGCGCAACTTGTGCTCTTCAAGGAGACCCCTAAAACCTCTAATACCCAGATCAGTCGCACACCATTCACGCTTGAATTACACTGTGCCCAGAGCGGATTCGTTACTGGAGCCCCCACCTTACGGTGCAGAGCCTACGCCATATACACTTGGGATCTTCACAGTGGCAAACTATCGACAGACCCCGTTTCAATAGGCACAGGGCAGGGTGCTCTGGGATTCAAGCTCCAACTTGCTAAGAGCCTTCGCTCTCCTATGAGACATTTCAAAACCGGCACCTTCAGGCACACAAAGGATTTACCACTGGTCAGCAGCAGTGGAGTGGGGTCTTCACCAATGACCCTCTGGCAGGGGTGCAGAAGTTACAGGAAGAACCTAAAAAGATTGGATCTAGTAACCCCTAGTCAGCCTTTGTTCTGCGAGATGCCCGAGATAGAAAAATCAGCTGTTGATCTAGAGGCCCACCTGGATGTATGCCAGGGTGTCGCTGGCTTCACAGCTGTCCTCATAATTTCCCCAGGGGGCGCGCCATAAGTTCTGCCCCTGCTGCACCTGCGCCATCATGGCCTGCCCAGTCTTGCCTGACTTGGAGCACGTCCACGTCAGCAGCACCTGCATGCATGCAGCGTCGAGCACTTACTAATCATCGAGTCATGCACGTCCAAGCCTGTCTGCCAATGCTCTGTGCTCGGTGTTCATGGATGGGAGTCTGATTCTTCCTTTACCCTGCTCCCCGAGAAAGGACCCCGACAAGCGAAGGTTAATTACTCGTTCTTACACGCTGTTGCTGTTACGAGGGCAAGGGAGGTCTGCAGACATGCTGCAGCTGAAGGCCACCAAACTGCCTACCCCTCTTGTGGCCTCGCCGCATCCAAGCAAACAGTGCTTCCATCAAACCAAGGTATAATGCAAGACATGCAAGGCAGTGCGAGCGCCAAGAAGGGAGAAAGGGCTGCCTCCATTGCAAATATAGGGTATTGCAAATACCTTGATCCCACAATCGCATGACACACCTGCGGTAGTACGGGAAACTTGGTCCCAGAACGGTCGGGGATGACTGGGATGACTAACGCGCGCACTTCTGAGAACAGCTGGCGCCGCTCGATTAGTAATCCCAAGGGGCTGTAACGCGCGTCCGGGGGGCTCGTGATAACCACCATGTGCTTCCTCACCACCACCTCCTTGGCCACGCCTGCAACCGGCCACAGATACCCTCCCTGAGCTTCAGCACTTGACTCGCTGAATCAAAACAGGATGCACTGGCTCTTCCCTCAAGTCAAGTATGGCAGGTCATGCTGTGACAGATGCGTCTTGGCAGATTTTGAAATGCATGTGCTCAGTCCCGTCCATATGACCTCAGATCGCTTGCCATTAGGTGATCCTAAAGAGCAGCCGCGACATTAGATAATAAAGGCCCAGCAACAGTAGCAATGCAGCAAAATTCCTTGGGCTGTGATCAATCAGCAACGCCGACTGATAGCTGAGGAGCGCACACACCTGTGATGGAGATGTTGTGGCCTTCCTCGATGTGCATGTGCTCGGAGGGGGGGCCACAGCTGGAGTTGGGCTTTGTGGGGGTGTGGAAGAAGAAGTCTGTGAATGCCAATGCCCCTTTATCGAACGTCAGCACCCTGAACCGCCGGTCATCCTTCCAGGCTGCATTCTCCAGCTCAGCCATGTGCTCTGCAATATTACTGATCATCACATGATCGGCAAGCCCCAAAGCCGGAAATCATGTGGCGTACACTGCATGTGACTAATTTACTCAGCAGCTTATGTGGCGAGCAACAACCGAAGATGTGCATGCTAAGGGCCCATACAAACAGAAAACAAATGGCATTTATGTGGCTAGGATCGAAAGATGCCCTGGCAAGCTTACAAGGCAATTGGCAGGACTATGGACGGGCCCTAATCTTGCAAGATCAGATAAATAGCTCACGTTGGTATGCATGTGCGATTCTCCATTGTTCAAACTCAAATTGGGTTTCAGCGGTGAGTCACCTCCATCGGGAGCGCGATGCAGCCGGTGCACGCGCTGCCCGAACACAGCGTGCAGGTGGCCGCTGAGGTAAGCGCTGACGCCGTGCTGAGTCAGCACATCCAACAGCGAGCCTGTTCTGGCACGGGAGTCCCCTTGCCCGCTCCATGGCTTCGTGTCCGGCTCCGCGATTACGGGCAGCGGGTAGTGCCCGTAAGTCACCAGCGCGGGGCTGCACCCCTGGCTCCTGCACATACACAATTATGAAGTTAATATCGTGGATGCCATGTCATTGCACACTTCTTCCCAAAACTGATGGGCTTGCTTGGCGAAGCATAAGGACCAGAACCCACCAGAGGCTACATGTCAGTCATGATACTGCCAACACGAGCACACTCGCTCAAGTCCACTGCTGACCACGCCTGGACAGAAGTCACTTAGCTGCTGCCCACACACGATCCACAAGCAACCAATGTATCACAGCTGCACATCATCGCCTTGCCACTGACTAGAGTTCTGTTGCATGACTTGCAATCACACCAACCCTGCCAATTTGATTCTGTCTCGTTTCATGCACTGAGGAAACCAGCCCAGCTTGTCACGATGCGCACCTTGCATTTGCGAGTGTCTGGTTCAGGTGCACTATGTCACGGCTGCAGAGAGTGCCGGCAAAGTTGGTGGGGCCCCTCAGTCCTGGGTCGGGCGTGGCATCAACTCCCACAAGCACCGCCACTGGGCACTTGTCCTGCATGACCACCCAAACACACCTCAGTAGCTCGAAGCACAAATGTTGCACATCGCAGCGCTAGCACAGGTGCCAGAGGAACGCTTGTCAGTCAGCTCTGACTTTGAACTGATCTGCATGTCTAGCTGCAGGACAATGGGCACCCAAGGCGCCATGTAGTTCCTGCCCTGTTACGATTTCTCCTAAATGTCCAATTGCAGCTGCTGCACGGGCTCCCACACGTTTGCCCTCGGCAGCCAGTTTTAGTTCAAACTGAGTCCTAAAGTTCGTTAAGCACAAAAGTTTATCAATGCTCAGACCTGCTCCTGCAGGTTGTACTCTGCGGTGTAGGGCCCGGCGAAGAGCGGCCGACTGAAAATGCGCGCGCCACCGCCGCGCCGGCCTTCGGCCGCGTAGGCCGGGAAGAAATCGCCTTTGCCGTCCCTGAAACGCAAAAATGTGATTCTTTACATCTCAAGAATGATTGTGAACCTCAGTATTCCCCCATCACATGCAAGTGCACAGTGCAGTGCAGAGTCCAGCATTTGTGCATCAATTGCAGTTGCTCACAGTGCCTCCGAACAAAAAAAAGAAGGTGCCCTGCGCTTGGACTACATCTTGTTGGAGCGGGGTTGGCTTTCTGGCATCTTCAAGTCTTTGGGGTATTTGTGCAGCGCGCATAGAAGCAAAATGAGAACCTTTGTGCCATATTGAAGGCGTCATGGTTGCCCCTCAGATCCAGGATGGCGGCCTCTGGAATCCCAGACTCAGTGACTATTGTGTCCAGCACCCTCCTGTATGTCTGCCCAACAAGCCACGGGCACGCCAGTCACGCTTGCAGGAAAATCAGTACAGAACTCCATAGAAAGCCAGGCTACAGTGTAAATGTGTAATTTACACATTTTGCTGCCTCCTGTGACAGATGGAGATGGAGAAAGTCTTAGCATTGCTTCTGCAGGGTGAGAATTCAATTTTGAAGTGAGCAGCAGCAAAGGAAGAAGATTGGCTGAGTCACCTGCCACTCTTGAAGCTGCTGCTCTCCTGTGCCTAAAAGCCTCTTCCCATCTGTCAAGTCGCCTGTGATGAGCAGTGCCCCCGGCTGAGAAGCAGCCAACACCGTTCTTGCAAAGAGCCTGCGCAAGAGACTCCCTTGATGGTCTGGAAATGGTCTAATTGCACATCGCTCGGTAAGTACAGGACAAGCAGCCTGTCTTGAGCCTGTCTTGAGTCTAATAGTGTGCACCTGAGGTCGCCAGCCTTGTCGCCATACAGCTTCTGGCGGTCTGGGAGGTGGTCAAATTTGCTCAGATGGGTGTCTGAGATCTGTATGAACCATGCTGTGCCGGGCAGCTTTGTGCTGGGCACCTCCAAACTCAGCTGGCCTCCCAGCATGTTCATTTCACCTGCCATGCAAATGATTTGATGCATGCAAACGGATTTCTTTGCAGTCTTCCTGTTCATTGCCCAGACAGATCAAGATGTCTGCAGGGCAGCAATAGCAAAACGACTACATCGGTCAACACGGGCAGCAAACGTTTACTGACTCTTAGACGCACCTCTGGCGCAGCATAGAAGCGAGATCGTGCTCATGAATGCTGCGAGACGCAACAAGACGCCCGCGCACGTCCCGATCTGCCCAGCGATCGCAGTCATCGCTAGACGCAGAACACACCAGCGGTGTCCTCAGTATTCAATAAGAATGTATATATATACCTTCGGCATCACTGTATCAGTCTTGGTACATTTGGACTCCGGGGCCCAGCTCATCATAATGTCTTTTGAAAGGTATCCGGACAGAGGGTGAACTGATGAGCAGCACCGCGACGAACATCCGCCGGTCTACATCCCTTTGAGCAACACACACAAAGTCTCGAAGGAGCACGAATCTTGGCAAGGAAAGATGCAGAAATGAACGTTAGTAATATGACAGCGTGGCGATCACGAGTGGTACCGGTGAGGTAACCCCTGGTGGCAACTTGCCAGCCGCCTTGCACCATTGCAGCGGAGACAGAGCTGCAGTGTGTGGGGTACACAGTAGCGAGCAGCCATGAAGCAGATCGTGGCCACTCGGCTCGTTGAGATCCCGGACGATGTCAAGTTTGAGATCAAGGCCAGGAAAGTGAGGGTGAAGGGCCCCAGAGGTGCGATGTCTGGCGACTTCTCATGGAGCACCTGTCTTTGTGCAGGCACTTTGGCAGTAAACCATTTCGGTAGCCACTAGGAAAATTGCCGAAACGCAGAAACGCTGATGAAAGCCTCTGCGATGAAGTGGGATTGGCACTTCTCGAAAGCTGTGAATGCAGCTGTGGAATGTCGAAAAAGAACGAAAGTATTCTATTACATGTTGCCGTGTCTCCTTTTGTAAGCGTCCCACACAATATGTCGAGGAGCGAAGCGTACGACTCTGAAGTTCGTCCACAGTATTTGTCTTAACCAGTGATGCACACTGTTGCAGGCACATTGGTACGGGATTTCAAGCACCTTGCGGTGGACATGTACCTGATTGAGGAGGAGGGACAGAAGCAGCTGAAGGTGGAGGCCCACTTCGGCAAGAGGAAAGCCCTGGCAGCCATTCGTACCTGCTGCTCACACGTGCAGGTAAGTGAGATTGGAGTGTTTCTACACACCTGTGACCTTATAAAACAAGGGCAGCTGGTTCTCAGCAGCAACATCAGCAGCACAAGCAGGCATTCCAGGGAGAAGAAGGGATTTTGGGGACAAGGGAGTCGGTGGATTTTGCCTGTTCTGTTGTATCTTCTTCTGTCCTATCTGGGGAGAGATACCAGCTGAAGGTGTTTCATACGCGGAGTCTAAAACCACTGCTTGTGCGCACAATTGTATTTTGTGGTGTCAGCTGCAAGCGGGCCGAATAAGGCAGATGCTGAAGCACGACAGCAGCAGAGCGGCTGCCGGTCGGTTCTGTGCGGCTGTGCATGGTTCTGCACAGAACCATCACGAAGGCTGGGAGCATGATGTCAGACCACAGGATGTGCCGGGTGCTTGGTTTGGTGTGCTGAGGCGTGCTGTGTTGCTGCGCAGAACCTGATCAAGGGAGTCAAGATCGGGTTTGAGTACAAGATGCGGCTGGTGTACGCCCATTTCCCCATCTCCGTCAACATTGAGAACGAGGGCACCAAGGTGGAGATCAGGAACTTCCTAGGCGAGAAGCGCGTGCGCATCGTCGATCTCCTGCCAGGTCAGCACTTGCACATGCCACCAAAGCCCAGAAGAGTCATGACTCATTTCGATGTCTATTGCAGAGACAGTGGGGCCATCGGCAGGTCTCTGTAGTTCACACAGTCCTCAGCAGGAGGGTCCATTCCTTGCTGCAAGCATTTTCTTCTGGAATTGTGCAGCGAACGGTAGTTCTTTTGAGCAGACATTCTACTTGGAGCATCACCTGGATCTCACTGGGTGGTGCTGCATGCATTGCCCTTTGCTCAATGCTAGTCTGAAGGATAGAGTCACTGTTCCTAGGGCTGGGCTGCATGATGCAATCCATAAGACAAGGGCCGTGTTCCAACTCTCGGGAAAAGTATCTTATATGGGTTGGGTGCTGCAGGTGTCAAGGTGGAGCGGTCGTCCGTGAAGGACGAGTTGGTGCTCAGCGGCAACGACATTGAGCTGGTGAGTAATAATTTGTCATGCTTTCCTGCATGTGCCATTGATGAGATCTTGAGCAACAGGACTCTTGCGTACCGACCTTTGATAGCATGCCTGCCCAGAGTACGTGCAGCAAATTGAGTTCTGCATTTATTACCAAGTAGAATGGGTGAGGGATTTTGGTAAATACATGATGTCAGTGCCGCTGGAACGTGTCAGGCACTCATGCAAGCATTAGGCAGGTGGCAAACCAACGATGCAATGACGTGTTGTGTGCTCATTTTTTATTTTTTGGTGGTGCCCTGCAGGTGTCCAAGAGCTGCGCGCTGCTCAACTACCAGTGCCACGTGCGCAACAAGGATATCCGGAAGTTCCTCGACGGCTGCTACATCTCTGAGCGCGGCAACGTTGTCAAGCCCGAGAACTGAGCGCCCTTTCTGGGGGTTTGCGAGGCTTGCAGGGGTCATTAAGATCCCTCAAAACCCCTGAACCCTGAGTCTAAGCGCCTGCAGCCGGCTGCGGCGGCAGTTTAACTCCTGTCTTGAGCGCCATAAGTGACAGCACATACAACTCACCCTTTCGGGGTATGTGTTTTTACATGCCCTGCTTGGCAATTGCTTAGTGTCTTGACAGGCACAGGGCCGGAGTGCTTTTGCTGCTCAGCTGTATCAATACGGCCAGTCTTAGATGACTGCGTCACGAGGACATGGCAGCGGCAGTTGTCAGGGTGTCTATCTGCCACAGTAGCTGTCCTGAAACAAGATTGATCCACTTCAGGACTGCACTTTCACGCCTCAATCTTATGAAAGTGCGGGGAGATGTAGGCATTTTGCAGTGACGGCAGAACTATCTCTGTAAAGTTGCCTGACATTTACATGCAACCGGAATACCCGGCATGGTCCATCCCAATGGTTCATTCCCTGACCTTGGACATCCACCTGTCCAGCCAGTGTTTCAGTTGCACCCCATTTGGCGCCCAATTGGAGTGTGCTTTGATAGCACATTCCAGGCGCAATCAAGTGTAGCCCAATCCACGACATGCAGCGAGGTGTCACAAATCACATCCCACAACATGGCCCTACCTAGCCCCAGTCCATCTGACTGACGCCTGCACACCAGATACACACGTTGCCAAGCCACTGCCATCTCACAACACCTCATACATGAGGCATCAATCCGATACCGGCATTTCGAGTTGAAAGACCAATCACAGGTCAAGAAGAGCTTCCTGCGGGCCTCTGCGCCCGCCTTCATGCCAGCCGAAGGCTGCTCGCCCCTTGAGCCTGACACCGCAGCCGCCAGCAGCCGGCCCGATGGGGCAGCCGCCGGCTCCGGTGCTTCGGTCGAGCCGGCCAAGGAGCAGCGCTCCAAGAACAAGGCAAGCAACAAGACATTCGTGCCTCCAGCTGGAGGATGCTGAGCCATGGTACAGGTATAGACGTAAATGCTGATCGGGATGCAAATTTTTTGACTGGATACATCTTCAATGGAGTGTCGAGATGCAATGTGCAATTTGCAAGTCGGGCTGGTGTAGCATCTTGGGCTTACTACACCACAATTTCACTAGGCCACCTGCAATGCAGGTCCTGCATGCTTTATATGCATGCCAAGGCAGCATGCATATGCCCTTGCAATCCACAACTGGTGAGGTGACCAGCAGGGAGCCATACTTACTATGTATTGCCGGCTGACTTATTATTATTATCATTATTACACGCTTTTCCTGCCAAGAGGCAAGGTGCGTCCTGCAGACAGCTGCTTTTATACCTTCTGACTTTATACCTTCTGACTTATATAGCTTCTAACAAGAGCTTTTGGTAGTGGAGGGCTTTGATCGTGTCGTGCATGTTGCCAGGTTGAGGGAAGCCAGTTACATAATTTCACTAAAGAACATTCACCTGTCGAGCCAGTATTCGGTTGCACCCCAGTGGCACCCATTTGGAGTGTACGTTGATAGCACATTCCAGGCGCAGTGGAGTGTAGCCCAATCCCTGGCATGCGACGAGATGTCCTAACATAAACACACAACATGCCTACTAGCCCCAGTCCAGATGACTGACCCTGACAAACAACTGGTCTGGCAGATACACACGCGTGTAAGAGACCAAGCCGCTGGGCAAGGCTCGAAATGAATCATAAAAAAGCCTCAATCTGATATGGGCATTTCCAACTGAATGTCCAATCGCAGGCCAACCAGTCTCCCCAAAGCATACACACGTGCTTCTCCCCATTGAAGGTAGAAAAAATTCCTTAAACGGACAATACGCCAACCAACATCCAAGTCAATGCCACTGGCAAGTACTATCACTGCTTGAGCTCCCAAACCATAGCCTATTCATTCTGTTGAATGTCAACTGAGTAAAAGAAACTTCTGCTTGAGAAATCTTGGATCAACCCCCTGGGCTGCAGTCCAGAACTGACCCATTTGGCAGTTCATGTTGGACAACATGCGCAGTAGTATGGTTGACTCATGCGACAGCATTGCCAGACTTTGCAATGAGGCGGCCGCCGCGGGGGGCCGCCACATCAGCGCGAGGGGCGCTGATGTCATTGGCGCTGACGTCATCGTCAAGGCTGTTCCAGTTCTGCTCCGCGTGCCAGAGGCCCCAGGAGCGCTCCGGCACAATGCGCTTGCGGTGGCGGACTCCGTCCTGCAAATTTGAATTTGAATTTGTCAGATGATGACACATCAGCAGCCCAAAATAGCCCAGCATCTGCCAGAGTCAAGCAACAGTGTACAAACGAGTGTGCCCAGGTCTCCTAGATACTTCAGCACCACAAGGCACTTCCCAGCTACAAGACACTGGGTGAAACAGTCAATCCCCAACAATGTATAGTCCGTTGCATGCAGCCTGAACAGTGCTACCCTGCTCCGCAGTGAAGGGGCTGCAAAAGGCAGGCTATCCAAAAGCTAATAGGAAGCAAACAGGCATTCTCTATTCCTGGAGCTGCAACAGCACAGTACTTTATAAATAACAAATCAAGTCTGTGGCGTGCCTTGGAGATCTCGTAGACTGCCAGGTCTTCGTTGATGACGAGGGCGCCGCGGGGGTATTCATCGCGCACAGCCGCCAGAAGGGGCGCGCGCGAGGCTTCGTTGACTGTGGCGTGGTGAATGACGGCCAGGCGCGGCTTCACATCGTCGAAGATCTCTCCAGCCTGCTTGGGGGTGAAGTGGCTCGTCTGCGCGGATTCAAATTCAAATTTCAGGATTCGTGTTCAGCAACATGGACTTCATGGAGTTTGGCTTGCTGAAGGAGAACTTGGATAGACAAGCGTGAGTGCCAGTGCTAGGCAAAAGTGCATATGCCTGATACACGCCAAAAGGCAGCCAACAGCAAGCAGTGCTTAATGGTAAGAAGCGAGATGCAGTCAGTGCACGTGAAAAATTTGCCCTTTAAGGCCTTTCACGCAGAACGAGCTACAGGAAACACAGCTGTATACGGCCCAACAAGCCCAAGCATGCATCGAGATCCCCCAGCATGGCTTGCAGAGTTTTAGAGAGGCACACAGCAAAGGCAGGAAAGTGCAGAGAAAGGGATTCTCACGTTGAGCAGGTACTGGCTCTCGTAGGACAGAGTGTCGAAGGCTGGCAGAGGGCCCATGATCTGCTGGATGAGCACATCTGTGCCCTTCGCCAGCTCGTTGAGTGTCTTGGTCGGGTGAGTGTCACCTGTTCACAACAAACAATTGACATCAGCAAACCACCACATGAAGAATTGTTTCAAAAAAATTCTGCGGACAGCAATGGCCCATATACTGAGCAAGGTTCAGAAAGAGCGACTGATTGTCAAGCTTGGCTGTCAATGAACAAAATGTACATCTCAGCTGGGCCTCTGCCAAACTTCTGAACTCTAGAAGCAGACACCCATCACACAGCAATGAGTGCCATTTCCTGAGTCACTGGCAGGGGTCTAGAGTTCAGCAACACACGCACCAATTCCTAAGGAGTAACAGCAGCAATAATACCGAAATTAATTGGAGCCCAAGTGGATGGTGGCAGCCTTTCTCAGGGAGTACAAATTGAAACCATTCTGCCCATTCAAACAGTGACATTTGTAAACCTGGCCGGTCAAACAAGGCGCTAATGGTTGGAGGGGGCATTTCATAAACAGTACAGCAAAGTGTCCTTGAAGAGTTGGAATGACTATGTCCAAGAAGATCTAGAGGCCATTGGTCATGCCTATGACTGGTGAAGAAAGTGCAAAAACCGTGAAGAGTGCAAAGCAATATTACAGGCGTTACTTAACGCACCTCGTCCTTAGGACTGGACAACGTGTAGTAATAATTATACCAACAGCAAATCGTGTGGGACGGGGCGCACCAGAGTAGGTGACAGAGAGGCCGGCATAGTCGAGGCGCAGAGCCACGGGGCCGGCAGTTGTGTAGTGCTGCACAGGGGTCGACGTGACGTTGACACCGTTGCGCGAGTAGATCACCTGCGCAGATTAGAGGAAACACTCATTCTCATTACCTCAAGACAGACAGGACATGTTCCAGTTTTGCACAGGATATGCTGAATGCAGGCAGCGTTATGGCAGTGCAAGCTATGCCCCAGGCAGAGTACACCTCTGACCATGGAATGCAGGCAAAATGGATTTAAAGACACCTTTTCTTCGACTGATCCAATCTTCTGGTCAAGGGTGCAAGACATATCAAGATCATTCAGAAGAGAGAGTTGTCAGAGAAAGATTTAGGCAGTAGAGCACAGGAAGTGATGACTAACCTGCTTCTCGACGCTGTAGTCGAACTCGTGCGTGATGACCTCATCGCCGTGATCCTCCCGGCCAATCATGTCAACGCGACGACGCGCGAATGTGTCCCATGCCAAGAACTGCGCGCCAGAACAGGCCCGTTAGTCATGATATACCTTAGCAGTGCAGAGGTAGTGACTACTCACACCAGTGATGCAACTGATGCAAACATGCTGCCCAGAGCAGACTGGTGTTTCTGGGTAGGGAGTAGACGCAAGCACACATCTCCGATCTGCCTCAAAGGACAAGGCAAAAAGCAGCTAGATGCTTCTACGCACAACGAGCGGCTTACAACAGTGCCTAATCAATGTTGAGAACATGTTGCAGATTCACATTTCAATGAAAGACAGCTGGGGTGTATTTTCACCTGGCGCAGGCCTTCGATGCTGGCAGCCAAGCCAAGCTCAGGCTTCTCAGAAGAGGGGCCCCACACCTGCACACGGAATCGCACAAAGTATCACCAACTGCAGCTCCCAAGCAGTGCCATTGTCATGGGGTACACAGATACCCTCGGCAAAACTGCTAAGACACACACGTGTCTCTTAGTGTAAAGCCTAAAAGCGCGTACAGGAAGGGCAATTTTTGGTCTCCAACTGTGGGCAGCATGGATATGCTGAGCAGATGGTTGAACAACTACTGTGTTTTAGCAAGGCAAAAACACAAGCAGGTAAGCGACAGAAAAGGGGGAGTGAGGGTACAAGGTGAAGCAGGAGGAGTGAGGCAAGTGAACACACCTCCCAGGGCTTGGTGCGGCCAAACATGGCTCCCACGTAGAGGCTGGCCAGATCAGCATGGTGGTCAGAGTGCAGGTGAGACAGGAACACCTGCAAATGCAATATCGCTCTTCTGAGCTCTGTAAAATTTTCAAGACAATCTCCACAACTTTAAGTTCAAGATTTCACAAGTCCAGAACCAGCAATCCACTCAAGCAGTGCAGCAGATTCTGCTGAGCCACAGCAGTGGCCTCGCGTGCAGGAAATTCCTGTGCTGGTGATGTAAGCTGGAAGGGATGGGTGATTTTCTTAAAGGGCATCAAGTTTGTGCTCAGGGCTGATAACAAGTGCTGGTGGAAGACAAAGTGGGTGCGAACTTGCCTTATTCAGCTTGGCAGCAGGGACGCCGGTGGCAATGAGGTTGATGTAGGAGCCGGTGCCCATGTCAAAGATGAATTTCTCCCCGTTGCCCACCTCGATGAGGAAGCTGGATGCGACCTGTTTGGCAAGCACACTGTGGTTAGATACGACTTTGGGCAGACACAGCCGCCGCATTTTTCTTGCAGGTTGTCAAGCATGTCAGCACTGAAGGTCTCTGTGGTTTGGCACAGCGTATTCAAGTTTGGTCAAGGGCCAATATGGGCTCATCTTCAAGCTACATGGCTTAGTCCTTTGGTGCTTTGCGCTTGCTGAAACAAAAACAGAAGGGAGGAGAAGCTAAGCTAGTCTCACCTGGTGGCGACGGACATCGGGCGTGCCAGAGCCGAGGACTGTCACTCGGATGGTGCCTTCCTCGGGTTCCGAGTTATCGGAGTACACCCAAGGACCGGCCACCGCGGCAGAAAACGCGGCGATGAGAGTTAACAGGTACACATACCCACGGTACTGCGAAGAGGAGTTTCCCTGCGAAGGAGGCATGATCTCATTTGTCTCTAACAGACACTTTAAGTCAGGCGTGTGCAAATAGAGGCGGGCTGTCTTCCCCAGCGCCTGCTATCAAAAAATTCGGAGATGGGCGAGCGTGAAGCTCGATATATGGGCACAACAGCAAATTATCGGCTGATATGGATGCCGCAGGAAGCTGATCATGAAACCGGTGATAAATGGTGCTTCTAAGCCAGTACCGGCAATTTCTTGGTAATGATGAGGTGGGCGCAAGGTGAACGAAGCAAGGGGAGGGATCGAAACTACTTCCCTTGTGTCCTGTGCGGCCGGCCGTCAAGCCCACCTTCCCACGAGCCATGGATCCGAATGCAGGTAAATACGAGGAAGTGCTGGTAGCTGCGAGCTGTTCGGATGCCAGAAAGACTTGAAACAGCGCTAGAGACTTTACTGGGTTGCCCAGAGCCAAATTATGATCTTGGAGCAAATTGGGCTGCCGCAAAAGAGACCCTGCATATTTTTCGCCTGCCCACTCCCAGGGGGCCTCGTGGACGAAGATAAGCTGGATCTGTCACTCTCCAGACCATTCGTTGACATCAATCTGCATTTTTGTGCACTACTTCAGTTTCTCTCCCTCTTGGCCTGCATTGCTCCGCGACGCGCGACTGACGCAACAGCCCCGTTCAATACAGGCATGTGGAGATACAGTCGCAGCATCCATGACTACTGCGACTATGTAAGGGACGTGCGCATCTACCCTCCCCTGTTCTTACTCTGTATTTTCGAAGATCCTGAAATTTGGGTTCCCCGACGTGTTTTGATCTATGGGCGTGTTGCCGGGTGTTATCCTGTTTTTCACGTGGATCCGTCGGCACGAGCTTGCACGACCGCAGCTCAGCGTGCATTAGGAACGGTGAACGGGATTTTGAGCATCTGGGTATTCATTTGTATCGGTGAAAGGCTTTGTTGCACGTTTCTAGAGCGCAAATGGCATATTTGTCAGCCGCACAATATCTCAGATGGTGAAACCCTAGCTTGCGCCGGCACCACCAAGATTGATAGGATGCTTCTCGACTCCTTACTTGCGACTTAATTTAAATTTGCAATGAATGTTCTGGGGGCTTTCTCGCAGGTGACAAATGGCGGTCGTCAAATCGGTGACCGGTGTCGACGACTCGGCGCATGCTACCACCAAGAACGGGAGCATGGACGTCGAGAAAACCGTAGAAAACTACGAAGTGAATGTGGATGAGGAGGATTTGTGTAAGTGTCCGCCCTGACCTTTGTTTGTTTCTGGAATCATAGCGTGTGGTACGCGTCGATCGGGCGCATGTGCTAGTGGTCCTTTTGGGAGCGGTCGCCGTCACTCGGCTTCAATTGATCTACAACTGGCTCTCCATGGTTTCACGCTCCTTTTCTTGCCAGCGTGAAAATATCAGGCAGTTGACCTAGCTCGGCTGTCTGTATGTTGTCGGCAACCTGCGTGTGTTCGGTCTCCACGTGCTGGCTGAGCGTCCCTTCGTTTTCTGGGCTTGGTGTCGCTTGAGAGCTTGCCTTATGTCTGCGCAGTGCACCAGAACGACTCTTGGTGGGACCTGGCAAAGAACGGATGGTTCTCGGTACGCTCCGTCGCTTGTTCACCTTTTTATAATATTCAAGTGAGTGCATGCCGCTGAAAAAACGATCTGCCTTGTCCTCGTCAATCACGCCACTGACGTTGTCGTCTGTCACTGCAGAACGCCGGCAGCAAGACGGATGCGTGGCTCACCTCCGCCGCTGCTCAGGTCGGCCAGGTCATGCTGACACTCCCTCATGCAGGTAAGACTTTGACAACCCCAACTACCTTTATTTTTGCGCCCTGCTCTCAATTAATGCTTAATATATCAACGTGCGATCCTGCAACTGCCTCATTCAGCCAGATCCCCTTTCCTTTCACCGAAGTACAAAGGCATGGGTCCTGTACCTTGCACTCTCGAGAGGTTTAGAGCGCACCTCGCGGCAGGAAAGGTTTTTATTTTTGATCTGGATGTGCTGCTGCAGTGTCGCTGACTGGCGTGAGGGCTGGCATCCCCCTGATCATTTGCTACACGCTCATCTCCATGTGGACCGTGCACCTGCTGAATGCCCTGTACCTTGAGTACAAGGTCAAGCGGGTGCGTTACTAAAGTTATCACCTGGTGCCATAAATGGTTGCTTGATCAGTGCCCCTACATATCAGGCTGCTCCATGTCTGCACTTCGCCCACTTCAAATGGAAGTGGCCGGTGATCAACCTATGAGTTTCCACCAGAGTCATGCCCATCACTTCCGAGCCCAGCTGAGTGGCTAATGACGAAGTTTGCCTCCAGTGGGCTTGCAGGTATCTCACGGTAGGTCTAGAGTCTTAATGAAGTTGGATTGCAACTGCAGGTCAGAAACGGCGAGTGGTTTGCGGATGACGGCAAGACCAAGCGCAAGTCCTCCCAGTACTTTGAGGTGCGCCCGTTTGTCTTCCCATCAATTTTCCCGCGTATTACCTTTGCAAGGCCTGCTAAACATCCCGAACCAAAGGAAGCTGGAAAAACCCCTTCGGCGCCTCCACTTTGAGGTTCACCACTGGTGAAGATGCGATGAGTAACCCATTGCGCGCATGTGGCAGGTGATGGGCGGCACCTGCGGCAAGTGGCTGCAGTGGTTCACACTGGCGCTGACTGTGCTCAATCTCATGGGCAACGGCACCGCCCAGATCGTGGCTGGAGCCGCCAACACCTACTTCATCAACCCCGTGCTCACCAAGCGGTGCGCGCCTCTTTTCTACGAGTTTCTGGATCTTTGTCTGCACCAAGGATCTTGGCGCTCACTTCAACAATTTGGCAACATCACTCTGTGGGCGCAAGTGTATTTTGCACTGGCGGGCAGGACAGTGTCCTGCAACGTGTTTGATTGTGCACAGATCAATCATCATCTGGCTATTGTGTTCACAATAACCAAATCTTGAGTGCCTTTTGAGACTCTTACGCAGTACGTCCCATAATCTGCCCGGTATACTTGGTGCCACAGTGTTCCAGAGACGCACAGAAGCGGTCACGAGGAACTCTTTTGCCAAGGAATGAGCCCTGGGGCATAGATAAAGTGAGAAAATATATCTGTTACCAAACTGCGCCCAGGCGCTGATGCGTCCATTATATATACCAGTGATCGTGATAAATGAAACGCTCATTTTATTTGTTCTCCCGTCATTTATGTAATCTCAAGTCCCTTCAAGTAATTTTGTGTAATTGACCCTGGAGTGGGTGCATTGCGCAGTGGGTGGACTCTGGTGTGGGGCGCGCTTTCTCTGCTCATGACGCTGATTCCCACCTTCCGCGATTTCCGCCTCCTGAATGTCATCGCGATTGCCGGCACGGGTTTCACGGCCGTCTACATCTGGATTGAGTGCCACTACCACGGCTTCACCCCCGGCGCCGCCAACCTTGCCCCGTACAACATCCAGGTCCGTAAATTAAAACTCAAAACTGCATTCGGCTGCCTTGCCCTGACGACCCCTGGCAAGCTGCCATAGCCTGCTGACTTCTTGGTAGTTGTGTGGTCTTTGCCTGCCTGGTTTAACACTGATTCTGGGATGCACCGTTTCCAGCTAATTGTAGTCTCTCCTTGATCCTGTTGTGATGCAGACAGCGTGTGCTGAGCTGTACTGTGCTGCTGCAGAGCTTCTTCACCGGAGCCAATGTGTTCCTGTGGGCGTACGGCGGCCACGGAGTCTCCTTGTGAGCCCTTCCCCTCCAACCAATCCCTCGTAATAATTGCATCTCCTCTTTTATTTGCATCCTGCACTGTCTGGACTCCGCACTCTGGACAACCCTACAAGCAGCAGGAAACCCCAGCTGTCTTGTCTCTCGAAGCCCAGAGCAATCATGTCTTGTGCATAAAGAATATCAGTACCCTTTTTGTTGCATCTCAGGAGAGTTTCTGACATGTGCCTCTGAGTTTCCAACTCCTGGCTTGCTCTGTGATTGAATGTCCAATGTCCTTGTATTTCTTTGTGGCTGAGTTGTACAAGATAAACCTCGCAATGTTCAGTTCTGAAGTCGAATACATGTGTTTGCAGTGAGATCATCGATGCGATGTGGGCGCCCTCCAAGTACGACCTGGTCTACCCGCTCTCCTACCTCTTCACATTCACCATCGCGGCCCCCCACTCCATGCTCGTCCAGCTGGCATTCCCCACCGAAAACCTGGCCCAGGGTGCGCGCACTATCTAAACCCTACAATTCTTTCACGTCACCCCTTGCAAAATCTCCGGATTTGTTGCATGTGTTCTTTACGGGGTATTCTTGTCTGTGCAAGGCCTTTGCTCCTGTTACACTTTTCACGGCCGCTGGATTGTTCCTGTGCTGGGTGCATGCTCGAGGCATTTCGTGCGCATGCTGTTTTCTTCACTGCAACCATTAGCAGCCGTTGTTGTGTGCCGAAATCAGTGTTCATCTTGTACTGTATTCATCTTGTACCAGTGCTGTCCTTCGTCGCTGCTAAGTACGTCTCCGCGATGTTTTGGTATGCCCTGAAATATTTCCTGGTGCTGCGCTGCAGACAATGTGTACGGCGTGCTGCCCAAGAACGGGTGGCTGGTGGCATCAGTCATCATCATGCTCATCCACCAGATCGTGGCCTACGCCCTCTGTGAGTCACTTCCTGCTAATTGCTTGCTCTCTTCAGTATGCTCGTGCCTCAGAAGTTTTCTACTTCTCTAGCCTTCCTCGATGCGTCCAAGGGCAGCGGTCACTGTGTGTTGTTTTGTCCTGGTGCTTGCTTGTGCCCATGCCAGGGATGTCTTTATTGTTATTACCATCACTCAGAAGTATACTTCTGAGTAAATGCAAGAGCTGCAATTAGTGGAGGTTCCTATCTTCCCGCATGTGCTGCAAACCCAGCTGTCGCCTGCAGGAATGATTTTGGCCTCATATATAATATAAGCAGACTAGCGCAGTGGTCAGGATGCGAATTGCCACAACTGCTTTGCACAAGATGGTGCGTTCAAGACTAGTTGCTGAAATTTGAATCTTTGCGCAGACGTGACGCCCATCTTCTTCATGTGGGAGAAGCTGATCGGAACCCACGAGAAGCCCAACTGGATCCGCCTGCCCTCCCGCCTGCCCGTGGGTGAGACTTCCGGGCTGCCCGCTCCCTTAATCCCCTTCTAGGGTGATATTTCACATTGAAAGGACCATAAAGACCCTGACCCAAAATTGGGAGACCTGCTGCGACCTTCAAGCTGCACAATTTGCAGCAGAGTCTGATGCGTCAAACAGATTCATATAGTGACTGTCTGGTGCTTTGTATTCTGTGTAGCAGAGCCCCCAGCATCAACAAAATAAAGACTCTACTGCTGTTTGCTTTTGAAGCAAGCGACAGCCTTGTGCCAAGCACAATGGACAAGCTATAAGCTTGATGCTAATACCCCTTGTGCTGCCTGCATCGTTAGTACTGTGATGCCTTCTTTCTCTCTACATAATCATTTTTCCCATCAATCTTGCCAACTAAGTGATGAATGTTCTACTTGCGCTGATGCTTAGCATTCCCTGTGTTGCTGCTGTGCAGCATTGATGCTGTGATCCTTCCTCTTCTTTATATGCGGTAATATTTTAGTAATCAAGTGATCAATATTTGTACTTGAACCGATGCTTATATCCACTTTGTTGCTGGTGTGCAGCGCTGGTTCTGTGGTTCATCGCGATCGCATTCCCCTTCTACGGCCTGATCAACTCGATCATCGGCGCGCTGACTGGATCCATGGTCTCCTTCATCCTGCCCTGCTTCGCCTACAACCTCTACTACATGACCTCCAAGCAGCGCCGTCTGGCCGCCCCCAAGCAGCCCCCGCGGTGAGCACATCTCCATGTACTTGTTTGAAATTGAACTCAATTTTACAATTGATTCATTACTGTAGGAGTCTTTTTAAACCTGCACCCTCGGCGGTGTGGGGAATGTTTGAAAGCAAATTTTTAGTGGTCTTCCTACCTCGAAAATTACCAGGGTTATGCCCAGTGAGTTGGGCTGGGCTTGTCAAGAGCTTTCCAGCCCTGGTCTCAAAATTATGATAGATTTTATACTGTGGTAGATAGGGTGTCAATTCAGGCGTTTAGTTGTGCATGACATACCCCATCATGTCATGCTGCACCCTTGGCTGAGTTACAAGTGCTCGAGAGGTCTCTGGGACCTTTTATCATGCTGCACAGTTGGCTTGTGAGAAATGACCTTGATGCTATTGGGCGTCCATATGACTGGTGGAGGAAGTGCAAGAACCGAGAAGACTGGAGAGCAATAATTCAGGTGTTGCTTGACGTACCTAGTCCTTGAGGACTGGAAACCGTGAAATATCAATAATAATAACAGTTGGCTGAGGTGCTTTCACTGTGCTCTGCGCAGCTGGACCGGAGGCTGGGGCCCCGTGTTGGTGGTCAACTCCCTGTTCGTCATCTACTACTTTGTGTTCGGCTTCTGCATCGGCGGCTGGGCATCCATCAAGACCCTGGTCGACAAGATCCACGTTCTCGGAATCTTCGTGGACTGCTACCAGGTGAGATTTCCAATTCAAATTCATGGTCAAATTTTGATATTGTTGAATCCAAGACATGCAAGGCAGTGCGGGTGAGGAAGAAAGAATCTGGATTATTGTGTTGGGTGAGGGTATGCGTCAAGGCTTAAGAGGGCTTGACGCGCTTTCTGATGCTATCTCTGTGTAGAAACTTCTGCCTAGCACAGGAATGGCTTTGTAGTCATAGCGTCCAGGCTGTGCTTTGCCTACCAGAGCAGTATGATGTAGAAGGGATGCAGCATCAGCTTGTGACCTCTGATGGGCTTGCATGCAACAGCAGTTGGTTCGTTTGGCTCTTGGGTATTCATAGAATTAGGCGGGCCCTGCTGTGCCATTTGGGTATTGCCAGGCAGGGGAGGTTGAGGCTTGGATCTCATCTAAATATTGTTGAAAGCGTCCCTGACTGGTGGTTTGTGTTCTGTGCAGTGCAAGAAGTAGGCCTGAGCGTGTAAGCTCTTTGGACCGAGACTCTTCGCCCTAGGTATAAGGGCCATTCTATGGATGGGCCTGCAGCTGTGTGCTGTTCATACTGACTCAGTGATCAGTATGATGACAATTATTTCCCCAAAGTTTGAATTTGGATTTGTGTGAGGGAGTTGGTCACGGTTGAAGGCCGCAGGGCTGAGCCGAGAGACCAGGGGTGTTTATGACATTGACAGCAAGGGCATTCTTGCTATTACATCTCTTTTAAAGGGGCGTGTCATATTGTATGCTGCACAAGCAAGGGGCTCCTTGCTAGCAGGCAAGGGAGGTACTGTGTGCAACACGAATTTTTTTTAACTAGCCTAGATGTGGGCCTTTTTAAAAGAACGAAGTATCTCAAGTGTGCGACTTTGGGTTCAAATTTGAAAGGGGGCTGTGCAGTGCAAAGGGGCTCTGCGCAGCACAGGAAGCCTAGTCTTCTTGCCTGGCGATGTTTGACAGTCTCCGGCAGCCAATGGTGCTTCTGAAGACGCAAGCGTAGGCAGGCAAGGGGCATGGCATATGTTCTAGGCTATATCTGTTGTATGTGAGGGTACTGTACTTGTGCCACTGATTTTTTTTTTTGTATTTTGAGGCTCCGGGATCCTGGTGCCTGTTAGGACGGTGCATGCTGTCAGCATTGCTCGCCTCTCACTTGTTTGAAACTTGGGGTGTAATACTTTGGGGAATTGACATAGCCAGATGGCAAATGCACCATCAACTGCTGTTGCATACCAATGTGGCATACCACTGCATTGCTGGCCTAGGCCGCAATTAGATAGCACAGACCTAAAAAACCTTTAAAGACAACTGTTAAGCAACTGCATTACACCCATTCTGAAGGATCGTGAAGATCGTTCATATCAATGAAAGCCAGTATGCTTAGCACCGCTAAAACTGAAAGAACCAGCGCATCTTGTTTCAGTCAGATTGATTGCTTCATGGGATGATCCAATAGTACATTGCTGCGAATTTGGCAAATTAAAACTTAATGCTGCAGCTGTCGAATGAGGATTTGAAGAATTTGACCAACTCCCTTTCCAAATACATCGCTGCATGTAGCACGCTTTCACATTGCAAAGACAAAAGAAGTGCAATTGTTCGGCGTGCCTGAGAATAATATGTGCTATATTGGCGCAGTATGAAGGGCAGTCTTACTATCCTGCTGGCACCAACTATTTGGCAATCATCCAGTGACGTTCTCGTACAAATTTCCAGATGATTTGTTCATCAAAGCTGAGATGACGTGAATTGGTACATAACATCCTGATGGCATCCACGCAGCTAATAAAGGAAATATCGAGCCTGCAGGTGCACCATCCCGGGACTCAAAATCAGTATATAAAAGGAGCTTTGTTTTGATGTGATTGCCCTTGTTGTCGTCACTTTACTTTTTTTTTTGGGAAGTCAAGCGTATGAGAGTTCATTATAGAAGCCCTGGCATCAATATCTTCTTGAGATGGTTTAATCCTTCCTCATCAGGCAAATACTCTCCTGCCGGCCTTGGAGAACTGCCTGCTAGAGGTGGATGCAGCGTGCACCTCAGGAAGGCAGGGCATCAGCGACAACGGGAACACTTGGCTGCAAGCGTGCACTGCTTTGCTGGAGCATGGCGCTGTCCTGGCGCAGGCATCCAGCTTCCTGCAGTTGGTGCGTGGAACCATTCGATACTGCATCATCGCAGTTTCTCCTATGAACGGCAGGGCTAGCTAAGGGGCAGCGCTGTGCCCGTTCAGCATCCATTTTCACCTGCTGGGTTATCTCAAGTGCGATGGAGGTGACACCTTTTGGTGGGGAGCACAGACTTTTGCTCAGCTCTGGACTCGTGATGTGATGTGATGTGCAGGAAGTCACACAACTTCTGCAAAGGCACCTGGAGAAGAGACCAAGGCTGGCAGAAGCGCTGCTGTGTACCCAGCTGCGAGTTTTCCTGCAGCATCCCGTGGCACTGCAGCAGCTGCTGAGAGCTGTGCCCTCCAACCAGACCAGCCAGAGCCTCGTCTACAGCAGCCTCTGCACATCCCTCACGCCAGGCATGTTGCTTTCTGCATGCGGCAGCTGCCTTGCACATGAATCTATGTGGAACCTTTGCTCGGACATGTGTGAGTTTCTTAGATGAGGGACTCAGAAGTGCGATACAGGAAAGAGTGCCCTCATCTAAGTACAGAAGACTCGTATGTGTCCAATCACTGACTCGGAAAGCTGCTTCCTGCAATGCCTCAGCTGGTGTCGGCAATGACTCACGCGGGTCAAAGGGTTGGGTAATGTGTGCAGGTGGGCAGGCCATGCAATGGCCCTCGCCTGCATGCAAGGGCCAGGCGCTGCAAGTGGTGCGCAGCTGTGCCTCCTGGGAACTCCAGAAGCTTGTCGCTGAGCCTTCCAGCACCAGTTCAGGTCTGTTTTGCCCCTTCGGTGCTGCCCTTGTGACTATTGCATGCAAGCTTGATACCAGTGACTTATCATCTCTGATGCATAGGGCACTTGTCGCCCGCAGTCCTTTCATGGGCTGCATGCAGGCTCAGAAAGAGACCAAATTAGTTGAGTTCTTTCTTGCCCAAGAGAACAGCCGCTTTATTGTGAATTTGCATGTCATTTGCATGCATAATAAATAAAAGGCAAGCCTCAACTGGTTGGCACCCTGAGGGGGCTTCCGTCCTACTGTATCCTAAGCCCGTCCATCTCTTTACGATGCCTGCATATAAAATATCTATTTTGTGGGTGGTGCAGGTCGCGTGAAGCTGGCAGGGCAGCTTCCCTGGCTGCTGCACCTGCTGCTGCTGACTGACTGCGCGCAACCGGAGGGAGGGGACGCCCCCGGCAGCAGTTACGGCAGCGCATGTGACGATGACTCAGCGGCGCGCTCGGAGGGCACCAATCATGGCGGCGTTCCCTCTGGGTCCGGGAGAGAGGGAACGCTCAGCGCAGACCATGCCAGCTCGGGGGGTCCCATGAGGTTCCCCCCTCGCGGCAGACAAAACAGAGAGAGCGCCAATTTCTCCATCATGAGTACCAGCGAGCCCACCAGCGGTGTTGACTCAGAGGTGTGTGAAATTTTGCCAGGAAAATCTTGCGGCAGGTGTCCGATGCATCTATCTCTGCTGATGCCCACAGCTCTTGAAATTAGTAGGAACTAGCTGCTCTTCAATGAGGCCTTGGCTATGTGACAAAGTCTTGGATGGGCAAAATCTCGGATTTTGTATGGAGGTTGTTCATTTTGCTGCAAACAGCGATTTGACATGACTCTAATGGTGACTCACCATGCATGCAGGTGCATGGCTTGCACATGGACAGCGGCTGCCTGGCGTCACTTGATCCGCTCGGCACAGACCAGGCCCCCTTGCGAGCGGCTGCCACAGTGTTGGCACACCTGCGCCACTGCGCCAGCCTCTGCTCTCTCTTGGGTCTGATGGCCGAGCCTAATTTGGGCAGCGCTCAAAAAGCCCAGGATGACAGCACATTCGCCCCAAGCCTAAGTGGCCCTGATGCCAGAGGTACGCCTCTGAACATCTGGATCCTCAGCACTGGTTTTTCTGTAGGGCATTCTGTCTGAAGTTGCTGTGCAGGAGAAGAAGAGAGAGGTTACACCGTGCAAATCACCTAGATGTCCCGCGGCTTTCCAACCGTTCTAAGAGCTTCAGAGAGAGGCGCTCCTCCCTTAAGCGAAACGTGCTAAAGCAGAGAGTGTTGTGTATTCAGGTTGGACAGAGGAGGCAACGCCCCTGTTTGGGTTACTAAGTGGCGGTCAGATGCATGCCGCGCCTGAGCTGGCAACCCTGCATGAGCGTCTGGCGGTGACTAAGCAGCTGACAGAGGTCCTGCTGCAGGCTCTGCTACTGCCCAACCAGGTGCAGGGTGTTCCCTTTGCTTGATCTCACCAAATCTTGATACTTAGAAAGCGTTGTATCATTTGCCAGCGTGGTAAATCATTTTGTTTAGGTGCTGGCCGGGCTGGTGCTTCTTGCTGCCAGTGGAGGTTGTGGTCATTTGGAATTTTTTCATGCTTATGATTGTAGATGTACAAGGTTCCATGGTCGCCACAAACTTGAGTAGCTGCAAGACCTGCCCAGCTATCGACTTTCTCAAAACACTGAAGCATGACAATTGTCTCAGGTTACGGAGGGGATTCTTGGACAGGCAAGAGCCGCTGTGGGGCCCGGCTCAGCGGGAGAGGAGGACGGGAAGGGCAGCGGGGATTGCAGCAAAGAAAGTTCTGTGCTGGATCTGCTGACAGTCCACATGCAGCTTGTCAGCATGCAGCAATCACACCAGGCACCAGGTGTGCTCATGAGGATACCCGTGAAGAGATGCATTCATATGTCTCTGATGAGATGGAGATAAAAATAGGGGGGCCATGCATGCTGCCCTGAGCGTTTGAGCGTCCTCCCCGCGCTTGTGGTTCGACACCTCAGAGCTGCTTGCTTTGGAAATCTCAAATCGTGTTGGCAGTTGGGTGTTGATTTTTCCTTGTAATGCCCGTGTGCAGGCACAGCAGCTGAGCAGACTGAGCCTCATCTGGGCACGGAGGCTCGCCTGGGGCTGTTGCAGATGGTGAAAGCAGCCATGCAGAAGCAGGAGCCTGCACATCGGCGCACACACCGCCGGACATCTAGTGCCTCCTCTGGGTGCGTTCTCTTACCCCGAGGAGTGTTCCCTGGGTAGTCATCTGCAGCCAAAGGCCAAGTCATGCCAAGTTTTGCCAAACTACATGCCAGCAAGAGGAAGTAGGTTGCCAACATGCCAGCTAGGTCTTAGGCAAAAGTGCAATAGGATGGAAGCCATGCATTCACCTCTTCAAGAGGGACATCGCCTTACCCCTCGCAAAGTGAATCATCCTTGTGCTTGTACAATCCCCTTGAGGATTGCATTGATAGGAATCTAATGCATGTGGTAGAGACCAAGCCAAACACATCTTGGTGGCAGATGGTTTGCATCCTGTGCAATGTAAAATGAAGTGCTTCCTTTTGCTAGAGCTGAAAGATCTTTCTGTGCATGCGCAGGTTGAAGGACAGAGAAGGACTGCAGAGCTGTGTTGCACCAGAAGTGGCCGCACATGCCCTAGCCTTGCTGGCAGCAGCGCCTGGTTTGGGTACAAGAGGCAGTGACGATTGTGGTGCTGCCCCTGTAAGTGGAGGTCCCAACAGCAGCTGCAACCCTGAGGGTCCACCTGGAGAGGCAAACCCACAAAATGTGGTGGCTCGGGCTCTGACCTTGGCGCTTGCAATGTATGGCATCAGTCTGGGGGTGAGTTGCTCCTGCCAGAGAGGCTAAAGCGGATAATCTACTGTATACTCAACACTTTTCAGGTCAAGCTCACACTGCAATTATCGCTGTGGCCTGCAAGTGGTCAAGTGCATTCCTGACAAGGGTTGGCTGCTGCAGGGACCTCTGTTGGGTGTGACTTATGAGTCATCTCAGGCAGCTGCTTTTCTTGACGCAGCAGTGACCAAGCTGCAAGAGCGACTTGGAGGTAAGCAGCTCAGTAATACTCCTTCCCTTGCTTGGTAGAGCCCAAATCAGCATGCCATCATCTAATCACCGAATGATTGTTGTCTTGAGATAGTTGCCTCTGTAAGCAGGGCCAGAGCTGACACCCGCACAGCCAGGGAGCCTTTTGCTGGAAGATATACCGGCTGCACCTGCCACAGGGCTTCTAGGCAAGAGGTGAGCAATGCCCAGCAGCGACTTGTCTCTTGTATGTTGGCAGTACATGCACTGTGTGAAGCTCAGTTCTAGCTTGGTCACTGGGCATTTGAAATATGTATCATGCTGCCTGAAGCAACAGGGGTGTTTGTGGGTGCTGCTTTCTGTGGGTAGGCGGGGTACTGACTTAAACGTCCCAAGCTTTCAATGGATGACTATACATCTAAGTAAAACCACTATCCTGCTGCGCAGAGAGCGGCAGGAGCGAGCATGCAGGGGGAGCCCATACAGTGAGCAGCAGCCAAGCGTACATGAGCGAGGCAGCTGCTTGGAACTGCCATCCGCCCCCAGCAGAGAGCAAAGTGCATCTGGTCTGAGCAAGCACACCAGTGCTCCGGCCTCGGTGAGTCACTTTGTACCTGGCTCTAAGCATCACTCAAACCTCTAGCGGTGACAACCCCATTCAAACCAGACAGATCCCTGCCTTTCCTGTACTCAGGAGACTGTGCAAATCAGACCTTGCACGTACTTTGGACACTTGCGGGAGTCCAGGACTGGCATTTGAGGCTGAAAAGTGACCATACTTACACTCGCGAGAGAAGCTCTATGTTGGGTTTGTGAGAACTCTCACGGTGCTAACAGGAGGCACAGGCTCCTGCCAAGAAACGCCGGATTGTCCCAGAGGCTGTCTCGGCGCCGGAGCGGCTCACGGGGCAGTCTGTAGATGATACCCGCACGCTGCAGAGTCAGCGGACTCGCTCAGAGGGCGCAGCGGTGGCGGCACGCAGTGAGTGTGCAGGCTCGGAGCGGTTAGAGGATGGAGAGAGTGCAGGGGAAAGCGGGGGAGAAGAGGAGGCATCACCTCTGTTGCAGAGAGGTATGATACATTCATATCAGCATTGCATTTGATGCATGCATGCAAACAGGCTGCGCCGGCTTGCATTGGCCACTGCAAAACATGTATGTTGAGAAGTAATCGAAATCTGCTCCTGTGCTTTTTGTGTGTCCAGATTGCATGCCGGGAACCACTGCTGTGCCTTTGCTTTGTATTTTGTGAATGGAAACAACAGTTGGCATGCTCATGACTTGCAGGAATGTTGGCAGATCAGGAGAAGGAGGCATGGTGGGAGCACTACATTGCAGTAAAATTGGATCTGGTGGAGAACGTCTTGAATGATGACGTGGCTCCAGAGGATGATGTGGGCTGTCCAATGATGACACCATCAGCCGCTGATGATGTCAGCACACCCATGCCTGGTATGCCTGAAATATCTTGTTTTCAGGCAACTCTAATCTCTGACTCGCTTTGTGTCCCCCTGCAATTGGCAGGCCCCTTGAGAGTCATGCGGAAGTATCCTCTATTGATGCGAGACATTGCTCATTGCAGCATGCATCACGGAGCATTTGCCAATGTGTATCATTTCATCAGAGACCACATCAGATTCAACATGAATCCTAGTCACGCACTGCTGAGCCTCTGCCAATGTGCACCACGTCACCAGTGATCTCTTCACTTTCAAATTTGAATGCTTGCTTTAAAAAAGTCGTTGAATGCAGGCATGAGGAGAGGTTGCCCCATGGCGAAGGGAACACCTTCTGGCGCCGTAGCGAGTTCCATGTCACATCGGCGGATGGTGGTGGCTGACCTGGCGTTCAAGGAGCCCAGCTGGCAGGCCATGCACGCTGCTGCGCTGCAACTGCTGACAAACATACTCCGTGCGGTAAGCAAATGTCCCTGCTCACAAAGCAAGACTGAAGCAGTGTGCACCCGCCAGCCGCTATGCATTAGCATTTGGTTGTTTGATGATTCTGGTAGTCCACTTCCAGTGCCTCCAATGCAGGGGCTGTCCAACAGGCTCCTGTTGACAAGATGAAGCTCCGCTTCGCGCCATTGAGCTTGCGGTCAGAGTTGGATATGTACAAATATCAATCCAGCATCGCTATTTTGGTGAGTACTTTTGGATAGGTGCAGGCGAGAGGAGGCGAAGCAGAGCAGAGGGACGCTCTACTGAGGCCGCTGAGTGAGGCGGCTCCTGAGGCAGAAGTGCTGGCGAGCGTGCGCAACGCTTGCCTGCTCATACAGCCCTCTTGTGGCATGGACACCTATCAGGCAGCCATCTCAGGTGAGCAATCTACTAAATTTAAGAGAAGTGACATTCAGAATGACACGCCTCCTACTCCTATGGTCCGAATTGCACCCTCATGGAAGTCTGAATACCTGTCCTCTGTCAAAGCGTGCAAATGTAGTCCCACACTCATGACATACACAGGCCATAAAGGGTGCCAAGCCTGTTTTATTGGGACCCTGACAGATGCATGGGTGACCATCGGCCCATTGTTATCATGGAATCTTGCAGATGGACAAGTTTCTGTCTGGAAGGGGTCAGACGGCGTGACATCGGCTGTGACCAGCAGTGACATGGTAAATGTTCCTTTTTTAAATCTAAACTCGGTGTCGGTATTGTTACCAAAATAAAATTCTTTGGCTGCAGGTGCCAAGGCGGCACCGCAGGAGGCGCTACCGGTGTTCTTTGCTGTGCGGATGGGTCGGTACCTGTCGGGTGTCGGCGAGCCGCCTGAGCCCGAGCTGGCAGCCGCCTACCTGGCAGCGCTGGAGAGCCTCAATGAGCTGGCAGGGGAATCTACACCCCTCTCAGGTTTGGCCCAGGTTTTATGGGAGTCAAAGTTGGAGTTCCGAGGCTAGGGGTTGGCCCTGCTTCATGCGCCGTGGATGCATTGACAGATGTTGTCCAACTGCACCTGGCAGGAATTGTAATGGACCTTTGGACCAGATAGGGTGCCCCATTGTGTGCCTAAATTGTGCACAGTCCTGTGGGATCGCGCCAGTCCAGCCAACCTGCAATAAAATTTTCCAGCCGCTTTCAGAGCACTCAAGAAAAGGTGGATTGTCTTCATGCAATGTGTGGAAAACCCTGGGGACGCTGTGTAAAAATCTCTGTGTGGTGCGCTGCAGCGGTGCCCCCATCGGCCAAGAAGGGGGGCGGAGGGAAGTCACGGGGAAAGCAGACGCCGCCGCGGCAGCTGCTGGCGAAGCTTCTGCTGGCGCTGCTGGACTGCGGAGACATCGCCATCGGACGGAGTCCCCCCGGCGCTGACTCAGCCAAGCGCCTGATCAGGCTCGTGCTGGCTGGCTTCCCCGCGCCTCACTCTGCCGTCCTCGCCGCCTCGGCGCTTGTCGGCCTTTCGCAGGTGCGTTTACTATGAAGAAGTTAGGATGTGGTGATGCGTCTGACCTTGCAACGCAAGTAAGTAGCTGCAGCATGCATGTGAAAGGGAGAACAAAAGTCATTCTGTGAAGATGGACGTCTCTGCTCAGGGCACAATAGTCCGATACCCTTTGCTTGCAATGGTGCGCTCTTTCTGCCTAAGGATTACTCGAGCAGGGCTGCATTTTATCTGTGAACAAGTGGACGCCTCACAGAAGCAAATGCCGGCAACCGTGGCAGGGAATGCTAGATCTGAAGAGACGGCGGCCGCACTGGGCGAGCGCATTCGACGCAGGCTGGCATGACGCATGGTTCAACGCCGCGGAGACGGCGGAGCCGGCCGCTGCCGTGGCGGCTGCCGAGCAGCTGCTGCGCACGGTCGCCGCCGGCTTCGCTGCGGACGCTGGCGCCTTCCGCGTGTCTGCTGACGTTGTGATCATGGCCTGCCGCGCTGCCGAGTGCTGGGAGGGTGAGTTTGATCCTCCACGATGCCCCATTCTTCACTTCAAGTTTCAAAACAACCAGCTGTTTCTGGTCGTCCTGTGGGAGTCTGGACGATCCTTTTTCCATAGCAGCACTTGAACCTTGCATCTCCTCATACTGTGTAGTGCATTTGTGCGAATCTCCCCGCGGAACCTACTGAGTGAATCCAATATCTTCACAACATTGCTAGCATGCTAGATTCGTTGTTGGCATGTGGTTCATCTTGGCCGGCTGGGTGGTGCAGGGCTGGAGGCAGAGGAGATGGAAGGAACGTTGACAGAACTGCTGCAGCTGGGCGCTGCCGTGCAGGCGCAGTGCACTGCCGCCACCGCCCAGCTGCTGCAGATGCTCACCTCACCGCCAGGTGCGTGGTGATCAAATAAATAACAGTGAAATTCATGGTTCAGTCCTTACTTGCCGAGGGATCATTCTCTTGTGTTGCATGACAGTCTCTTGCGAGGCAGCTCGTTCTATTGTCTCTGGCGCTCGCTCTGCCTTGATCTCTCCTTTCCTGTATTTCGAAAGTCATCACAAATACCGTATGACAAGAAATGGCCGGAATGATTCAATCCAATGCAGGCATGAAGCATCCAGGACCCCAACAACACACGCTATCTTGTTCAGTGTACAATGGCAAATGTAGAGGCAATGAAGACTGAAGCTGGGGCTTTCTGGCGGGTAGGGTGCGAGGGATCTAATGCCAAGGAGCAAGGGGCGCGCGCGAATAGCATTGCGGCTGCATATGGCCCCGATCTGGCCGAGTCGCTGCTGAGCTTCTGCCAGTGGCTGTCAAAGACGCGACCAGGCTTCCAAATCGCGCAGGTATGAGACTCGACTATATGTGTACCGTTGCATTTTCTTCGGCTTGGTAGTTCTGTGATTCTGTCAGTTGCTGTGCTTTTGCATACGATGTTGATCTGCATGGCCAGAGTGCACAGACAACATGCCGCAACCAAATCCTCCAAAAAAAAAAGAAACCTGCCAGTATGATGCTGCAGCTTCCTGCAGGAAGGGGGGCCATCCGGTGCAAGGGTGCTCGCTGCCCAGCGTCGTTAGATTGCCTCATGAAGGTCCCTGGATGATCACTTGGATGTATTCACACATTGTGATGTGCGTCAGGTGGTGGAATTGGAGTGGCAGGCGATGCTGGGCTGCAAGGCGGGCCACTCCATGCTGCTGGAACACCTGGCCGCAGCTGCCAGCAAGGATGCAGGCACAGGCGCCACAGAAGCCCCTATCAGCCTTCAGGTGTGCTTTGTTTTGCGCCTTCTCTGCGACTGCTTCTACTACATTCAGTGATATCCTGACTTGCTTCTGCACTGCTTTTGAACTGCTGCAAAACTGGTGATCTGAGTGCACCATGCGCCATCATTCTGTTTATTCAATCTGGCATTGTTTGTGTGATTTTCATGATCCCTGGGTCGCAGTACCAATGATCCCTGGCAGAAGTGTCAGAACCAGGACCCCTCTCAGCACCTCTTCAAGGAAACAGCGTGCGCTGAGGCTTACTTTATTATACAGAGAGACCCAATGCGCTGAGGCTTACTTCGTTATACAGAGAGACCCAACCCCTGATAATATTCCCCCGGACCCTGGCGCAGGCTCAGGTGTGCGAGTGGTTGGGAGAGGCGTACGAGGACATGGCGGCGCACGGCGTCGCCTCCGCCGAGGCCGAGCCTGATCAGGACGCGGATGACTCAGCGCTGACTGACTCAGCGCTGACTGACCACTCCATGCAGACCGACGACCAGAAAACTGATGATGCAAGGGACGGCCCCCGCACAGCTGGCAAGGTGGGATTCCACTCAAAAGACACAGTCAACCTTGGGAAAGCCTTCGCGTGAAATGCTGGACACGAGGCATTGCTCGCTGCATGTCTCGCTGCATGTTTTGCGCTGGACAACCTTGTAGTCCTGCTGAAATGCTGGCCCTGACACTACATGTGGAATGGATCAGACAGTGCTCCTGGGCCGGGGGAGTATTAATTCGTTGCTGCATAATGTTCACTTGCGAGGCAAACGTTCGTGATATGTCAAGCGCTCCCTCTGATGTCTGCCTCACCGATTTTGGGATGTGAGTTAGTCAGCAAGTTAAATAGCGCATGCTCAAGAGGCCGGTCAGGAGGGAATCAAAATTCCTTGTGAGAGAAAATCTTATGCTGACATCGAAGAATACTTATGTATTCCTCTGGACCCTAAGGCCACAGATGACCTCTAGGTGGGGCAATTATTTACATGACATTCAAGGCAGGGATGCTTGAAGGAAGTCCTGGCTCAGTCTATGCCTTATAGAGCTACTGAGTGCGAGTGTTGGCCGCGCAGGCGCCGAAGCAGAGGAAGCGTTCGCGCAGCAGCAACCCGTTTGTGCAGGCGGCAATGGCCGAGATGGCGATGCACTGGGGCAACAGATTCTCAAAGAGGCGCGCAGGTGGAGCCAGCGACGGCGGTGACGTCAGCGGTGATGACGTCAGTGGTGACTCAGACGATGACAACGGCGATGACCTGGACGATTTTGTCGTTTGCAAGCCCGGCCGCGACTACCGCACTCTGTTTGCGCAGCAGTTCAAATATAGCTGCGCGGAAATGCCCCGCAGCCTCTTCAGGCGGCCTCTCTGAATGTTTGGTATTCCTGGGACATTAAGTGAGTGCCGCAGACAGTGACAGCCCTTAGCAAGAAATGGGATTGTTCCTTGCACAGGTTCTTTCCTACAGGGTTCCAGTCTCACCTTGATGACTTTTTGAGCGAAATCAAAATGCATCGATAACTCAACTATGGAACCACAGTACTAGAAATGCTTTGAATGCTTCTTGAACGCTTATAAGCACCAATATGTATTTGAAAAGTCTCAAGAATTTCTAAGGGTGGCAAGTGAAAGCGAACGTGAACAATCTGCAATGCATGCGAATTGATGGTGGTGCGGTTACTAGCTCGTGTGCATGGATGTAAGGCCTTTCATGTGCATAGGAGTCTTATGCATGGGTACGGTGGGTGGCAGCATGCTCAGGGTGGCAAGGCATGCTCGTGTGCGCAGGAATTAGATGCATCGTGCTGCACGTGCTTTGGGGTGTCACATGTGCGATGTCAGCAAGCGCACGTGGCAGGGAAGCTGCCTGGGAGTTAGGGAAGCGATGGAGGTAAACAAAGCACTCAGACAAGGCAGACTTTGCACAGGCGCCCTGTGTGATGTTTGCAAGGTGTGGTTTGTCCAGGTGTATGCACAAAGAAACAGAAAAAGTGCAGTCCGCAAAAGACTCGAACCAGGGACCCCTTGAACAAATCTCGTTTTGTGTTCATCTGTATCTTCAATATCTGTTCCTGCTGGCGAAGTGTGGAGAAGGTCTAGGAGAACACTGAAGACACCCCAAGCAAGAGAGGAAGAGGAGCAAAACGACAGATCGTCACGTCGGGTTCGCAGGTGGTCACCCAACCCACTACTGGTGACGCCCAAGGCAGCTTTGCTTCCGGGAGCGGACGAGAACGGGCACTTTCAGCCTGGTATGAACGATCCATGCAAATTGTGTCTGCTCTACAAGTATGTACTTCATTCAGGCACCTTGCACGGCTTTCGAATAGGCACAACTTGACGGCTTTCATTACCGGGACAGGAGCTAGTGGAACAGGGTCGAGTGCATTTCCATGCTGCTCTGAAGTGAATTCATGTCGTAATGGAAAGGGCACGTAGCCTGCTTACATTAGATGGTAGACAGAGAAAACATGTACATGTCACTGAAGACAAAATGTAGCCAGTCAGGCAGACTAAGACTTTTTTGGTTGTTCTGCTGGGTGAGACTATTCAGTTGTTAGATCAAAACCCACATCAAAATTCTTGATTTCTCAACACAGACTTTGTCACGGTCAGATGCCAACACTCGGTCATGCCTCGGGCTCCACTTCTGCCTCATCAAGCTCGACATCCTCTTTGGTCGGTTCAGCTCCTGGCACGTAGTCAGGATCCGCCTTCTCCTGGAATGACTGAGTCTTCTCACCAGACTCGTCCCCTTCCTTCAACTGCAACAGATACACCCCGCTCAATAAAAGACCACGCATTTCCACCCTCGACGTTGCTTTGTGCATCCCATGGGACGTCTTTTCATACTATTGTCAAGTGTATAATGAAAGACCTGATTAACACCATTCCAAGATTGATTCATTTTTTTTGGACTCATTTAAAAGTACTCAATAGGGATTGTAGGGTACCTACCGCCTGCTGCACGTCGGGATCCTGGTCACGCTCAACTTGCAACTTTGACGCGCGCTCTTCCATCGAGTAGTTGTCCTGGTGTCCACCAGATCCAGTGTGCTTTCCTGCCTCTGTAGACATCCTGCAGCAAAATTGCAGGCTGACATTGTGTGACGAAAACATCAGCACATCCGCTGAATTCTCACGTCGAAAGAAAAAGAGCACTTCTTGGAGCAGTGTTGCTGTGAGGTGACGGCAACATAAACAACCAAAATAACACTCTGACAACTATCGCAAACTGTAAGAAAGAGACACTTAAAGGTACTTCTTCAACCCTAAGGTCAATGCCGAAGCAATCGCTTTTGCGTTTACCTTGCTAGCGTGTCGTCTGCGCAGAAGGTTGGCTTTTATGAGGCTCTCGTACTTGCACAAATTTGCAAGATGATGCTGGAGTGAGAGGAGAATTTGTTCGATGTGAAGATGACAATCTATCTCCTTATGCGCGGACTTTTGGACCTGACCATCGGAAACGAACGTGGCAAGGCCGTATTGCGGTTCCATTATCATCCCTCGACGTCGCGCAGATCTGCTGCGCTCACATCGCCACGCCACTCAAGCAACTGATATGTCAATTATCTTTGTGAATGCGGTCCGAAAAATACATTGGATTGCTGCAGCAGCATCAGCTTATCTGCCTAGATCCCGCATGCCATGTCAGTGTGTACTGGCCATGATGCTGTGCTTACACGAGTGTGCGGACTGCCCGATCTTTTGAGCCCTCCAAGCAGGCACCAGAGGTTGGTCAGAAGCATGTAATCCATTGTGATAGTTTGCCTTCATGGTCATCTACACTGCGTACGGCCCTAAATACTAGTACGCCGTAGTACTACGCGCATGCATGCACGCACACTAGCATACACTTCTATACACAAGAAATCACTTGACACTGCCAATGCGTGGCAGCCAGTATCACCTGGCAGGCGCTACTTCACAGAAATACTAAATGGGCAACACGAATTAATCTACTGCCACAACACCTGTCAGTGGGGATTCCTAGACACTCCATTGGGAATGCCCAAGCCTGAGCCTTGCCAGTCGACGTTTCTGCATTGTTGTGAGTGTTGCCGCCTTTGGCGACTCTTAAGTAAAACATGGAAGCAAATAGTGTCTATGACCTAACAAATACAAACATCCATTCTCCTTGTGAGGTCCTAAGTGTTTCACAAGAGACTTCACAGCAGTAATTTACAGGTCATGCGCAGTGTCAGCCACTGCATGTGTGCTCATCGCCGCAGCAGCTGTGTCAGACTGGGGACTTGTCTTCCGCTTCGTCTTCCTGCTCCGCCGGGGGCACCACAGGCGGAAAATAATCCCCAAAGGCGCCAGCTGTCGGCGCGTCGGAGCCTGCAGGCTGCAGCGCCAGTCGCAGCGCGGCCTGAAGCGCCACGCAGCTGTGGTCCTCCACCATGCGCGGCGACACCAGGATGCCCTGTGAATTTCAATTTGAGTTCAAATACTACAAGAATTTTTGATGATGCATGTCAAAATTGGCCTGCAAACGACTTGCTGACGGCTCAAAATATTCTGCTACTCTCATGATCACAAATTTGCACTCTCTCTGCACCTTCAGTCTCACCGTACTGCTAGATGTCTGCCTTGGGGCTCATTGAGTCCCTCTAGAATCTCTGTGGGCCAGATCAGGGGACAATCATGACTGTGAGTTAAGACATGCTGTCGCATGTCTACAGTGGTGAAAGGCACCATGCTGGAGACCTGAGGTTCTTTACCCCAGCTTACCTCACCAACAATTGGGAGTTAGAACAATAAGGATCGTTGAAAATGTGACACAAGAAACAAGCATGCACTATTTCGCACTCAGGCAGGATAGGTGCTGCTCTGATCCGGGCATTCAATCCTGCATGCCCAAGTAGCACAGCAAAGCCCATGCAGCCGCCCGCAGGCAATTTACATTCTATAGCACTCGTCCAATTCAACAGCCCCTTGCAGCCCTCACCCCGGGGGTTCTATATCTAACTAGAATCTGACGTGGCTATTAGCACGCATGACTAACCTCGCGGATGACCTCCTCGGCCTTGACCCAGACGGCGTCCCACGCGGCGCGCGTTCCCTCCCGCTTCAGCGGCCGCAGAAATATGACTCGTCCCGGGGGGACCAGCTCCAGCATGCGGCTGCGCACCTCAAGCCCAGCGTTGTACGCCTGCACCAAGGTTTCCAACGGTACTTGTTTGTTTTTTCATGGTCAAATTTCTACAGCTACAAAAGGGAAAGTCGGACCTGGTAAAGACTTGGCTCCTGGCGGTTTGCAAGCTTGGGATGCTGTGCAGCTCTAGGCAGCAATTGCTCACTTCATATGTGTGTGCTAATTGGCCTGAAGCGATTATGCATGTCTTTGTAAAGAAGAGATCCTGGTATGAACAGTGACTGGCGCAAGCAGCACCTTTGTTTGGTGTGAGCTGCATAGCTGCCAAACCAAAGCCACACAGCTCAAAGTATTCATGGAGCACAAAGGCCTGTGACCATGTTCCCACGGGAACCTGCGTGGATCCAGCATGGAGCGTCATGCAGCTCACAATTGCCACCATCAAAGATATTTGAATCTGGCAACAGCTTCTTGCATGAGAACACAGCCCAGTAGCAGAGTCAGTGAAGACAACCACTCGCCTGCAGGACCTGCATGGCTTCTTCGGGGACTTCTGCGTAGCGCCAGAAGAGGTCGCCGGTGTGCTCGTGGCGCATGCGCTTAGTCAGCCCGCGCAGGAACGCGTCGCTCTTGTTTAGCTTGCACAACGCCAGCGACGTCACCTGCCAAGCACAGCAATCGACCGCAAATTCTTCACTGCGCCTTCTTTCTGTCATGTCTTTCTGTCAAGTCTTTCTGTTAAGCTTGCCCTCTGTGCCTGTCAAGAAGTGGCTGTCAAGACATTGTCCAAAAAGCTGTCTGCGTTCTCCAAGGGAGAAAAATGTTCAGTCTCTGATCTCATCACATGGCAGTGGTGGTGAATCAGCTCAGCATGCTTGAGAGTATCTTTCTGGCACGTCTATCTCCTAAGCTCTGACTAACATGTCACACCAGGCCTCGATGCATGCAGAGGCAGGGCGCACAGCACAGCAGCGGCTCGTCAATCCGCTTGCGCTGTATGTTAAATAAGAGGCTGTCCCGAGCTGCTGTGTATCTTACTCAAGAGGAGATGATTGGTGAGGACGCATGACATAGCAGGAACCCAGTGTCCTGTTCTGATGGCGACTCAGCGCACTCAGCGTCCCTCTTGGCTCTCATTGCATGTGATTCTGCCTGCAGAATCAGAGAATAAAAGATCTCAAGGTGATGCATGATTCAAGAATTTTGGCGTACCATTTGGTCGATGAGACGGCCGAGGTTGACGACGGAGACACGCGGAACAACGTCCTTGCCGACTATTACGCTGGTGACGAACGGCTCCACCAGGCGGCTAAGATTAGTGCTCATCAGGCCGCCGGGCGGACTCAGCGCCCAGCAGTGCACATCTGGCAGCAACAGAGCACGAGTTACAAGCACGCTTTTATTTGAGGTACCATGTAAGGAGACACAGTAACACCCCGGATTTGAGAGTTCCTTTGTGTGTACCAGAGGGCCTTCTATCCTGTGAGTTCAGGACAGTCAAAATAACCTTGCAGTGCACGTCTGGCAGCAGCCGAGGACAAAAGTGTCCCTGGCCACAGAAGGCGTGACTACTACACAGCCTGGGAGCAACAGGGCCCAAAGGTGTCCTACAGACCGTTTGAGATCAAGAAATCTATCCTGGTCACAAAGGCAGGAAGTATCTTAGGGGTGTCATTGTACCTGGTTCTGGGACATGAAGACAGCTCGGCAAACAAGGCGGCAGGGGCTCATGAGATTGTTCTTTGACTGCATTGGCGTTGCATGAGGGCTTCAAGGTTCACAAGCAGGAGCTGGGGACAATTGTAGGCAAAACTGAGCAAGACACCCCCACAGGTCTATGCCTATGCGGGCATCTCCCTTTACCTGTCACCTACCTCAAACAGTGATCCTTGTCATGTTCAGCACAGGCAAGTGAAACAGCACAAGAACTTATAGCAAGTTTAGGGGGCGCACTGGGGAATCGGCCGGAGAGGTGCAGGGCCATAAGAGCGGCGGCGCCGGCCCCGAGGCTGTGCCCGGTGAGCACGAGGCGCCAGTCGCGGCAGTCCAGCTTCCTCTGCATCAACGCCGCCACATAATGCTGCGCCCGCGCCTCCGCGTCCTCTCCAGCATCCCTGTCACACCAATACAAACATCGAATTTAAACCTGTAACTTTGTTCATTCAAAAATCTCCAGGTCTTTCCCCTTCCACCCTCTACTGCAACGCTTTGTGAGTGATGCATTTTTAGCGCTGCAGACCAGCATCATCCCTGCACCAGGGAACTGCACTGCTTGGAACAGTTTCAAGACAGTCTCTGAACTCGAAGCAGAGGCAGCTGCAGTGGACAGCTGCAGACCAGCTTCCCACCAGGCACACTCCTTCCCCCAAAACAAATACTGGACTGCCTTATGCAGAGCCCGGGGAGATGCGCAACTCTCATACATCTGGAGATTGGCACTGTGTTTCCCCAGTACGGGGAAAACGCGCGACTTGCTCTCTGCCTGTGTGCTACTCAGGCTGGATTGCACGTGTCCACATACCAAAGAATGGACAGCCAAAGAGGTACCAAATCACTTTGGCAACAAGGCAGACAGATGGCGCCAACCATTCAACACTAGAACATATCTTTTGTCATTTTGTGGGTATGGCAGCATAGCGCCATGAAGCAGGATGTCATAATCCTGCTCTCACAATCCAAGGATGCTGTATCCCTTAATATACTCACAAAACGGGAACAGCACCATCAAGCATCAGAACGGCACTGCACCACAACGTGCTCAGGTTCATGCAGATGCGCTGTTGCAGGGCAGCTGCATCCCAAAAACTCCATGGTGCTATCCTCCTTCAGCAAAACAAATGACACAGCACGCAGATACTACAGGAACCCACTTGGACATGACCTCCTCCGCCGCTGACTTGGACATGTCGCCGTAGTCACCGCGCAGCAGCGCTCCCAATACTTTGTTGTCCTCCATGTCCTGTGCGAAGGCAGTGGTATCATTACCTCTCCATTATCAAAGGTGTAGCACTTTCTAGATGAAAACTGCAAATCAAGCATGTGCGCTGCAGTTTCCAGTGTCAGGCCCAAGATCGTCAGCAGCCTTTCCTTCTTATGCTCCACGAACAGCAGGTCCCCTAGTAAAGCCCATGCATCATGAAGACTCTGCCAAAACTTTATAGATCTAAGGGAGCGTGCTCTCGGCCCCCGCCTTGATGCGTGCAGCATTCTGTTTGTGCCTTGAGGGATAGCACAGCTGCCATGCATTAGTAAACATTGCTGAGAAGGATGAGAAAAGACAAAAAAAACCACACCTTCAGAACAGCGTCGGCTGCCGCCTTGATGCCGGCATGTGCGTACAGGTGCCCGCCGGAGCCGTCGCGCGCTCTGATCTCCCCCGGCAGCCAGTCGGGCTCCAGGCGCACCGGCTCTGCCACGCTGTCCGTGATTATGTCCTCCACCGACGTGGTCCCCCGCAGCGCCACCACCACCGACCTGCGTTGAAGAAAGGGGTGTTATGTAGGGTTTCAGAATTGATGTTCAATGAGGGGACGGGGGTTTCTTCATCCTAGAGCTACTGCCAAGGACGTGCACCGAATTATGGCGGAGGTTAGTTTCCAGGGTCCTTGATTCCAGTTTCCTGTTTCCAAGTAAAAACAGGGGGAGCTTATGTCATGGCTAGCGCCACCAATATGCGCTGAGACGACCGAGGAGTTGGGTGTCGAAGGAATATTCTCCCTCGGTCTGCTATAGAGAAATTTTACTTGAGAATAGCAGTATCGCAGGGAGGGACCGCGCCTGCTCTGGTGGTCCAGGGCAACTTGCTGCGCACAATTTGTACTGAACACTGTTGTTATAATTTGGTGCCCCTTGCCGCAGAGAAGGTAAGGGGTGTTGAAAGGGAGGGAACGCGCATGCTCTGGTGGTATAGGCCACCTGGCTGCACACACGGGTTACTAAACACTGCATATCATTAGTTGACTACCCCTGCTGCGCAGAGTTGGGGGGTTTGCGAGGGAGGGAACGCGCCTGCTCTGGTGGTCCAGGGCAATGAGGTAGGGCAGGTGTGACAGCGCTGCGTTGGCGACTGACAGGTAGATGATCTCACTGCTGTCCCCCAGCTCCCGGATCACGTTCTCATAGTACAGCCGCTCCACTAGCGAATTCACGTCAGCCCTGTGTCACCAAATACTCAATATTTTCTCATCGTCTTTTCGTAAATTATTATGTTACTCTGGTTGATTTTTTGGCATATCAGTTCTTGTTGTAGTTTTTGCAGCAACACCTTTGTGGCTACACTGGCAGCCTCGGCGATGGTGCTTGGAGCTCTTATCAGGATTAGACCGTCAATGGAATGCATGTCTGTGAAAAACACGAGGTCTGATTGACTGAATAGGATTCGAATGTCAGGTACAGCCAGACTCAAATAAAGCCAGGCCCTGCTCTCCCGGAAGATGCCCAGCGCGTGCAGAGCAAGGGAGGCATGCAATGTTCCAAAGTACCAAATCTCCTGTGCATATCTCCATGTGTCAGCAGCTCTACCCATATCACATGCGTTTAGAGTCCTGCAGGTCAGGATGCTGTGATTCGACTGCTGTCACAAACTGCTGTCACCTGTTGAGGACTTCCAGGTTGCGCTCCTCTCGCTCGCTGGTCTCCCGCCCGATCAGCGCCGAAGCCATCGAGACCCACCAGTTGCTGCTGCGCTCGCCCCCGTACCCATATACCCCTGCCTGTCATCGAAACCATAAGCAAAATCAAAATCAAACTCAAATCAAATTAAAATCAAAATCAACTTCATCCGCCACAATGCCGCAGCATGTGGGAACTCCCCCGTGTCGGTGCAAACATCAAACTCCCCTACCAGATGCTATTCTGTGCCAGTAATGCGGGTGACTGTAACACCTTTGCGAGAGCTGTTTGGGCTAGCCATATTGCTAAAACATGACACAACAAGAAGCAGAGCGCCTGGGAGTGCAGGGTTGAAACTGAATCGCCCAAGTCAGGTCCTAGAAGATGCTTCTTCTTGTCACATCCACGATTTGACGGGCAGATGCCCCTCCATGCCAGCTGTCAAGCCTCACTGACATCACATATCACATCTGCTGATGACCTTGGCAAAAGCGCTTATAAGCATCTTAAGAGTGCAGCGGGCAGAGCTTGGCGCACCGCAAATCTGCTGAAGTGCTCCACCTCTGACAGGACGGCTGCCTCCACCTTCCAGTGCCCTCCCGTGTACAGCTGCGTCGCCTGCTCCTGAGACATGGAACCTCTGCACGCACAAATCCAAACCTACTTCAGTTTTCATTTTTTGACCAAGTGAAGCTTGTTCTGGACTTCTTCAAAAACCTGCGCTTGGAGGCGCAAAAACATCGAGCCATGCAGATCTTTCTGTCTGCCCCAGATCCATAACACACTGCGCAAAGTAAGGATTGCTCACTCAAGGATGCTTCCGACCACACTTTAGCGCGATCAGCCTTTTGCTTTCATTGACATGGGCTGAGGTGAGAAGGCCTTGTGGTAAACGCTGGTAAGACAGCATGTTGCACCCTGTCATGATAGACATTGAGGATCACAACAGGTCAGTCATCTTGTTTCACGCTCACCTGAGCTCCTCGTCCATGCCGGAGGGGGTGATGCAGGCCTCCCGCAGCAGCGCCATCTGGCGCAAAAACTTGCCCAAGGGCCTGCCCGGCCCTTCCAGGCCCGTGTCGCGCAGGCTCTCAGCAGCCCCCGTCTCCTGCAAATGCAATGTGCTGAACTTCTGCATTGGCATACTGCATTGCTGGATGCCAGGATGGTCTGCCAGAAAACGCCCCTTGCAAGAAAGGCCTGTCTTCAGTCTTGCCAAATCATTGTCGGTAGGCTGGACCGTCATCTCTCAGCTTGGGTGGCTCAAAAGGGACTTGAGATCCCTTTCGGACCCATTTTGCAAGTCAACCCCTACGGACCAGCCTTTCAAGGATGAGTTAGCAGGGCCCCAACTCCTGGACTGCAACATGTTGGGCAATGTCCGGCCCCTGATACATGGGGCACTGGTAGAATAATCATGTTTTACTCAGCCCTGCATGTGAAGATTTGATCAGTCATTGCTACACGCTCTCAGAGAGTCCCCAGGAGAGGCAATACGCACCCCTGGCTCGGGGCTCTTGTGTCTATGCAGCAGGGCTTCTTCCTCGTCGCCTGCAGCGCCGACGGCCACACTGCTCTCCGTAGCACCCGCGGTCAGCGAGGCATCTATCTGCTTCAGTGTCACTGCCTCCTCCGCTATTTCTACCTGGATGTCTATCAGCACGTCCTGCGCACACAGCCATCAAATAAACTAATGCGTGGGCTCGGCACTGAAGTGCGTCCTGATGAAAGGTTCTGTGTCATATCAGACTCCAAGAGCAGGGTCAAGATGATTCTGCACTGCCTGCGCTTGCGTCGGCGCTTGCTCTGCTGCTACATGCGAAGGTTGGCCAAAGATCCGTTTGACAGGTACCACACTGCCAACATTCCGCAGTAAACCAGACTGAGCTTTTGACTTTTAAACTAGCATGTACCAAGAGAACGACAACCTTCCCCAACAGTAATTATCCAGCCTCCCCTGCATGACGACGTTTACCAAAACTGTCTGTGCACCCCACTTGACTGCTTGCAATGTGCTCCAACAGGACATGCGCCTTCCACAAGATGCAGGATTGCCTTGAAGAGGCCTGGTATCGACGGGGTACACCAAACAGTTTTTGTCACTCTTATTATCGTCATCCTCGTGTTCCCAAGCTATAGGATTAGGTGCAAGGTCTCAACGGCACCAGCATGTACCGACAAACACACAGACAACACACTGCACCAAAGGCCACACCAGGGCCCCCACCTTGTCAGTGACTTCCACCCACACAAAGGCGCAAATCCACGGTGCTTGGCACCTGGCTGTATCAAAACGGCCCAAGCAACGCAGTACACCAGAAATCATACCATCGCCAAACCCTGGTTGTCACTTCCCCACTAACAGGGTTGCTGTTAGTAGGTGCCTGCACCTGGTTGCATCAGTAGGGCTCATGCAATGTGCTGTCGCATAATTCCTGTGTCCAATCCCACTTTCCCACAATCCCACCTTCTCTGTGACTTCCCCCCGCACAGGGCTGCTGCTCGACGGCCCCTGCAGCAGCTCGCGCGACCCGCGGCCGGAGGTCGATATCGGCAGCGCGCGTATCGTCTGCGCGCGTTCCATCAGCGAAACGGCCTCCACCCGCGTGCCCTCCCCCTCAGCCGCCTCCGCCACGCACCGCCGTATCCGCTCCCTAATAATAACGAAATTAAACTAATTCCATGTTCTGAATCTGCTAAATTTAGAGTAGTACCTGAGAAACAGGCACGATCTCCTCATGACCTGCCAAAACCCAATTTCAGCTGCAATGTAAGGGGCTGGGGGACTCAAAACAACATCAGATTTACAGATATCTAGAGCAGAGACTCGTAATAATTTGAAAGCCCCTATGTGCGGACCACTCTAGTCTATGTCATGGCGAGGATGCAAGAGGGATCAGATAGTGCACAGAAGGCAGAGACAAGGAATTAAATTCACTGCACCGGGAGCTCTTTGATCATGGCAGTGTTCCCTTTTGCATCCAAAAGAGCGCCGTCCAAGCTGCCTTTCAACAGTGTTGCCACCATGAGCATTCCACCCAGCACAGTGTCTTCTTTATGGGGCAGGCAGGAAGCCTGCACTTGTGTGTGGGCCCAGGGGCGCTTACCTGCGCGCCTGGCGCTGCAGGGTGGCCACTAGAATAAGTGATAGTGCGGTGTCAGACGGCGTCAGATCAGCGCGCCCCAGCAACCGCGTCACCCACCTAAGCAACCAAAAAAACACTTCCTTACCACGGAGAATAATGCGGATTTTCGTTGGCACACCACACGCACATTATGCAAACACTTGTTGCATTGCATCAGGAGAGACCAGCACCACATGCAATTTTCAAATTGAGCGCATATGCAGATTATTGTGCCATTTGGAGCGGTCTCCAGATTGTAGAGGGCGCCAAGAAAGTGCATTCTTCCAGGATGCGGACGATTTACCGTGCTATCCGCCGCAGCGACCGCTGCCTCTCCTCATCCGCTGCTGGCTCCCTCCCTGCATGCGCCATGTGCCAGATTTACCGCTTCTCTGATTGGCATATTTCAATATCCTTCCAAATTTGTTGTAGCGTCGCATGCAAAGATGAATAGGGGGTTCAGTCTAATCATCAAGCTCTCAGATCCTGTCATGCGCTACCATTCTTGCTGCCTAGAGACTCTGCAACCCAGTTTTATCCGTTCTTTCTCTGCAAGCACGGTATTGTGCATGCTTTTGATCATGCATTGCAAGCCAATCATGCGGCAAGGATGACTCACCGCACTGACAGCAGATCCAGCGCCCGAGCCACAAGAAGCGGCGCTCCCATTCATCTGCGCCCTGATGCTCCGGCCACGCATTGTACCACACAAGAATGTTGAGCCTGCGCCCACACAGGATTCACTCCAACGACAATTTTCTTAATTCTTTGTTCTTGTTCCTCATGACATTGCCGGCTGTGTTAGTACAGCACTCTTTTCTTGTCAGAGATCTTTTGGGATTTGTTTGTATTCTCATGAAATTGCCAACAAGCAGACATCCTCTACAGCACTCCTAAGTCCCAATGTGTACATGCTAAAACTTCGCAGCAAATGTATTGGACAAATCTCCATCTGGTTGTCTGGAAAATGGACGCACAAGAATCAGCTCGGTAGCTCCATCAGGCCATACCTTGCATTAAATGTCTAGGCAATGCTCCCCTCTACATGAATATTTCCTACCTGCTCCTCAGAGATTGCATGTGTGTGCCTATGGCCTTTTCAAAGCAGTTGGGTATGGCTGGTTGCGCTAAGAGAAGGAAGTGCATCAGAAGCTAGCAAATTGGCAGGCAGGGGAAGGGGATAATGGCTCACAGGATGACGATCTGGAAGACCCAGGTGAGGATGACTAGGATGAGGACCTCCTTCTTTGGGTTAAAGATCACCACCTCTTTCACCTTGCAGCTCACGTCCACAGCAAGCAGCACGTATGTGCCAAAGGCTGCATCCAAAGAAACCCAGGATCAATCATCCATCCAGTGCAGAAGGTATGAGTCAAGGACAGTCACCTGTCATTGTGCGTGTGGTGGCAGGCACTTTGTGCGACTCATTTGTAAAGCTAGCTTTCTGAACAGGCTTGAAGTGTGGAGGTGAAGGAAAGCCGTGGCAGCCTTACCTGATGCAAGCAGCTCGCAGACCACGTTCCCAAGCCTGAGCTTCAGCAGCAGCTGTATGTTGCTGCGCTTGGACAGCTCAAAGATACCGCCTGCAATCATGATTGGTGAAGTCAGCACATAGAAATATATGTAAACTCGGTTGGAAGCCATGTGACTTCTTTTCCATACTGTGCACAAACAAAGTGAAGCTCAGATTGCTGCTTGAAGATCCTGCAAGGGGTTACCTTGACATCCCACATAAATGAGCAGCAGCTCCAGGATGAAGCCACATGTGAAGCAAGCTAGAAGCAGTGCTACTGTAAGCATGTAACCAAAGCCTCTGTCGTGACAGATCTGTGGCATGTCGACTATATCATGGCTAGTGATGGCAATAGCTACTATCCAGAAAGCGTGGAAGATTGCCGCTCCGAGAGCAAAGAACGGAACATCGTCGGATGCCGTGTGAAATGCCCTTCCGAAGATCCAGAGTGCTGGCATTTTGCTGATTGAAATGGTAAACTCCTCGGCTGCTAAACCTTGTCTCAGCACCTGCCCAAAAGTAGAAAAGCAGGAGCAGGACAGAGGTTTTGTCGCTGTCAGGCGTCCTACAGATACTTGTCACCGTGTAAAGGTCCATCTGCTGGATTACAAAGCTGCATTCTAGCAGACCAATATTGTCATGGACTGTTAAGGTGACGTACATGCCGACTGAGAATAAAGAGATCCTGCCATCTAGTACCGGCGAAAGAGCTGGATAACCAATATGAACTCTGTTCTCGCGAGGCGCCGAGAGACTTCCTCAACAGAGGTCTGCCCTGTGTGTCAATGGACTTGTCACTGCACATGCATGTGCATGCACCAGGGTTTAAGGAGCAGGGTTGTTTGTCGTACCCCTGACTCACGGACTTGATTATAACACTCAGTGCCCTTGCATGCAATTTTGTGGGGAGTTAGAGTTGGAGGTAGAAGGATGGCTCATCAACACGACTATTAGTCAAGAGACTTACAGTATGCTTGCTGGCTATGGGCCGGTGCCCGCATCAATGTTCCTGTATGCCACGTATTATTACTGATCGTCGTGGCACCATCATGAGCTCATGTCTTGAGAAAACTGTTCCTAATCAACATAAAAAAACCAATGGCTGCTCGCTCCAGCCGCCTGGTGTGCAGCACCCAAAGCACAAAGCCGCCCGTCAGTGCTCGGGCAGCGCAGCACCACGCTTCCCATCGGCCTTCCTTCCTTTGCAAGAGCGCCAAAGGCGTCTCCCAGTTGGCTGTTCCAGTCACACAGCCAGCCTGCCATGAGCGCAGCAAAACAAAGCCGCCTCTAGTGCTCTGGCAGGGCTGTGCCGCGCTCGAGGTTGGCCTTGATCTCCTGCGTGTGGGCGTCGAAGGCGCGGGCGATCTTGCGGTTGAAGTGCGCGTTTCGGTCGTTGATGAAGTCGACGTCCTTGTCCGGCTGGAACGCCCTCCGGCGGCTGTACTCGGCGCGCTTGGTCTTGCGCGCGTCCAGCTCAGCAACCATCGCGTCGATCTTGTCCTCGCCAACCTCCGGCGCCACCTGCGAAGGTCGTTATCCGAGGGATTATTAGGGTTACAACAGGGTCTGGCCCTTTCCTGTAAAACGGATCTCTTCTTTGAACCCTGAAGATTAGGCACCTCCGGGGCCACCTGCGGAAACTGCCGCAAAATCTCACCACAGTATCTCATCCTAGGTGGTCTGTTCCGAAGGGAAACGGTCAGAGAAATCATTCTGCCCAAACTGGGTGCATCGCTGGCCCAAAAACGTGGCATGACAGCCCTGCTGTAATCTACTGTGATCCGTATTCCATGACCGCACTGCCCTCAGAGATTAAGCCTGATCATGGGAAGCGATGCTGGCCACTCTGGGCCCCCAACATGTTGCTGCAAGCCTGATCTGCAGACTTAGTTGCGCATTATGCGGTGCTTTTTACGGGATATACGGACAGATGCGCACCCCATAGAGCATGCTGTCGGCTGCGCGGTAGAACTCCGGCGCGGTCGCCTTCATGTGCTCGTACTCCTCGACAGACATTGACACGTTGGCAGTGCGGCGCTCGTAGGCCTCATAGAGTGTCTTCGCGTTGAAAGAGGCAACGCCCTGCGGCGCCGGCTTCTTCTGCTTCTTCTTGTACTGCGCCTCCGCCGCGTCCGCCGTTTCCAGCATGAACGCCTGTGACATGGCAGTCGTGCTTAGTGACTTCCGTCTACACTCTTATACACGCTTATACTATTAACATTTCACGCTTGTTCCAGCCCTCAAGGCTAAGTGCCTTGCAGCACCCTCTCAATAATCCCTTCCAGCCACCATCCCTGCCGCAGCCTTCCAGCCCAACTCTGATGCAATATGCATGAACCGATGCCGTACGACTGGGGCAGATGTTAGGCATGGTTTCCACCCATGCAGAGCGCCTTCCCCAACAGGAGACGTAGAAAATTGAATGAGCTGGGCCACACTGATGAAACTTTCTTTTCACACTTCACTCACTTCCTCTGAGATGCACCCAAGATCCAGCTCTTCCCAGACCAAACAAATGCACACCTTTTTCTCGTCGAGATTCATGCGCTTGAGGTCGGCCTCGCGGCGCGCCTTCTTCTCCTCAAACCATTTGCGCTTCTCGCCGGCCTCCTCCGCACCCTCCGGCCGAGCCTGCCGCAACACAACCTTCTAAATCACTTCTGTCGGCAATACATTCAGGGCTATGTTCGTAGATGCACTGGAGTGCAGCTCAGAACCATTTGCACCAACGTCAGGCTACATGGAGCTATTCAGAACGGCAACAATGGGGCTTCTGAAGCTGCGAACTCATTTTCTGGGAGCCCATGGTGACCTCCCAATCTCTTTCAACGGTGCAAGAAGGAAATCCCTTCCTGAATGGGCACGCTCTTACCCATAATCCCAAAGGAGGTCATGGTGTCCATGAGCCCTTGCATGCAGGGGGCACTGAGAAAGAAAGAAAACAGAACTTGCCTGCCGCCGCTTCTCTGCGACCATGGCATCCTGGTTGGCCTTGCGGCTGGCGCGCAGCTTCTGCTGCAGCTCCCACAGCTTCTTCTGCCGCGGACCCATGCCCGCCGTCGGATCCGCGCCCTCTGTGTTACACCCCACAAAACGCCCTCAGCATTGCTACTCCAGCGGTATAGTACAATATGTTTTGCTTCCCACCCCCTAGCAATTCCGCATCCAAGCTCCTGACTAAAGCACTGTTGGGAAGCATACACACAAATGACTTCAATCTCTGAAAACAACTTTGGGTGCATGTTGCATGCATTACAGAGAGCACACAACTGCTCCATCTGCAAGGAGAAGACCGCTGTGGGGAACCAAGAGCCCAAAGCTGCTGAGGTGAGTTTTTCCCAGACCATACCGTTGAGATCTTCGTCCGAGTCATCATCGGCTGACGGGGCCGCGGCGCCGCCGGCGCCGTCCGGGGCGCTCGCTGGCACGGCCTCCTCGATGGACGCCGGCTCCGCGGCGGCGGCGGTGTCCGGTGCGGCCTGGCCGTCAGCCGCCGGCGCGAGGTCGTCCTGCGCGGTGTGCGAAGGCCGGGGGGCCTTCATGGGGCCATCGACCTCGCCGCGGATCAGCCGCAGCCGCTGCCGCGACTCCTCGTCCGGGTCGACCTGCGCACATAATCGATGACTCATTTGATCTAATATCTCACGCAAGTAAAGCCAATACTTCTTCTGCAGAAGGTGCGTGTGTAGATGGACTGCAATTTCTGGCTGCTTTCTACAGACTACTACCGCACGACCGAATAGATCAGCAGATCCATATACTCAATGCGGCCTGTGCAAGCACCGAGACTGCTACGTTACCTAAAACACAGGGAGCGCCCAAACATGTTGTTATTGGCCAGAAGACATTCTGGAGCAACACAGGTCCTCGTCTCTCTGCCAGCTGCAATTTGCTGAGGCTGATTAGCGATCAGCAAGATTGTGTATGGCAGTAACGTCCAGTGCTGCATTACCTAAACCGCGTGCCTAGTTGGCACATTTGAGGCGCATCTTGCCACTGGCAGGAACAGCGTGTAAGAACAACATCCATAGTACATAAAAAATGACGTTGATAACAGCCTAATGAGTGCACCTGGACGACGTCCTTCTTCATGTCAGCGAGCATCTGCTTCTCGGCCGCCAGCTTGGCAAGCACCTGGCGCCTTGTTGGCAGCTCGCCGCAGTCAGCGATGACTACCGGCTGACGCGTGCGACCGGAGCTCGAGCCGCAAGCCTCCATCTTCCTCACCACCGGCATTCCCTCTGTCACCTTCCCAAACACCACTGCGCGCAGTGAACACAGTGGATATTATGCATGAGATAAACCTATGCATGGGAACCTTTGGGAATGATGTGACCGTACTGAAGGCCTGGCAGTATCACGCGCCCTAAAACCACTGGGCGGAAGTGGATACAGCGTGCTGTTGCGCAAATGCATTACAAGAGCAATCTGTGGATGGCAAGCTGTGCAAATGATGTAATTGAACAGAATGACCTCAGCAATATGTCGCTTGCAACGCATGGCAGAAAGAAATTACTCTGCTTCATGAGAGCAGCAAGTCAGCTCGGGTAGTAAGAAGATTGCGCCATGAGAGGCAGGCAGCGGACTGACTATGCCAAAAGACAGCATTGCGTGTATGGTTGGGGACAAGTTCAAAAAGAAGTGGTCAAGCAGCGGGCGCACCATGCTTTCCATTCAGCCAAGGACACTGGGCTGTGCAGAGGAAGAACTGTGACCCTGCACATGGCAGCATAGCAGCGTGTCAGAATTACAAGCCTTCCACCAACAAACTTTGGTGCTGGATTTGCTGATGGAAAACTGTACAGGATCTCTCAGATGGCTGCCTACCGTTGGTGTTGGCGCCTGCGTTCGCCATGCTGAGCACCCCAGGCCCAGTGTGCTTCAGGATGAAGTTCTCGTCATCGAACGTTGGCCCATAGATTGATTCACCGCCAGTCCCATTCCCTGCTGTGAAGTCCCCTCCCTGCAGAAAACATGAACTGTCTAATGCAAGTTGTCAAGCATTTGATTGGAATAGTAAGAGCAAAGCGCACGAGATGAATGCAAAGAGAGAGCTAGCAACTGCTCCGGGCAAAGCTTACCTGGCACATAAAGTCAGGGATGACTCTGTGAAACTTGCTGCCTTTGAAGTGCAACTTCTTTCCCGACCTCCCCACTCCCCGCTCGCCAGTACAGAGACATCGAAAATTTTCTGCAGTCTTTGGCACAACATCTGCTGCCAATGTTATGACTATTCTGCCAATCGGTTCCCCTCCGATCTCGATCTCAAGGAACACCTTGGGATTGTCGGTATCCAGATCCATAGCACTTTACAGTTCTAGAACCTGCAAAATTCAATGTCGTGCAAGTCTAGGCGGAGATATGCAAAATTTGGAAAGGCAAAATGCAACTCCGCCTACGTGCAGTAGTATGGCAGATACGCAACATTGATTTCTTGCGAGGCGGTTCGAACGAGATTCAGCCGGTGGAAGGCCAACTTGTGTGATATTAAGAAGAAAATATTGGAAATTTGGACCCTCGAACACTTGTTTGTATTGTGCTGCCACAAATCATCTATGTGTTGCATTGCCACTTGGCCAACAACTTGTATTGTGCTGCCACAAATCATCTATGTGTTGCATTGCCACTTGGCCAACAAGGTGAGCAAAGAATTCAAGTGGTAGCTTGCAAAAAATCTTCAAAGAATTCTAGAATCTGCGAAGGGTCGCCAGCCTTCAAGTTTAGAATGCTGACTTCATGAAAGTCGGTACTTAAGTAGCTCAATGAAATACATTTCAACTCAGCTCTCGACCGGGGCTTAACTAGGGCCACTCAAAACTCTTCAGAGTCTGCTCATGCAGGGACAAGCCCAAAACATGCACACTTCGGACTCAATAATGAAGTTCCAGCATGTTCTTCAAGATCAAAGGCCATTTCTTAGAATGTTCTATACTACGGCGCGACATGCGTTTTCCCATAGATCTCTCCCTTGCAGGCCTCTGCAGCAGCTGTCTGCGTGCTGCCCTTCTATAGTTTCTTTCTCTTAAATGTACAAGCAGGAGCCCTGCAGTGTCTGCGCATCGCCCTAAGTGATGGAACACTGCGCTCTAAAGATATACTGCGCCTACTGACAATCTTTGCTGTGGCAGCAGCAGCAGCAGGTGGCGGCTGCTCCTGCCACGATGTGAAGGTGCGGCTCTTAAGATCTACAGTGGCTGCAAATTTGTGAATGGGAGCTGTCACCCCAACAGGTATATGTACAGGCAGCCTGAAGCTCCAGGCTACCTAGCCCAAGGTCGAGCACCATGCTGCTGTGCTCCGTTGATCCCTTCAGAGCTGCTTCATCCTCACAAGCAGCTTTGAGGGGGCCTCTGGGTACTCATGGTCAGCCTACATTGCCTCTGCAGGCAAAAAGTCAAGCACCATGCTGCTGTGCTCCATTGACTTCTTCAGGAAGCCTTCCTGGCAGAGCCTGGCGAGCAGCTTTGAGAAATTCTCTGGGCGTTGATGGCTGCTGTAGGCTTCCCTGCCGCCTGGAGCCCTGGCAGATGGTGGCAACAGGTGCAGCGTTCCCTCCTGTGCCAGCACCTCAACCACTGCCACCTGCATGCATGCAGTCAAGAGCTTAGTCCTCATTAAACGATTACTCATGCATGTGACAATCGGCCCCAGTCTTTGCTGCGCACAGGATGTCAAGGCCTTTGAAAGCCTGTTAAGTGAGGCCTGTGCACAGTCTTTGGAAGCCTGATGGTCTCATTTGCGTGTGGACATGCATTGACCATCAGACTCAATAGACTCTGCCCAGGCCTCATCTCTCAAGCATGACATTCATGTACTCAAGACCCATTATTGCTGCATGCCAAAGATAATAGTTGATTAATTGACGCGAAATCTTCAGGAAGACAAACCTGCACGGCTTTGGGCATGTTGGGCCGCAGCAGGAGTGCGATAGCGCTGGCAAAGAGGGCATCGCCGTAGGAGACCGTGGCAAACTGCAGTGCCCAGCGGGCAGCGTCCGCCTCCGTGATGCTGCCCACCGGGCTCCTGACGGCACAACCACCCAGGGGTCAGGATTTATCTGCACAACAATGTGGCTCTGAAAAAGATCAGGAATGCAAGCACACACTCAGGAGAGCTGTCTGATGGCAGAAGAATTCATGCACGCCTTCAACCAGACATCCACAATGCCATGCATGAAAAGCAATTATATGAGACCTGCGCCCAGCAGATATTAGCTTGGGGTGAGTCACATATTAGTCATACTCATACGTATGCTGTTCCTGCCGGCTGAGATCATGTTTGTCTGCAGGCCATCTGCGCCGAAGGCTGCGTGTAAGCCAAACCCCTTGTATGCTTCGCAGAACGGAGCAAAGCCTTTTCAGGCCCCAGGCATGGTGTTGAGTGATTCCGCCAGCCGGGGCCACAGATGTAATATCATCAGAGCCCAAGCCGCACAGTGGTACTAAATTCTGCTACTAAGAAGGCGCCGACACAGGCCTTAAGAGAGATATGTGCTATCCAACTGCACTCTCACAGGCCTGCCAAAAAGAACTCCAAGGGAAGCATACAGGTTTTACCCACCTGTCTGCGGACACGTGCCGGCCGTAGCTGTCCAGCAACGCGGCGGCAGTCCAACGGATGAGCGGGTCCAGCCACAGAGCGTCATCCTCTGAAGAGCTCTCATTTGAAGGGCAGAATACAAGGTCCATTAGGCCCTTCAGGCGCAGCCCTGCACACACAGGACAAAAAAAAACTTTTGGTTCTTGAAGTACACACAGCAGCAGTGTGCTGCAAAGTTCCCTGCATCAACGGCCTTGTATGAAGCGTTGTGGCGGGAATGTGGTGCATTCCTAAGCTTTGATATTGCGGAGAATCTGCAGGGGATTGCCTTCGCGCAGTCAGTGATGCATGCAGCAGCGCATAAACACAAAGACATAGAGCTATTGCAGTGCCAATACATACTGAACCGCAAAAAAAAACTATACATCGCGCAAACACACTCTCGAAAAGACATTTGCAATGAAGGATGTACGATGAAGCGGGCAAAGACAAGCTCATTGAGGCTCAAGCAGAAGTACAACGACACTTACTGCAGTGCTCAAAGTAAAACCCGCACCCCTGGCAGTACGGGATACATTCCAAGGCAACGGGGTCATCCTGACACCAGAAAATCCAGGGTCATGATCCATTCGATTGGATCGAGAGCTATCCAAACCTGGTCTCAAAATCATGCTAGGGTTATTAATTTGAAAGATATGGTGTCATTTATCCATCCTACTTGGCCAAAACTCAAAATTTATTGTATTTTAATTTGAGCACTACAGTAGTACCTAGGGGCAGATCCTGGATGCTGGAGAGGGAAGGGTCGTTGTCCAGGGCCAGCAGGAAGCAAAGGCCGGTGCCCACGACGCGCGCGCGGCTCGGCCGATCCGGTTGCGCAGATCCGTCCTCCCAGTCTTCTTCCGGGATGTGGGCCAGGCCAGAGCCTTCCTGCTGCTCGGCTGTCGGCGGCACAGGCTCGATGGTGAACATCCAGTCCTGCAATAAGCATGCAGCAGACATCAGTTTAGCCCTTGCACAGTCTGACTTCTTCTTCTTCTTCTTCTTAATATGATCGTGACAAATTGACACTAGAGGGATCGATGGGCCTGAAGATTTCTTGCATGAGCATTGCTTGTCCACGCTCCAGAAGTATGAAAAATCAAGGGCCTCACCCAAGCCGCCTGATTTCCCATATCTTTTTCCAACCAAAGTCTCAAACTTCCAGTTCACAAGCATAGACCACAAGGAAATTTGCGCACCGAGGGAATCGGCAGGCGGGAGCCGACAGGTTGCCTGATGAGGCTCTGCTTGGCCGACAGCTGCGCGGCGGCTGCGCAGGGGCCGGAGGGAACGGCGCCCTGCTCCGGTACGAGGCCCAGCCAGTGCGCGGCGTAGGCCGGCAGCAGCACGGCGTTGACTTCCTCGGCTGACGGCATGGCCGGCAGAGCATTGCGTGGCACCGCTTTGTCGCCCTGCACCACGCGCGCAACTCTTGTTGAGCGTTTTCAACCTCGCTGATGACATCCAAGCTCTAGGCGCCAAGCACTAGGCGCCTCTGCCTATGTTCGGCGTGACAGAAGTCATTATCGTAGCATTTAAAATGAGTTTAGTAGCTGTGATCCAGCCCTGAGAATGCCACTTTCAGAGCAAAAGTATTGCTGTATGATTGCAAGGATAGATGCAATGCAGAGGTGAGGTCAGTGGAGTTCAAGTGAAGCACACCTCCTGCCACCAGGCGCCAGAGAGGGCGGCAGCCGCCGCGAAGCTGCTGTCGCTCGATGCAAACTTGGAGATGGCGGTACTGGTGTCTATTATGGCGGGCTCGATGCCCTGCATGTGCAGCGCGCAGCTCATTGCCCGGAGCGCGAGATCCTCCCCTCCCGGAGGCGCCAGGCTCGGCATGCGCAGTGCAGCGTCCAGCACAGCCTGCTGCATATATCCTCCCCCTGCAAAAGTAATGCATCAACCCTTTTGTGCCCTGCATAAAATTCTCCCAAGGTTCCACCTGATGCCATTGACTGGACAACACTGGCTGGCGAAAAAGATAGTGAAATTAAAAGGCCGACTCTGTGCACCTTTCCACAGGCATGGCATCACTGTCCTGATAAGCTTCAAGCGCATGCCTTACAATGAAGTGGCGCTGAATAGAGGTACAGCACGCCGTTAAGCAAGCGGTCTACCCAGACTGAAGTAGCATTGGGGTGAGTGAAGGGTCCTCACCCGAAGGGGAGTCTGAGTCGGCCTTGTCCCCGCGTATAGCCCCCGCCGCTGCGTCGTAGACACACCCTGCCTCCTTTGCTGTGTCAATAGTGCCTAGCCAATTTTTGCGGGCCTGCGCAATTACAGCCCCCGACTCCTCAAGCTGCGTCGAACTGCCCTCAAATTCATCAGATTTCTAGATCGGCAGATTTCAAACTAAAAGGGAGGCAAGTTCTTCAGCCGCAACGTACATGCAGCCGGGATCATGGTTGTACAGGAAAGAGACGGCCCCAAAAGACGATCCTTTGCACTATAATGTGGGCAAGCGTTCAAATTATGTCAGATGCACTGACCTCTGCAGGGTCCCCGATCTCTGCGGCCCATTTGCCCCATGGCTGCTGTTGCACGACGCGGTATGAGCCATGCGATGTACGGGGCCGCTGCAATGTGAACTCCATGCCTGTCAAGGCCAGGCCCAGGAGAGTCTGCTGCACTTGGAAGGCCCCTGCATCGCTGGGCTGCATGGTGACTAACTCAGGGGTCCTCGCCTGCAATTCACATGTCACTCCAACTTTTGGCCCAT